GAACGGACCTCCGGAACGAATTAAGTACTTAACTCGAGGTACCACTGTATCAGGAATAAAGTGTAAGTACTTGTTCCAAATTCTTGACTAGGGCCTTGGAAATCTTAGAACTGCCGGTTCCTGTTAAATTACTGTGTAAAGGATACTTTAACGGGAGGCTGCAGACTTTGAAATCTAAGAACAAACTAATTTTGGCTTTGAGAGATTAAACGAGGGTCAGAGGTTATTTTTGCAGCATAGAAACTTCTTCCATTTGATACAATATTCCTTCTCCAAAGTTTCAAGTGCTCGGATAAGTACAATATGCTTTCAAAAGCTACATTCCCAGCTATCACACCACAGATGTCTTTGTTGTTAGAATTAAGCAGACTGATCATCAACAAAGAATGGCCAGGCAATGGTGATGTGAACCTTTGGATAATCGGTGCTTCTTTTGTCTGGAATGGATTGTGTTTCCCAGGAATGGAGCAACAGACTTGAATCTGTTATCTATTGAATATTTTTTACACTTATGCCCCACCTTTTCCCCAAGGGGCTTAAGGTGGTGCGCATGGTTCTCTCCCTTCCACATCTTATCCTCGCAGCAACCCTGTGAATTAGGTTAGTCTGAGAGACAGTGGCTGGCCCAAGGTTCCCCAGTAAGAATCATGGCCCAGTGGGGATTTGAACCCTGGTCTCCCAGGTCCTAGTCCAGCACTCTAACCACTACCCCACACTAGCTCTCTGGGAAGAGATGAGTATGGGAAACTAAGGATTCTAAGAATAGAAGATGAGCCTGCTGGATCAGGCCAATGGCCCCTCTAGTCCAGCACCGCGTTCTTACAGTGGCTGATCAGATGCCTGTGGGAAACCCATAAGCAGGATCTGAGCACACGAGTGCTCTCCTCTCCTGTGGTTTCAGAAGCATTTTGCCTCCAAAAAGTGGAGACAGAGCATAGCTGTGGCTAGTGGCCATTGATAGCTAATCCTCTTTTAAAGACCTCCAGGTTGACAGCCATGACTGCCTCCTGCAGGAGTGAGTTCCATAGTTTAACTAAGTGATACATAAAAGTACTTTTTTCTATCAGTCCTCAATCTTCTGACGTTCAGCATCATCTGATGCGCACGAGTCCTGGTGTCATGACACAGAGAGAGAAACTTCGCTCTCTCCGCTCTCTCTGTGCCATGCATTATTTTATAAACTTCTATCATCTCACTTCTTCCTCGTCTTTTTTCTAAACTAAAAAGTCCCAAATGCTGCAGCCTTTCTTCCTCGGGGAGTGGCTCCATCCCCTTGATGATATTATGAGTGTTGCTGAAGAACGAGAACCGTGTTGTTTATAAGTAGATTACTTCTTTCCTGTAACTTCAGAAGTGCTTCTTCAGTGCTGCTTACCTCCAGGGCAAATTTATGGCTCTGGATCAACTGCTCTGGGCGTTCAAGGAACAAATGTTATTTGAACAGTGTGCTAATCTCCTCTGCCTCCCCCCCCCCCCCTTCATACTCCCCTCTCTTTATCACTTTGTTGTTCTCTCACTGCAGTTGTTTTGCACATTCCAGAGAAAAGAGGGCCCTCTCCACACTTGATCACTGTGTACTCGTGTTTTTTTTCTTAACTCATCTCAGAAACTGAAGGAAAGAATAGACACCTATCTTGCCGGTTACTCACCGAAAAACGTCTCTTAGTCATACCTGTGAAAATAAAGGAAGACAATCAACTCTCTAGACGTTTAAAGCAGTGAATCCACAGCCTTAAACTGAGAATTCCTCCGAACTAGAATAGTTACAGCTCAAAACTTGTGCATGTTCCTTCGAAAGTCAGTCCCATGTGGGGCTTGTTCCTAGGTAAAGTGTGCATAGGATTGCTGCCTCGGCTGAGTCATTTATTTATTAAACTTACATCCCGCTCTTCCTCCCAAAGGAGCCCAGGGTGATAAAACACTGCAGCCAGTGATAAAACAATGCAGTTAAAAAGTACATATACAATTAAAACATAAGATAATCACACGCTCTCACAGCAAGTAATTTCAAGGTTGCCAGGAGCTGCATCTTTCAGGCATCAAATGCCTGGGTAAACAGGGGTGTTTTTCAGCTAATAACAACAGGCACACCTCACGGAGAAGGCATTCCACAAACAGGGAACTGGCACTGAGGATAGGTTCACATTTTGGCTTACTCTGCACCTAGTGCGGTCCTACTGCTAGTTTCTGAAGCTGCGTTCACGTTTGCCACAATCCCTAGCAGTTCTCTAGTTTATTACTGCTGTTTGGTGTGCTTTTCCTAAAACCAGCACCAGCTTCAGTCTGGTTAGAAGAATGGATGAGGAAGAAAGCGGTAATGTGAACATGCCCTAACAGCCTTTGTGCAGGGACAGATCTGTGTGCAAGTTCTGGCGGCAGCTTAATGAACAGGAGTTCCAGGGGGGCTGCAGGGAAAACAAAAAATGTATGTCAGGTGTAGACATTCCCAGCTCCCCTTCCTGAAAAATGAAGAAATACTTGTAAATGTGGCTTGATGTGCAGTGGGGAGGGGCAGGATGACTCTGCTGCGCTTCAAGCCCCTAATGTGAACATACCCAAACCCTAAGGCTACTTCCATACTGTTGCTATTTTGCAAGTGGGATTCAGATTCAGGATAAGTTCTTGATAAACAGGTTGCCTGGAAGCAATGCAAATGGCACTCTTGCGCAACAAATCTGCTCCCATTCACTCGATGTTGTGCAGTACGAAAAGTGGTGGAAAACTACAGTGGAAAGTGCAGGATAACCACCACTTGACAGCAACCTGCAAACATTTGCAGAAAAATCATGATGATTACTCAATATATGATTCCCTCACTTCCAGAAGAGCTGTTTATTGAGGGTTGTGGTTGTTGTTTTTTAAGCTTTTCTCCTGAATTTTTTTTTCCAGTTTCAAAAAATACATATGACATACAATCCCCATGTACCTTCCCTGCCCAAAAAATATTCCGTGCATAAGATTGCATCAAAGTCAATCAGCAGTCAGTAAATGATAGGCAAAGATTAAGCCGCTTTGTACAAGATTATATCAGTTAGCAGGGGCGGCCCATCATATTTCGCCACATCTGGAACCCGGAACCCAACACTGCAGCTGCTGCTTGCTTCTCTGGCAGTGGCAGGAGGAGGCAAATGGTGCCCATGGAACTCCAGGACCACAGCAGGCCTCCTGCCCCCCACCATCGCCAGAGAAGCAAGAAGTGGCAGCAGCAGTAAGAGCTCGCACAGAACTCCACGAAAGCTTGCCAGAACCCACCACCATAGCAGCAGTGGCCGCAGATGGAGATGTGCAGTGTGACACAGCAGGACCTGCCGCATCTGGGTCCCAGTGGGATCCTGGCACTTGAGGCAATTGCCTCAGTTGGTCTATTTGTAAGGTCGGCTGTGTCAGTTGCTTGCCTTCTACTCTCTGTCTTTACAGATTGCCCCAGACTGAAATACAGTGGTACCTCGGGTTACATATGCTTCAGGTTACATACACTTCAGGTTACAGACTCTGCTAACCCAGAAATAGTGCTTCAGGTTAAGAACTTTGCTTCAGGATGAGAACAGAAATTGTGCTCCGGCGGCGCAGCAGCTGCAGGAGGCCCCATTAGCTAAAGTGGTGCTTCAGGTTAAGAACAGTTTCAGGTTAAGTACGGACCTCCAGAACGAATTAAGTTTTTAACCCAAGGTACTACTGTATGGGTAACTGGTGGCAAGTCCTTTCTGAATAAACATGTGCCACACAATTCTAAATCAACTTGCGGTCTTTGTGTTCGTTAGCGCGCTCAGATACTTCCTTAGTTTCTCCGTAACAGCTGTGTTCCATAACGTAGCCCACCACGAGCGTTTATTAAGCAGAGAGGTGATTCAAAGATGCTTCAAGCAAGCATTATCCCACAGCTTCCAGTGCATTTTTCCTTTACAGAAGTCTCATTACCTCACAGGTATGTTGTGAGGTGAAATAAAAAATGGGGAGGAGAACTATGTACGCTACCTTGAGCTCCTTGGAGGAAAAGATGGGATAGAAATGTAATTAATAAGTAAAGAAACCCCCATTTTACATGATTGAATCCCACCCGAAAATAGTGTCAGTCTGGGAGCACCCATTGTCTAACCTCCTCACAAACTTGGCGTAAACAGATTAGGGTGTTTGCTCAGTAAACTGGTTATCTGGAAGTGTGCTTTAGCTGCTCAACCTAAAATTGCCAGCAGATGCTTGAATCCCACCAGCAAGAGACAGTCTGCAAGCAGCCCTGCTTTCTTTGAAGGTTGGGGGTGGGGGGGGGCGTTATGAACGTTGCCCTCTTGTATCACTTCCAAACTGATGCTATCGTCAGCTGGTTGTCAGTCACATTCCAACAGATTCAGGGTCGCAATTACAGCTGATTTAGTAAACTTGCGCAACAAACCCACTTTCCCCAATCGATCGGACTTTTGGGGGAGGGAGGTATTGGTCTGTAAGGTTTTTGTTCTTTTTTATCATGTATTTTGTGCTTTCATATTGTATTTTTATGTTGTGAACAGCCCTGAAATCTGCGGTTGGGAAGCGCCCTTATTGCGCATTAGGAGCATATGCGGCCAACAACCCCACCAGAATGTGTCCAGAGAGCCGCGCGAAAGCGCGACAAAGTCTTCAGGCGCCCGCATATCGCGACAGACCGGCCCTAACAGCCCCCGGCGGATCGCTGCGCTTCCAAGGCTGCTTTCCAATCGGCCGGGCCCGTCCCGCCCCGCGCAGCAGCAGCACAGCCGCCGCCAAATTTTCCACCCCTTTCCCGGGGCATGTACGTGAGGAGAAAAACAACCTCGGCGGGAACTACGCCTCCCATGATCCCAAAGCGGGCTGTTGTTCTCCTTCCGATTGGTGCAAAAGAGGTCGGCAGTTTGAAGCCCCAGTCTAGGGAAAGCCCCGCCTGCATCCCAACGATTGGCTTTTCGGGGCGGGCGTCGACGCCTCTTTTCCCTCCCCTTCAGTAAAGCAGCTGTTCGGGGGCGGGGCTTCCCTCCCTCCCCCAGTGCTCTTGAGAGCGATTACTTGGAGGAGAGTTTTCAGTCGGGCGCTTCGCGAGCCTCTTGAGCGTTCTGGAACCCCGGTGCACCGGGACGTTCTAGAACTCCGCCAGTTTCGGACGTTCTGTCGCAGAAGCCTCGCGGAGAAGGAGGGGCGCTCAGCCTCCCTGTGACACTTGACGCGCCCGGGAGGGGAGGGGGGGTCCGCCTGCCCGCTCTTGCCTCTTTGCACTTTATTCCTCCCTCTCTCGTTCTTAAGAATTTGCACCACCTCCCCCACCCCCTCAAGAATTGCTTTTTCAAACTCTTCCCAACTTTGGAGGAAAAGCTAGCGGACAGCGATCGCGCTTTATTCTGGTTTGCGTGCCCCGCGCGGCTCCCCAGCGCTACACGGCACCATGATGGTCGCAGACTCCGAGAGTTGCGACGCCCCCGGAGTCCAGGGCTATTTACCCTGCAAGAGCCTCGGAACTTTGAGGAGTAAAGAGGTAAGGCAAACGAGGGAGACGCGTGCCTCTCTCTCTTTCCCTCTTGGGGGTATTTTGGGGGGAGGGTTACCACTTGCCTTTCAGCTGTAACCCTGGCTAACTTTGTGCGGCGTCGGTGTTTGTTTATTTCCCCTCCCCGCGCGCCGGTTCTTTGCCATTTTAGGGGGATTGGGAGGGGGGAGCGAGGAGGAGGGGGGCGCTCCAGTTGCTGCTGCAGAGTTGCGTAAAAGGTGGTTGTTATGATGATCCTCCGAGCAGGATACATTAGAACCTAGTTGCATCAGCCGTAGAGACACAAACAAGCACACGGAGGCTTGGGGTCTTGAAAAACACACACTCTCAAATCTGGGGTGAGAGCGTGGCTGCTGTACTGTACCGGAGGCCACTTAAGTGAGATTAATGATCAAACGGGCTGGGAGAGTGAGCCGTCGGCGCAAGCGGGGATGTGCCTTCCCTCCTTCTGAAAACTGCAAAATGGTAAGCGGTTGCGAACCTTTTACTTTGGTGTCTTGGTCCGTTAGGACGGCCTCCTCGCCCCCCAATCATTCGGCCCCCTAAATGGCTAAATAGACCTTACCCGCAGTCCTGGCTACCCTCAGAAATACCGGTAAGCCCTATTGAATTCACCGGTCCTGACTCCCAGGTAACTTACCGGTGTGCACTAGAGCGCCCACTCTTCTCCTGACTGGGACTTTTGGAGCAAATAAATGCCGCTGTGTTGTTTTTTTTAAGTTCCATGTGTAAACAGGGGTTAGGATTGCCGCAGCCTTGCTTTGGGTTATCGGCTTGTGTGGGTCAAGGGCTCCCTCTTGCATGATGTTCATTAGAGGGAGGCGATAAGTTCCCGTTTTGACTTGTTTCTTCTAGTGGTCAAGCACACATGTACAGGCATGCCCCACACTGTGTGCCCCACACTGCCGAGGGCGGAAGGGGGCCAGCTTGACTGCAGGATTTCTGCATAGATAACTTCTATCTCCAGGATTAGCTAAGCAAACACTGATAACTTTTTCAAGAAGAAAGGTTGTATCCTTGCCGCTTTTGCAACCCATAGATTGACCCACTACAGAAAATGTGACTTATCGCACTTTAGTCACCCCCCCCAAAAAAGGGTCCCCTGGACACCCACCAATTATACCCAGCTCAGCACTGCAATGGGGTGGAAAATCATACTGCATCCTTTCTTCAGATTGTTTTAGCTGCCCGAGAGTTTTTAAATTGCTATAAGATTTTTTAATTGCTATAAGGTTTTTAAATTATGGATTTCCTGGCCCCACTGCTTTAGTGTATAGTTATGGGTCAGTTTGGATCTCAAAATATTTGTCACTGTGTATTGATACCACATGGCAGTAGTGGTGGTTTACAAAGGGTTAATCCGGTGTATAATTTTAATGGAGTGGTGAATACCTCCTGTTTGGCTTTGCTGCATTTCTCCCTCTCCTCACCACCCCCAGCCTTCCCATCAGGATTGTGAAGTTTCTTTGGACACCATAAAGCCCAAATTGACAGGCCATATTTTGAGTTTTGCAAGCACTGAAGACAGAGCCAATATTGGCTTTGCCTGTTGGCCCACAGGGATGGAGCAAAGGGCTCTTTAAATCTCTCTTCCCTGCAGTGAAGAGCAACAGAGGCTTGGGCTGAAGCCCCTCCCTGGATCATGCAGTTCAAGACACAAGCCAAGGGTCTTCGCTTCCATTTGCACACAAGCACTCCTTGCATGGGCACTCGTTGGCTCTTGCTCCTCAGTTGTTTCTCCTCACTCATTTTTGTCTTAAGTGCGAGGGTGGACAACAGCCACTGTTAGATTCGGAGCAGGAAGTGTGAATAGCTTTAAAAATCCCTTGGTTTTCATTTGTTTGTTGATTTTATTTCTGTTTTACCAGTGTCTTTCCATAGAGCAGGCATGGAGAACTACTGGCCCATGGACCAGAGGTGGCCCCTGCCTACCCCTTCTGGCCCACAGCACCCCTCCCTATGCTCTGTATGGCATAGAGCTTTTGAGGCTTACAACAAAGCAAACAGTTCTTTTCTACACTAGTCAAAACAGCTAAAATTATACAAAGTAAACAAAGAAACTGAAAACAGTCTCTTAATTCATTTTTTCCATCACTTGATCAGTCACTTAGTTAAAAAAACAAACACTCAGACCAGGCTCTGAAATGCCTGTTGAAATGTTTACCAAAAGGTTCACTATGATTTAATAAGTAAGAATTAAACTGACTTGACACAAATGCCTCTGAGAAAGGAATTTCATGACACTGGTGTCACCACTGGGAAGGCCCTGTTTTCATTCCAGCTTGGAGAGATGCCTCTTCTAATTTTGTCTGTAGCGAAGTAAATACAGAAATAGGCTTCCCACCAAGCCTTTTGAATTGGTTGTGTGCCTGTGCTGTCTATGTAATGCACGTAATATTTAATAGATGGATTCATGATTTTTAATATGTATGTTAAGTTGTTGTGTCATGCCTCAAGATCAGCTGGGATGAGCTGTAGAATATCTTCCTAGATACATAAAAATGCAAGGCTGTTGTCATACTGAATTTCACATGGCCACCAGTAGGTGGCCACACCAATTCCATCATGATTTCAGAGTGGAAGACAGGTGAATTAGAAAGCAACGTGAGTGGCAGGTGGCCCAAGCAAGTTGCTTAATGGAGGTTTTCTGAAGTGCCTCCCCTCTCCTTTACAAGGGGGTGGGGCAGCTGCTGTGAGTTGGGGCTTGGGGAGCAATGAGGGGAGGGGCTTGGTGTGAGCTGTGAGGGGAGGAGAGATTTGAGTGAGCTGTGAAGGGATAGGAAAGGGGATGGATGAAGGGAGGAGGGGCTGGCCAGTTACGGGCGGGGGGGGGAGAGGAGGTGGCAAAGGGGTTGGCGAGCAGAATGAGTGGGGTTGACAGCCCCTAGTAAATAATATAAATAGAGTAGATGCTATGGAAGGTATAGTGGACCCAGACTTGCTAAGGTTTTAAATGTGGAACTACACTGTGAATTGGGAGCATCTGCAATTATTTATGCACCGCTTTAGTGATGGTCCTCTTTAATTTCCCTGTGTGCCTGTGCATGTATTGAACTGCACAAGGAAAGGGATTGTTGATGGTAGTTTAATATAGTACCATCAGGGTGCATGCCACTTTTACATCTTGAAAAGAGGCCAGGTCACTGCCCCAAGGAGTTAGTAATCTAAAATCTGACACAGATTGAACATTAGAGGAAACAGAGGCAGGGATAAACAGGGAAACGATGTGTGTTATATCTGTTGCACATGGGAAAGGTCTGTAGCTTAGTGACAGAATATCTGATTTGCATTCAAAAGATTCCAGGTTCAATCCCCAACATCTCCAAGAAGTACTGGGAGAGATTCCTGCCTGAAACTCTGGAGGGTTGCTGCCAGTTGGTGTAGGCAGTACTGAGCAAGATGGACTCAATATTCTGACTCAGCATAAGGCAGCTTGCTACTGTCCCAGCTTAGGTGTACTAGTGACAGACTGAGTTATAGTAGGACTTTAGGGAGGTGTTTGAAAGAAGAGTAGTGGCAGTGCAGAGTTGTTCTATTCTATGCAGAAGGTGGCGGGTGGCGCTGTGGTCTAAACCACTGAGCCGAGGGCGGTTGGCAGTTCGAATCCCCACTATGGGTGAGCTCCCGTTGTTCGGTCCCAGCTCCTGCCAACCTAGCAGTTTGAAAGCACTTAAAAGTGCAAGCAGATAAATAGGTACCGCTCTGGCGGGAAGGTAAACGGCGTTTCCATGTGCTGCTCTGGTTTCGCCAGAAGCGACTTAGTCATGCTGGCCACATGACCCGGAAAAAACTGTCTGCGGACAAACGCCTGCTCCCTCGGCCAGTAAAGCGAGATGAGCACACAACTCCAGAGTCGTCCGCAACTGGACCTAACAGTCAGGGGTCCCTTTATGCAGAAGGGGCAGCATGGTAGCAAGGGTGGAGTCTTGAGGAAACCGAAGACCTTCACACAACGGAGGGCAGTGGATTTGGAGGAATACAGATGAGATGCCTTTTGTTAATTACAGGAGTCTTTTTATTCCTTTTGGTATGGCTGCATCATTTTCCTGTCTGTTTAAGTGGGCATTTATTTTTCAGGTTTGAGAATTAGCAATAGTGGGCACTTACTGAACTATATCCCACTTTTTAGCATTATTTTTAAACTGATGTGCCAATGTGGAGAGCTGAACTTAAGATTGGAAAACTTTAGAAACTGAGAGAAACCAAAACGGACAGATGTAATTCATTGTAACTAAGGAAGACAGTTGGCAAAAAAACTTATTTGAGGAGAAAACAGTTCTCTTGGAAAAGAGAGAAGGGGAGAAATCCAACCCTCCAGATACCTTCCCCGACATAAAGGCAAACTGTTCTTCAGCTTCTTGAATCAGGAATTGCAGTCCAGATGTGGTGGACTCACAGTTCCCATCAGCCCCAGTCAGAGAGGGCGGAGGTCAGGGTGATGGGAATTGTAGTCTTAAGCGCCTCAGCTTCCACACCTTTGGTTTCGAACTCTTTGCATCAACAGAATTGGGTGAGGTACTTCACATTCTTAATTTAAAATTTGTACTCTGATTGTAGTGGCAGTATTCCTCTTGCAAGGCGTTTGAGGAGGGGAATCTTAAAATGCTACCGACTTGTGGTTAAGGTTCACCATGGCCTGTAAGCAGAAAACAAATTTTGGGCCTAGGTTTGGACAACACTTTGGTTTAGCTGCCACACTAACCTTTCATTGTTTTATTCCTTTTTGTATATAGCTTTGAGGGTTATTTAACAATAAAGCAGTTTATAAATTTTTGAAATAAAATAAATAAATATACTAGAAAAACACCAGGGAGCAGCAGAACAACTGCCATATTCTCCTTGGAAATTAGCATGTTCATGCTAAACAAGGGTTTGGCTTAGCATTTCACCCAAACATGGACATCAATAGACTTGCCCTCTATGAATTTGCCTAATCCTCTTTTAAAACCATTCAAGTTGGCGCTCATTGCTACATCCATAGTTTAACTACTGTATGCACTTGGGTTCATACTGTTTTCTTGTAGCTGAGTTCCACTATGTTTGGTGGTGGTTACACCCAGGTACCCATGCACAGAACTGCATTGGTAGTCAGAAAGATTATCTGCTTGAGGCTGTTCAATCTCAGCCAGTGATTTTGCAATCCAAGAGCTGCTGCTTCTAAGGATCGTGTTGCCTGTTACAGATTTATTGCAGCCTTGCAAACGAGTTCACAAAAGTTAATCGCTCATAAATGTTTATTAGCCTGTTTTTGGCCTGCAAATACCTGTGTTAGTCATTTATGAAATATCATTGACCTTAAAAAGAGGAGGGGGCGGGCAGAGGCGGAATCCTTTCCACTTGCAAAAGCTGATTGGTTTGGTTGCCTAAAAGTTATTCTGAGGCTTCAGGGCAGTTAATTCAGTTTTCATGACTTTTCCCTAACTGTTCGGTTCAACATTATATTTGAGCTTTGACGTGACGTAAAAGCCACTTCTGGAACTGTAGTGAAATATAGTTCAAATGTAGTGCTGACTTCCGTGTTGTTTGCTTCCGGAAAAAAATCTGTCTGCAAATAATATGGAAATGAATGCTATGTTCCACCGCATTCCTCCATAGTTCTGGAAGTGGCTTTTGCCTCGTGTGAAAGCTCAGATACAGCGTAGAACTGAACAGTTGGGGAAATGTGAATATGGAATACATGAGGTAATTGGGGAAGTATTTACAGACCTGATTTCAGGCACATTCAAATGTGGGGGTTATTGCATTACTTTTCCTTACAATATTACCACTTCTATCCCAGATTCTAATGTACCTTTTACAATCTATTACCTGTTGCATTATGGAACTGTGGCTTTTTGAACAATATACTGTATTTTTCTGTGTATAAGAAAAGGTTTCCCCCCTAAAAAATAATGTCAAAAGTTAGGGGGCATCTTATATACGGATACATCTCCCCCCATTTTCTTAAATCTGAGTCCCCCCAAATAGGGGGTGTCTTATGCATGGGGCAGTCTTCTAGAAGGAAAAATACGGTACTTCTATGCTGTGCTAAATTTTAAATGGTGGGAAAGAGCTGTATGGTTTTCTGGGTTAGTGGGGCTACAAACAGATTTTTTTCTGGAAGCAAATAGCACTGAAATGAGTGCTACGTTTCCACTGGATACCACAAGTGGCTTGTGTGAAATCTCACATAACACATGGAAATTATCTGATTAAGAATCATAGAATTGTAGAGTTGGAAGGGACACCAAGGGTAATCTGGTCCCATCCCCTGCAATGCAGGAATCTCAACTAGAGCATCCATGACAGATGGTCATCCAACCTCGGCTTAAAAACCTCCATTGAAGGAGAATCCACCACCTCCCAGGGGAGTCTGTTCCACTGTCTTAACAGCTCTTACTGTCAGAAAGGTCGTCTTGATGTTTAGTCAGAATCTACTTTCTTGTAACTTGAATCCATTGGTATGGGTCCTACCCTCCAGAGCAGGAGGAAACAAGCTTGCTCCATCATCCATGTGACAGCCCTTCAGATATTTGAAGATGGCTATCATATCTCCTCTCAGTCTCCTCTTAGCCAGCTTAAACATATCCAGCTCCCTCAACCGTTCCTCATAAGGCTTGGTTTCCAGAAGAACGTTGGGAGAACAAAATAAAAACCTGTCTGAATGCAGCCTTTGAATTATACGTAGGGATGGAGGAGAAATCTGATGGTTCAAATTTAGAGGTGAGCATACCTGATTCACACTTTCTGAAACAACAATAGAAGAAGACAACCATCCTTTGACATTTGCACCTCTCTGAATTTTGCAATGCAGTGTTCAGTAGCCAATTTATGTATCTAAAAATGTGTATGCTACAATAAATTGTGTGTGTGTATGTTAGTGCAAAGAATATACAAAAATGCATTGTATTTGCAGAAATTGCTATGCAAATGTACACACTAAGATGCTGATGAATTTTCACGGGGACCCTCTTTAAAAATAATAATCACATACTGATTTGGAAATGTGGAGAACAGAGTTTAATCATGGAAAATCATGGAAAATGGGTAACTGAGAGAAACCTAAATTGACATATTTGCTCACCCCTACTTATACATTACAAGGTAAACACATTTTTACTGCTTGTATACTAATGTGCTGCAGAGAAGAGAAGAGAGGACTTAAAATATGCACTTGAAAAAGTTCTTTAAGGCCCAGCACATTTCAGGTTGGGAGACCTCTGAGCTGGTTTCTGCAAAGGAGGGATAAGGCAGTTTTGTGCTCTATCTATTAATGTAGAGAATTATCACAAAGTCTGCAAGAAGAAGAGGAGTTTGGATTTGATATCCCGCCTTTCACTCCCCTTCAGGAGTCTCAAAGCGGCTAACATTCTCCTTTCCCTTCCTCCCCCACAACAAACACTCTGTGAGGTGAGTGGGGCTGAGAGACTTCAAAGAAGTGTGACTAGCCCAAGGTCACCCAGCAGCTGCATGTGGAGGAGCAGAGATGCGAACCCGGTTCACCAGATTACGAGACTACCGCTCTTAACCACCACACCACAAGATTGCATTAAACCCAGCACTTTCAGAAACTGATTCAGTGGTCCCCCAAAGAACAGTCCCCTAATTCAAAACAGACAGGCTTCAATGAACTGCTTCAAATGCACCTTCGAGATTTCCTATTTTGCTTCATTCCTGTATTGGTATCATCCCTTTGTATGCCGCAAAAAGCCACAATTGGTCCCTAGTCTTCGTATCCTAACAGGTGAAGTTACACTAAGGGGATGTTCTACGTCTTCGAAGTACAAATCCAGAACCTACATAAAAACTATCAAGGTCAAAGTAGCTCTTTTGGTCCATAGCAGCAATACCTTTATTAAGCCAACCAAAATGCCTATTTTCTGAGGGAGCATTCCTTCCAGTCTGTAAAAAAAGCTACCCAGTTTGGCTTCTTTTGAATTCCTTTTTAACCTAGCATACCAGTTACGATTACGATGCAGCTTAAATGTATATGTCTTGGCCCTTAGATCTAACACTGATATGGAGTTGGAGGCTGCAGGGGTACCAGATGGTGAAGTTCAGGGCTCAGAACTGACTGCAGAAAATAGGGAGACGATTGTGCCTGAGGCTGTTGGACAGGAGCAGCCAGAGGAACTTCCCAGACCGCAGGGCCTATAGCAGTGATGGTGAACCTTTTAGAGACCGAGGGCCCAAACTGCAACCCCAAACCCACTTATTTATCGCAAAGTGCCAACATGGCAATTTAACCTGTATTTCTCATTTTTTCTGTGTGTTTCACGTTTCTTCTTTATAACTGCTGTTGTAATAAATAATCCTTCATAAAAGTTATTGCATTATATTCTTCATTAAATTATCTTTTCCATTGATATAAAATTTTATGGTATAACTCAGTGCTTTTTTTTTCTTAAAAAAATGTTTAGGTGTACTCTCATTTTGACTCAAGAAAATCGCCACCAGGGGAAAATAAATACAGTTCAAATCGGGGGAAATAAATACAGTGAATTTCTTCTTCCGTTAAATTCACAAAATGTTTAGGAGTATGCGTCCCGCTGTGTCCCCACAGAAAAAAAAGCACTGGTATTACTCCAAAACAAAGTGGTGTTATGAGCCATCAAACCTCGGAAATACGTTTTTTCCAGAAAGTTCCACGATTTTGGCCACTATTGTACACTGGAGGGCTGTACTAAGAGCCACCCTCTCCCAATTTTTAATATGAGATAATAATGATTGTCTGCGTGCGCACATACTACAAAAATAAATAAATAAATAAACCCAGCCAGATGGGCGGGGTATAAATAATTTATTATTATTATTACTACTGCTACTATTATTATTTGCTGTTTCTTCAGCTGCCATTTGATCACAGCCTCCACGGAATGAATTACTCTGTTGGCTGTTGCAGGAAAGCCCAGAGAACACATAAACCCAGCAGCCCCTTCTTAGGTTGCCATCTTTATATGCTAAATGACCTGGGAGTTAAGCCCTGCTGAACTCAAGGTGTCTTACTCCTGAGTAGGAAAAACAGACTGGTGGGAGGCCCTGGCGCATCAAATGTCAATGCCTGCTCAGCCCCTCGATGCTCGCCAGGCCCTGATGCCACAGGCTTTGGACGGTGCGCACAAACCCTCCTCTCCTCCTCCTCTCCCACCCCCAGCATGGAAGCTATGGCCCTGCTGGGGCGATGGCGCGTGTGCCCACAGAGAGAGCTCTGAGTGCCCTCTCTGGCACACGTGCCATAGGTTCGCCACCGCTGGTCTATAGGGCCAGAGCCTGGACACTCAAACACAAGATGCCCCCCACTGCACATTAATAGCCTGGCAGTGCAGAAATGCCTCAGGAGGGAAGCTGTGGAGGAGGTAGTCTGGAGACACAGAGGCTTACAAGGCCTCAATCTGCTCCCAACCTTTGTCAGAGCAAGTTGGTCGCTTGGAGTCACCCACTGTCTGGCAACCTTTGCTTTACCTCCAGCCTTGCTGCTTTCTCCTTGGGATCTGGCATTGGCCCGTCATATGTCAGTATTTAGGGACGCGGGTGGCGCTGTGGGTAAAACCTCAGTGCCTAGGACTTGCCGATCGTATGGTCGGCGATTCGAATCCCCGCGGCGGGTTGAGCTCCCGTCCTTCGGTCCCAGCTCCTGCCCACCTAGCAGTTCGAAAGCACCCCTAAATACAAGTAGATAAATAGGTACCGCTTTCTAGCGGGAAGGTAAACGGCGTTTCCGTGTGCTGTGCTGGCCACGTGACCCGGAAGTGTCTTCAGACAGCGCTGGCTCCCGGCCTCTTAAGTGAGATGAGCGCACAACCCCAGAGTCGGACACGACTGGCCCGTACGGGCAGGGGTACCTTTACCTTTTACCTTTATGTCAGTACAGTGGTACCTCGGGTTAAGAACTTAATTCTTTCTGGAGGTCCGTTCTTAACCTGAAACTGTTCTGAACCTGAGGTACCACTTTAGCTAATGGGGCCTCGTGCTGCTGCTGCGCGATTTCTGTTTTCATCCTAAAGAAAAGTTCTTAACCCTAGGTACTATTTCTGGGTTAGCGGAGTCTGTAATCTGAAGCATCTGTAACCCGAGGTACCACTGTATACAAACTGCCCGTTTTCTCTTAATTCCTGTTTGACAACTCCCAAGAAACCTTCATCTGGTCTGATGGGGCGTTCTGGAGAGCTCAGATGTGTACATGCCATTCTGTAACACGTTGATTAGCTTAATAAGGGTATTGCCCAAATGTGGATTTTGGAATAGAGCCTCTCTCTTCTGGAAAGTAAACTCACGGCGCTGTTGTCATGTATACAGTCGTCTGAGGATTGAGCTCTGGGGGTGGGAAGTTGTTCTAGTTTCAGGCAGAACAGAGGGCTGATCGACCTGATGTCTGTGACATCACAAAGTAGCTTTTTGCTGGAACAGTTTTTCAGTTTGGAAACAACAGATTGGGCAAAAATGTCAGGGGTCATATGAGTATGTGCACATAAGAATAATAGTTTAGAAGCCATGGGTAGGGAACCTATCCACTGCCCCCCAATGTTGGACTTTAGCTCCCATTAGGATTTTAAACCTTATGGGTTTAAGATTCTGGTTACTGAAATCAACATTGAGCATTTCCCACCTTGGACATGATAGTGGGGATCTGTGGTTTAAAGAGAGACTGAAGGGTCACAGTGTGTAAGCTGGCACACCAGGGAGGAATGTGAAGGCCCAACACAGGTTTTCTTCTTACCAAGCCATTGTTTACCAAGCCAAGAATGTTATGTCTGTAATGGCCCACAGATTACTCGCTTGCCAGGTTATATATCCTGTTTTTCTAGCCAAATGCAAAACTGGAAGCACCTAGCTGTGTCACCCTGTGTAATTCCCTTATCTGTCAACAAGGAGGGATTCATAGGCCGAGGCTAACTTGAACCCGTGACCAGAGTGCTTCTGGGCCCATTGTAAGTACTGGTGAAATTACTGACCAACACCTGTTGCAATTTTTGTGCTATCTTCATGGGCAGCACCACATAAAGGCATAGGCGACAGCAGCCAAGTCCCTTATATGCCAGCAGAGGGTGCAACTCTGAGCAAGAATGCCCCACTTCATGATGAATAGGCATAGAACAAATAGAACCTGGAACAAAACATTGCAGTGTGAAGTGCTTCTGTTCATGGTGCCAGCCAACCAGCATTGCCTTCTTTCAAGACCTTCAATTTCTGGTTTTCTTTTTTCCCTTTCTCCAGAAGGCAGTCAGCATTCTTTAGCCATTGAACATCCTCAGCCCCTATTGAGCTTTTTGGGGAAGGATGCTCCCTTAGTTACTTAGGGTATTTTTTGTGCTTCTGTAAACCTTGGCAAGTCTCCTGAGCCTTCTGAAAGCTTCCTTTAGTGAGTGAGTGGTGCCGTTTTGGCTGCATAAGAGAAAGCAGCCGGCCTTGAACTTCGGAAACGGAACAGTGGTGCAGGAGCTGAAATAATGTATTCAACTGCACTGATTTCAATTCTTACATTTCAGTCAATAAAATAACTGGGCTACATATATTTAAAGAGGTAGAAAGCTCTTCTGGAAAAAATACTCATCAAAGAGCAACTTACATGGTCCTTTGTTTGGGATGGTTTCATGCTAAAGTACCTGGAAAAGGCTGGGAAAGACTCTTGTCTGGAAACCTGAAGATCCACTGCCAGTCCCCATAGACAAGCCGTTGCCAACTTGGTGCCCTTCAGAATGTTTTGGCTACAACTTCCCATCAGCCACAGCTGGTGTAGACGATGTTGAGCTAGACTGACCCATGGCAAGGATAGCTCTCTGGATCTGATTGAACTACAGCTCTCATCATCCCTGATTCTTGATCCTTGCCGGCTAGGGTTGATGAACCCAGGCCCTCTGAACCAGCCCTTCTCCATGGGCCCCACTGAATCTACCTCCTCACTGAAGCTGGTCTAGGGCTCTCTTGTCAGCAATCTTTCTTCCCTGGGAGCTCTGGGAATTATAGCTCTGTGGCGGGAATAAAGGTCTCCTCTAACAACTCTCAGCACCTTTAACAAACTGCCCTTAGGCCAAGATGGTGCCTAAGACTGCTATTCCAGCTTACCTTGGGACCAGTAAGAGACCTGCCATGGATCTATATTAGTTGCTGCTGTTCTGATGGGTAATTTTGCTGTTGTTTATGTGGCTAAGGTTTAATTTATTTAGTGCTTGGTATCAGATTTTAAGATAAAGCCACCTTGTGGATTGTCAGGCGAGGCGGGTGTTAATAGAAAGGTGGCAAAAGAATAAAATAAACAACAGCAGCAAGAATACTTATTGCAAAGTATTGGAAGACACAAGAACTACCCACTCTGGAAGAATGGCAGATGAAGGTGATGGACTACATGGAATTGGCGGAAATGACTGGCAGAATCAGAGACCAGGGAGAAGAGATGGTGGAAGAAGATTGGAAGAAATTTAAATACTATCTACAGAAATATTGCAGAATTAATGAATGTTAGAATGATGTTAGAATGAAGTTAGGTGGTTTAAGCAGTAATGCTATAAAGGTGTATGTAAAAATGGATTGATAACAGGTGAAAATTTAAAGTTATAGTATATTAAGTCAAAGGATTAAGAGAAAATAAAGAGGGAAAGAAATTGCTGAAATAACTAAATGAATTGGAATACAAAAAAGGGGGGTATGAGGAGGTCAGGGAAACAAAGATATAAAGGTAAGGCATGGAAAGATTGATCTATTTTTTTTTATTCTTTTATTCTGTATTTTGTATTTTGTATTTTTCTTGTATTTTTATTTCTGTCTTTTGTTTTTGTTTTTCTTGTTTTTATGTAACTCTTTTTTCTGAAAGTTTAATAAATATCATTTAAAAAAAAAGAAGAATAAAATAATACTGGGGATGTTGGGTCAACCTAAAGAGCCGTCTCAGCTGATTGGCTTTGGTTCTACAGGCTCCAACAGACTGAGCAGCCTCTTTGGCCTCCTGAGTTTATGACGCTATAATAACCTTGTTTTGTTGCACGGCTTGTAATTTGCTTAACCTTTCCTGACTTGCTTATCAAGTATGCTCTTGCCAATTCCTGACTAAGCGTTGCGTCTCATCTCCTGCGGAGTCACCCTACCTAGTCAGCACGCTGGCTCTCGTTGGGTGACTTGGGTATCCGATACCGTCTCTTTCAGAGCGATAATGGAGCCACTTCCCAGGCTGAAATTCGCCAAGTTTAGGTGTCTGGTCGTCTGATGGCACCGTTGCCTGTGGGATCAGACAAATTGAGACAATCACCCTCTACTTCAGTTGAGATATTGTAGCCAGAGGAGGATGTTGCTATGGTTAATTAGTTTTAATAAGCCTTAGTTATTATGGAGGACATGTTTTAATAAACCTAACCACCATTCCAAGATGCTTTATCATGCACTTTCTATGTTGGCATGTGCTGGGTATCTCAGCTGGGTTTTGGTGTGCCTGAGATTGAACAGCCTTGGACCAGTTGATGGTCAGGGCATTTGTGGAAAAGCATGGAAGTTTTGTCTACTTTTGTAGTAGTATCTCATGTGTACTTTGGTGATGGGGATCAGTTACAATCTTCGATTTGCTTTAGATTTTAGACGGGAGAGTCAGTTTTGCCTTTTCTCCAGCTTCACCTGAAATGTTTCTTTCTGACTCCGAGATGCTTCCATCTATAAGAGACCTGTAATATCAGGTACCTGGGTTCCCTCCCCCCTTTGCCTTAAAGTTTATTAGAATACCACATAAAAGTTCACAACAGTTTGTATTAAAATTACAATCCCTATACAAACACGAAGTTAACAGAGGAAAAAGTATATGAACTGGATCGTTAAACTTGCTGCCAAATTATCAAATAAGAATCTTGGAGAATAGGAAGGGTCCTGCTGGATCCAAGGCCAGCATCCTGTTCTCACAGTGTCCAACAAGGTGCCTGTGAGAAACCGCAAGCAGGACCAGAGTGCAAGAACCCTTTCCCCTCCTGTGTTCCCAGCAGCTGGTATTCAGATGCATTACAGTGGTACCTCGGGTTACATATGCTTCAGGTTACATACGCTTCAGGTTACAGACTCCGCTAACCCAGAAATAGTACCTCGGGTTAAGAACTTTGCTTCAGGATGAGAACAGAAATCGTGCTCTGGCGGTGCAGCAGCAGCGGGAGGCCCCATTAGCTAAAGTGGTGCTTCAGGTTAAGAACAGTTTCAGGTTAAGAACGGACCTTCGGAACGAATTAAGTACTTAACCTGAGGTACCACTGTACTGCCTCTGATCATGGAGACAGAGCAATAGCCATCATAGCCAGTAGCCACGAACTTGTACTCCTATGAATTTGTCTAATCCCCTTTTAAAACCATCCAAGTTGGTCGCCATTATTACCTCTTGTGGGACCGAGTTCCATAATTTGTCTATGCAGTGCCTGAAGAAGTGCTTTATTTCAGCTGTCCTGAACCTTCCAACATGCAGCTTCATCTTGAATATACTGTTCTGTGTGTTTTCTGTGGGGTTGAGTGGGGAGTGAAGCATCTAGCAAAGGGCAAAGAGCAGGCTTTTCCGTTCCCTGTAGCTACAGTGGAGGAATTAGAGCACTGTAGCAGAACACATGTTCTGCGCGCAAAAGTTCCCTGGTTCGATCCCCAGCATTTCCAGGCAGGCTTGATAAAAGACCGTTGTCTGAAAACTTAAGAGAGTTGGTAGCAACTGGTGTAGACCACAGATAGACAGCCTGTGGCCTGCTATGTTTCTCCCAATGAACACATCTTTGCAAGCAATGTTGTTTAATATTTATTATTAATTTATTTATTAATCAAATTTATATACCACCCTTCACCCATAGATCTCAGGGTGGTTTGCAACCTAAAAATACAACATAAAGGACACAAAATACATAATAAAAATAAGAACAAAAACAAACCAGTAATCTCCCACAACATATTTAAAAGGATGTTAATTGGTCAAAGGCTTGATTGTCAAGGATCATTTTCACCTGACGCCTAAAGGTATATAGTGAAAGCGCCCTGTGGGGAGAGTATTCACAAAAGGGGAGCCACTGCAGAAAAGGCCTGTTCTCATGTTGCCACCCTCCACACTTCACATGGAGGAGGCACACGGAGAAGGACCTCAGAGAATCATCTCAGGGTCGAGGTAGGTTCATGTGGAGACAAGTGGTTCTTGAGGTATTGCGGTCCTGAGCTGTTTACATTTACATTTTCAGGCAGATTTTTCAATAATATGCACATTTTTATTGTTGGAGAACCGCGTTGCGAAATTTGGAGAAGTGTGGCTAGCTACATTCTGGTTTGCTGATCATTTTGGGGAAGTCAAGATGAGGCAGCTTCTCGGTAAAATGTCAACTGAACATACTCTCGCCCCCATCATTCTATGAAACAAGGAAATTAGGAAGTGGAGGCATGGGGATGGGCAAAAAAAAGTAGTTGGTGGAGTTTTTAAATGGTTAACCAAAAATCATTTAATCAAGAAGTAAGGGGAAGCCTTAAACCACTCCTTTAAAGACAAGAGATAAAAACAGTCTTTGCACTGAGGGGGGGAGATGGTTGGCAGAAGAGACAAGGAAGTGGAGGCACTAAGAACTGACTTGTTAAAAGTGTACAACGTGATTTACAGATTCTTTTCTTATTATCACCACCCTGCTAGGTAGATCATTACTGTAATCATTTTCTGAACTGGGAGGCCCTCTTTGAGGTTGATTCTTCTCCTTTCACCTGCATTCATTCTAGATCATGGTCATAGCCAGGATTTTTGTTGGAGGGGCGAGCCTTTTGTTGGGGCGATAGGACCTCAGTTAATTACCGTATTTTTTGCTCTATAAGACTCACTTTTTCCCTGCTAAAAAGTAAGGGGAAATGTGTGTGTGTCTTATGGAGCAAATGCAGGCTGTGCAGCTATCCCAGAAGCCAGAACAGCAAGAGGGATCGCTGCTTTCGCTGCGCAGCGATCCCTCTTGTTGTTCTGGCTTCTGAGATTCAGAATATTTTTTTTCTTGTTTTCCTCCTCCAAAAACTAGATGCGTCTTATGGTCTGGTGCGTCTTATAGAGCAAAAAATACGGTATATATTTTTATAGATTTGGGGGGAGGGCAGCTGCCCCCAGCCCCCCTGGCTATGCCCATGTTCTAGAGTTTTATAAAGCCAATGTTGCCAGATTTGAGTGAACAGACTGTGTAGGATTTGTGCATGGGTTTTGTGTCTTAACAGAGAAGGTGGGGACATTTGGTTCAACTGCTGTGCCAGTGGGAGGCTGGAGGATGAGATTAATCAGACATCAAGAGGAGGTGGGTGGCAGAGGCAAAAATCCATAATCTGAGTATTCTCCTTTTGGGAGAACAATCCGTTTTGGCTGACTTGCCTGTTTCCCAAAGGAGTCCTCTGTTTCAGCTCCCCACCCTCTTGGTGGAAACAAGTTGCATCATAGGGAATTGGTCTGTGACGTGATGCATCTGTGGGCAGACACAAGACTATTTAGGGATGCAATGTGTTAGAACAGGAAGCACAGAAGCCGCTGAGGATGGGACGTGATCGGGCTTAAGTTCTGTCGTGAAAGCAGGCAAAAAGAAGCTACCCCACCCCATTTTCTTTCTTTTTTTTAAAAAAAAGAGAAAGACCAAAATCAAGGTAGGTCAGTCTGACTTTTTGGTTGTAAGGAAATGAGAGTAAATAAATGTTGCTTGGCTGCTTGACATCAGAGATCCATGTTGAAAGGGGAGAGACCTTTTTTGTTTGGGTTGACAATCCACTTGCTTTGAGCTGGTCCACTGACTTACTGGGAACACTTGAGAGTAAATAGATTATATATAAGTTATCAACAGGAAATTCCCATCTGGAAGAATGGAGAGGCAGCAAAAGTTCAGCTCTTCAGTCTTTTCAGATCTGAGACTCTCCTATTAATCCTTACATGGGATACTCTTATAACTTCTGGTTTTATGTATCTGCCAAACTTGGCAACACTGGTCTTCAAGTGACTGAGAGCATTGGATTAGTCCCTTGAAGTAGGTACCTGGTAGCAATTTTCGAGCTTTTCAAATGCGAAAAATACAGTCTGTTGGCTTGCTGCGGGGATGGGGGTGGATGAGGCATGGTTGGGCTTGCTTTCACAGGTTTGTTTTTTTCCATGCAAAGGGATTCAGTACAAACAGCTCCTCGCTGATTGATTTATGTTTCAAGGCATCTGTTCTATTGTTGAGAGAAAGTTAAATTTATCCAACCCAAGCTTTGAAGTCAGTGCTTACATTATAAACTTCACAATCCAGTTCAGTTCTTTTAATGCATTCGTTTCTTTTGTTTTGCATGGCTGAGACCTGTTTCCCTGTTTTTGCAATGGCCAAGGTTCGCTAGCAAATCATGCCATAGACTGACCTGCCAATCTTGGTTGGGTAATTGCAGTGTTTTTCTCTTCAGTGATGGGGAACCTGTAGCCCTCCAGATGTTGAACCACAACTCCCATAATTCCTGGCCATTGATCATGCTGGCTGAGACTGATCGGAGTTTTGGTTCAAGACCATCCCAAAGCCACAGGCTCCCTATGCTGGCTCTGGCTAATATCCATGCTAGAAAACAGTGGCTAATAGTAGTCACCTGTGTGCCAAAGCAATGAAACTTTGCCATACTGGAGGAACATGCTGTTTAAAAGACACAGATTAATTTAGCACAACTTGGCAAGATTTAATTTTTTCCATTGACAAAATGGTGGTGCACATATACAGGCGAGCCTGGATAGCTCAGTTGGTTAGACCATGGTGCTGATAACGCCAAGGTTGCAGGTTCGATCCCTGTATGGACTAGCTGCATATTCCTGCATTGCAGGGGGTTGGACTAGATGATCCTCAGGGTCCCTTCCAACTCTACAGTGCTATGATTCTGCTAGGTGCCAGACCAATATGCCTGTTTCTGGAACTGTCAGGAACCAGTGGATGAACCAACCATTCTCAGACCAACCATATGCTAACCTGTAACAAAGCAAAACATTTCCATGGTTTATTACCTAATCCAACTTGCCTCTTTGCACTCTCCAACATATACCCTCCTGCTTGCTAGATTTTTTGCTATTATGTGCAGACAGCTGTAGCGATCCTATGTTATTTAAGTTCTCTGTTGTTTTGCCATGTGTTCACTTTTTTGAGATATATATTAAAATAGCACATATCCCTTCGCAAAATAAAAGTATTGAATTAGGATGGATGGAGAAAAGAGACCTGAAATCACACTTAAAACAATGGAAAGGAGGGCATTTTATTATTTGTGTTTTATAAGCTGTAGCTTTACACAAGTGTTTCAGAGTTACTTACAAGTAATAGTAAAATAAGCAACATATAAAAAACAAAATCATTAAAATGAAGCACAACATGAGGTAATCATATCATAAAAAACAAATTATCCCACTAACATAGGTCAAACCACCACACACAGCCCCCCACAGTGTGGAGGGGATGCCCCAACTACTGCAAGGAAAAACAATAACCCACCAATACCTGAGAAAAAGAGGAATGGCTTTGCCTGGCACTGACAATATGTCAGTTTTGGGAGCCAAGTCTTCCTTCCTGGTGAGGGCATTCCATATATGCGGGGGCAGGCACTGTTGGGATGGCATGTTCCCTAGTCGTCACCCGCCAGACAGTTTTAAAAATGGAAGAAGGGCCACCTTTTAATCACAAGTGATTGCCTTTGAAGAGGGATGAGGAACATATAGCCCTTCAGATGTTGCATGGAAACCCAGCCAGGTGGGCGGGATATAAATAATATAATAATTATTATTCTCTCCTCCTTGACAATTGCATACCCCCAAACATTTCGGGAGGGCAATTTGGAACACACACACACACACAGCACCCCAATACTGCTGCCACTCGCTCACTGCCCACCTGCTAGCCACCGCCTTGCCTTCACTTGTGCGGAACCAAAAGAGCGCGGAACCAAAAGACATGTGTCTTTTGCTTCCACACTCCTTTGGTCCCCATTGGCTGAAATCCCGGAAGTGCAGCACCGGCTTCCATAAGTACACCGGCTGTTCTATTTTTTGGTCCTGCACTCTGGTGTGAGCCAACTGTCTTGCGACCAAGAACATATGTATTTGGGTCCCACGCTGTGGCACATTCAGAGCATGGGAGCCAAAACCCAGGATTTGGATGAGGGTGGCTCAAAACGGGACATTTGCGCTGTATGCAATTGACCATGCTGGCTAGAGATGTGGAACTGACCATGCTGGCTTGGTTCATTGTTCCTCTGTCAGTGAATTAATTATTAAAAAATATATATATATCGATGGTTTAGATGATCAGGGAAAGAAATAAGGTGAGTGGAACATAAATATTGCCTGTATTACTAATGACCACCTGTGATGATTTATATTGCACTTTTGAAGCTTTATTTTATGGAAGCTCAAAGGATTACAAAATCTTGTGTTTCTTCCATGCTGTGATTGGCTGGCTCAAGTATCTGGCGACAAAAAAGGAGTCCAGTTTAGTTGCTGTTTGGCAATCTGAAGCGCCTCCAGCCAAGGCCTGACCTTCCTATTCTCCCTCCCCTTTCTCAGCTTTCTAACCCTCCCTTTATCAAAGCTCTTTGTGTGTCTTTCTGTGTGAGTGTGAGTGTGTCTGTCTCAGAGGCTGGGAAAAAAAGTCTGTCGAGTCAGCAGCTTTGGAGAGCTTTATATTTGAGCTGAGTTAGACTTGCTTAGTTAGGGTGTGTGCATGGTGGCGGGGGGGGGGGGGAGAAGGAAGAGTGGCAAAGGTTAGTTCACCAGTGTCTTGTGTGTGCCTCTGGATATAGGCTTCTGGCTCTTTCCATTTAAAAAAAAAAGTGTCATTCCAGGGAGTCAGCATTTTTGGAGACTGTGAAATAAGGAAGCTTTTCTTTAACCCTTTATTTAGCCAGCTGCGCAAGTGTAAATACTGGTTTGTGGGCTTCTTTTTTCTACTTGTTTGTATGTGTTTCTCGCTCGCTTGCTCGCTCGTTTTTTCAATGTTTAATGAAAGTCTAAAAAGGGGGTGTGGAATAAATAGCTCGCTCACCCTCCAACCCACAGGCGACTTGTGTTCTCACGCTTGCAGAGAGCAGCGCTAGAACGGCCGTGACTTGATGGAGGAAACATCTAGGGCAGTTTTGCTCACTGTTTGCTAACAAAATCACGTTTTGCCCGTGATGATCATGCACTAAAAACAGCAGAAACCCATCCCTACATTCTGGGGAGTAGGGATGTAAGAAGGCAATCTACTTCTGTTCCACCTTGGATGCATTGCATGCTGCGCTGTTTCTGTTCTGCTGCAAATTGGCTTCCAACAAGAATGCATTATTCATCTTCTTTTCCGCTATGATGAATTAATTACATAATCAGTTACATTAATCCGCACACAATGCAAATCGCTGGGGGTGGCGACGACAATTTATCAAACACGTTTCATTGGTGGACTGAAGAATGACAACACTGACCACAGATAATATTCGTTGGATTGTTTAGCTTTCCAGACATGGGGTGAATAAGGGAACACCAGCAATTTCTGCTCCCGTTTCCATTTTTGTTGAAGTTCTCTGGTATCCCTACTGATGTGCAGACCTACATTTTCAAAGAGTAGCGTTCTGTTGCGTTTGAATATCTTATTTTTTTTATGTGCACTTTTAAAATAGAAAGGGATATGAAAAGGCCCAAATGGAAACACTGAAGGTTTTGACCAAAATAGTATTTTAATTAGGGCTCATCCAGACTTATGTTTGTCCTGAGCAAGATAGTTGCAGTTGGGAAAATTCACTTTTTGAGAAGAGTGTGTGTGTATTCCTACAGTCCTAAGGATTCTAGTGCTGCAAGTTTGGTGGCAGAGAATCTGCCTTGCATGCAGAATGTCCCAAATTCAATCCCCGCTGAAAGAGACTGGTGCCTGAAATCCTGGGGAGCTGCTGCCCGTCAGTGTAGACAGCACTGAGGTAGACAGACCCAGTGGTCTGGCTTGGCATAAGGTAACTTCTTGTGTTGCTAAATCTGAGTTGCTTTTTTATTACTGAAACTCGTGTTGAGATTCCTGCATTGCAGGGCGTTGGACTAGATGACCCTTGGTCCCTTCCAACTCTACAGTTCTATGACTAGAACTCTACAAATGCAATACAGTACTTATGTAAAGAAAATAGAATACTAGCACAAGAACAAACAACAAGGTAAAATACCAAACGTAAAGGACATAAAGTGGGGATATCTTAGCAACCTTCACTAGGGATCTTGCTACCTTTGAGTTTGTGACCCACACCATAATATAGTGGAGGTTGTTTCTCCTTTTAAATTCATACCATCAGCTCTTCAGATGGCTCCTTTATGCCATTCTTTGATCAGTTTTATCCATTTGCAAATCTGGCCTGCAGTGATGTTTGAAAGTACTTAACCCTCCAAAATGCAGGCTAATTCCTTATTACTTTCCTTCCTTGTGACAACACTGAATTTTATTTTTTTTAAATTTCTTCAGTAAATAAGTAAAAGCATCATTTAAAAAATACAATGAACTTCTGTGAGGTGATAGGAAAGAATGGACACCTGAAGATAGTGTTAAATCACTACATTATGCTTAAAGGGGCATCTTTTGCAGGCTTCCCCAACCTGGTGCCCACTAGATGTTGTTTTCCTACAACTTCTATTATCCCTAATCACAGGCCGTTCTGACTGGGGCTGATGGGAGATGGGGACCCACGACATCTGCAGGTCACCAGGAGAAGGCTGTTTTAAATCTCATGACTGGCTTTTGAAGACATGTTGGCCAATGTGTTGCTGCTTGTCCTTTCCCCCCTCCCTTTCTCTCTGCCTCCACACTCCCACCTTTGGTAACTTACGGGTTTTTTATTTTAAAAAAAACACCTGAGTTTCTGCTGCCTCTAATTGTATCTCTTAATTTTGTGGTGAACAGCTTGTTTGGTGCTGACAGCCACATCAAACGTAGATGATAAGCCCTCAGGGTTACTAACTTTGCATGTTATTGTTGGATGTAATTAACTTTTTTGAAAGCTCCAGCACAGTCAAGAAATGGGAAGATGTGGTTGCTGGTTGCCTATAGAGCAGTGTTCATCCTGAAATTGCCATTTTAATAGGAGAGCCCTGGTGTGGTGCAGCGGCTAAGAGCCAGCCGAGGTTTCTAGTTCAACTCCTGACTCCGTCAAGAGCTCACTTAAGTAGCCTTTACTGGATTCCCTGCTCCATGTTCCTTCTGCATAATGGGGTGGATACAGGGCCTGTGCTGCAGGGTTGTTTGAAAGACCACTGAGATAATCAAGCTGAAGCGTTTTGACCTCTGGGTGTGGTGCTGAAAAGTCCTAAATAATAATAATAATAATAATAATAATAATAATAATAATTTATTATTTGTACCCCGCCCATCTGGCTGGGTTTCCCCAGCCACTCTGGGCGGCTTCCACAGAAACAAAAAATACACTAAAATATCACACATTAAAAACTTCCCTAAACAGGGCTGCCTTAAGATGTCTTCTGAATTTCAGGTAGTTGTTTATTGCTTTGACATCTGATGGGAGGGCGTTCCACAGGGTGCCACTACCAAGAAGGCCCTCTGCCTGGTTCCCTGTAGCTTTGCTCCTCGCAGTGAGGGAACCGCCAGAAGGCCCTCGGCGCTGGACCTCAGCGTCCGGGCAGAACGATGGGGGTGGAGACGCTCCTTCAGGTATACTGGGCCGAAGCCGTTTAGGGATTTAAAAGTCAACACCAGCACTTTGAATTGTGCTCGGAAACATACTGGGAGCCAATGTAGGTCTTTCAAGACCGGTGTTATGTGGTCTCAGCGGCCGCCCCCAGTCACCAGTCTAGCTGCCGCATTCTGGATTAGTTGTAGTTTCCGGGTCACCTTCAAAGGTAGCCCCACGTAGAGTGCATTGCAGTAGTCCAAGCGGGAGATAACTAGATAACTGTATAACTTCTGGGGGCCCATATGCACTGTGCATTTAAAGCAGTATCAAACCCCCTATACCCCTCACAGCGGTATGGTTTCCAGTGTGGGAATACGAGTTTCCTAGAATCCACACACTGTTGGAGGACACTCCTTGTTCTTCTCCAGATTCCAATGCTGTAGTCGCCAGGTTAGAAAGATGCACTCACCGGCGGCGAGCTGGCAGTTGCGTCTGTCGACCTTAGCCTTGGTCAGTGCATAGAGATAACTCCACTGGTAGCCAATCTCTCTTGCAAAATGTAGGGCACAATGCTACTTTCCTCTGTGTTGTAGCGCATAAGCACTGCTTGCTCAGCTTTCCCTCTTCCGTACTGAGCCCAGCGGGGAGTGTAGGCCTGGCTCTCTGATATACACAGACCTCCCGGTCCTGTCTAGGAGTGCCAGAAAACTCTCCGCTCAGGTGGGGGGAGGGGGAGAGAGTGCTCGGAGGCCCTGCAGCACTAAGCTGTCTTCAGTTGACGCCTTCAACAAAACCCCTCTTAGCCAGTGGCCTAAAGCACAGCAGAGAAGTGGCAGGTGGTGATCTGGGTTTGTCTGCCTTCTGTTTGTCTAGTCTTGGAATTCAGCAGGTGGCTCTTAGGATCAGCTGTCTAGATAAAAGTCTTCCAGCCTGCAGCTCTTCTTGCCCTGGCACCGCTGGTCTGTGGAGTGTGAGAGAGAAACTAGATTACCAAACGCCTCCTGTCCTGGGGAGATTGTCTTGCTGATGCAAGGCCCTCTGTTGCAGGGAGATGGGTGATCTCCCTGTAACGCTTTGGACCGTTTTCATCAGGTAGCAGAATTCCTGAGTCAAAAACAAAGGGTGACCAGCTCCTCCTCCTTTAAGAGATATTGTCGCTTTCTTTTCTGAATGTGGGGGAGGTTGATGGAAATCCCCAAACTTCACACTGAGCTAACCAGTTCTGGGCAGGTCTTTTATCTGATGCAATTCCTCCGGGGCTATTGCTCCAAGCGGCTTTTGCAAGGAGGAGAGGTTGAGAAAACGACATCTCATCCGCAGAGCCTAACTTGAAGTTTCCAGCAGCCTTTGCTCTCTAGGGTCTGGTGCACTCCCCCCACTCCTTTGTGCTTTCTTTCACTCTTGCCTTATTCTCCCCACCCCACCCTTCCTCCACCCCCAAACTGTGACGGACAGCCTCTGGCAATGGCTGTCCTCCCAGGGAAGAGGTAACTGGGTGGGGCAGAATCCCCTTTGATGTGAGTGTTGGTTCTTTTAAAAACAGCTGTTCCTTTCATTTTCCAGGACAGAGGAGTCAAAATCCCCCGGCAGTTGGGAAGAGGCCCCAGTTCCTTCATCCCGGTGGAAGAGGTAAGATGCACAGCTTGGAACTTCTTTTTCTCTCTCTGCCAAGCCTTACTAGAGAGCACCTTGCAGTGATGGTGCTAGTTATTTTTGCATTTATGGGGATGGATCTGGGGGGCGGGGAGGAGTCTGGGTGCTGGGAAGGTTAGCTCTAGCTGCAGACACATTGTGCATTTAAAACACATTCGTCCTCCCTACCTTGGGGCAGGAATCCTGGGAACTATAGTTTGTTCCTCGCAATGCTACAGTTCCCAGCACCCTTAGCAAACAGGCTATGTACTTGAGATCTCTCATATGCACAAGAAAATAGCTGGCAAGCATTCAGCATCTAGTAGTCCTCAGGTGCTATAATATTAAAGAACTGAGTATCGATAAATAATAAATATTAGCAAAGGTGCAGTGTGCTTGCTGGCTATAAGCAGGAGTACTGTTATTCAGGGTTCCTGCTGTTCAGGGTTCCCACACTCAATATTCCATGGCTGAACATTCTCTATCTTCCTTGTGCCATATGTAGGACTTCCCTTTGCTCTTTAGTTGTCGTCATTTTTTTTTTTTTAATTGTGTAAACCTCAGGGTGATCCTGAGCATGGGAATAGCTCTCTTGTTAGTCAGTGCCCCTGTTATTTGGTTTCGTTTTTGAGGAAGCAATACTTTGGGATGAGAGAATGTTTCAGCTAGGGGAACTGGAGCTGGGTTTGGGGGTGGGGTTTGTTGGGTTCCATGTTAGGAAGGAACATGTGTATTCAGTGCTATTTCTCTAGAAAAAGAGGTGCCAGAACTCACCATGAACGCCTCTTATAATGGCAATGGCACCCACCTGAGAGGTGCCAGAACTGACGTCTGGAGAGTTCTGGCTGAAAAAAATCCCTAGGTGTATTTCTGTGCACACAGTGAAGGAACAGATGTGTAAATTTCATGAACAGATCTAGAGAGACCTGGCTGGGCCCCAACACTGTCTTTTAAAAAACCTCGGGGTGGGTGGGACGAATTTCCTTTTGGGAGGGAAGACTGTCTTGTGATCTCTAGCTACCACTGTTCTGAGCACTACACACCACTGTCTCCAGCTTCTGTTTTATCTATTTACTGAGATAATTATAGACCATACTTCCATGACAATTAATCAAGGCAGCGTTAAGGTTAGTGTCGGACTAGGTCCTGGGAGATCAGGGCTCAAGTTCCCACTCAGCCATGATGCTCACTGGGTGACCTCAGTCACTTGTCTCTGAGCCTGACTGCCCTCTGCTGAAGTCTAGGGATCATGTTCCTTAAAGGAGGCTAGAAAAAGCCAGTCAAACTGCTTCATAAATTCCGATTCCCAGAGGGAAACTGCAGTAGCTAAAAACAGGTTTGTTGTTCCCTGGTGCTGATAACATAAATAGTTTGTTGTTCTGCTGATAAGAAGCAAATACCAGAACATCAATTATTTTATTAGTAGGACCTGCAAGAAAATGTTGCAGTGCGGAGTGCTCTTCTTCAGAAGGCCTACCAGCCAGCCATGCCCTTTTTGAGAAAACTCCATTCTTCCCTGCCCCTAGGAGGCCAGCCACCCATGCACTTTTTGAGAACACTGTGTTCCGGTTGCCCCCCACCAACCTTGTTCCTGTGGCTGTTAAGCATGCTTGGCTGTCAGTGAGCTTTTTTGGATGGTAAAGGGATCCACTTAAGTTTTTATTCTTACAAATTAAAAAAATTGTATTCCTGCAAATCTTGGCGCTCCCCTGGGTCTGCTAACGTCTCTCCCCTCCTCACGCATGGATGGTACTATTTTGCCTAGATAAGGATTTGCATTAAGAACAAGTTTGCTATTTGTATATATAGGATATATTTTTGTGTGTGTTTCAAAATACAGTGGTACCTTGGAAGTCGAATGGAATCAGTTCCAGAAGTCCATTCAACTTCCAAAGCGTTCAGAAACCAAGACGTGACTTCCGATTGGCTGCAGTAAGCTTCTCCAGCCAATCAGAAGCCGTGGAGGACGTTCGGGTTCCAAATAATGTTTTACAAACTGGAACACTCACTTCTGGTTTGCGGCGCTTGGGAGCCAAAGTGTTCGACTCGCAAGGCTTTCGGGATCCAAGGTACGGCTGTATTGCTTCTGGGGTGCTGCCTATTTAACTGGGATGAAGGAAGGGAGGCTGCAAATGAAAATCAACCCCTCTCACCACCAGCACTGAAATAAAAATATCCTGTATTTCCCCCATGTTTTCCTCGCACCTTGAAGAAGGGTTGCCCCCTTCTATGGTGGTTTTCTTGCCTAAAGCAACAGAGATCATAGAATCATAGAATCATAGAATCATAGAATCATAGAGTTGGAAGAGACCACAAGGGCCATCGAGTCCAACCCCCTGCCAAGCAGGAAGATGGATTATTGTTTACTTGTTTCTTTCCCTGACCTCTGGCAATCTTGCAAAACTGCTGGCCATGGGTTCAGAGGCATCTGAGGTGTTAATCCCTCCCCATCACCACCCCCACCCCTTCCTGGTTTTTGGGGGGCAGCCAGCCCTGCTGGCTTTCCAGCAGGGCAACACATAACACGAAGTGCTATTTGCTTATTGCCACAGCAAAGTCCTTGGCTTCCCCCGCCCTTGTGCTTTTTTTTTCTTCCTGTGATGGGAGTGACACATGTGTGAGCGTTGCCCTGTGATGTCGTCATCTCCTTATTTATCGAGTGACCTTCCCTCCCTGTGTATGCACAAACAACTTATCAAAAGACTGAGTGCCAGCTACCTCTCCCTGGCCACTGTTGCACCCATCAGATGCTGTCCTCACCCCTCCTTTCAAGCCCTGGGGTGGGGTGGGGTGGACCCTTCGGGCAACATAAATCTGTTCAAATCCTTTGTGACTCTGCTCCTGTTACAGACTTCAGCTGCAGGCACACACCACATTCAAAGCACTCCCCTGAGTCCTGGGAATTGTAGTTTACCCCAGCAGAGCTGCAACTCCCACTCCCCCTGACAAACTATAGTTCCCAGGATTGTTGGAGGGGGTGCTTTAAATATATGGTGTGTATGCAGCCTTTGGGTGTGTGTGTGTGGGGGGTTCCTTCTGGGCTGACAGCTGCCCCTTTCTCCTTTTCTCTCTGGCCTAGTGCCAACTCCTCTCCCCTCCTTCACAAGGGGGTGCCACTCGGAGCCATTGAGCCATTGGCTGGTCTGGCTGGGGAAATGATATGGGTTCTGTTCCTGGACAGCTCTGTGGTGCTGGCCACAAGGACAGTATCTGCTTCCAGAGACGTCACCAGGCAGGATTTTGATTCCAGCAACCGAGAGAGCCGTGTTTTTTGAAATTTCCCTGCCAAGCAGGAGGGGCAAGGAGGTGTGTGATGGGCTGGGCTGTTGGTGGTGGCTGTTTTTTTGGCCTGGAATTTGAACAAACAACCCGATTGCATCAGATGGCTGAGCCCTTCAGCTGCCATGGGAAACAGCTAAATTTCTCTCGCTCTCTCTCTCTCTCTCTCTCTCTCTCTCTCTCTCTCTCTCTGTTGTTTGCTCAGTAAACTTTGAAAAGTGCAATGTCGAGTTGGATAAAAAGTCTGCCAGGCTTTGCTCTCTCTGTAAAGGAGAGGATTCCTTCAGGTGAAGCTGTGACAATTGAATGGATTTATTGCAGGCTTCCTGTGACTTTAGTAGGGGCAGATCTGCCTCATACGTTTGAAGCACATCCAGCGCATGTTTAAAGCACATTGGTTTATTTCTTTAATAGTTTTATATCATATCTTTCCCCCAAGTTGGAATTCAGGGCGGCTTACAACATTAAAAAAGCATAAAATACAGAGCAATAAACAAGTGACTTCCCCTAAGTAATTCTGGGATCTGTAATTTGTTAAGGATGCTGTGGAAGTGGTGCTGCCGTTCCCAGAGTTCTAGTCAGGGGCAGGGAGTCATGTCCTTTAAAGGTATGGTTTGGGTCTGCCCATAGAGATGGTAATCTACTTGGACAGGGTTGTTTTGGTAACATTGTGTATTTGACATTGTGTATTTGAAGTCCTTTTAGCAGCTCCAAAAACTATATAGGCACTCAGGGTTAACTCCAGACTTTAAGTATTTTGCAGGAGGGTTTCAAGTGCATACTGGGAAATCTAGGTTTGCACGGTTAAAGTGAATTAAAGCACTTTGTCACCCTAGCACAACAAATTCACTTTTCATAAAGAATTGTACTTTTTGTGATTAGGGAAGTAATGGGGAAACGCACTGTGAAAACTAGTGGAGCTCTTCACCATATAACCTGCCTGCAAATAAATGTGAACAAATGCCCCGTTACAGACTGGATGCAATCTAACTTCTGCGTATGCTTTTTGCAAGCTAATAGGCACGAATGCTCAATAAAAGAGGCTCCCCTGGACAACCCATTACATTCCTGCCTTTTTTTTTTTAACCTGTTGTAGATCCTACAAGAAGGAGTAGAGAGTGCCCAGCGGCGCCTCTTTATTGAGGCCTTTGTTTCCACAGGCAGGGTGGATAACATTACCATGGTGATGGGGCTGCATCCTGAGTACCTGACAAGCTTCTGGAAAACTCAGTACCTCCTGCTGCGGATGGATGGGCCTTTGCCATATCACAAGCGCCATTACATTGCCATCATGGTGAGTGACTGAGGAGAAATGGGAACCTGGGTCAGTAGGTGTAGATTTTAAAGAACACCTCATTTTAAAATGTTTCTTCTCATTATTATTATTATTATTATTATTATTATTATTATTATTTAATTCCCTAGCTATCCCTGCACCTGTTTAGATTCTGTGTTTTGAATTACGACAGAATTACCTCAGAGTTGTTTCTAATCCTTCCAGTGGTCATAGCATTGCCCCAGGCAGCCACTCCCCAACAACACCCACAAAATGGCAGGTTTTTGTTTGTTTGTTTTTTAAATGGAGTGGCTGTTTCTATGACTGTTTCACTTCGTATTTTTATTTATTTGGACAACCTACATGCTGCTTATATTTAAACAAAACTCTGAGCAGTTTACGGCATAGATTAAAATGTCTTAAATATACAGCAAATACAAAAAGTGCCCAGATCATTTCTACATTCCCTAAAACACGGCTAAGCATTGAAATAAATCCTGTTTAGTATCAAAATAATAAGTCCTCTGAATCCTCTTTAGTATCAAAATAAACATTACACCATAGAATCAGCTACAAAAATGTGTGGAAGGTAGAAAACAGCTATACAAAATAACCTCTGAACATCAGAAAGTAAGGTATTATAAATGAGAATCAAATAAAAGTTATAAATGTAACATTTTTTAAAGTAATGTGATTGGCAGTTAGGCAAAAGAAAATCAATTTGCCACCATATGTGAATCATTCATGACCATTAAACAAATCATCCTGATTAAATTCCCATCTTATTTCCCTTTGGCTGCTGGTCACTTTTGTGTGTTTGTGTTGCCTAACTGCACACTCCTTACTGACTTCCCTCGCAAGACCTAGAATTTTAGAGGCCCCTTCTGCACTGCACATTTAAAGCAGTATCATCTCTCTCTAAACAGTCATTGTCCCTGTCCGCCTGCCCAAGAATCCTGGGAACTGTAGTTAGCAAAGGGTGCTGAGAGTTCTTAGGCCACATCTGTTCCCCACCTAGACCTACAATTCCCAGAATTCTCTGGGAAGAAAAATGATTGTTAAGCCACTTGGGGAATAATATTACTGTGAGAGGGACAGAGCTTGCCTAACAGCACTCTAGTTCTCGAGATTCTTTGGGGGAAGCCGTAACAAAGTGGTAATAATTGTCCTTCAGTTGGTGCGGATGTGGCCCTATAGCCGTAGCTATAGCGTGCAGCTTTCAATGTTGGTCTTACTCAGAGAAGATCCATTGAAATTGAGGTACATGACTAACTTGGGTCCACCTCAGTAGCACCTCTGCTCAGTGGCAGAACATGTACTTGTCATGCAGAAGGCCAGGTCCCCAGTTTACTTCCTGGCACCTCCACATTTGGCCAGGAAAGACGCCTGTCTGAACCTGTGTGGAGCCACTGTCCATGGGTGTAGACCAGCTTCCCCCAGGCTATTGTCCTCCAGATGCTGCTGGACTACAACTCCCATCATCCCTGACCATTGGCCACTCTGGCTGGAGCTGGCTAGGAACCCAGCAATCTAGAAGGCACCAAGCTGGAGAAAGCATAGTGGGCCGATGGTCTTGGCAGTAGAAAACTGCTTCCTGTGTATCCCTTGTTTTTAGAAATTATTAATAATAATAATAATAATAATAATAATAATAAATTTTATTTATACCCCACCCTCCCTAGCCAAGACCGGGCTCAGGGTGGCTAATTAAGCACTGCCCAATGGGTAGCTTTCCCCCAAATCTGGGTCCCGTGTTGTTAATGTGGCCATGTACTCTGATTCCTGGCAGAGACTGTTCTCCTGCATTTCTTTATGAGTTACCCCTCTTATTAATTTACCCCATTTTTTCTCAGGCTGCTGCAAGACATCAGTGTTCCTATCTGGTTGGCTTCCACATGGGGGAGTTCCTGCAGGTGGGTGGGGACCCAGAGTGGCTGCGAGGCTTGCAGTATGCCCCACAGAAACTGAGGAACCTCAACGAAATCAACAAGATCCTGGCCCACCGGCCCTGGTTGATTACCAAGGAACACATTGAGGTGAGTAACTAAGGGTGGAAGGAAGGAATTGGGAGTTGCGCAAACATCCACTGAGAACTCCACAGAGGACAGTGTATTGATTCATAAGACCATTGCTCTTTTAAAAAACGAAAACAAAAAACTCACCCATTTTCTTGTTAATGGCAGGCCACAGAAAGTGATTCACTTACAAATATATGAAGTTGACTCATACCCGGTCAGACCATTCTTGTCTTTTGCAGGGATAGAGTACATTTTTGGCCTGTGAGCCAGATCATTATCTGGCACCACCCTATGGACCATCTTTGTTGGGCAAGACAACCTGCCTGTCAATCAGATGACATCAGATGGGGGGCAGGTAGGTTGCCCTGCCCACCTGTTGAAACCCATTGCCCTGCTGTTTAGGAAGCGCAGCACAGCCTTGCCAGCCTTATGTACAGCAGAGTTCTGAGCAAGATATTATTCATTTCCCATTTAAAGATGAGCAGTTCTTCTTTTGATGCATGGAGCTAAATGGGGATCCCTTTGGTGGTGGTGCTTGTTTTAAACAGGCGCTCCTGAAGACGGGCGACAACAGTTGGTCTCTGGCAGAACTCATCCAGGCTCTGGTGCTCCTCACACATTACCACTCGCTTGCATCCTTCGTTTTTGGCTGCGGCATCAATCTGGAGATCGACCAGGAAGGAGGCCACGTCTTTCGGCCGCCCTCGCCACGCAGTTGTGATAGCAGTCCGGCCTCGGAGGATGGAGTAAACAGTTCCAGTGTGAGTGGCAGTAAGGGGAGGGGGTTCCATTTTTCTCAATGCATTAAGGACCCTTAAAGCCCACTAGAAAACAGCACCAAAAACTGGCAGGGTCCATTCTTGGAGAGTGTTGGGAGTGCTGTGATTTCCACATTATATATCTGCTTACCTGAAAGCATTCATTGTCCTGCTTTTCAGCCTCAAAGGCTTCCAGAGTGGCTTATGAAACTTTAGAGGTTTATTTCAGGAAGCTTATACTCTTAAGCAGTGCTTTTTTCTTTAAAAAAAAAAAGTTTAGAGATACTCTCATTTTCCTACTCATATTTAAATACTGCCCCTCAACGAGGACAAACTTAGATTCACAAAATATTTAGGGGTATGTGTACCCCCGCATCCCCCCAGAAAAAAGCACTGCTTTTAAGTAACGACCATTGGCCCATATAGCTCAGTGTTGTCTAAACTGACTGGCAACAGCTCTCCAAGGCTCTTCAAGGTTGCAGGAAGGGGACATTCTCACCCCCAAGTGGGGATTGAACTGGAGGCCCCTCTGCATGTAAAGCAGGTGCTGGACCACTGAGCTACGGCCATTCCCCAATTAAGCACTTCATAAATGTGTGCCCCTCTCCAGCCATCATTCTGAGGACTGACTGGTTTCTGTCCCAATGTTCTCAGGGCTCAGATGCTATGGAGGAGGTGGAAGTGCTGATGGAGAGGATGAAGCTTCTGCAAGAGTGCCAGCTGGAAGAGGAGGCAGTCACCCAGGAGGAGATGGAGACCCGCTTTGAGATGGAAAAGAGAGAGAGTCTGCTCGTTACTCCCTCGGGTAAGACAGGCAAGTTCTCAGATGGGATCCAAGCCATTTCAATGGGGAGTTTCCTAGTGCTACGGCCTGCTAGACTTGGAAAAGATTTGAGGGGGGATCTCCCAGTGACTGTGCTGTTAACAACCAAAAACAGACTGTGCAAAGGGAAGTAGAGACTCTTGCACTGGAACTTAGTGCAACAAGGTAAATCCCCCTCACACAGCCACAGTTCCCAGAGTGGTTTAACAATCAATCCCTCTTCCTAGGGAAATCCGGGAATTGTAGCTCTTCAGGGAATAGGGATCTCCTAACAACTCACAGCACCCCTAAACAAACTACAGTTTGGTATGGTATGATACTGCTTTACATGTATAGTACAGATGTGTTCTGCATTTAGCCACTGAAGCTGGAAAAAGGAGAGCAAGTTCCTTTTGTGGGAGAAGGATTATACACATGCAAGATGGGAACTATAGTGCCATTCTTATCCTGTCTTGGCAAAATGAATAAAGAATAATTCTAGGCTCCAAACTCCCTTTATTTTTCTAGGGTGTATATTAGGACACAGTTGTATTCTAGTTGAACAGCTTAGTTGCACATAGCACCTGCCCTGGTATAAGAGAAAGCACTGTCCAGAGGGAGGTGTTTTTGATGCTCTCACATTAATCTTCCTTGGGGCTTTATTCCCACTAGACATTGCTGAACACTCCTTGCCTCCCAATGTGATGTGCTTTGTGGAGGACCCAGAATTTGGATACAAGGATTTCACCAGGAGAGGAGAACAGACGCCCCCGACTTTCCGAGCTCAGGTACCTTATCCACATGCATTCACGGTCCCTGCTGTATGTGAAGGTTCCTAGTCTCTCCCAACACCCCTCCCTCATTCTCTAAAACGCAATGCCAGTTCTGTCCTTTGATAGCAATCCAGCAGATTGGTAATATGCAATATTTGCCAGTGTGGTGTAGCAGTAAAAGTGTTGGGCTGTGACCTTGGAGACCAGAGTTCAAATCTTATAGATAGATGAACTTAGTACCTGTGCATCCTACAATACTATATTATTCTACTTTAAGTAGATGAGTGCAGGGCAAGATCTGTCAAAATGGCAAACCACTTAAGAGCATCAGTAGGCTTTGTGGCACAGAGGCTGTTTGGTGGTGGCCACCGACTTGAATGGCTTTAAAAGAGCATAAGTCACATTCATGGCGGCCAAGGCTATAAGCAGCTACTAACCACATTGGCTATGCTTTACCTCCGTTGCCAGAGGCATCATGCTTCTGACTACCAATTGCTGGGAATCGCAGGTGGGCGGGGTGCTGTTGCGCTCCTGTCCGGACTGCAGACATCTGCTTGGCCACCGTGAGAACCGGATGTTGGACTGGATGAGCCATGGGCTTGATCCAACAGGCTCACTTTATGTCGTTATGTTTCATTCTCTACACAGGATTACACCTGGGAGGACCATGGCTACTCACTCATCAATCGCCTATATCCTGATGTGGGGCAATTGCTGGATGAGAAATTCCAGGTGGTCTACAACCTGACTTATAATACCATAGCCATGCACAGTGGGGTGGACACATCCATGCTCCGGAGGGCCATCTGGAATTATGTGCACTGTGTCTTCGGCATTCGGTAAGACTTTGGTTTCTCCCTTCCCCTCCTCTCCCCTCCGCACTGCATTGTGTCTCATCAAGGCTAACCTGAGACCTTTCCAGACCTTTACTTTGCTGAATGATTACTTCTAAGAAAGGAAAGCATTGGATTAAGTTGCTTGCAGCACCAAACCATAGCTTGGCACTTTGTGGATGAGCCTTGTACTCATGTGCACCATCTATCCTTCATGGATTTTGCTTAATTAGTTGCTTACCCGTTTGGGAAACTACAAATGTCTGAAAAGTGGGATTAGAAATTGTAAGAAACTTTGCAGATAAACCCTAGTTTGCTGGTTCATGTCAACTATGGTTTGCCTCAGATCAGGAAGTAGGACACATAGGTGAGAGAAGGAAGCACACAAGCCCAAAGCTTAGTCATGTGATGCTAAACCATAGCCTGGTTCACAAGAAATCTACTGAGATCCATCGTCCTCCTCAGACCGGTTGCTTTGTTTAGTATAGGACTGAAGGAGGAGATTGACTGTTTTGTGTGTTTTGGCTGGATTGATTTCTGTGACTAGCCTTGCACGGATCTCGCCAAACAGGTATGACTCAAGGGAGCTGAGTCACCTAATTCATAGAGAGGTCGGATGTTAGGCACGTTTGTGGGATGTGGGAGGACTTGTCCTGTCATATCCTCGGCTGGATCTGCCATGTGAATGGAACAGCTTCCCTAGACCAGGGGTAGCTAACCTTTTCCTACCACTGGTTTCTCTTTCTGCCCACCCTCTTTCCTTTCTTTGCCACCCCCCAATGAAATTAGGCCAGGGGCTCACCCCCTGACTTAAACGAAGAGGGAAGGGACAGTTGTGCTGTTGGTTGGCGTGTGGCTAAAGAAGTGATTTCTCTGGGAAGCGCCATAGCTTAGGGGTACAGGGCATGTGCTTGCATGCAGAATTTCACTGGCTCAGTCCCTGGCGCGTCCAGTTTAAAGTACCTTGATGAGCAGAGCCAGGAAAGGGCTCCTCTGCAGAAGACGCCAGAGAGTTGCTGCCCGTCAAAACGGACTCTACTGTTGGAAGATGGATAAAGAAAGAGGATCTCTACACAGAGTGCATGCTTAGATTATGGAATTCAATCCCCCAGGAAGTAGTGATGGCCACCAACTTGGATGGTTTTCAAAGAGGATTAGATGTACTTGGTGGCTGTGTTCTGCTACCAATGCCAGAGGCCTTAGAACGCCAGTTGGTGGAAATGGGGGGGGGTTGCTTTTGCACTCGGGTCTGGCATGGAGGCTTCCCCTAGGCATCTGCTTGACCTCTTTGAGAACAGGAAGCTGCACTACTTGGGCCACTCGCGTTCTTAATGTTCTGACTTGACAGAAGGCAGCCCCATAACGTTCACATCTTTGCGCTTTCCCCCCCAGGTACGACGACTATGATTACAGGGAGGTGAACCAGCTCTTGGAGCGCAGCTTGAAAATCTACATCAAAACTGTGGCCTGCTATCCAGAGAAAGCCACCAAGCGCATGTACACTCACTTCTGGAGGCATTTCAAACATTCTGAAAAGGTAAAGCCACATGATATTTCCTTGGGGGGTGAGGGAGAGGAGAAGGGAGGTCTGTTTCTCTCTCACTCTTTCTGGGGTCTCAAGAGACTGGTCTGAGTTTCTCATGGCTGAGAGAGTGATAGCAGGGACGGGGGAGCCGAGGACACAACACACACTGTGATGACGTGTGACAGTAATTTCCATCATCACTGGCTGGGCTTATGAGGTTTGGGTCCAACAAGACTGGGAGGGTCCCAATGTAGGATATGGCTGCACACTTGTACACTGTGGGTTGTATCCAGGGCTATTCCTAGTCAGAGCAGACCCATTGACATGAATGGACACAACAAAGTTAGCAGCATTAATTTCAGCAGGTCTACTCGGAGTACAACCCTATCCCACAAACTTTCAAACTAGCTGATTTATTTTCATTTCCTGTTTGAATTTCGCCTCTCCTTCCATGAAATGAATGGGCCTAAGTTAGTAATACATCCATTCAGTGGGCCAGGACTAGTATTGGATATATCCTATACTTTTCTCATAAGAGCTTTTGTCTCCGAAATTGCTTGGATTTTTATATATATATATATATATACACACACACACACACACACACACACACACACACATACGCGCTGCTCTCCTAATCAATGCTGAGCTCTGAGCGAAGGCTCCATTGCGTGTCACCATTTAAATTTCCCACAATGCCCCAGGGAAACACCAGGGGATTATAACTGGGGGAAAGGAGCACCAGTTGCCAAGGAGACAAAATTAAAAAGGAGGGCTCAGGGCACAGGCAGGCATCAGCGGTAGTCCCTGCTGGGCCTTGGCATGTTTGCTTTGTTCTCTGCCCCTTTCCATTCTGACCTATCCCTTCTCACCTTCCAGGTGCATATCAACCTGCTTCTGCTGGAGGCCCGCATGCAGGCTGCCCTGCTGTACGCCTTGCGTGCCATCACCCGCTACATGACCTGACGGGACTCTGCTCCCCCTTGCCGTCCCTAAGGGGGGCAGGCCAGCTGTTTTGGACAGGGGAGCCTTCCCCTCCCCACACAAAGGCGTGTTTCTGGACTACGTTGCGAAAGACACTTTTGTCACCTTGCTCCCCCTGTGACTTTTTGGAGGGCTGTGTGTGGCGTTTCTGACACTGTTCTGAGCATCTCCTGCCAAGCGACCAGCCAAGGAGGGCGGTGCAGGAGACCAAACTGTACACGTGTGGTGAAAACCAACTTTGCCTAACCCCAGCTTTCTCGGCTGAGACTTGGGAGCCATCCCCCTCCTGCTGTGTGGCTTGTTGGCTCTGCCACCAGCTGGGAAGAGGGGTGGTCATGTTTGGATGGCCAGGCTTTTGGCCTCCATCTTGGAAGGCTCGTTTTGCCAATGCCCTTTTGCTGGCCTGTCATGTGTTGAAATTGGTGGTGGCTTCCTGTTGTGGCTACTCTCAGATACCTCCCCCTACACACCCACCCCTACCCAGTAGGTGATTAGTGCAATGAATGTCGGATCTCGTGGCCATGTCCTTTGCAACAACAACGCTGCTGGACCAGCCGAGGCAAAGACCTGATTAACCAAAGAGATCTCTCTGCCGCAATGTCGGCTTTCCTTTCTCTACCTGCTGCAGGACTTTGAATGTAGGACTGTGAATGTTCGAGGAGGTCACGCTTTGGAAGGTGGGGGGAGGCCTGAGAATCATATGAAACAAGCAGTTTCCCCACTGCAATTTTGGTGACTACACTACATTTCTTAGCTTCCTGCTTGAGATCACTGCACTCCATATATGGCGACTGGCTTAAAAGAGGTCACACGGGGCAAAAGTATACCAGGTTGTGGTTAAGTTTGGCCAGATTTTCCTTTTTCTTTTCACCTTGTCAAAGTGGGCAAAATGCAAGGGTCTCTCCTGGCCAGGGATGGAGAGATCTCTCAGCTGAGGAAACCAGTTTTGGAGTACACAGATTCTCAAGGACCAGATCCAGAACAGAAGGCTGCTGCATCTGTGAAAATTGGGGTATAGATAGAGATGTCCAACTGTGTTTGCCTCCCTTAAAAAAGCATCACCTCCCAACGTTGTGTGTGTGTGTGCGCGCGCGCGCGCATGTATTTAGGCTGTCTCACAGATCCCAGAACTTGGGTGTTTAGCGTTTATGGAGCTGTTATTTTCTCTGCATCCTGGCCCTGCCCACAAGTTCCTCTATGTTTTGATTAGGCAACAATGGGCCCACCTAGATGACCCAGAGTTGGGGACTGAACAGACATTTTCAGAAGAGGTTGGCCTGATCTGTTTGTGCGATAGAATAAAGTGGTAACACTTGCCGTGCAATGCTCTGCCCTAGTTTAGATTGCAGGTGAGAGGTGCCATTTTTAAATGGTCTCCTGCAGTAAATAAGTAGATGTCCCTGTAGGTAAAGAGCTAGCATAAAGGAAGCAGGCTCAACTAAACCCCCTCTCTCTGATGTACTAGTCCTTTACTTGCAGGGAATAAAAAGATATACATATATATATAAAACATGAGAGGGCATGGAAAAAATGTGATCCTTCTCTGGCTGGCTGAAGTGGTGTGCTCCATTCTCCCACCTCATTCTCTTGCGTGTATAGAGCAGACCCTCACCTGTTGCCAAAGCAGTCTCCAGAAATGTGAATATGTGGAAGTATTTAAAGAGCACTGACCACTGGAGAGTGGAGAGCATTTAAACATCATGCCTTAATGTTACATTGTGCGCTTTTCATCTCTCTCTCAAGTTAGGAGGGTTCCCCTCTGCCAAGAAAGACCCCATTCAGGCCCTATGCTCAAAACACACACACACACACACACACACACACACACACGTTCTTTGTGAGTCCACTGTGTATCTGCCTTAACTGATTTCCCTGGTCAGAGAGTAGATCACTAAACTGTGAAAAAGCAAACCTTAAAGATAACTTTTCAAACAACACCACACTCTTGTTGGGTTTCTTAAGCTGCTCCCCCCACTGCTAACCCATCTTTGGGTGTGGGTTTTTTTACACTTCAAGAAGGAACTAAGTGTCCATAATTTCAAAAGGTTTTAACACGTAAAGGTGGTGTAGATGCATATCAAGTTCTGGCGCTTTCTCCTTTCATATTCACAATCTTGAATTTTTACCTCTTGGATTGTTGCCATGAAACTGCGTGTACCAAACCCCTGGAGTATGCCCGCAAGATTGTTTTGGTTGTTCTGTATATATGTGCCTCCCCCCCTCCCCCTTTTAAACTTTAGTAATGAAAATCCTGTGTTGGCTTGACTGGTAAGAAGAACAGGACTCTAGGGAGCATTCCTGAAATATATGAAAGACTGGCACGGGCAGAGGTAGCTCAAGCTAGCCTAGTGTTCCCCAACCTGTTGCCTTTCAGATTATTTTGGAGTACAATTCCCATCAGCCTCGGCCAACCAGGCTGTGCAGACTAGGGTTGATGGGAGTTGTGGTGCAGACCATTTGGAGGACACCAGGAAAGATGAGATAGGCAGGGGGTTTTGTGGGGGTGCTGATTGAAAGCTAGTGCTGCCTCTTTGACTTGGCCTCCCAGGCCTGGTTTGCTCAGGTCAGAGAGAGCCTATATTACCTCTGAGTTGGTTATGCTGTAAATATGCCCTAGGATCTCCCTGTGATGAGTCCAGTCTTTGGAAGTATATGCTTATTGTCTCTATAAGCCTTAAGACGGGGGATGGGGAACCTGCACCCCTCTGTATGTTGCTGGACTCCCAACTCCCATCAGCCGCCAGCCAACATGGCCAATGTTCAGGAATGATGAGATTTGTAGTCCGGCAACACTTGGAAGGCCACAGGTTGCCCAGTTCCTGCCCTAGGAAAAGTAAAGATATCACAGAGCTGGCATAGGCAGGGAAGCCAAAACAGTATTTCGGCCTTTCTTGGTCAAAGATAAGGTACACAGGATTCATTTGCTGGGGCCTACCTCATATGACTGGCTTTACAGCTCACGAAATGGTATTTTAAGATAGCCAACATATGGTGCCCTACAGACATTGTAGGACCATTGGCCATGTTGGCTGGGGCTGATGGGTGTTGTGGTCCATAGCTTCTGGAAGGCAGCACATTGGCTGCCCCATGGCTTCCTAGTCCGTCCGTCGGTCCCAATACAGTAGATTTGGTATGGAGCCTTGGGTTTCTCAAATTTCACCTGGTTGTGTAGAGTTCAGAATGATTTTGGTGTTTATATGCTGACTTTCAAAGCAGGGTGATTAACATGTGGTCATCCACACGCTCTTGGACTTTAACTCCTTTCATTCCTGGCCCTTGGCCATGTTGGCTGGGGGCTGATGGGAATTGGTTCCTAGCGACATCTGGAGGGCCACTGGTTAGCCACCCTTTTGTAAATTCTCAAGATACTAGTGATCATGGCTTTCCAGACTGACTCTGTAGATGCCTTGAGAGACTGCAAAGGATATTCTTTCTTCTAACTGAAACACATTGCTCACTGGGTGGAAAAACAAAAAGGCTGGGGTTTATGTTTGGCTGCTTAGTTAACTCTGCTTCAAGACACTGTACGGTCACTGTGTGTTAACATTCATACACTTCCTGCACTGCAAAGCAAGTCTTGTGGTGGTGTTTGTAGGCGGAAGGTGGGGCCTTGACTCTGCAAGGACCTAAACCTCTAGGCCACACTCTGCAAGGACTCTTGGTTAAGTTGTCCCCCTTGTTTTTCACAGGGGGGATCCATTTGAAGTGGCTTCACCAGAGTAGCCTGCTGCTCAGCTTCCCTGGAGAAACAAAGCCCCCATAAAGCGTAATGGCTCGTTCTCTTTGCCCACGGCAGTATTGCACATTAAGGCAGCAAATGCACTGTGAAATTCAAAGGCTAGCTTGGCCCGTGACTAAACTGAGCTGAGCAGGCCTCGACTCTTTATTCAAGCTGGTTTTGATCTTTTCCTCACTTCCCCCTGCCACCCCCCTCTTCTTCCCAAGCCGGCTTTTTGAGCTGATTTAGATACTCGCCACTTTTTCTTAAGGAGCGAAAAACCTGGTCCTGTCCGTATCCAAATGCAGTTCTGTTGATTGACTATCATGTGTCCTGTTTCAGGTGGGTCTTTCTTAGGAAAGCTTTGTCTGTTTCCACCTTGAGAGGTGCAGTGTGGGGCGGGGGAGCAGAGGGTCCCACAGCATCCTGAGAGAGCAGGCTGTGTCTGTGACTTTAGCCTGAATGTGCCACTACCTTTCACATTTCTCCCAGTCTCTGTGCAATGACCATTCTCAAATCTCATGCCATCAGGTATACTTTTTAAAAAAAAACAAAAACCCAATCCATGCACACCATTGCTCTCTCTTCCTGGCCTCCCTCCCTCCCACTCCCCCTTCCCCACCCCTCCAGCAGTACAGACTTGGATGCCTCTGGAACCTGGGTGGGACCTCTGCTCCGTATAAGTTATGTTGTGTGTGTGTGTTTAAAAAAATGTATTTACTCTTGACTGTACCAGTGTTGTGACTTTGCTACCAGTTCTTGTTTGTTTTTTTGAGAAATAAAGTTGCCTTTTGGTTTTTCCAAACATCTGTCCGGTTTGTTTTTAAACCGAGTTCTTGCCTGCATCAGTGAAGCCAGGGGTTGCCAACCGTCTTCGAGCCTGTGGACACATTTGCAAAAGAAAGTGCTTCTCCGTGCACTTTCTATGGAACTATGGAACGCGCTCCCACGGGAGACAGTGATGGCTGCCAAATTGGGTGGCTTTAAAAGAGTGATTAGACAAATTCACAGAGGAGAGGACTATTAGCCTGAACAGCTGTGCTGTGATGCCACAGGTGGAATCAGCAATGCTTCTGAATACCAGGTGGTGAAAACCACAGGAGGGGAGAGGGCTCTTGGGGTTGAATCTTGCTTGCTGGTTCCCCACAAACATCTGTTTGGCCACTCTGAGAATAGGGTGCTTTGCCACTGGCCTGATCCAGCAAGCTTTTTCTTATGTCCTTGAATGGGAGAAAGACTTGTGGATACCACAAGTAAGCACACACAGCCCAGCTTATTGTATTGGGTACAACGGCATGCTGCTTTCAAGACTTGGGGCCCCTTGTGCACTTGCGGAACCAAACCTGGTTTTCAACAGAAGATGAAAAGCTGGATTTAGGAACATAGGAAGCTGCCCTTGTACTGAGTCAGACCCTGACTGGCAGTGGCTTTCCAGGGTTTGAGACAGAGTTTTATCCAGGCCTACCTGGAGATGCCAGGGATCAAACCTGGGACACTCTGCATGCAAAGCAAGTGTGCTTAACCACTGAGCCACATCTCTCACGTTCAGGAGCAGGGAGACTGTCTTCCTTGTTCAGGCTGAGGCTCCTAGAACCCATCATTCTGTGTGTTGACAGTCACATTTAAGAGCAGAAGAAGAGCCTGCTGGAACAGGTCAATGGTCCATCTCTGCCAGCACCCTGTTACTCACAGTGGCCAGACAGATGCCTTTGGGAAGACTGCAATAACATTGTCCCCTCTGCTTTCCAGCAGCTGGTAGCAGCCTTCAGAAGCATTACTGCCTCTACAATTGAAGGCAGAGCATAACCCCCGTGACTAGTAGCTGTCCTCAACAGCCTTATCCGCCATGAATTTGTCCAATCCTCTTTGAAAGCCATTTCTTCCTTGCAGTAGCCTAGCAGCAGTTCAGGATGGACTGAACAGTAGTGCCTTATCTTATCCCCATATCAACCCTGCCAGATAAAAGTTTAGGCGTGCAGCTCTGGCCCAGGTGTGCCTGTGCAGAGCGGCTGCAGCTGCTCCCTCGCCAGCACAAGCCAGTCTGCTTCCTAGTCCTACTCAGCCGCTTGGCCCTCCCTGTTTGGCTTGTTGTTAAGGCAGTCACCAAGACTCTCTTGTGACTGCTGAAACAAGGCACCTTAAAAGTGAATTAGCATTATAGCATCAGCAATCAGTGAATGGGTTTCTCCTCGTCATGTTCAGGTGGTTAGGACGAGCTTTCAGCCAGGGTCACATGCTTTGAATACGCATTAAATATACGGTGGAGAACATAAGAAGAGCCTGCTGGGTCAGCCCAATGGCCCATCTCATCCTGCATCTGATTATCTCAGTGGCCAATCAGAAGCCTCGTTTGGGAAACCCGCAAGCAGAATTTGAACACAAGAGCACTTGCCGGCTCCCACTGCGGTTTTCAGCAACTGATGTTCAGATACCAGTAACCATCAGTAGCCCCCTCCTCTAAATGTGTGTTGAATGTCTCCCTGCCTCCTATCCCTAACTGCAGCCCTGGCTGAGATGCCTACAATGGGCATGTGTTTGTACTTTGGAGGGGCACTGCCATTTGAAAACAGTCATTCCTTTGGGGTCTCCTTTGGCCAGCAACCTGATGCAGGCCATGGATGTTTGCATTTGATGGAGGGCGAAAGGATTAGAAGTAGCTTTGAGGACCAGCATCCAAGGATTTTTTCATCCCAAGGCTCTCAGTTTGCAGGAGTTACTCAACACCAGTTTTGTAAGAGCTTCTGGGATAACAAACTTTTTATCAGCTTTGAGCAGGCATGAAGCAAGGCAGAGAATGTTCTGTGCTGCTACGAGTGCAAAACTCATCTGGTTAGTGGTAGATAAGAGCAGAGCTCAATGGCATTTCAAACCTCATATGTGACTAGCCGCCAAAGTGTAACAGCCCTGTAAGGGGGTGGGGGGCTCTGCTTAAAATGGGCCTCCCATTTGGATAAGGCAACATGCAAGCCATCCCAGTGCAAAGCTGGTCATATTTTGGGAAGGCCTGTAGCTCAGGGAGAGAAAGTGTGTCTCAAGGCTGGATTACTGCGGTGCACTCTACGTGGGGCTTCCCTTGGGCTTGATCTGCAGTTAGCACAGAACGCTGCAGCACAGTTGCTGACAGCAGTGAGAACCTGTCAGCATATAACACCTGCTGGTTGCCTATGGGTTACTGTTAATAGATAAAGCCCTTGATTGCTTGGGACTAGTTTACTTGCAGGTTCGCCTTACCACATATATGCCCCTTCAACCAGCAGAACTGGCACTGTTGCAGATGCCAGATAATTTTCCTTCTGCAATTGATAGAAATCAGGCTTTCCGTGTGGCAGCACCTATTCTTTGGAACTCCCTGCCTACTGACACCAGCCAGGCTCCTGTGTTGTACTCTTTCTGGTGCCTGCTTAAAACATGTTTGTTTAGGCAAGCCTATCCAGACATGTGTTTATTTTATTTTTTAGCTAGTGCTGATTTTAATCATTCTAAACATATTTTAAATACCTGTTTGAAACTATGTTTTACTTATAGTTTTTATGATTTATTTTATATTTTAAATCACTTAGAGGTTTGTTTGTTTGTTTGTTTGTTTGTTTGTTTGTTTTACAATTGAGTGGTATACAGTGGTACCTCGGGTTAAGTACTTAATTCGTTCCGGAGGTCCGTTCTTAACCTGAAACTGTTCTTAACCTGAAGCACCACTTTAGCTAATGGGGCCTCCTGCTGCCGCCGCACTGCCAGAGCACGATTTCTATTCTCATCCTGAAGCAAAGTTCTTAACCCGAGGTACTATTTCTGGGTTAGCGGAGTCTGTAACCTGAAGCATATGTAACCTGAAGCGTATGTAATCCAAGGTACCACTGAATTGAATTTTGTTAGCATCAATAAAATAAATGTCAAACAGGGCTGGGGAACCTAGGATTCAAATTTGGCCTCTGAGGCTGCTTTCTCCATTTGCCCTGTAACTGATGTTAGTTATGGGCCAGTTAGTTTAGTGGCTGCAAATGCACATTTCGGAACTTTAAAGTGTGCTTCTGATCACGCATAGGCAAAGGGAAGCCGACTTCGGCCCTGCCTCCCATCAGCTGATGGAGGGTAGATCCAAAGCCTCAGGGCTCCTGACCACCTGTCACATTCGGCCCATTGCAAGGCTGGCTCTGATAGGGCTCTGACCTGTCCGCCCCTGATGTAGAAGGAAGCCCTCCCATTCAGTTCCTGGCTTCTCCAGCTGGGACTGGGAAAGGCACCTGTCTCAAAACCTGGAGAGCTGCCTCCAGGCAGTGTATGTAGATGGGCAGAAAGTAGCTCAGAAGCTACTGGTAGGTTTTTGAATCTGATTTGCAAGGTTATCTAACAATATCCATAACTTACTATTAAGGCACACAAAACTCTCCTAAATGAGGTTTCTGAAACAGAAAACAAGGAATGGAGCTTTCTAACCTTGTTAGACGACAGAGGACGAGATGGTTGGACAGTGTTCTCGAAGCTACCAACATGAGTTTGACCAAACTGTGGGAGGCAGTGGAAGACAGGAGGGCCTGGCATGCTCTGGTCTATGGGGTCACGAAGAGTTGGACACGACTAAACCACAACAACAACCTTGTTTCTGGCATGGATAGAATATTCCTGGGGTGCGCATGCTCAGAGGCACCCTGTTCATTTATTCTTAGCATATGTCCAGCCAGCTAAGCCACTACTTTGCATTGGGCTCTGGTCAGTGGATCTCTGGCTTCTAAAAAAAAGCCTGAAGTCTCAACACTACCAGCAGCATAGAAAACTACTGAGCTAGATGAAAGGTAGTCATACATGTTTCTGATTCTACATATCTTGCAGTTGTGTGCTTGCAAGTACAACACAATTTGACAATTGTATGGCAGGAGCTGAAATCTTGCAAATGATTGCTTTAAAGTAAAAAGATCAACTCTTCCAAAGCTTATCTTTTGCTTTTCCTAATTTCCATGAACAAACCCTTGAATGCTTTTAAGATGTAATCAACCAGTACACACACAAAAAAGCAAGTTTCCAAGGTGATAAGAGCTAAAAGGTATGGTGCAGATAGCCTGAGGGCTCACACATGAATGTTCCTGATGGCAGTATCAAGCAATGACTTTTGTGTCAATCAGCACTGATAAAATACTGCAGACAGAGCATTAATATATCACCTTAAATGCTGGGGTAAGGGGGGAGGGCTCTTCTCTGGCCTGATTATTGATTCTACACTATGTGAGCAGTGCTTTGTGTTATTAAGTGCTATTTGTGTTATTAAGTGTTATTAAGTAGATACTAGGCCAAAGGGCCAGATTAATTTGCTCATAGAAGAGTTTGATTTTCATTCTCCACCTACTGCTGTCCCACACTTCCTCCTCCCTAAACCTGGATAGTCCCTATGCAATCAACACAGCTATCCTATTGAGATTTTCAAAGCCTTTTTGAGAGGCCCACTAAGTGAAGACCACCTTCCTATGCCAGGCGTGTCGGGTCTTAAAAAGCATTTAGGGATTTTCAAATCCTTTTCACTATTGTTATCACCAGTTGCTGGTTTTATTTTACATTGGTATTATTCTGCTGCTGCTTTTTCCTGTTTATATGTTTTATTTCCGTACTTTAAGGCAGCCGTCCCCAACCTGGCACTCTCCGGATGTTGTTGGACTACAACTCCCATCATCCTTGACTGTTAGCCATGCTGACTAAGGTTGACGGGAGTTGTAGTCCAACAACATCTGGAGAGCCCCAGGTTGCAGGATCCCACTTTATGGTTGTTATTATTTTACTATTATTATTCACTGCAACCTCCTCAGACGTTTTCTATTGGATGTATAGAGATATTGTAAATAAATAAATAATAGTGGTGTGTGAGCATGTATAGAAACTAGCCTATAGCTTGAAGGTAAAATCAACATTTGTTGTTTCACCCTCTTTTGCCTCTGGCCATGCCCATCAATGCCATGCGACACCCCCCCCCCGAAGGCAATACAGCCTCATACCCTCCAAAATGACGTGGCCCAAAAATCTGGGTCCGAAATCCTGTGTGAGTCACGTGACCTGTGTAAGACTGTGGACCCAAAAAACGCTTTTCCCAGGGAGAGATCTTGGCCTGAAATCATGCAAGGGCAAGGTGCCCCAAATGGCCACCGTGCTCTTGTGGGGGAAAAGACGTCCCAGTTTTTCCAGGACAGTTGAAAAAAGTTCCCCCTCCTGGTCTTAATGGGTCAGGGTTCCAATAATATCTTGAGGGTGCCAACCTCTGATGCCAGCCATGGGTGAGGAGAGAGTTTGTGGCAGCTGGGATGGAGGCTTGGCTCTTAGGCTTCTTTGGGTGGTCTTGGCCAAATGGCGGCCTCTCCTCTCCGCTGTCATGAACGCAAGAGGTAACAGTTGCAAATCTCCTCCGCTTCCGGTGATTAGTTAAACAAGGGCAGCCTTGCCTCTTGTTGACAGCTACTGTTTGCATGTCTTAAAACGGTTCCTGCTGACAGAGCCAATACGTGCGGGATGTCTCCAATGGCCGGGGGACCACATGATCGCTCTGAGCAGCACGTGACTCCCATCATCATTAGTCTCCAAGAGCACGAGACAAGCGGGCTTAGTTGATGGCTTGATCACACATTGAGCAATCAGGCCTCTTTGCAAAGCAGGATTTCAACAATCAAGTTGTGTGCGGATTGCCGTTTGCATCTGTGAATTTCCCCCACTTAATACGTTGGGAACCTTGGGTTGCGATTACTGCATAAGGCTTATATCTCTCCATAAACAGAAGGGGAATGAGTAGGCAAGGATAACAGCCTGACATATCAGATAAACACCCCAATGCTTTATTTTTTTGTATGTTTAACATTTTTATTCTTCTTGCAAGGAGTGCAGGGTGATGTCACATGCCACTTCTCCTTTTGCCAAGTTTAATCTCACAACAACCCTGTGAAGTAGATGGTGGTGAGAGATCAGGGGCTTCCAGATGGGGATTTCACACTGCAAATTACGGTATTCCAGTTTTGTATTTCTGTAAAGTAACTTATTGGATTTTCTGCACCAAGGGTAAATCCTGCCTGAATGGATGGGCAGAAACACAGGCAGGCATTTTGATGCTGGTAATATTATGTAGGTGCTGGAGGGGGTGGAAAACAGAATCTTGCCTGCATGGGCAGTACTGACTTCACAATAAGAACTTATAGTTGACTAGTCCAAGGTAAGAATGGGGGAGATATTTGATTCAGATCACATTTAAAGGTGAACCACATTTCAGAAATGCAAACCAAAACAAAGCTGTTCTTCAAAATGTGCACTTCTCTGAATTTTGCAATGCTATTCTGCTCCCAAAACAACCAAGGTTTGCATAAAATGGGCGCATGCTAATTTATAAGCATATGCATTCAAAAAGAACTGCTGTAACTGAAATATAAATATTATTATGCCCACTAGCCTGTGTTTGGTTGTTATGCTGAATGTACCACTAAATGCAGTACATAGTTTTTTAAAAAGCCAATGCAAATCCCATAGTCTGTATGAGCCACAAACAGGATACAAAAAGGAAAACAAAAAGGTAAAAGGAGTAGGAAGGGATATTTGAATAAATCCATTTAAAAAGTGCAGTGAACACAGGCATTCTGTTGGGTAGGCCCAGCCAAAGTCCCACCATTCACCAGTTTCTCGGCCTCAGGAATGTTTCTGCAGACAGTGTGGCATTCTGGACTCTGCAACGCCAATAATAATGTGCACTCCTGATTGCAGGCTCCAAGGTGCAGATGGAGATTATGTCCCATCTGGGTCAGAGACAGGCAGACAGCTCTCACCAAGGACAAAGTCTGGAGCATGGTGATTCCATCATTTGCCTGACAAAGGCCATTCCAATGGCTTAAGTGGGTTCCTTGTGTTAACTGGAGGCGGGAATCAGTCCTACAATAGCTACAGCTGATGGCATTCAGGGCAGAGAGGGCTACACCTACATTTTTTATCTTACCTTCTTATCTTATCCCCACCCTTTAAAGGTAAACACTACACAGTGGACGCTCAGGTTGCAAATGTGATCCATGCGGGATGCATGTTCGCAACCTGCAGCAGCGCGTCGCGATTGGGCGAATACGCAAAGCGTGATTTAACGCTTCTGCGCATGTGCGAGCCCCAGAACCCGGAATTAACCCGTTCTGGTACTTCCGGGTTTCAGCGGGTCCGTAACCTGAAAAAATACAACCTAAAGCATCTATAACCCGAGGTATGACTGTATTCAGAACAGTTTGAAACATCTTACAAGATAATCGTAGCTTGGGGTCTCAGTATTCACAGAAAATAATAACAAAAGTGTGAGATAGATAAATAAACAGTGTATGGGCCGGCAGAGGTGGGGAAAAGAGCTCATTCCATCAGCCATGCTTAAAAGGCCAGCTCTATCGAGTTGCCTCCTGCGTCTCTGAACAGTTGGCCATTCATCATTATTTGTGGTGTGCGAGTTTTGGCTGATGCTGGAGCCTGGAGACACAGCAGCTGGTACTGCTCTGAGCTGGAACCAAAGCTATGGGTCAGGGCTTCCCTGGAAACTGAATGGGGTGGCAAACTCTATTGGCTTGTGAGTCCTCCCACCCTGTGCTCAGGTTGCATGTATGTAAATAAAACCACATATCCTAAAGATGCCACAGTCTCCATTGACCTTCATTCCAAGGCCTCTTTTGTTGCTATGTGTGTTTCCCCTACCCTGCTTAGTTACCAAAAGAACTTCCAATATGTGTAACTTTTCCTTGTGTGGGACTGGCTCCAGCCCCTCGATCGTTTTGGTTGATTTATTTTGCAGCTTCACTAGGCTGACAATATTCTTCTTTGATAGATAGTGAGGGGTGGAAATCATGGACACCTTCCCTGCCACCCAAGGAAACTTGCAGTCTTTTCTTGACAGTCATCAAAAAAGTATTTCCTTTTAGGGCCATGCAAATATATGAGGTGAGCTGTTCTAAGTTCACCTGCAACTAGGTCCCGTCCATAAGTTACAGCGTGCGCTTTCTTCCTAGACGGGCAAAGATCGCCAGCTGTAAAACAAAACAGCCAGTTTCTATCTTAACCACAGAGCACAAGCCAGTGACAGATGGCTTGTGGGTGACATATGTCTTATACTGAGGTCATCAAGCAGAAGAGACAGTTTGAAAAACATTTGAAAATGATTTTGAAACAGATGCTGTCAGAGAAAGAAACAGCATGTGAGACTATATACCGTTTCACAAGCTTGCTTTCTTTGTCAGATAGTACCAGATATACTTTTCTCCTCAAATATTTTTATTGATTTTGCAGTAGCATACATCAAATGAACACACTCTCATCTGTAAGGGGGACAAAGGTCTTCTAACAACTCTCTGCACTGTTAATAAACTACAGTTCCCAGGTTTCTTTGGGGGGGAGCCATAATTTCCAGTTTGTTTCCAGGCTCAATTCAAGGTGCTCATGTTAGTACAGTGTTTAAAGCCCTAAACAACTCAGGCCCCAAATACGGGAAAGACCACTTCCTTCCCTACAGACCCTCTCAGGTGCTAAGATCGGTGGGGGGAGCCCACTTGGTGGTTCCACCACCCTCAAAAACTCCCTTGAGATGACACTTGAGAGGTATATTTTTAGGACCCACCTTATTTCTGCAATTTTATATTTTATATGCTGCTTTTAATATTGCATTTTAATATTGCACAATATTGTGTTTTAATTCTTTTAACCCACCCTGGGACCTTAGGTGAAGGGCAGGTAATAAATTGCAACAATAGCAACAGTTTAAAGTGATATGATACTGCTTTGAATGGGTAGTGCATGTGGTGGAGCCTCAGAAAATGAGCTCAATTTATTGCTAGTATGTAGGATGAGCTGAGGAAGCCTTCCTTACCAATTTGTCAGGCTGGCACAGGCACCCTTCAATAAAGTATGCCACATGCTCTCATGATGCCCTGAGTACATGCTAGTACCTATAACAACACATCTCCATTCGTCACCTGCCTTTACATAAGAAACTGCCTTATACCGAGTGAAACCACTGGCTCACCTAGCTCAGTCTTATCAACACTTATGGCGATGTAGACCAGCGGAAGCCCTGTGGTGCCCTCCAGATGCTGTTGGACTACAGCTCCCATTATCCACTCCAGCATGACCAATGATCAGGGATGATGGGTATTGTAGTCCAGCAACATCAGGAGGACAGCACTTCGGCTACCCCTAGTCTGAGCTTTCATCCTGACCAGGATGCCAGGGATTAAACCTGACAAGCCTGTGCTCTCCCATTGAGTTTACAGCCCTTTCCTTTCACATCTCTGCACTGCAAACCACAGTGTACCTTTTGCCACGGCTATGCAATGGTGGTATTTGTATCACTGCTATGCAATTGCCTATGAAAGCAAAGGGAGATGAATTCTGACTTGCACGTGCATTTAGGATCTCATCAGCAAATGGCAAAACGGTGACAGGCACAGCAGGCCAGGCCTTGGCAGGGAGGAAGGTAGACTTGTGTTATATGACTCAGTCCTACAACTCTCAGAAGCATCTTCTCCCAACTAGTTTTTTCCAACTGAATGTAACAGAGTTGATTGCAGCTTGTGTGGCAGCAAGCTGCCCTTTCTGTGCCCTCGAAGGTAGCTATAAATCACTTTGTTCTTGCAACTGCACTCAGTAGGAGACAGACATGGGGGTGATAACAACAGATATACTCAGATGGTTGCTCTACAGACACCTGCTCTTTAGAGTAATAAAAGGAAGGCAAAAAGGCAGGTGATTTAAGGTGTTCAGAAATTTAACATGCTGGGCTGTAAAGTGGAAGTCCATGGAGTCCATGCAGAAGGGCTCAGTGGTACAGCACCCACTTCACATGCTAAAGGTCCAAGGTTTGATCCCTAGCATCTCCAGGAAGGGCTGGGAATCTAATGACTGAAATCCTGGACAGCTACTGCCAGTCAGTGTACACAGTACCGAGCTAGAGGGACCAATGGTCTGACTTCAAATAAGGCAGCTTCCTATGTTCCTAATAGATACAATGCAATGGTAACAGCTATTTGGCCTTTTATGCAGAATGAAATCCAGGACTCCATTAGTAAGGACATAGAGGCCCAGTTCACGTCAGGGCATACTATAGTTTGCTCCGAGTCTGGTTTTCAGGTTTGTTTTATTTTAGCTGGCTGTAACTCATCCTGTGACCTTGGGGTAAGGGTGGGTAATTAAATAAACAACAACAAAAACAACAACAACAGGAGAAGGATGTTTACCACCACTGAACCATGATTTACTGTGAAATTGTGAATGAAACCATTACTTGGAGATTCAGGACAGAAGCTTGATACCAGCATTAAGGAATGTAATCTCCTGGGATACTTGTCTATAGCTTTTATTAGAAATTGGAGCATTAATAATAGCAACACCATTAATAATAAAAATACATCAGCAATGTGCATGGTGCTTTTGCTAAGTATAAAAGGTCCCTGCCCTGAGGAACTCACAATCTACATCTTTATCGCAAGAGACAGCAGGAAGGAGAAGAGAAATGGTATTTATGTGAACTGCCCTGAGACCTTCAGCTACAGGGTGGTATAGAAAATCAATCAATCGATGAATCAATCAATCAATCAATCAATCAATCAATCTTCCATTGTCTCCTGAGACATACAGATGTCATCCATCCAAAACAATGTACTTAGGCTTTGCCACAGCAGGGTATGTGGACTAAAAAATTGTGCCAAACAAAGGTGGGTGTTGAGAAATCCGAAGGAAATAAGAGAATTTCCAAAATATGTTTAGAAGTGTCTTAACACTATTGGGGAGGGTTAGGTAAATCTGGAGATAGGAAAGGTTGTGATTCACTCATCAGTTGCTCCATGCTTTTGCTTTGTAAAAACCAAAGATCACAAAGGGATGGGAGAAGTTGCTACTCAGTGGATTACTTAAGCAAAACCTGAAGTACAAGCTACCCAACAGAGAGGCAAGTAAACAACTGTAAATTGCAGTTTACTGCAGTTTGGTACTTTCATACCATGAGAGTGTGGGAAGCTGCCTTATAATCAGGGCTTTTTTTCAGCCGGAACTCACCAAAACTCAGTTTTGGCACCCCTCAGGTGGGCGCTATTGCCATTTTAAGAGAACACAGGAGACATTCATAGTGAGTTCCTGCACCTCTTTTTCTAGAAAAACAGCACTGCTTATACTGAATCAGACAGACCATTTGTCCATCGAGCTCAGTATTCTACGACTGGCAGGTCTCTCTGGGTATTCAGACAGGAGATGTTCCCAGTCCTACGTGGAGATGCTGGGGCCTGAACCTAGAGCCTTCTGCATTCAAAGCATGCGCTCTGCCAGAGTTGCAGTCCTTCCTCTGAATGCAGAAATACAGAATTTTGCCACTTGCTTAGAGATATACAATGTTCCTGTATGGCTGGTGCTGAACTGGACGAGTCTTTTAAAGAGCCTAAATGGAAGCTATATGCAAACCAGTCTGGACACTTCTGAGAAAGGAGCAAATTATGTAATAAGAAAATAAACACCTGTTCTGAGTCACTGCTATTTGTAAAAAAAAATGCTTTGCAATCTTCTGAAAATATGGTGATTCACTATAGTCAGGGCATAGTAATTGTTTTTGATCAGCACAGTGACAGAAACTAAGCAATAGATACAGTTGCCTTACAAGCCTGGAGAGGATGTCATGACGCAGAGTAGATTTTTGTGGGTTTGGCCCGAGTCCATTGCCTTCCCAGTACTGCTCTGCACCTCACCAATCTTCGTCCCCCATATTCCTGTTTTTAAGTTCACTGCAAGCTGTGTCTTTCTCAACACCCAAACTCAGCCTTTCATCTGCGGTCTTTAAAAACCAAAACTGAACTTCTCCTTAGGCTGTTTCAACAGTAACTCCCTACGATGAAGCAAAGAAGTCTAATCAGGGATTTTATTCGTTCATTTGCAGCACAATCCTATCTAAGCAAGACTACTCAGAAGGAAAAACCACTGAGTTTAACGGGCCTTACTCCCGGGTAAGAGCATAAGACAGGATTGCAGCCTCGGGGTAACTTTTTGCTTTTAATTTATTAACTTTGTTTCGAAGTAAAATAAAATTTCGTGGTGGTGGGGAACAAAACATGTCGACAAATTATCCGGATGCTGAACCACAGTTCTGGATTGGGGCTACTACTTATTATTTTAGGAGGAGGAGAGGCCCAAATCTATACAGGTCTACTCAAAAGTAAGCCCCCCCCCCCAACTGGGTTGCCTGAAGGATTTCCAAAGACTGGTCCTAGATCGTTCATAGCCTGAGACGCACCCTAACCCCGGGAGGGGCACCGCATAGCTACAGTTCAACAGGGATCCGGCGTGGTTTGTATTTTGCTTTTCGGCGGCGCAGATATATAACGTAATGCGGCAACGTCACTCCGCCTGCGGCGGAGTTTTCTTACCGCAAACCGCGATGTTGTTGTTGTTTTCTTTCAGCGAACACAGAATGAATGAGAACGGGCCGTACGGTGACGTCAGGAAAAAGATGGCGATGCCCATGAACAGCGCGGGAGGGGGAGGAGAACGCGCATGCGCTGCTTGACTGGCTGTAAGAGAAGGAAGAGTGCTTCCAAACGGTGAGGCGAAGAGTGTTGCAGGTAATAGGCCTCTCCGCCTTGCTGGAGACTTCCCCCTGTACAACACCTGAAGTTTTCTTCCTAGGCCGTGCGCACAGCCCCCGCCTGAAGTTACTAGTTCAGCCGAGCCGGAGATAAGGTTTTTGCGCCGCTGATAATAATTGAGACCGGGGCTTTGAGGCCTACAGACGGAGGGTTAGTTCGGACAGCATTTAGCTGGGATAAGTAGGACTTCTCAGGAGATACTGGAGGTGTCTCCTCTCTCACCCCCCCCCCCCGATATCCCAATGAAGATCGTATCTCTGGAACAAAGGGAATCCTTTTACGGGAAACTGGTGTGAAATAAGGAGCATTTACAGCCTTCTTTTTGTCGTATTCCACATTCCAGGCAGAGGGCCTTCTCAGTTGTGGCGCTCCTTCTGTGGAACGGCCTCCCTTCAGGTGTCAAGGAGATAAAGAATTACGTAACTTTTAGAAGGCAGTCTCGTATCAGGAGGTTTTTAATGCATGATGTTTTTATTATGTTTTTAGATACGCTATATTCTGCCCAGAGTGGCTAGGGAAGCCCAACCAGATGGGCGGGGTATAAACAACAACAATAAAATAAATCAGTCAGTTAAGAGAGCGACTTAAAAACATAAAGCTGAAAAGTCTGTTTACACTGGCTACCTTGCTGAGTGTATTTAAAATCCTTATGGATGTTTACTGGTCAGTATATTCTACAAAAATCCACAGGGCTTACTACTATGTGTATGTAAGATAAAGCTGTTAATATTAAATATTTACATATGCACTTTCTAGTGGGGGTGGGAGAAGCTGGCTGCAATTCTAAGCATGCTTACTTAATGAAAGGGAATTCCGCTGGATCAAAGACAGCTACCACCAAGTATGCCTGATTAGGAGTGGGCCGTTAGTATATTGTAGACCCTAATGGAGCTGTATGACTTACGATTGTTCTTGGTCAGGCCAATGAGTAACTTGTGGAAAGTTCATTTCAGATGCATGGTCATACATGTCAGTAATCCCAGGAGAGCCTCTGAATTGTCTGAGCTTATGGGATTTTACACTGGAGATTGTCTGTCACCAAGTTGCCTTATTTTAGTATTGGGATGGGGAAGCTGTTGGCTCGCCAGATGTTGTTGACAGCTCCCATTGGCCATGCTGGTTGGGGCTAATGGGAGATGGAAATCTAGCAACATCTGCAAGGCCATGTGTTTTTATCCTTGAGCTGGGAAAAGGTTGGTTGCTTCCCTGTCCTGCTGCTGGGGGAAAAGCTGGTGCAGGGGTGGGCAGGAGGAATTAGGTCTTGATTCATGCATCTTCCACACAGGGGAGGTAAGAACATGACCCCGAGGGAGTGCTTCTTCTGAGCCTAATTCCCGCCCCCCTTCTCTGCTGAAGTTCTCTTGACAGACCATGTAATGATTTTTCTGCCTTCTGTAACAGCTATAATGCACTGTCTTTGATGCTGTATGGTTTTTAATTGTATTTTTACAGGCACTCCGTGGACCCCCTGAATGAAGCTCATGAATCTGAGAAACCCTGCTCTGGATTCATTGTCTCCCAATTGATATTTGGACCGCATTATATACACACAGTAATAAAGGTAAAGAAGGGGCACCTGTGGTGTTTGAACTGGGGATACGTTATGGTTCTGCTTTGCTGAAATAACCATGCTGTGGTTGGCCACTGTGAGAACAGGATGTTGCAATACATGGGCCTTTAGTCTGATCCTGCTAGGCTTTTCTTATGTTTTTACATTTATCTCATGGTTCAGCGTGAATGACCAGCTTGTTTTTTTTATTGATCCTGCTGCTTGTAGAGAAGAAAATACCATGGAGGCCCCTCCCGTCACCATGATGCCTGTCACTGGAGGCACTATTAACATGATGGAATATTTACTTCAAGGTAAGTCACAAGCAAGACTTGGCTTAACTGTAATATCTGATTCATTCCATATGACATTCTACTGGAAGAATATATGTTTCTTTAGCAATGTAGGTGTTTTCCTTTTATAGCTGCAGGACAGTTAAAGAAACAGAACAACTGTTGAGATTGTGAGTGGACAACTCTAGGGTCTTTCCACAAATAAAACCACAAACCTAAGTTGGGCACAGAGTATATACTCGATAATGAGCTGACCTTGAGTGTACCTGCATGATAGCTGTATTAGCAAACACTTGTTTCACTTGGCCAATTCACATGGTTCTCTGATCCATGTTCCGTTCAGCAAGGCTGTTGTACTATTTGCAGCTAGCCATAGGTTTTATTTTAAAATGTTGGCATGATGCTACTGGACTGTCAGGGCAGTAGGATGCTTTCCATTTGTTAATGGGGATGGTTACCTGTTCAGTGATGCTGTCTTAATCCCTCCTTTCTCCCTCTAGGGAGTGTTTTGGATCAAAGCCTGGAGAGCCTCCTTCATCGACTCCGTGGCCTATGTGATAACATGGAACCTGAGACCTTTCTGGATCATGAGATGGTGTTCCTGCTCAAGGGGCAGCAGGCCAGCCCATTTGTTCTCCGCACTCGGCGCTCAATGGACAAAGCAGGCACTCCCTGGCACTTGCGGTACCTTGGGCAGCCAGAAATGGGCGACAAAAACCGCCATGCCTTGGTACGCAACTGTGTTGATATTGCCACATCTGAGAACTTGACGGACTTCCTGGTGGAGATGGGCTTCCGCATGGACCATGAGTTTGTTGCCAAGGGGCACGTGTTCCGCAAGGGCATTATGAAGATTGTGGTGTACAAGATCTTCCGCATCCTGATTCCAGGAAACACTGATAACATTGAGCCCTTGTCCCTCTCTTATCTTGTGGAGCTCAGCATTGTAGCACCAGCAGGACAAGACATAGTTTCTGATGACATGAGGAGTTTTGCTGAGCAGCTAAAGCCTTTAGTTCACCTAGAGAAAATTGATCCTAAAAGACTGATGTGAGCAAGATGGCCAGCAGCTAAAGCTTGACTCTTTCCTGTTACAGAGACTGAGGAATTGCAGAAAGCTTTAACGCAGGTGTGGAGAGCCTTTGACTCTTCAGGTGTTGCTGAACTATGATTCCCATCATCCCTGGCCATTGACCATACTTGCTGGGGGTGATGCAAGTTTTTGTTCAGCCACATCAGGAGGGGTATAGGTCCCCCACTCTTGCTTTAACCAATACTGATAAGAGTTATCTTGCTCAGACCTTTGAAAGCAAAACAAAATTCAGAAGGTTGAGTTGGTCTCTTACTAAGTAATAATGGATTTTATTATTATTATTACTTGGTGATTCCAAATAAAATTAGTATTGCAACTGGCTTTCTCTTACTGCATTTTGGAGTTGGGGCATCTAGTTTTTGTAATTTAAAATCAAATCTTCCTCTTGCAGGATGGGGGCAGAGCCAGCTACTATATCTTGCTAGAACTGATGGGAGTTGTAGTCCAGCAACAAATGGAGGGTTCAGCCTGGTTTATACAAAAGAATGGGCAACTTCCTACACGTACTGTTCCCTTTCTTCAGTTCACACCCCACATCATAAGACAAATGATGTACCTAGTGTTACTTATCTGGTGCCATCCCACTTTGCCAAGTGATTTTTCTTCATCGTTCATGAATAAAATGTTGCCCTGGCCATGTTTCAGTTAAGTCAGAATGCATATGGATTTCCTGCTACCAGCATTTTATCCCCACAACAGCCCTGTGAGATAAGTTGGACTGGGAGGGAATGGTCCCAAGTATCTCTCAGCAGGTATTTGAACCCAAGTTTCCCACGTCCTAGGTTTGTCCTTATGTGCTACATCACACTAGTTCTCCCAGAATCTTAGTATAGGAAGCTTGCAAGTTACTCAGGGATTACATTCCAGGAGTAATGCCTAAAGCAAGAATTGTGTGTAGTCAAAACACATCGGATTCAATGTGGGTGGGATTGCCAAAATCTTTTTTCGCAGATGCCCACCTCCTTTTCACCCCCTTTTGAAAAATCTTACAATTTTTTTTGCAAGTAAAGCTGAATGCACACAAGTTAAATGTGGATACTGGGGAAAGGGAAATTTTAGACCTGGATATTCCTTTTGGACCAATGTCCTTTGGATTTTAGTTTATTCAGTTCGAACATGTTTTTCTCCTCTTCTCTCCCTGCCGCTTGAAACTAAGAGCATAGAATAAGATATGGGTAGGTAAGCTTGGAAGAATGGACATCCTCTTAGTATAAACATACTGGGTTGAGCTGCTGGCTGTTGTGCAATGAATATTACAATAAGAATTTAGTAGACTAATTGGAGTAGAGGGGACAGGATGTATCCTTGTCTTATTGCCATTGCACATTGATGCTTTTATGGTGATAATAATAGAATGAGTTACCCCTGTTGCATTAACTTTGGAGAGACTGGATTATCATGCCACATGGCCAGCAAAGGCACAGGAATTCAGGAGAGGAATGGAGTGACTTCTCTCCCCAGGAATTTCTCTCACTTTCTCCTTGTACATTGTTAAAGAATGAGCAGAATGTCACATCTAAGGTGCTGCTGCCATTGAGACACAAGTGTTGCACAGAGGCACTAATGACCAATGACACCAGCTGTGCTTATCCAAGGTGAGACCTGCACTGCAGCTTGGCTTGGTGCACTTAATTATTTCATAGGAACAGAATGTAACTTTGCCTCAGGACCTAAAATATGCCTACAGAATCCTTTGTCCCTTACAGAATAATTACGCTGCTCTTTTGTTATGTAATTGGCATAAGACTCATCCTCTCTGAGCTGGATCGTTTCAGAACCGGCCATAATTACTCCACTAAAGAGCTTCCATTATGCTAACACTAATCATAATTAGTATAATTATAGCTAAGTGAGTAGTAAATGTTTAATGCACTTGTCATGTCCAAATAAAATAAAATCCTCCTCCTAACTGTTTCCAGATACTTCAAACTGGAGCTTAATGGGAATTGCTTCCCAGTAAAGCTGTATGGCATTGTCTTGCAAAGACATGTTCTTGAGGGTCTATTATATTCATGATTTACACTCCGCCCTTCAATTAAACAATTAGAGTGGCTTACAGTAAAATATAACATCTATAGAAATATTCTTAAAATACCAAATTTATAAAAGCAGCAGTAACATGTGCATGATAGAGTCACCTTCCCCTCCAACCGATAATCAAAACTTAGAAAGCAAAAAAACAGCAATTTAAGAAAACCAGTAAAATATGTAAGATCTGTGCATGCACGCACAAAATCATCAAAAGTTTAAAAGTCAGGAAATATTTTTAAAAATTGTACCTAGTGAAGAAAAATATTAAAGTGAGCAGCAGGCAGTCCTCTTTGGGGAGAGTGTTACAAAATCAAGGTATCACCACTGAAAAGACCCTTTCCTTGATGAAACCATTTGCCATACTAGATGGCAGGGAGCCTAGAGGAGGGTCTCTAATGAAGTTCTCACAGTATGGGTAGGCATGTGTGGAGATGGGTTACAAAAGAGTTCTTATGATTCTCAAGAGCCAGTCAGGTGTTTTTTTGTGGGAGGAGGGGATAGATTTCTTAATCTACACCAAAAATGCTGCATAAACAGAAAAATATATATTGGGGGTCCTCTCCATAATGTGTTGTGAATGTGTCAGTTGTGTGCATTTTCTGTCCACCATTTCTTCATTCTTGTGATAGATAAGTTACACATTGCTGGTGTGTCATACATGCCTTTCTGCTACCTTCATAATTAGTAACCATTGTCACAAGTCAGTCCAGCATCAAAACAGACTCACAGCTGGCACCTCACAAGTTAAGAGCAGCTTAATAAATCCTGATGACATTGCAGGTGGATAAACCAATACATCAGGCAACTGAGAGCACAGGTGACCAACCTGTGCATTCAAACTGCTTTTATGCACCTCCAGCAGCCTCCTGAAGTTGCCCCATTCTTCTTTTGACAATTTATATGCTAACATTTAAACAAATCTCAAAGCAGTTTACAGCACAAGTTAAAGGATATAAATAAAAGATGGGGGAAGCTCCACAGTCTATAAAACATGATTAGCTGCTAAGAGCATCCTGTTTAGCATCAAAATATAAATGGCTTACAAAATACAAGGGCAGTTCCACATTGCAAAACATAAACAACCAAACAAAGCATATTCTAAACACCAGGAAATAAAAGACTACAAATTAAAACCATGCATTTCACATCTATAAATAGCACGACTGACAGCTATGCAAAAGAGAGATTAGCTTGCTCTTCCCAACCACTGTATGCCCAATCAATCATACACTTAAACTACGGTAAAAGGTAAAGGGACCCCCAACCATTAGGTCCAGTCGTGACCAACTCTGGGGTTGCTGCGCTCAACTCGCTTTATTGGCCGAGGGAGCCGGCGTACAGCTTCCAGGTCATGTGGCCCGCATGACTAAGCCGCTTCTGGCGAACCAGAGCAGCACATGGAAACGCCGTTTACCTTCCCACCAGAGCGGTACCTATTTATCTACTTGCACTTTGACATGCTTTCGAACTGCTAGGTTGGCAGGGGCAGGGACCGAGCAACGGGAGCTCACCCCGTTGCGGGGATTCAAACTGCCGACCTTCTGATTGGCAAGTCCTAGGCTCTGTGGTTTAATCCACAGCGCCACCCGTGTCCCCGTTAAACTACGGTAATCCCATTGAATTCCTAGCAACTAAGAGTTATATCTGAATTAGCACAAACTGACTTGTTGGTCAGCCCAAAGATTTCTGCTTTTGCAACAGAACTTTGCCCTCTTCTACCACTGTGCACCCTCTTAAATCTATCCTAGGGCATACCCCAATCCTCTGGAGCAGATTTGAGGGGGGGGGGAAAGGAATTTCCTTGTGCAAGTGCAAATCCTTGTGCTAACAGAATGAGGACATTGGATTCTGCCCAAGAAACACAACTTAATCTGACTTCAGTTTAAAAAGCGTCCCATTCAGTTCAAGCACACCCATACGTGATCAACACACACCAGTCAATCAAACACACACATGCACTTTCCATCAAAGTTTCTTCCTTCCTGTTGGGTTTCCTTCTTATTTTTCATGGCTTAACAGAATGTGTTCCCCCTCTCTCTCTGAAGTTTCAGAACAATTGGAAGAAGCTTTTATTTTTATTTATTTTTTAAAAAATTGATACTTCTGTTTGTCTTTTATTAAACCAAAAACAAACTCTCTTTCCATGTTGTACGGTTTGAGGAAAAATGTGTTCCTGCTCCAGCTTCCTGAGAATGAATTGGTAAGCTTCTTACTGTGTATGTTGTTGTTGGCATCTGTCTGTCTTGACAGACAACGCAGTGTGCCTCCAGGGGTGAAGTCAAGCTGATGAATTAGCAGCACCAAAGTGACCTTCCCAGAATGCAAGGTGGGCAGTTTGTATGGGGCTTGATATCTTGGGCTGCCCAGACGACAAGACCCTCCTCTCAGCCTCGCTGCTGTGGTCCCAAGGAAAACAGCAATATGTTTGGCACAAGCTCGGCTGCAGGAGTTGCTGGAAGGCGGCGTACAAGGTGCCATCCAACTGTTTTAGGGACTCCATTCTGGATATGTGTAGGGTTTACTCCTTAGCACAGGCTTCCTCAACCTCGGCCCTCCATAGGTTTTTTGGCCTACAACTCCCATGATCCCTAGCTAGCAGGACCAGTGGTCAGGAATGATGGGAATTGTAGTCTCAAAATATCCGGAGGGCCGAGGTGAGGAAGCCTGCCTTAGCATTTTCTTCTCCTGAAGATATCCCACAAGGCAGTGGGTACAAATTTTTCCTCAGGTGTTTACTCCCAAAGCCTTTCTCAGGAATGACTATAGCTGCAAGGCAGCAGAGGTTAACTGTGTGTATGTGTATGGTTATATATAACACCCTAAAGTTGGGAAGGAATTGTTTTACAGAACAGTAGATGTATTGGTCTGTTGTATCTTGAACCCCCCTCCCCATTGCCTTGTATACTTGGTTGAGGGTAAGAACACAAGAAAAGCCTGCTAGATCAGCACTCTGGCCATTTTGTCCTCATGGGCCACCCAAGTGCCTATGGAAAGCCTGGACACAGGACCAAAGTGCAAGAGCACTCGCCCATCCTGGGATTTCCAGCAACTGGTCATCAGAAGCATTGCTGCCTTCAGACATGGAGGCGGATCATAGGCATCATTGCTCCAGAGCTGTTACCTCCCTTCATGAACTTGTCCAATCCTCTCTTAAAGTAACTTGATGAAACTCAGGTCAACAGACGTTGCTCTTTTGTAGTACATTCCTCCATCAAAGTGCCTTGAGGTGAAACAGTCCTTGTACCTGGCACTTCCCGTGTCTCGTTCCCACTGTCTCAGTAAATAGTCTGGCACAAAATCTACCTTGTTGCTCTTTAAATGGCTTGGCTGCTTCCTCGGAATCTGGTTAAGCTGATATTTAATAGGATGAGTTGCCTATATTCATTTGCCAAAATTAGAATAGACTCTTGCCAAATCTACTGACACTGGCTGTTGTTGTTCCACACTGGAGCCAGAAACAGGGGAAGCTGGTAAGACTGCCCACACAATATACTGTATTTTTCGCTTTATAAGGCGCACCAGACCACAAGACGCACCTAGTTTTTGGAGGAGGAAAACAAGGGGGGAAAATTCTGAATCTCAGAAGCCAGAACAGCAAGAGGGATCACTGCACAGTGAAAGCAGCAACTCCTCTTGCTGTTCTGGTTTCTGTGATAGGTGTGCAGCCTGCATTCGCTCCATAAGGCGCACACACATTTCCCCTTACTTTTTAGGAGGGAAAAAGTGAGTCTTATAGAGAAAAAAATACGGTATATCCAGGCAGGAGGGTACTGGGTGCTGGTCAACACTAGTGTAACCAGTCCCCCCCCCCTCTCTGTGTGTGCCTTATAATGAGTTATGCCACTGGCCCAACTAGCCTTGGGTGGGGGTCTTTCTGAACCCCACTGGCTGAGATCCTTTTAAGTTAAAGATGTCTGGGGACGAATTTAGGAACAAGCTAATAGCCACAATGCAATACAATAATTTTTATTATATGGTTTATTACATGGTTTGAAGCACATTTAACACACATGACTTCCCCCAAAGAATCAGGGGAACTGTAGTTTCCACCTCACAGAGCTACAATTTCCAGGACACTGAACAAACTACATCTATCAGTATTTGTAGGGGGAAGCCATATGCTTTAAATGTGAGTTTAATGTGCTTTAGATGTGTGTTTTGTTGTTTTAAATCAAATCTCAGTCTTAATGGAAGGAACCTGGATTGTCCCTCAACAGACCAGGTCTCCCCTTCCCCACAAAATCTTAGTTATACCTGAGTTATAGATATGTACAGCATACATTAGAGGTGGAGAACCTTTTTCACCCAATGGGCTGGAGCATCATCTCCAGACCAGCTTGGGTCGGACTACCTACCTGTGAATCATACAGTTTTATAATGATGCCAGGCAACTGACACTTGTCACGGTTGGTTGGTGGGGGTGGGAAGATAGGGTTTGCTCAGCCGGCTTCATTGTCATGCATTTGGGAAGCACTGCATAGCAAGCTGAGCAAGCTTTCCAACCCCCATGCTTGGCGCTTGGGAAGTGCAGAGCGCTAATTTGCAAAGCACTTTACCCAGTGCTGGGACGCGGGTGGCGCTGTGGGTTAAACTACAGAGCCTAGGGCTTGCCGATCAGAAGGTTGGCGGTTCGAATCCCCGCAATGGGGTGCGCTCCTGTTGCTCAGTCTCAGCTCCTGCCGACCTAGCAGTTCGAAAGCACGTCAAAGTGCAAGTAGATAAATAGGTACCGCTCTGGCGGGAAGGTAAACGGCATTTCTGTGCGCTGCTCTGGTTTGCCAGAAGCGGCTTAGTCATGCTGGCCACATGACCCGGAAGCTGTACACCGGCTCCCTCGGCCAATAAAGTGAGATGAGCGCCGCAACCCCAGTCGGTCATGACTGGACCTAATGGTCAGGGGTCCCTTTACCTTTACCTTTTTTACCCAGTGCTTCCCCAGTACCCAGTATATGGCTGTCAGGCATTTAGGAACCTCTGTACAGAGCCCCTTTTGGCCAAACCCTGTCCTTACCTGCCCCACTCCTGACATCATATATGACATCAGGCTGGTGGGCATGGCTTGCCTGAAATGGGCAAGTGGGCCACTTGGGGAGGCCTGGTGAGCTAAATTTGGCCCACAGGATGGAGGTTCCCCACCCCTGCTTTACATGCAGAAAGTCCTGGATTCCGTCCTCATCTATAAGCTTCCCCAAGCTGGGATGGATGAGATGCCTGCCACTACACTGCTGCTCATGCATACAGACAGGACTGAAGAAGATGGACCAGTCTCCTGATTCAATAAAAAGCAGTTTCCTGTCCCCTGTGACTGTTTGCATGCAAAATATGTCATTTAGTGTTCAGCGTTGGGCCCATATAGTAGTACTTATTAAATACGAGAAGAGTCCTTTCATAAGTTTGCCCACTTTTTCTTTCTTTAAAAGCACGAGAAGCTGTGTTTGGTTGCTAGAGAGGGCACAGGACGAAACTCCTGCATTTATACCGAGTGGATAAAGATTGGATGGGTGAAGGATTACCAGGGGAGGAATATTGACCCAAACATGCTGTCTTCATCTGACTAGTCCAATCTGCAGCTCGTACCCCCTGTGTAAATCTAATCTACTGCATTCCTTGACACCTTGCCCTTGTCACCATTTGTAACGTCCTGCTGGTAAAGTACCTTGAATAAAATTGTGTTTTCTCTGCGGGGAACATCGAGTACGGTGATCCAATCCTGTACCAAAAAAACTAAGGCTTTTTTTATTCAACAGAGCCACCTTCTGGACATTGCTGGTACTTTATTGCTGCACATTTCCCGACCTCGTGATTAAACCACTGTGCTTAACCACTTCAGTATGATTAGAAAAAGAGACTCTCTTTATTATTTTCATCCCTGGTTTTCCAAAGTCGTTGTTTTGAATCCCATGGACTTTTTTCTTTGAAATTACATTCTCCACAGCCACTAGGTCAGGAGTGGGGAAGCTTTTTGGCACCGCTGATTAGAACTTTATCTCACCACCACCACCCTGCAAGCAAAGCAGGTCACCTACCTATCAATCCTGCCCACCTGTCAAAGTTGACCCACGAGGGAGAGGGTGGGATCTGCTTCGTTTCTATTGATTTTGTTTACCTAGTACACTACTTAAAATGAAACTCCCGTATTGCTAATGTAAAAATCGCCACGTTTCTCCTACTTCTGCTATCTACGATAACCTCTTGCATTTTGATTAAGGCTATAGACAGGGGCAGAAAATGGCAGGATTTCATTATTTTAAAAATGGGGGGGAACTGTGTGTTTCTTTTTCCCAGCCTCACTATTTGTCTCCTGAAACTGCATAGTAGTACCTCTTCCTACACTAAGGCTGAGACCAATACAGATTCAGGTGAACTCCTACCAAGCTTTAGATTACAAGGTTAGTTCTCATCAAGTTAGGGTGCCTTTCAAAAATTTTTAGGGTGTGTGTTCAAGTATATTATAGGAACTTTAGGTTTGTGCAATTAAAGTGGATTAATGTGCTCTGTCACCACAAATCCACTTTAAAAGGACAACAATAGACTTTTTTTGTGGTTTGGAAAGTAGCAGGGAACTGTACCGAATGAAGTGTGGGATAAATGAATGGTGAATGGGAAGATGTATGCACTCTCCACAAGCAAATCAGGTTATATAATTACTCTATAAGCAATTCAGAACAAATGCTCAATAAAGACTAGACACAGTCTAAGATTTGTGCAAGCAAATCTGGATTAATGCTGAGTAAACAGGCAATCTTTGGAGCCCTTAGATCTTTTTTCTTCTCCACCTCCACTCCTTTGCTTAACATCCAAGCTGATGAAGACTTATGGTGTACTCTGAAGTTTGCTCCCTATTTTGTGACAGTTTAGTTCTACGATAGGTTTTGGAATCTTTAAAAAGTGATGGCCTCATCACTTCCTAACAGGGCTGTCAGTCTTCCTGCCCGACTCCTTCCCATTTAACATCTTACAGGACAGGCAAATATTCAACAGATAATGATTTCACATTGTGGAAATGTAGAGAACAATGTCTGTTGAATATCTGCTTGTGACACAGCTCTTACAGGCACAGTAACCTTTTCACAAGTAGAAGAAAATGGCAACATATCCCTCCCTCCCAAACTGCATTAAAAAATAGATGGAGCCTCAACTGGTCAGAGATTAAGAGGCTGCTCCTCTCAAATGCAATTCTGATTATATCTATTTCAAAATAGAGGGCTTTGCATTGTTACAGTTTTTATCATGGTAGCTCAAAATTGCTAGAACAGACAGATAATAAACTGAAAGAGTATTTGTCATCTATATTCCAGAGTCAGCCAGTCTCACTGCCAACTCGATTCAGAATAATGCCTCTGTGTTTGTTACACTTTATTAAAAGGTCATTAGGGATATAAATATATAGCAGTTCTCTACTACTGAAAGATTTGCTGATCTGCCAGAATTTCCTTTGTTCCTCTTTTCCCAGTTGCATTTATTTTTACTTGTATTTTGCAGAAGCTCTGGAACCTGGAGGAAGTCAATGTGCCAAAGGAGGAATTTGTAGACTTCCCACCTTTGGGTGCCAGTCACAACAGCAGGAGCAAAACTGCAATTCATAGTGCATTTTAAGGATTTCGGGATGGTTCTCTCACTATAATTATGGTATTGGGTCCGGAAATCCCATAAACATAAAGCTCTCATGCCGGAGAAGGGCGGGGGCAGAGAGAAAGGAAGGCAAATTTTGTCAATTTCCCCCCCCCCCTGCACCCTGACCCCAAACTGCTCCAGAGGATTGAGGCCCCCTGCAGATCGCTGTGGTGGGGAGGCATCAGAAGCTTCAGGGGAAGGAGCAAACAGCAAACATTCACCTCTCATTCCACTCTGGATCTTCTGCTGGATTGACAAAGGGAAGGAATTCTGTTTCAAATTTCTGGAACCAGAAATTTGTTTCTCCTTATTTCTTGTTCCACACTCAGTTTTGTGAGCCGAAAAACTTAACATTTTTATCTTGCCTTTCCTACAAGCTTAGCGAGGCATAGATGGTTTCCCCCACGCCACCTCATTTTATTCACACAACCCTGTGAGGGAGGACAGACTGAGAGACAAGTGAGTTTAATGGGTGAGTGGAACCTAGGTATTCATTATTTTATTGGGGAAAGGCCGAAGCTCAGTGCTAGAGAATCAACCTTGCATGCAGAAGGTCCCAGGTTCAATTCCTGGCCTCTCCAGGTAGAGGTGGGAGAGACCCTCACCTGAAACCCTGGAGAGCTGCTGCCAGTCAGTATAGGAGTTTGGATTTGATATCCCGCTTTATCACTACCCGAAGGAGTCTCAAAGTGGCTAACATTCTCCTTTCCCTTCCTCCCCCACAACAAACACTCTGTGAGGTGAGTGGGGCTGAGAGACTTCAGAGAAGTGTGACTAGCTGAAGGTCACCCAGCAGCTGCATGTGGAGGAGCGGGGAAGCGAACCTGGTTCACCAGATTACGAGTCTACCGCTCTTAACCACTACACCACACTGGCCATATACACAATACTGAGCTAGATGGACCAATGGCCTGACTTGTTCATATACCACCCTTCATCAGAATAGAGTAATGAAGCAAAAGGTTTTAGTTTTGTACCAGGCTATTTGGGGATTGTGTTCTACACCTGGGTACCACAGCCAAAGAGGCTTCCATGTCACATGGACTCTGAAGAAGGCATTGGCAGGTAGGAAAACAATGTATAGTCAGACCATGAGAGCAGCTAGTGTTGTCTACACTGATGGGCAGCAGCTTTCCAGGGTTCCAGGCAGGATCTCTCTCCCAGCCCTAGGACCTGATGAGGGGAGTGGGATGCTAAACCACTGAGGTGGGGGGGTGGAATGGTATATCCTGGGAAAGGGAATGGTTGGCCTTTTTCATGGTTGGAACCTTGAGCAGGAGCACTCCACACAGCCAACCTTTTGTTGCATTGTTGCTGGTCTTACTTGTCTCATTTAGTTTCCTTGTTCTTTCACTTATATACCCTGTGCACCACCCATTTCCTCCATGTGCTTCATTTATCTGTGGCCTGAGAAAACTCAAGTCAGCCCACAAAAAAATCCATGACCTCTAAGGTATGGTTACCAGATTTTTTCCAGTGAATCCGGTGACACTTTTTTTAAAAAAATAAGCTGAGTAGCAACAGGGAGTCAGTAGTGGGGATGGTGAGGCAAAAGACCCTGGGCCCAAGCACACATGCATATTGTATAAAGGGCGGTATATAAATGTAACTAATAATAATAATTTTCTGCACAGGCATTGTTGGCAAAAGTAATTGTGTGGTTTTGTATGTCTCTCTGCACAGCCTGCTCTTGTCCGCGTAAACAGAATTCTCTTCCGCATGATCAAGGTCAAATGGTTTGCCTGACTCCTAATTTTGCTAATGGCAGCAAGTTACTGATTGACTTTGTCCTGAAGCGAAAGTTCCTGAATCTTCTCTGCTCATGTAGTTCACCTTTGATATCCCAGTGGCTCGGTCTCACGTTTATGTATAGGAAAGATGACAGGATATTTACGACATGAGAGAAGATATTGTTGGTTGCTAGTACAGTGGTACCTCGGGTTACATACGCTTCAGGTTACAGACGCTTCAGGTTACAGACTCCGCTAACCCAGAAATAGTACCTTGGGTTAATAACTTTGCTTCAGGATAAGAACAGAAATCGTGCTCTGGCGGCACGGCGGCAGCAGGAGGCTCCATTAGCTAAAGTGGTGCTTCAGGTTAAGAACAGTTTCAGGTTAAGAACGGACCTCCATTTTATACCACTGTATTTACTTCTGTCACCCAGTTTTAAGAAGTCTTATTTGACTGATGGATTGATCATGCTCACAAACTGATTAGATGGATCCATTTTTTAATCTAGATTCTGGCCCAGATTTGTAACTGAAACTGGCTTGACCACCATGATGGGTGCCATACACCAGGAGATAAAAGGGGGAAATTCAACTCTGTTGGTTCTACTGGATCATTTGGTAGCATTTTATATCACTGAGGTTGGGGAATGAAGGCACCTCCTTCTAAGTGGCTCTGCTCCTACCTGGAGGGTGGATTCCATAATGATCTTCCTTCTGCAAAATGACATTTTCATTATGGGGTCCCTCAAAGATCCATTTTGTCCTCCATATTGTTCAACATTATATAAAGCTGTATGGAGCTGGGTGTCATTAATCCAGCTCTATCTGTCTTTCCAATCAGGTGATTGATAATGGGGCTGGACCAGTTCCCTTATGGTGAGTAAGTGCAGGGATGCCAACTTGAATAAATAATCCATCAGCATTCTTCTTATGCTCTTAGGGCTTGCTTAAGATCAAATGCAGCCTAAATTTATGCATGTTTATTCAGAAGTAAGTGTTCAATGGGACTTACTCCCTTGTAAGTTTTACAGGATTGCTGTCCCTAGTGGGTTCATGGCAGAAGTAGAATTGCAAAAGGGAACTTCCAGATCGTTGAGTTTATTTGGGTCCCTCCAAAAGTTATTTTATTATACATTGGTTATCTGTGCATATAATGGTATCTGGGTGGTTATACGTGATTCCGCTTTTAATACTGTTTGTGCCTACTTGAAAAAGTGTTGGAGTGGACATAGGGCTGTACCTTTCTCTGTTTTCTAGCTCAAGGGCTCTTGTGGTAGCAGATGGGCAAGTTTTAATCTTGCACAACAGAGGAATCTAATGCAACCGTTGCACTAGTGGAAATGTGTTGTGCAATAGACTGCTCACTCTATGGTACGATGAAGTTGCCAGCAACTTGCTTCTGCAGTCTCTTGCACAGTTTTTTTGTGGAAGACATTTTGCCTGTGGAACAAATATACTGCTAAGTGACTTTAACTTAGCCCTACACTGGAGTTAACCCATTCATTCAATTTCATTTCCAAATGGTGAGTGTCCTGAAAAATTCCTGCTGGCATTCTGTAAGTTTTTGACCATTCCAAGGTGGTGGTGTTGTCCTGCTTTTGTAGCACTGTGGCACAAGAGTCTCCCTCCAGACAGCAATAATGAAGCGACATTGCAGAAGCATCACAGAACTACAAGTACAGTGGTACCTCAGGTTAAGTACTTAATTCATTCTGGAGGTCCGTACTTAACCTGAAACTGTTCTTAACCTGAAGCACCACTTTAGCTAATGGGGCCTCCTGCTGCTGCTGCGCCGCCAGAGCACAATTTCTGTTCTCATCCTGAAGCAAAGTTCTTAACCTGAAGCACTATTTCTGGGTTAGCGGAGTCTGTAACCTGAAAGTGTATGTAACCTGAAGCGTATGTAACCCGAGGTACCACTGTAAAGCAAAACAATGTGTGGACAGTCCAGCACAAATCCACTACTAAAACACCATTATTGCAAAATATACCCTCCACCCCAACAGGTTGGAGGGGCCCATAAGCCCAAAATCTTATGCATACTTTCCTCAGATTAAGCTCCTTTTGAGCAAACATTCATAGGTTTATGCAATCCTCTTTTTTTTTCAGAGGGTACTCAAGGGTACGCAGTACCAGCACCCCCCTTTTGGTTAAAAAGTGTGGCAGTGACTGTAACAACTTCATGGTGAGTACCGGCACCTATTTTTCTAGGGGGAAAAAGCACTGGGCTTCTGGTATTAGCCACTTTGATGCACAAGCTCAATGAGTCAAGTATCATTAAGGCACTAGTCATAAGTACTGCTTAGCTATCCTAGCTAACGTCTTTTTTTTTTACAGAGAAAAAGAAATCATCACATGCTCTTCCTTAAAAAGAGGCGTCAATTTAAGAAAGAAAGAAAGAAAGAAAGAAAGAAAGAAAGAAAAGGAATCCTGTGGGCATTCCTGGTACCTGAGTCATACTTTTGCGGGAAGGGATGCCTAAGCATTTGAAGGAGAAAGTTCATCTGCAGATTTCCACCCACTCCCTCTGTAAGGTGAGGCAACTGTGGGTGGAACTTGGATGACCTGCAGCTACGGTAGTTCTTGGAGTGTATATACTTAAGGCTGGACTGAAACCTGAGTTATAAACTCTGTCTGCAGTAGCTTCAAAGTCAGGGAGGTGCCATTTGTATGTTTTCATTTATAAGTATGGAAATGTTTTTAATAACGAAGTTCCGGTTATTAGCAGCACAAGCAAAGTTATCCTTTGTGGTTAGTCAGATAATGATATTGTGGGAGGTCTTTTAAAGATAAATGGGAAGGCAATTGTGTCAGTATCTCACCTCTATTAACATTTTTCCATGAAAAACAAACAGAACCCTTAGGATACCAGCTTAACTTTATTTTGTTAATCAACTAAAGCTGCAAATCCTATCTACTTGGGAGTAAGCTCCCTGAATGAATGGAGCATCTTTCTGAGCAGGTATGTACAGGATCGCACTGAAAACTGCAATACTAGCCTAACTGCAATACTACTGTTGTTATTATTAGGAATCATATCGGGCATCTGCAGCAAAAAACTGCAAGGAGTCTGTGCCGCATTGGCGTACAGTGGCATAAACTTTCGTGAACTAGTTTACTAGTTTACCCCACGAAATCTCATACCCTTGCCAAGTTTTTAAGGCGCCACAAAGCCCTCGGCTGTTATAACTCATCATCATCATCCCAACTGCAAAATGTATTCTGCGCTATATATATGTAGATTGAACTTATTGAACTATATATATAACTTGAACTTATTTCCCTCCGGAGAAGCCCGTCCGTCTAGTGACAAGGCAGCATCCCCCGCCCCCCACTAAGCCTCCTTTCCGCACGAAACCAGACGACGAAGCACCCGGCTTCCTGGCCCGTCCTCCTTCCTGACCTCACCTGTCCGGCGTCCTTGATCCCCCGCGGGCGGGGGCGGGGCCTCGCCGTAAACTACAAGTCCCGTCATGCCGCGCGCCTCACCCCCCCCTTCCCAGGAGCGGGGCTTCCGGCGGTGGCGACGGGGACCTTCAGCCCCTGAGGGACTCTCAGAAAGAGGAGGCGGCGGCGGCGTTGGTGGCGCGAGGTGAGGTGAGTTGGAGTGAAGTGAGGGTAGGGGCTGGCCGCCCGGCCGTCCAGGCAGGAATTCGCCAGGTGAGGAGGTGCTGCTGGTTCCCCTCATCTGACTCCAGGTGAGTGAGTGAGGAAAGTGAACAAGTTTAGCCGACAGTTAATTCTCACCCCCGCTCTCAGTGAGAAGCGAGGGGGTCTCTCTCGCAGCCCCCCCCCCAATACTCTTTTGTTTTGTTTTCGCTACTTTAGTTTTCTGTGAGGGTGGGTGGGGCATTTGCTTTCTTTTATCCCTACAGCCAACTCCCCACCACATCCCGCTTTTCTAATTGGCCAACCTCCCTTTCAGACGCTGCAAGGGTCTTTGCTTCCTGCTCCTTCTTAATCCTTCCGAGCTGCTGCTGCTTTTTTTTTTTAATGCATTCGCATCAACAGATCTGCTTTCCCCGTGTTGTTTACTGCTCATTTTCAATCGGTTGACATGATCTGTGTTGTGGCTGGTTTTGTAAAGAGGCTTCTGAAAGGCGGGCTGCAACTCTTTTAAACAAATGAATACATCTGCCCGTCCAAATTCACTGTCTTTTTCCTGAATTCTCTCAGCTCCCTCAGCCCTTATAGTATCTTGCACCCATCATTAAAAAAAATGGGGAGTTTCTCATTATTTCTCTCTCTCGCTCTCTGCCTCTGGTATTAAACCACCTCTTCTAATATTAGATGGTAGTTGATCTGTCAGTGCCTTCCTGTCACTAGGTGACCTCCCTTTTGTGCCCCCTGCCCCCCAAATGCATTCTGAGTGACTTGCATGACCCCTCACTCATTGCTCGTCTTCCCTGCCCCCTCCCTTACTTTGACTGTTGTGTTTTATCAAGTATATTGGCTCTTTCTCCCCACTCATGCCAAAAGGGAACTCTCCTCTTGAGTTTTCAGTGTGTTACAAAAAACTAAATCAAGAGTGATGTCCTGTATTTACTTTTGGAAGTGTGTGTGTGTCTGTCTCAATATGTATCTGCCAGTACAAGATGAAAATATGTTGCTGTATATGTTGAATGCCTCAAAAGACTGACTTGAATGCCTCAAAAGACCAATTTGAAGGGTAGCTGGTTGATTTGTGGTTGTTTTGTAGCTCAGAAAGTGAGATTTGTCTTTGTATTCTCTTTTTACCCTAATGAACTGATCTGAGCATGTTTGTTAACTTGTAAACAAATTATGAAATTTATTGGGAAGAATAGATGTGGCTTGCTTGAACTTAAGCAGAGGAATCTGTGTGAGACAGACAGTAAACTTTTGGGATGCTGGTATCTTCCTCTGTTTTACACTAAGAAAAGGAAGCAACCCTAATCGTTTAATATTTCTAGCTGCATTAAGCCTCAGGAGAGGAAGCATACTGTATTTATTTTTAAAAATTAAATACTTACATTTGCAAAAGTGGGAGTATTCAAACTATGTCTTAATCTGCCCCCCCCCATAAAAAGTGAATGTTTTAGTCAATTCTTCCCTCATCCAGAGTTTCCCAACCTTTAGATGTACTGTGCTGCCCACCATCCCATTTGGACCTAATTAAATGGATGTTGGCCTATGATATGGAAATTGCTATCCTTTATGTTGCAGTGGAGGATCTGTGCTTCTAGGCATCTGTATCTAAGATTAGATTCTTAACATATTTTTACCTACTTAGGGAAGTGTCCTTGTTCTCAGAATACTGAATTGGGAGATGACTATTCTACATTTTTCAAAAAGGGGGTCACTTATTTAGGCACTTCAATGTTGGTTTCCTGGGGTATCTTTTGTCTTTTTCATGTGGTGTGTCTTTAATCAAGTCTTTTTATTCACATGACTCATGTAAACATATTGTTGCTGTGGACTAAACATGCTATCTTTTTACTGTTTTCTTCCAATGGGATTATTAAACCCTTTTGAGTACCTTGGATTGTGTTGTGCCAACCTCAGGTTGGGCTTGACTGGGGTATGTCATACTTGTGCAGTGTGCAAAAGTTTGGGTTGTCGGTAAGAATGAAATAATTGTTTCAGGTCCCTTTTTCTGTATCTCAGTTATCACGTTCAAGAATGTTCTTCCCTAACCCCAAATATGGGAAGTAAGACAGAGGTGTGCAAATGTTTAATGTGTTAACTCTTACAGTCTTATGGAGCAGGAAGTAATGTTTTTCCACAAAATGGAGGGAATGCATGTTAAATAGGTCAAATCAGCACACAGCCAGCTACTGTTTTCTGAAAATGAAGACTGGAAAATAATGGTTGTGATTCTTCAGTTGTAAATTGAGATTTTTTAGTTTTAGCTAGTCATAGATAGTAAGAAGACAGAGCTTCCATTAGAAGATCTGAGTGGGAATATAAATTGCTGCTGAGGAGCTGATCTAGACTGTGATTGCATCTTTGTTTCTGTACTTTCAGATTAGAAGTATGTGATTATGCAGACTTTCTACTTCATTCAACCACCAGTTAAATTAATCTCTAGTTTAATTTGATAATCTTGGGAAGCAAATCACTTCTACCGAGCAAAATAGGTCTGTATATTGGTCATGTGCGGCTGTTCTTGATGGTAGTCACTGAGATTGGTGATGTTGAGGTATTAATAAAATTAGGTGACAATTGCTGTTAACTTGATATATAAATTCTAGAGGGATATGTGTTATGTCTGTAGCCTCAAAAGCAATATGTTTTTAAAAAGAGATTTATTGTGGCATAAACTTGAGAAAATCCAACCTTAATAAAGGAAACATGAGGAGTTAACTAAAGCTAGTTTGTTATTGACAGTGAAGTGCATGCCAAACAGAAGGGATATGCTTTGCAAGGAGCTCAAAATTTATGAACTAGGAAGTGCAAAAGTAAGGGCTTTAATCAGTAAGTCACAGAGTTTCCCTTTTAAGTCTGCAGGAAGTAATGAATGCTTAGAAAATAAGTTAATGTCATGGTTAGAGCATTGGGCTAGGCTGGGTAGCATGGGTTCAATTCCCCCTATCCCAGCTGTGCATCTCAATCATAAGACCTTAGGCTAGTCACACTCTTTCAGCCTGACTTACCTCATAGGGTGGTTGTGAGAATGAAATTGGGATGGAGGAAGGAAAAGCGAATATGTGTCACCCTGAGCTCCATGAAAGAAAGGTGAGATAGAGATATATACATGCAAAAGAGATGTCCCAACTAAAGTTTGAAATCCTTTTAACTTCAGGGGGAGATATCTCAGCACATGCTTAATTTTCAGGGGAAGAGGCACTCCTGGTACCTTTGGACTTCAAAGTGTCCAACTGTGACTGGGTTGTGTCATCAAAGTTTTATAGCTCCATTATTGAATATGTCTCTTAGATCAATACCCCCTTTGTTAAATGTATATCACTCTTTTGTTGCATTTATTTTAAAGCACATGAGAGGTAGAATGTTCTGAGACAATCAGAGCTTGCCTTTGAGTAAAGAACTTGCTTTTCCTAACGTTTATTTTTAGCTGTTAATTAGCAGTGCTCACTGAGTCCTTTGAGATAAGGGTTGTTTTTGGGTGTTGCTGTATGACAGTAGCGGTGCTGCTGTTATGAATGACTTAAGTGGTGAGCCTCATTTATTTATTTAATTTCAAGTGTTTGGCTTCCTCTATTCCCAAAGACTTATTGCGGTATTTAAAAAAAGCCACTGAAAGAACTTCCCTTCATTCTTGACCAGATGTTTGCTCAGATAATAACTCTGAACACTGCATTTGGAAAGCCAAAGGCTTTAACTTTTATAAAGTGTCTGGAGAAAGTGGGGTGGGTCAAAAGCCAGAGAGCAGCTTGCAAAATGGCAGGCAATGGCACGTGGAAGGAATTGCTAGGAAGCCACCCTTGGCTACTGGTAGCAGTCATTATGGGATGCAGGGAAGCAACTTACCAGTAATAGTTGTGTTTTGCTTCCTTCAACCTTTTCTCTGCTTTCCAGTTCTCGGTATCAAGATCATTGCCCACCATCCCACCCTGTAAAGTGCTTTCAAAACCTCTTAGTATTTTTTTCTCTCTAGAAGGGTGTCTGTAGGCACTGACAGTCTTGCATTTGAGCACTAGCCTGGGACCCATAATTGAAAATGGACTTGGGTGCAGGTAAGTGAGCTATGTGTAGGCATATGAGAGACTGAAAACTTTGTCCCTCCTCTGTGTTCAGCATAGAAACTAATCAAGCTGCCAGAGGAAGAAAGTCCCTGCTTTGGTTTCCAGTACAGAGATGCAGCAGGTTTCTACAAGAGGGACAAGAGCTGCACATTACTCCTCTACTAACACACAGCAGGCTAGTAAAAAGTTTTGGAGGCTAGCGACTTTTGTGGGCATATTTACAAGGTTGCTAAAGGCTTTGGTACAGTCAGTAGGGATGCTTGTGGAATTCAGTTTCTGTGAATTCTAACAGAAACTTAACTGGCCTGATCCACACCTCCTGGACACATGTGTTGATCCGATCATATATGATAACGATTGCAGTTAGAATGTTTACTATGATCTGATCCACACGTTTGTCCAGAAGGTGTGGATCAGGCCAGTTAAGTTTCTATTAGTAACCAATGCTACCTGAGAACTTCAGTGACAGTGTTGAATCCAAGAGCACCCACAAACTATGGACCTTTCCCTTTCAGGGGTCTGCAACCCAATCCAGGACAGGCCACTTCCTCACCTCCTGGACTTAAGAATTTAGGGCACTTAACACCTCTTTCTTTTCAGGGCTCAGCTTCATTGCCCCATCTCAGTCCTTCAACATCTCCAGGCACTGGTCTAGCACCTGAATTGCTTTTTCTGGTTCAGAATGAACAGAGAGATATCAATGGGCATCATCTGCATATGGGTGTTGCCTCACTTCAAATCTCCTAATGACCGATCCCCAGCAGTTTCATATGGATATTAAATAGCACGGGGGACCCCCACAGGATATCACAGGAGAACTTCCATGATGCTGAGCAGTAGCCTTCCATAACTACTTTCTGGAAACAACTCTAGAGGTAGGAGTGGGACCACTGAAGTACAGCCCCCCCAATCCGCACTTCCCCCAAGAAGGATACTGTGGTCGGCGATATCAGAAGCCACCAAGAGATGAAGGAGAAAAAGCAGAGCTGCACTTCCTCTTATTTCGCTCTTAACAAATGTCACCCAACAGGCAACCAAGATGGTTTCAGTGCTATGCTGGGCCTGAAGCCAGACTGGAATGGATCTATGTAATCAGTTTCTTCCAAGCATTAGGAATAGTGATGCAAAATCCATCTTTTAAATAAGTGTGGTGGGTGGGGTAGTCACTGAATAGTTAAGCTACATATGGGTAGTTAACTGCTTGTTTCTGATGCAGTTTCTGGGGTTGTTATTTTTTAATGAAAAGTGGCCCAGCGCTCTAATTTAGTGAGGAAGCTCTGACAGTTAAATTCCATTACAGTGGTGCCCCGCAAGACGAATGCCTCGCAAGACGAAAAACCTGCTAGACGAAAGGGTTTTCCGTTTTTCGATGCGCTTCGCAAGACGAATTTCCCTATGGGCTTGCGTCTTGCGATTTCTTGCGATTTTTTTCGCTCCCCCCCTTTTCCTAAGCTGCTAAGCTGCTAAACCGCTAATAGGGTTGCTTCGCAAGACGAAAAAACCGCTAGACGAAGAGACTCGCGGAACGGATTATTTTCGTCTTGCGAGGCACCACTGTAAAAGTTTCTTTATGAATAACAGCTTTTGATGCTATAAACCTTGTGTATGCTTCCAGCAGAGTACCTATAAATTCCGTCTCTGGATCATATCTCATTTGCTTACTGCTTGGTAACTAGCCTTGCCCTAGTAAAACAATGTTTCACAGTTTAGGTTGTTTCCTGTAGTAACTGTAGAGCATTTATACACCCTTGAGATTTGTTACCATAGGGTAAATAGTTGAGGGTCACAATGTTTAATCAAAGTGATTATTGTAAAAAAATACTCTGATCTCAAGTGTGTGTATGTATGTTGATCAGCTGATTTATAGTTTCCCTCCATTAAATGTAGATTAGAGCTGTTAAAGAGAAGACAACTTCCCCTGCCCCTCTCAAGGTCATAAAGAACACCCCCCTCCCATATTTTAGAAATGTCTGACTTGAAATCAAGTGTTGTGCTTTGTTGTAAACAAAAATCTGCGCTTTCCCCCTTATCCTATCACAGATTCAAAAATGAAAGAAAACTCGTGGCTATGGACTTTACTTTAGCCTGGCATGCCTATCTACGGTAACTGATCTCTGCCCAGAGACCTTGCTAAATCCTTATTGACATACTAATCTTTGTTTGAATTGTCTTCATTTCCTAATAACTGTCACCAAAGCTCTTTCATACAATGCTTTGGGGAGTGGGCGGGAGGAAACCATGCTCTCCCAAAATATTCTCCTGGTGGCGTGAGCCAGACTGCATCTGTGAACATATGAAGGAGCCTTGTATAGGAGGCATTGTATGATACCAGTTGTCTAGCAAGGCAGAATGGAACACAATGGAGGAGAGGGTACTATTAGGTGCAATCCTGTCCACCAGAGCAATAACACTCAGCCCATTTCCGGCCCTTATTATCCCTGTCTGTGACTTTCACTTCTCTAAAAGTGTGGCTATCTCCTGATCTCAAAGGCAAAGAAAAAAGAGGGGTCAGAAGGGGAGAAAAGTCATGTGCTAGAAATGAAATTTATTCCAGGGATGACTCTCTTCTTGAGGGTACGGTTTTAATATCAGTTCTCGCCAAATGCACAGGACACTATAGTAACTTCATTGACTCTGCTCATTTTCAGTGATGCCCTTTATACCTTTTAATTCCCTCTTATGATGTCTGTATCATGTTGCACCTCTCTCCCTTCTCTTCTTTCCCCAGAAAACTCTTAGAGGAGACACTTTTACTCAATCCACAACCCTTACCCTCACTTGTAAACATCTGATACTTCAAAAAGAAAAGTGAATGCAGAGTAGCTTTCACCAGGCTTGGTGTTGGCATGATGCATCCTTGGGTAGTTCCTGGAGCTGCAGTGCCAAAACCTGCCTTAAACTCCTACATTTGGTGGCTAGGAGCAGCATTATAATTTCCAGTACTGCTTCTGACATATCACTTTGGGTCACTGTGGTCAATTAAAATAGTGGCTCAAAGTTGCCTGATTCTCATGGCTGTACCGTGCCAATGGATCCTTGGCACAGTACAGTTGTTCCTAGCTTGCACTAGTGCAGTACTTGGTAAAGTAACAGGCCTTTACAGACTCCCATTGGTTTTAGGCAGATGGGAGGCTGTTGCGCTGCTTCTGATATTTAATGTGGGGAAGGCAGGAAAGATCTGAAAACGCACGTTTGCAAATGATGTTATTCTGTTGTTTTTGTGCCAGTGGTATGTGGATTATGAAATGCAATTTGCAATTGCTTAATTAAGACAGGGCATGCTGTCTAGCCGCCAAAGAATTGATGCTTTTGAATTATGGTGCTGGAGGAGATTCTTGAGAGTCCCATGGACTGCAAGAAGATCAAACCTATCCATTCTGAAGGAAATCAGCCCTGAGTGCTCACTGGAAGGACAGATCCTGAAGCTGATTTTCCAATACTTTGGCCACCTCGTGAGAAGAGAAGCCTCCTTGGAAAAGACCCTGAAGTTGGGAAAGATTGAGGGCAAAAGGTGAAGGGGACGGCAGAGGATGGTTGGAAAGTGTTCTCGAAGCTACCGGCATGACTTTGACCAAACTTTGGGAGGCAGTGGAAGACAGGAGTGCCTGGCGTGCTCTGGTCCATGGGGTCACGAAGAGTTGGACACGACTAAACGACTAAACAACAACAACAACATGCTGTCTAGCACAATAATAATAATAATATGATGTTATTTCTACCCTGCCCATCTGGCTGGGTTTCCCTAGCCATTATTAGTTAATTGAGCATGTCTTCCTGAAAGTCAGGAAGCAATGCAGGGTATCCAGGGATGGGGGTCAGCTATGGAGAGCCTAGTACTCTGGGTGATTAGTTTCCAACCATAAACCATTATAGGCAGAGGGGTTTGTGTAGGCAAGATCAAATCAAATTACAAAGCTATATGCGAAAAAACTGGAATAGTGTCTGTCTCGTAGTAGAGCAGGGCCTATTTGGAGTTTTACCAGCAAAACTGAAAGAAAGCTGTGGAGAGAAGGATAACCATGCCATTCACTAGTCAGTGGAAAGAATACGCTGAACTGGCTGCAGCCCCCCCCCCCTTTCTTTTTGCTAAACTCAGCCCATTCTGAACTATGTCAGTCCTTGTGCTAGCTTTCAACCTTAATCACATCCTGGGTGAGGCTCATGCAGGTACGGCATAGCTGCAGACTGCAGGGCCTTGAGACTACATGTGATTCAAGGGAAGCAGCAACAAGTTCTGCCACATGTGAATCTTCTTAGAGGAAGCCATATGTGTTTATGAAAGACAGTTCCCATTATAAATAGGGTACATTTGGACCCAGGAAAGAAAACACATTCAGAGGATGAGCCTGACACTTGCTTTAGGTACCATTCCAGCTGATTTTATAAATTATTTGAGTTTATTTGTTGTTTTCTACCAAGATGTCTCAAAGCTTCTTACAACAATAAAATTCATGCAGTAGTAGCTTGCATAAATATTTGAAATCAGTAACAACGGAGAGTGTCTTTCTTCAGGAATGAAAATACATTCAAAGAGTGAACTGTTCTTTTCCTTTTTTCCTCTCTGGCTTGGAAATTAACGCCTGCAACTAGTAGGGACAAAGTGTAAAAGGTAAAGGTACCCCTGACTGCTAGGTCCAGTCGTGGACGACTCTGGGGTTGCGCACTCATCTCGCTTTCCTGGCTGAGGGAGCCGGCATTTGTCCACAGACAGTTTTTCTGGGTCATGTGGCCAGCATGACTAAGCCGCTTCTGGCGAACCAGAGCAGTGCACAGAAACACCATTTACCTTCCCGCCAAAGCGGTACCTATTTATCTACTTGCACTTTGTCATGCTTTCGAACTGCTAGGTGGGCAGAAGCTGGGACCGAACAACAGGAGCTCACCCCGTCATGGGGATTTGAACTGCCAATCTTCTGATCGGTAAGCCCTAGGCTCTGTGGTTTAGACCACAGCGTCACCCGTGTGTATTTTATAACAAATGCATTATGCTGTGGGTCTATGCTGCGGCTCCTGATCCATATACCTGCCGTGTAAAACAGGATATTCCAGATGTCAGGAAAATTAACCCACAATGTGACCCTTAAGATGGATGCATTCCCTTTTGCTTTAGTTGTGTGCTGAAATCCCCTAGCTGACTAAAATTGTAATCAGAGCCAGGAGGAAGTCAGAAAGCATCTACTGCTCAAGCGTAGGAGTGTCAATGTGTGACCTGCTTTGCATTTTAGATGTGATGTCTGTATGTTTGTGGGTCTTCTTAACCGGATGATGATGGCTTTAAGTTAATCAGCTGGCTTTAGCTGAGCAACTTGTACCTGCCTGTGCATTTATGTTCTTTTTAAGTAGAGGGAGGCAGCTGTTCATTGTGGTGGTTGGAGATATAAAAATGGAAACAAAGCATGGAGAAGCATCTGCTACGGCCATATTGACTACTTAATACAATAAAAATTCCAGTGTGTGTGAAATACTGTGTGCCTTTTGAGTTCCTTGCATCTCATTTTTATTGAGATGTAGACCAAATTATAGTGTTTAGATGCAATTTCCTCTCTGCCCCATCCTGCTCTCATCTATTATGAGCTGGCTATTGTGCCTGAGGCCAATTAGTTGTAGAAGTGCATTTTAAATAAATGCCAAATGAAGCTGATGCCTTGTGAGATCAGCAGAGCATTCGATAAATCACATTAAGTTTCCTATGGGGAATAACTAGTGCCCAGTATATCTAATGCTTGCCTTAGTCCGCATTGGAAATTTGTCATGGAAACAGGCTGCAGCTAAGCCTCCCTGACCATTGGTCATGCTGCCTCGGGATGTTGCATGTTGCAGTCCAGCAACATCTGAAAGGGACACAGGTTCCCCTACCTTGATCTGAATGATATAAATACCACAAAGCCTTTTTTGATAAATGTGGTTCTATTAGGATGCAGAAGGGCTAGGATTTGCCCTTTATGTTTTAGCATCATGCTTTGAAAAATAAAACTTAATTTGTCTTTTAAAAAAAACATTTTCACCCTTTCTTTGTAAAAATAAATAAACTAATAATACTAATTCCCTTAAGTAGGCAGGTAGGATGGCTTGAAAGCTTTGGAGATGCTTACATTTCCAGTTAGCACATAAGTTAGATTATCTCCTCTCTGTGAAGGATTTATTCTGATTTGGCAGCATTAGTGATGGAGAAATAAAAACCATTTTTGAAATCCACTTTGCTGCATTTGAGCCTCCAGGCTGCAAACCTGTGGTGATACTTCCCTGTCTGCCTGACTGGAAGCATTCTGTGTGATGGTTGTTCTAAAGGTGGTTTCACTCTTAGGCGCAAACTGGTTGTTTGGAGGAGGGAGGTGACAACTGGACAGGCAATGCATGTTGAATACACAGAAGCATTATGTGGGAAAGAAGCTTTCAAGGGTGGTCTATAACCATTTATTGGAGCCTTAACAAAACCTAAAAACAATTCTATTCCTTTAAATGCAGTGTGTGCATTGAAAATATGACAGCAGTAACACCAGAGGAACAGAAATGAGGAAGACAAAAGGAAACTCCTGGTTTTCAACTTCCATGCTATGTCTGTAGTATCAGTATATCCCTCCCTCCCTCTTTAAGGTTGAACGTAAAACACTATACCTTTCAGGATTACTTCAATGTAAGATAACAACCAACAGTAGTTGACATGTGCCAGTTGATTGCAGGTGCAGAACTACATGTATATTCAAATCTAATTTATCTTAATTGAATATATGCAAAGTAGCTGATAAGCTCAGGATATGTTTTCTATGAGAAATCTGATCATCACCTTATTTTTGTTCAGGACCATATTGTACTATAGAAAGAACTCTGGTAATGTGATAAAATGAATTTCTAGTCCTTGATATGTTACATTTTATAATTCTTCCTTCCTTCCTACATGGAACTCAGCACCATACATAGGGTCCCCAAACATTCTTCCATCTAGGCATCAACCCCCTAAGCTTCAACAAGGTTGTTGCATCATATGCCTTTGAAAAATGCTTTGGCTCTGAATCATTCTCCTGTAATTGTGCACATGGCATCAGCCAACCCGTTTCAAGGGGATTATAATACCATTTGAGGGTGTTTGCTTAATTTAGGTGTGTAAATGTTCAGAGTGTAATTCAGAGTGTAAATGTTCATCTAATCTAGCGTCTTATGCCCTACACTCGAGATAGGAAACGCATCAATAGGGTATGAAGGCAGGAGCTTATCCCTCAATCTTGCTCTTCAGGGGCTGATATTTAGTGGCACAATTTGGACCTGCAACAAAATGTGAAGTTTTCCTGTCCAAGTTTTCAGAAACTCCGTTTTACCTGCCCTCCAAACAGTCAATCAGCACTGTCTGGCCACTGATCATGCTCCATCCTCTCACCCCTTAGCAGTTTTTCTAAATGTTGTTTAAATACTTCTTAAAACATTGGGGCACCTCCAGGTTTTCTGATGGTAACTGACTTGTACTATTTTGGCTAAATATAAGCAATGGCACACCTAACCTAGACACTGGAAATAGAGGGGAATGATGTTGCCTCTGAGTATCAGATGCATTTGTTTATTTAATAGGGAAAGCAGGAAGAAACTGTTTGAGCAATATTGAAGTTACTGCTTTTTCATGACAGAGCATTGGTGCCAACGGTGAGGGGAGTTTCCTTGGCACTGGCTGCTCTTTAGCTGCTGCCCAATCAGGTGCACCTCAGTTCCAGGTAGCTGACTCATTTCATGGTGCTACACAACCGCCTGTTGTTTCCGTAGCAGCTGAAAATTTACCAAGAGGGTGGGGTCCATAGTTCACTGCAACCTGGTTTGAAGAGTGTACATATGGTTTTATACTTAATTCTGGTAAGGAATTTTCTGCTAAAGACATACCTGAACTCACCATCACTACTGCAACACGATGTGGATATTTTAACCATATTGGTGACTTTCAGATGTTTTCGTTTCCTTTTTCCTGACTGCTAGCAATTCTTTCAAGCTAATGGCTCTGGGAGTTTCCCTAGGAAGTGCAGGTGTGTATAATGTTTCATGGCATAGCAAGTTCTGCTTTTATAGTACAAATAATCAGTAAAAGTCAGTAGAATGATGAAACACTTTCATTTGTCTCAAAGAACTTTGCCAAGGAAGTATCAACTTGCTCAAATTTTTTTGGTCCATTTCACTTGTGTGAGAGGGCACAGGATGTACCGTATTTTTTGCACCATAACACTCACTTTTTTCCTCCTAGAAAGTAAGGGGAAATGTCTGTGCGTGTTATGGAGCGAATGCCTGCGGGTGGCGGGGGGGATCTGCTGCAGTCGTGAGCAGAGGATCCATGGTTCCCCTTCCTTCCCTCCTCCGTGGTTACAAAGCATGGATCCACATGGATCCTCAGGATTTTTGCAATGGGCTACTCCAAACTCACTGTCAGATCACATGTCTGTGGCCACAGCATGAACCACAAAAATATTTCGTTTAGAATATTTTTTTTCTTGTTTTCCTCCTCTAAAAACTACGTGCGTGTTATGGTCTGGTGCGTGTTATAGAGTGAAAAATACGGTAATTTTTTATTAGAGGCACCTGGATTCAAACAGCTATTTTGAGGTTGGTATACATTGCCTTTTAGGTTAAGAAAAACTTTACAAAGCTGTCCACCTAAAAACTAATATATATATATATATATATATATATATATATATATATATATAAAATTAAACCATCCTATATTGCAATGGAGCGAAACCAAAGGCTGAATAAAGCCATTCTTCTCACTAAAATGTGTTAAAACCTGGACAGTGCCAAAAAGATAGTCTGCATCTGGTCAGCCTCCCTGGGGAATGTATTCCAAGGATAGGGTGTTATAACTGAGATGACCCTACCACACCTTAGATGATGAATTTTGGGGCTGGTTCCTGGAGGAGGAGGTATGAGATAAAGCCAGTAGTTGGAACCAACAGGTAAGCAGTGTGATTCAGCAGCATAAAAACCTAATTCAATTCTAGGCAGCATCAACATCATGCATAGTGTCCAGATCAAGGGAAGTAATAGTACCACTCTTTTCTGCCTTGGTTAGACCCCACCTGGAATACTCAGTCTAATTCTGAGTACCACAGCTTAAGCAGGATATCAACAAGATGGAATGCGTGCAGGGGAGGATGCCCAAGATGATAAAGGGCCTGGAAAGCTAGCCTTATGAGGGAATTGGGAGTAGAGAAGACTGAGAGGTGATAGGATAACCATCTTCAGATATCTGAAGAGGTGTCACACGGATGATGGAGCAAGGTTGTTTTCTGCTGCTCTACAGCATAGGACCTGACCAAATAGATTCAAGTAACAAAAAAAGAGCTTATGACTAAATACAGTGGTACCTTGGGTTAAGTACTTAATTCGTTCCGGAGGTCCGTTTTTAACCTGAAACTGTTCTTAACCTGAAGCACCACTTTAGCTAATGGGGCCTCCTGCTACTGCCGTGCCACCAGAGCACAATTTCTGTTCTCATCCTGAAGCAAAGTTCTTAACCTGAAGCACTATTTCTGGGTTAGCGGAGTCTGTAACCTGAAGAGTATGTAACCTGAGGTACCACTGTATTATGGAGAATTTTCTGATGGTAATAGCTATTCGACAGTGGAACGGACTACCTCAAGAGGTGCTGGACTCTCTTTCATTTGAGGTTTTTAATCATGTTAGATGGCCATCTTCCAGGGCCTCTTAGCTGTAATTGCTGTATTGCAGGGAGTTGGACTAGATAACCCTTGGGGACCCTTCCCCCTCTACAGTTCTATGAAATGAGGCAGGATTCAGCAGCATGCCAACTGAAGAACTGCCAAAGCATACAGGAACGCACCAGAGCTCAGAGCACTTTGTTGCTTAAGCAACTGCAACAGAAAGCCCTCTTAAACTCTTTCCTGTCCCAAAGGAGCCATTGGCCAACTTGGGTGGGCCGAGTAAGTCCAGAGCCTGAGGGCACTTCACCCAAAAGTTGCTGCCTGCAATTCAGTGGCTCATGACATGGAGCAGCTGCCCACCGATCCCAGCATCTTCTAAAAGCAAAAGGAGGTTAACACCTGGGCCAATGTTTGTGTAATGTGGTTTGCCCTTGAGGTACATGGTTCAGAGCCATTTAAGGTCATGACCAGCACCTTGAATTGGGCCAGAAATGGACCAAGAACTAATGCAGTTAAAACTGTTGACAGATGTTCTAATATGGACTTTATCAGCCCACTGTAGAACCTTTCTTAGAAAGCTGCAGGAAGTACAGGAAAGGTGATGTCTACTAAGCTGCGCTCCTGTTGAATCCACCCATACCATTTTATTTTGTCATAGCTCTGCATGCAGAATTTGGGTGTGCACATTTTTGGGGGACTTTTGTAGCCCGTTTAAAAATCAGTGGCATTTAAAAAAATGATCACTATTAGTATTGCTGGCCTTGGAGGTCAGTGATCAGCTTTTCCCTCCCTCGTCATAAAATGTAACGGTTCTAATAGATTTCGCACAATGAACCTGGGCTGCGGACAGGAAGTTGTTTTCTGGACCATGTTCTGCCTTTCCAGACTGCATAGTCAATAACTAATTTCTTGCTGAGTATCTTATTATTTCCTGAAGTACTTCAAGTACATCAATAATTGGGATTAGAAGGCCAGCTTGAAAGCACAACTAGTGCCTTTGTGGCAGTGCTGGGAATCAAACTTGCACTGGCACAACTGCTAGGGACACAGGGTATGAATTGCATTCTTATGTGCAGAAAGGGGAAGTAAATGCCATTTTAGTTTGCTTGCACAGCAAATTTGCTACCAGTAGGATCTGCAAAAACTGGTGTAAACATGCACAACCTTTTTCTTTCTTAATTTTAAACATTATAAATGTCCTCAGGGAGGCTTACAAGAAGAATAAAAGGAAGTTAAAATGCATACTGTAAAAGAGGTCAACAATAAAGCATATGAAAGCTACATAAAAAATGGCAAAGACAAAACTAACTGACGTAAGACCTGGAACAGATTAAAAAGCCTGGGAAAGTAAAAAGGCCTTTGCCTGGTGCTGATATGCTGTCAAAGGTAGACAACAGACGTGCTTTTCTTGGGGAGGACATTCTGTAGTAGAGGTACCACCTCTCATAATTTCCTTTACCTAATAGCCACTCACCGCACCTTGCCCAGTGGAAACATCCAAAGAAGAGCCACAGAAGAAAAATTTAAGGTCCAGGTATGTAAATGTGGAAGGGATGCGGGTGGCGCTGTGGGTTAAACCACAGAGCCTAGGACTTGCCGATCAGAAGGTTGGCGGTTCGAATCCCTGCGACGGGGTGAGCTCCCGTTGCTCGGTCCCTGCTTCTGCCAACCTAGCAGTTTGAAAGCACGTCAGAGTGCAAGTAGATAAATGGGTACCGCTCCGGCGGGAAGGTAAACGGCGTTTCTGTGCGCTGCTCTGGTTTGCCAGAAGCGGCTTAGTCATGCTGGCCACATGACCCGGAAGCTTACGCCGGCTCCCTCGGCCAGTAAAGCGAGATGAGCGCCGCAACCCCAGATTCAGTCACGACTGGACCTAATGGTCAGGGGTCCCTTTACCTTTACTTATGTAAATGTGGAGACTGAGGATCCTTCATGGACCTGGTCCCAAGTTATTAATAGTTTTAAAAGTCAAAACCAACATGTGAGGAAATCAGGACTTTGCCAAAGGGCTTCTGGCCTCAGGATGACTAGAATTTTAAAATATGTCTTTTTTGATTTCTTGGCAACTGATTGATACCCTTTATTGATTGATGCTAATGCCCTTATTCCTGTTATCATTGTCTCCTGGGGACATCCTGCCTGACACTTGCAGCTTCTAGACCTGGCACTCTCATCCAGAAGCAGGTTTACAGCTGAGCCTAAATGGGTTCTTCCCTTTTACAAAGCCCTATGCAGAGGGGTTTCCCCATGATCAAACATCCAACTGGGGCTCAGCTGTTAGGATGCAGGCCACTGCTTGTGTTGCTTGCAGCCAAAGCTGACCTGTTGGATCTAGTTACCTGTTATTTTATTTATTTGGAACTAGGAAAACTAACTGGGCTAAACTTTGACAACCTTTGCTTTAAATTTCTGTAACAGTTGTTCATAGACCACACCTTTTAAATGTGTGTGTTCATGTGTTCAGGATCATTTATTAGATGGTGTGTTTTTGGGAGGACTACTCTGTGCTTAGTTCAAAGTGTGCCTGTTGTGATTGGTCAATGTTTGGGTGGGAATTAAAGGAGGGATGGTTGCATGGTAGAATAATGCTAAAATAATTAACATGCTGTCCAAAAGTCTATTGTTTAAAGAGCTGAATTCAGCCATTGCTAATTACCATCATGGCTCATTCACACTGGTAGCTTGCTTCTTTGGTTTACTTGTTTGACTGCAGTGCAGGCAGCTGCTTGGCAGTGCTGTGCATTATGACTTGACAGTGTAAATGAAAATATTGCACCTTTGCAAAAAAGCCAAAACAAAAACTGCTTGCCCAGTTGGTTAGACTTTGAACATTCATTTCTCGTGGGTCTCACTATTGCATCACCAGTCTTGTTAATACCCTGATGTTGTATCCCAATGTTCTTGTCTGTTTTGCTAATGCCTCAAATACTAGGCCAGAAGACAACGTGAGAGAAGTTGTGTGCAGTGTTTAAAGGGAAATAGGAAGTAACTATTGATGCTGCATGCTCAACAAACTGTGTAGCGAAGTGGTATGGATGTTGCTTGGATGTTATAGCTGTGAAATTTGAGTGTGGTTGCAGCCACCAGTGGTGATGTTATTGGATGAAAATGTCATAAGCCAAGGGACACAACACTCTAAAGTAGGCATAGGCAAACTTGGCCCTCCAGATGTTTTGGGACCACAACTCCCATCATCCCTGACCACTGGTCCTGTTAGCTAGGGATTATGGGAGTTGTAGTCCCAAAACATCTGGAGGGCCGAGTTTGCCTATTCCTTCTCTAAAGCATCTATTAAAGAGCTGTGTTGTGGTGTTATAGAATAAAGGGAATCTGTTGCCTTTTCCATGCCAAAGATGCTCTGGGCTTCCTTCCACCTACATACATTCATGTTGCATGTCCTGGAAAAAATGGAGATTCCTTTGAAATGTGTAGGATGTTCAGAAGCTCTGATTTTGATCACTGTAAGTGGCTATTTAGAACAGAATCATCTGGTGTCTTACCTGTACTTCTCCAGCTCCTGTTCTTAGCTGGAGTTTGGGGTGGTTGCCTAATTTTGCTGTTTACAGTGATTCTGACCTGACCTCATTTGGATGGATGGAGGGGGGAATGGAATTGAGAGCAGAACTGAAGGGATTATCAGGCAGCTACAAGTAGAGTGCTTCTGCCACAGCTGCTACTCTGAATTAACCCAATGTGTTTGGGGAGGGTGACCTAGCCAGATATAACGGCTTCTTTGCCTTTGTTTGTTCTTTACAAAATGATTGAGTGTGTTGAGGCATACAGGTGCCCAGCTGCAAAGGCAGGAGAAAGGACAGAGGAGGCAGTGCATTTACTGCAGTGGGTCCTGCTGTGGATCAGACAAGTGCAAGGTAGAGCAGGTTGCAAAATGCTAGGAGTCGAGGGGGTTCTTTTTTAAGCTTGGTTCTTTTTATTCCATTAAAATGAAATATATTGTTGCCCTGCTAAGCTATAGCACCAATAAAGCTAAAATGTTAATCAGAAACATTTATGTTTGAAACTGAATGATCTCTCTTTCCTAATATGCAGAAGTGTACGTACATACATACGTGCGTTAAACACTCCTCCCAATCTATGATTGGAATAAATTCTGAATCTTAAGTTTTTCTATTGGGATCTTGACCCATTTCTCAGATTTGGCCTTTTTGGATATGGAGGTTTGGAAAAACTACCGTATCTGACAGTAAGAGCTGTTTGATAGTGGAATAGTCTCCCTTGGGAGGTTGTGGACTCTCCTTCCATGAAGGTTTTTAAGCAGAGGTTGGATGACCATCTCTCATGGATGCTTTAGCTGAGATTCTTGCATTGCAAGGGGTTTGGGCTAGATGACCCTTGGGGTCCCTTCCAACTCTACATGTTTATGATTCTTTTATTCCCTCTAGCTTGATGACTCTTCTGAATTGGCTCACAGGTGAGTGTACACCCAAGTAAATTATTCCAGATGCACAAGCATCATTCCTTTTTAAGTCATGTTGGTTTAAGGACTAGCCAGCAACAAATTGAAGCATTTCTTGTTTGATAAATTTGATCCCATTTTGTATCAAGAGGTTTGTTGGCATTCTTTGGGTATATTGGTAACTATTGTAGTCACTTACGTGCAGTGTCCTGTGGAGAGAGTGTTAAGCATTATCTCCCAAAAGCAGTTTCCATGTATGGAAATCAGAAATGGAAACTTTCTCAATTAATTATTACTCCTGACACTTTGCATATAAAACTGTATATGTGAGTAACACAACATGTACTTGGCGTCAGGTAGTTCTAGTTACAGGTAGGTGGCCGTGTTGGTCTGCTGTAGTCGAAACAAAATAATAATAAAAATTCCTTCCAGTAGTACCTTATAGACCAACTAAGTTTGTTCTGGGTATAAGCTTTCGTGTGCATGATACACACTGAAGCTTATACCCAGAACAAACGTAGTTGGTCTCTAAGGTGCTACTGGACAATTTTTTAAATTTTTTAATTTATTACAACATGTACTTATTTATTTTAGCTATTTGTTCTCTGCCACTGCTAGGTAGCTTGTTGGGATTTTTAAACCTTTGCCTTTTGGTTTTTGAGCTCCACAATCTTTTGGGCTCAGGTGAATCTGCAAAGCATTGATGTCTTTCACCAAACCATGAGGGCTGGTCTTCTGAAATGGCTATTGCATGTCTTGTGGTTTTAGCTTTATGGAAGTATCACTAAATAAAACTGGCAGAGTTCCAAGTACCGAGCTGCTTTGTTGTGATCATTAGATACTGGCACCTATAACTCAGGACCTGAAATCATGAGTGTAGAATCACACTGTTAGGTAGAATTGCAGTCAGTTGTGTGCGTATTCACATCATTTCTTGTTTTGAAAAATGGGGAATCTGGGATTCTAGGGTACAGTTTCGTCATTTAGGTAGAGGCATTAACTAGTTAACTAGCTCAAAAGGCCTAGCAAATTGTGCAAATGACCCATTTTACAAGACATGTTGAGTCCCACTTTCTAGGAAGCCACTTACTGTTCTTGATGAACAATAAGCTGTTGGCCAGCTTGGTTCCTTGTTATACATTCACTTCACTGAGTTCATTGAAGAGTTCCTGGGAATCCTGGATTGATGAATACATCCATGTTGCCATCTAGGCAACCAAGAGGACACATTCCAGCCAGTCAAAAATATTTAAGGAGGGGCAGTGGGGGTTGTGACATAGGGAGAGGAAGTGTGGCTTGAGAACATTCCTATGGGCTGGATGGTGAGACTTGGAGGGCTGTATTTGGCCCCCAGTGATGGGTCTCCATCCCTGCTAATTTACATTACAGAACAAAGATATTTGGTGTGAATGCTTAACTTTTGATGCTACCTAGCTGGCTCAACTGTTCAAGAACAAATGGCTTCATCTTGTTTTAAGAGTTAACATGAATAGATGGAGCTGACTATGGGTAGTCATAGCCTTCACAATCATAGTTATCAGGGAATGCAGGGGGAACTTCTTTAGGGAGTAGCTGTGACATGAACTACATTTGGGAGTTGACTGGCATATCCATGAAAATCTGGGGGCCTTCTCAAATAAGACCTGATTCCAACCATACTGCTTAAACACATGAGTGTGTTAAAACTATGTAATAGTAATATGGCTAATGTAATAGTAATATGCATATTGTCCAGAGGATTCATGCTTTCTTGAGTTGTCTAATAGCTGATAAACTGTTGCTTACATGCTGCTTTCCTGTGGTATACACAGGTGTGCACAGCCTAGGGAAAAAGTGCCATGAGAACGTTGTGGTACATTTGTTTGGTTTTGATGATGCTGCAAATACTTTGTTACTTTAGCTGTAACTCTGACTACCTTTGAAATTTAGCACTAGTAGCGGCTCAGATGTTCCCTATTGTGAGGAAAGCCTCCCTTTTGGAACTTGCAAGCTTTCATACTACAGTATTTTCTTTCATGGAGTTGGTGGTTTTTCCTTGTTTAATTTAGAAGCATGCGTATCGGCCTGTCTTGTGACTGTGTTAGGGGAGTTGGTAACCGCTTGTTTGTGTGCAAATTGACCTTTCTGGTGAAGCTTATTGTGAAAGAAACTAAAATCCAATGTGGTGTCCATATAAATTAGGTCTACTATCTATCAATTTTTTGAAGCATAAACTTGAAAGAATGTGGCTGATTCATGGCACATTTATTCTGAACAAGTGGCAACCTGTAGGGGATTTGGCAGTAGTTTTCTACAGAAGGTCACTTCCAGAGCCTCTTAATTTCTTAAAATTGGGTAGTCCTCAATCCTGAATAGACTGGAAGAGCTCCCCCCCCGCATGTGTGCAAATTTATGTGTGCATGCCAAATTCCTTCTCATCTGTGAAGCCAGTCACTCTCTGGCTAATCTACCCCACAAGGTTGTTGTGAGGATTAAATGTGGGAAACAAACTAGGCATGCTTTCTCGAACTCCTTTGTGGAAGGACTGGATATAAATAAGAGAGAATCCCCTAACTACAGTAGTATCACTTCCCAACATGAAAACTATTTCTTAGGAGATGAAAACTTTTCACTGTCTAGTTGCATTACAGTTTGTGTGTTAATGCTGCTGGAGACCAAACCTTTGGTTTTCAGAGGATTGCTACTCCTTTGTCATCTCACCCGCACACCTTGAGACTAGCAATAAACCTATAGCTCAGTGTGGTTTCTACAAGCCTCCTTTCCTTTGTTCTGCCTTTCCTTCAGGTCAAGGAAGAGCTAGATGGGTAGCCTCTCTTGTTTTGCCCAAAGGATACATTTCTACTTAAAATTTCCGCCCACTTGGTTTGTCAGAATAGCTAAACTGGAAGCATAGAAAATGATGCTGCAGACAAGACCAGGTTAAAAATAGCTTAATATGCAACTTCATTTGTGAATGGTTCTTAAGCAGGGGTCGGCAAGGTTTTTGTGGCTTGGGCCGGTTCACGGTCCCACAGACACCGGAGTGGGCGGACACACGCATGCGCAAATGCTATTTTCGATACTCCTTCCGACACGGAGGAGGCGTGCACAACTTCCCATTGGCTGCAGGAGCTTCCTGCAACCAATGGGAAGCTGGCCAGCGTCGCAGAAGGTGGTCCCCTGTCTGCTCCACACCGGTTTAGCGCAGTGCACGGAAGCTGACCAAGTGGGCGGCGCGGGTCCCTGAGTGGACGGCAGGGGTCCATGGGCCAGTTAAATGACCCCTATGGGCCGCTTGTGGCCCATGGACCATAGGTTGCCAACCCCTGTTCTTAAGGGTACAAATGAAATCATAACCTATCTAGAAAATCAAATGTTGCAGTAAGACAGGGTTTCCCAAACTTGGGACTTTAAAAATCTGGGTAATTAAATGTTAACCTGTCTTTTAGGAAGTACCACTTCAGACTGCAGGTTGGTGCTCATGTGACTGAATTGCCCTTGGTTGAAAGAAACCCCCTTACATTTTTTCCCCTCTATCACAAACGGTTTTGATTTTATAGCACTCCAAAGTTTCATGAAATCTGCGTTTCTGTCCCTCTTGAGATCCTCGGCCTTGTGTACATTTTATTTTATTTCCTCCAAGAAAGGGGGTTTCTTTCAACCATAAAGGAAGGGTGTACACCAAGTTTCATCAAAATTCAAGACAGTGGGTGGCATGACCGCGTTGAACTGACCTGGAATGACCCTAGAGAGAAATGGACTGATGTGTTTTTAGGGTTATTACTGATGTGCAGAAGTTCTGTTCTGATCTTGGTTAAAGATTTGTCCTACAGAGTGAAAATAATATGATTTTAAAGTTTAAATGTAATTTGGGGTCCACACATTTTGTCTGGCATTGGTAGCGACATAATGTGTTGTCACCAGAACCCTGATCTTGTCCTTCAACATAATTTTTACTTGGAAGTAAGTTCCATTATATTCAATGGAGTTTTGTAGTGGGTTGGTCATGTAGTCCAGTGTTTTTCAACCACTGTTCCGCGGCACACTAGTGTGCTGCAAGATGTTGCCTGGTGTGCCGTGGGAAAAATTCAAAAGATTTTTAAAAAAATAAAAATTCAAATTTTCGCCCACTAGGCGGGGGCCGGACTGTGTCCTGGGTATGGGTGGGGTTTTTGACCCCACCCTCGGCCAGCAGGGGCGCCGATTGGCGCTCCTCAGGGGGACACCCTCCAGCCTGGACCTATCACAGTAGGACATCATCTTCCGACTTCCTTCCCGCGCGACTCGAGTCACCAGGAGGACCGGAGAAGTTGTCATTTTATTTCTCTTCAGTCTCCACTGAATGCCTTGACTGGGTTAGGGACCCTTATAGCTCAGCATCAGTTGGTGGAAAGGACATGACTTTACAGGAGCAGGAGGAACTAACTGAACTGAGACAAAATCGTGGTTTCAAGCTAAGATTTGCTGATCTACCTTTGGTCAGTTTTTGGTTGGATACTGCCAAGGAGTTCCCCTTCTGGCAAACAAAGCTATTTTGACATTGCTCCCATTTTCCACTACATATCTGTGTGAGATGAGCTTTTCAAGCATGATTGCTATAAAAACTAAATACAGAGAGAGACTGAGAGCTGTTGACGAAGAGCTACGTGTGTGTCTTTCTTCGATTCCAGCCAGAATATCAGCTTTGTGTTCAGCCAAACAGGCCCAGGTTGCGCACTGAATAAAGTATTTTGTAATTTTTCATATTTCTGTTTACTTACTATTTCATAATAAAGTAATTATAAAGTACTTTCTTTGTGTTTATTTGATTCCTATTCAAGAGAATTACTTTATATATAGTCAATACAGGCACAGTTAAATTTTTTAACATTTTCTAATGGTGGTGTGCCTCGTGATTTTTTTCATGAAACAAGTGTGCCTTTGCCCAAAAAAGGTTGAAAAACACTGATGTAGTCCAACCCTCTGCAATGTAGGAATCCTTCCCACAGCTGTTCCTGGGTGTGCTTGAACCACCAACCTTCTCGTTAAGTTGGAACTTTGCATGTAAGAAGGAAATCCTAAAGTTCCTAGGAACACTCTTTGACCATATTGTATATGAGTTTGTGTTTTTGACTGGAGATGTTTTTGTTTTGCTCGGATGTCAAATCTTCTGGTGTTCAACAGATCCATGATTTAATAAAATTTCTAATTTCTCTTTTCTTTTGCAAGATTTACTCAAAAACCAAGCATGTCACAGGAAACGGAAGACAGCATTGGTAAGTGTTCTTCTGATTATCCAAAATCAGAGTTTGCAATCCCTTCTGTCCCCAATCATTCTAAATTTTCATTTTTTAAAGTTCACTTTTAGTCTTAATTGTGGCATTGGCACACTGGCACAAATGGCATTGGCACAGTGGTCAATTGAGTAGTCAGATATTATGCACTGATTGTATATTATTTGACCACAGTCGAATATTGAGCTGGTTTACGCATAAGATCGCAGTCACTGTGCTTAGAATTCTTAAGTTAAATTTATAAAGTTAATTCCTGAAGTATATCTGATTATTTGACAGAATTTGATCAGTCCTTCACCAGGCAAATGCCTGACCCTACAAACAAGTACATAAAGAGCTCTGAGTTTGCTGTTAGTTTAAGATTTTGACCTGAATGAGTTTTAGACCTGGAAGACATTTTCTCCCTTGGTTTGAAAAATTTGCAAGTATGTGATCTTATGTACACTCAGCTTTTTCAAAAATTTCTGTGAAAAGCAGTTATGATGCCAGAAGCTTTTCTCAAAACAGCTTCTGGGTCACAATGACAGTTCTGCGGTTGAGAGGTTATAGGTCAGTGGTAGAATTCAAAAATGCTTTCCAGGCAGAAGGTCCCAAGTTGCATCCCCAGCATCTCCATGTAAGGCTAGGAAAAGCTGCTGTTTGAAAACCTGGGGAGCTACTTTCATTCTGAGTAGATAGTACTGAGCTAAATGGACCAATGGTTGTGGTGTACCAATGGAGAAGGAAAATGATTTATTTGGGTTCAGAAGCACTTCTCTAATTTATTTGTGCATGGCATTATGCCATGTGTTGTGTGTGAAGGAAAGGATTAAACACGAATTAAAAACAGTTGTCTGTGCTATATGACTTTCCCAGGTCAAATTAACCTATGTAGGTGACTTTAATTGAGGGCATAAAAAGGATTTGGCAAGTTTCAAAATTTGTGCAAAGCTGGCAGTAAGATGCTGTAAACTCTTTTCCATCTGATTTTTTTTTTTTTTGCCAAAATTCTTAACAATACATAATGTGCAGCAAAGGCAATTACTTTTGCAAGTGACCCACCTGCCTTTTGACATTTCTGGTGTTGCCTGATCTATTAGAGATAATTGTAAGAAACTATTTGTTTTGTGGATGATAGACTGTACATTCTGTCCTTTTAAAAAGACTCCCCCCAAAGGATATGGCAAAGAGATTTTCTGACTTAGTTTTATTGTTGCAGCCTTTTAAAAAGTTTGTGACCCCAAATCTGCACAGTGGCCATTGATTTTTATTTTTATTTTTTGTAGTCCAATACTTGGGAACCAGGAGGCACTGTTCTGTCATGCATTGTCCCAGTGCCCGTAATGACAGGGATTAGTTATGGAAAGGCCAGCTTGGGACACAGCAGAAATCGGTCTCCAAGGCCCTAATGACTTGGTTGGCATAACTGCAGTTTCCTGTCTATGCTGGAGTCCGTGACTGAAATGTCTTCGTGTTGGTGCTCCTGATGACAGCAGAGCTACTATTATGTGCTGTAATTGTTCCTTTAATTGGATGTTTCACTAGTGTTACTGCCCCATTTCTTTTCCCTTGAGATTTGATGCAAGCTATTCTGTACTGCAGAATGCTCTTTGGATAATCTAAGTGATAATTGTTGTAAGGGTTCTATTCTTAGATGCAGTGCTTTTTTCTGGGGGGGACGCAGGGGTACGCATACCCCTAAACATTTTGTGAATCTAAGTTTGGCCTCATTGAGGGGCAGTATTTCAAGATGAGTAGGAAAATGAGAGAACCCCTAAACATTTTTTGAGAAAAAAGGCACTGCTCAGATGTATTTAATATTCCCCCCATAGTAATGTATGCCTTCATGGTGCAGTGATCAAATCTGCAAACTTTTCATGGCTGAGTTAATGCAGCTAAAGCCAAAATTCCTGCGACTTTTGAATCAGAGGGTTTAACACTGCCCCCCTCCCCACAAACAGCCCAGCTTGGCAATGCTAGATTTCAGTTGCTAGGAGCAATTGATGCAGCATGTTGCTGTTTTATCTTACCAGGTAACTATTTAAGATCTCTATAGCCTTGTACTCACAACATAGAGTGAACATGGGGAGTCTTGTGTGCCTGCATGGAGTCTGTGTACTTGCAGCTGTTCCAGCGTAGGGTTCTCCCTGTGTAATTAGGAATCCTGGAAGAGAATCTTGCATGCAGATAGTTGCATCTTTGTGGACTCTATGTGTACATTAAATTGAATGCATGTAGCTTGGGGGACGATGGGGCTACTTCCCTCCCACCAAGTATCAGTTACCTACTGCAAATAGGGCTCTGGGCAGAGGCCAGAGTGGCCATGAAGCAGAGCTTTGCAGTCCAGTCTTTTGAGACCAGCTCTGTTGACTTCAGCACTTTCTCCCCCATCTTTTATTTACTTACATGTATTTCCCAACCAGGTGGCTGGACTGATTTCTGTCCTTTGCCATTTGTTTGTTTACCGCTTGCACAATAGGTGCTTAGCTATTTAGATTAGAAGACCTTGTGAGTCTTCTGAGTAGCATTGTTGTGCACCTTGTTGGCCACGAGGGGATCCCAAGGAAAGTTTTTCCCCAGCTGCTTTTTGAAGAAACTGTGAGGAAGAAGCAGTTTCTGCTTGGTTGCTGCAGCTAATCTGCTACCTTATGGAGTAATATGGCTGATAATAAGATAAAATCTATTAGATTGAGCTTTTGTTTTGCCTTGTGTTCTCATGAAAAGATTAATTAAATTTTTTTAAGCTTGTGGATATTAAACCCTCCAGAGGAGAATACATAACAGTTGTCTGGGTTTTATGATGCAGTGAGGATTAATGTGAATCAGCATAGCAATGCCTTTTTGGTGCAGGTCTCTATTAAAAGCTTGCTGTGTGATTCTTGCTTTCCTAGAAAACTTTTTACTCTTACAGCAGCATTCTGAAGTCGTATGTTTTTATTTTCCCTCCCTTGCATAACTGAAAATGGGGCAAATTTTACAGAATGGATTTGATTTGGAGGACACAGCACTAGAGGAAATGGTATATTTGTAAATCTTTTGCCGCTGTGTTCAAATGTCACATTAAGGCTTAGTTAATGGTTAGCTATGACTTAATGCAAATGAGCAGAGTTTTGATGCACAACAATCCCTGCTTCATTCCTCCTCTACTTTTAGTTGTGCCAGGAGCAGCAAGCCTTGACTTGTGTTGTCCAAAGTCAGGCTCATGATTTGGTTCTCTTTAAGCGACCATGGACCTGGTTTCACATGTAATTCTAAACCTAACCATTGCTTACCTCTGGGTGGTGCAGCAGCAGGAGCAGGACCAGGGAAGAGGTGAAGAGACTGCAGTTTCCCCCATGGATATTACAGGCTTGCTAAGCCACACTTTGACTTCACGTTACATGTGAACCAGGCCTTTGAAATGCATTTAATGTTACTATGCAGCATTGTAATGGTATTGCACTGATGTGCTGGCAACACTAATTTCTATTTTGTTGATAAAGCCTCCAGGATTTTAGATGGCAGGCTTCTTGGGGACATGGACTATGCTTGTGTCAGTGTTTGTTTCAGTGTTTGCCCTGCTTCTCTCCTCTTCCTTAAACACATCCTCAAGGTGGGTTGAGCCCAGCTTGTCTGTTTCTATGCAGCACCAGCCTCACTATTCCTCCCAACTGAGCTCTGATCCTAGAAGCAAGCTCACCTGTGAGAAGAATAACATTGGGATGGTGGGAGTGGGGAGGTCAATAGGGAGGTGAGGTGAAAGTGAAAGGAATGTCTCCCAATATTCACGTCTTATTCTTAAGACCGGTCCCATATAAAAGGCAGGGCAGAGTTTAATGAGATCTTGTTAAGCCTCTGAATAGTAATGATGATGGCAAGGATATGGCATACACATTTTAAAAATGGAATAAAATAGATTTGCTGAGTCTTCATATTTGGCAAAGGCCTTATCTGTGGCAGTTGTAAACAAAATTTACTGCTGACTATAATTCACCCTTATTATTTCAGTTCAAGATTTGCAGGCATGTTGGTCAGAATGTTGTTGTTCCTGTTGCACTTGCCTGTCTGACAAGCCTCAACTTGGCATTCATGCCCATTTTTTCTGGTTGCTCCAATTATATAAGTGCCTCATGTTATGTGTTGTGTAGTCAGGCTCTTCTGCTCTCGAGACACTAGATGGCAGGCTTCACTTTGAGCTTTCTACCTGTGTGGCAAAAAATACCTGCTTCTTGTTTGTAATGAGTTGTTTTTAGAATTCTAATGGAAGATTTTACCTTATGTACAGCTTCCAAGTGTTAAGCTAGGAATAGTCATTGTAGTGCCTTCCTAGTGTTGTTGGATTCCAACTCCCTTCATTTTTTACCATTGGCAATGCTGACAGGAGTTGATGGAAATGGGAATCAGACATCATCTAGAAGGCACTATATCGGCTATCTCAGTGCAAAGGTATAACGTCAGCATTCATTCATGAGAACTTTTTTGTTTACAGTTGTTTGTTAAAATATTTTTTCCACATCCTTTCAATTTGTGGTTCCATGAAGCAACTATGAAAATACTGATTGTTTTAGTACATTGTTTTAAAGCATCATGCCTAAAATACAAGGCACATCTCAGCAACAGCAACAACAAAATAGACAATAGAATTATAGCAACGTCAGTCATTCAGCAATTAACTCCAAAAGGCAGGGAAACCCCTCCATGTACAGTGGTACCTCGCAAGACGAATGCCTCGCAAGACAAAAAACTCACTAGACGAAAGGGTTTTTTGTTTTTTGAGCTGCTTCGCAAGACGATTTTCCCTATGGGCTTGCTTCGCAAGATGGAAACGTCTTGCAAGTTTGTTTCCTTTTTCTCAACACCGTTAATACAGTTGCGACTTGACTTCGAGGAGCAACTCATAGAACGCGGTGTGGTAGCCTTTTTTGAGGTTTTTAAAGACTTTGGTGATTTTTGAAGCTTTTCCAAAACTTTCCCGACACCGTGCTTCGCAAGACGAAAAGAATCGCAAGACGACAAAACTCGCGGAACGAATTAATTTCGTCTTGCGAGGCACCACTGTAATAGCTGTAGACTAATGAAGATGGAATGAGATGGACCTTCTTTGGAAGGAAGCTCCAATTTTCATGCCAGTGTTGAAAAGACTCTGAGCAGCATGATAATCTACGATATGGGTGGGGGTGAGGTCACAAAGTGCAGGGCCTCTCAGAAGGCTCTTCAGTGAATGGACAAGCTGATATGGGATAAATCTTGTTATAAAAGTTGGGTTGATGGGTGGAATATAAATTTAGTGAGTAACATAATAAATACATTATAGGAGTCATAGCCCAACAACATCTAAAGGGCTGCAGCTTCTCTGCCCATGAGGCAAAGCAGGGCTGAGGAACCTATATGGCCCTTCCAGTGTTGCTGGACCCCAAACTCTCATGAGCCCCAGCCAGCATAGCCAGTGGTCCAGGATGATGGGAACTGTAGTCTAACAACACCTGAAAGGCCACTGGTTCCCTATCCCTGCTGTAAAGGGCTTCCATGGGCTTTTTACTGAAATTACATGTGAAATTGCTCTGTGTTCCATTCTTTATGAAACAATAGAAATTTGACACTTGATGAGGTGGTTTGGTGTTGTCTTAAACTTAAGTGTCTCTCTGCGTGTTGCAGGGATGGAGCTTCAAATTTAATGTTTTAGTGAGCTGGGTGGGGGGACCTAAGTAATTTTTCTTCCTTAATGCAAAATCTATCCTTGTAATTGGCATAAAAAACACTGACTCTTAGCAAATTGCTGAAACACTGTAAGTGGGGTGCAACATCTCTCTCAAAAGGGCATCAGGCCAGTGGGAGTCAACTGTGCATTTCAGCAGTTTCGAATGGTGCTGTGTGGGAAGCTATTTCCGTTAGCTCCAAATTTATTTCATGTTCGTTTACTGTTCTTGTGTGTGTAGCAATATCAACACCCTATTTTATGTGGGCGGTGGTGGTTCTCATATAAGGACTAAACTCACAGTGGCCCTTCCTTTGGTCTCATTCTTCAGTTATTTGTCTTCTGGGACTGTTGTTGCAGCAGAGGCACAGTAAGGGGCTTACAGAAAGGCGCTTCTCGTGGGCTGAGCACATGTCTGCACCTTGGTAACCTGGCATTATTCATTTATTTTAAATTTATATGTTCTAGGTGACAAGCAAAACTTAAACTTGCATAAAACAATTTAACAAAGCAGTTCAAAATAAGAATACAGTGGTACCTCGGGTTACAGACGCTTCAGGTTACAGACTCCGCTAACCCAGAAACAGTACCTCGGGTTAAGAACTTTGCTTCAGAATGAGAACAGAAATTGCACAGCAGTGGCAGCGGGAGGCCCCATTAGGTAAAGTGGTACTTCAGGTTAAGAACAGTTTCAGGTTAAGAACGGACCTCCAGAATGAATTAAGTTCTTAAACCGAGGTACCACTGTACATAGAAGAATCCTCTAAGTTATAAATCTGAGATGATCAGATCTCTCCTTCTGCTGTTTGCAATGGGTGCTGTATGCAGGGGCATAAGAAGAGGGGGTGAGAAGGCGGCTCACCCCAGGTGCCACCCTGGGGTGTGTGTGTGTGATAAGATGGCCCGCTGCCTCCCTGTGGCGTTCGTACGTGCCCCACCCCGGGTGCTGACAGTGGCGGAGCTTCATGCTCCAGCACCGGGGGGCGGAGAGCAGGCGGGGATGGGGCTGGCACGCGTCCCGGGGGTGTGGCACACCAACCACAGGGGCGTGACATGCATCTTGGGGGCATGGCACCCAGCGCGGGCGGGGGGCAGCCTCGATGGCACCCCACCAGGATCACGCTGCCGGGTGCGGTGCGCTCCCCACACACTCCTCTTCCTCCGCCAGTGGGTGCCGGAGAGGCTTCCTCGGCCCCTGGCTATATGGCTCCAGTGGAGGTGGCAACGGAGGGCTGCCATTCGCTCTCTCCTTCCTACTCTTTTTGCCATGCAGGTTTAATCCCTGTATTGGACAACTGCATATTCCTGCATTGCAAGGGAGTTGGGCCAGATGATCGTCAGGGTGTCCCAACTCTACAATTCTGTGAATCTTGGAATAGAGTGTTCACCTCTATCTTCAGAGAGTAATTTTTGGGAGGTTTTTTCCCCCCCTTTTTAAATACATCTGCTGAAAGTCTTAAACAAACCTTTAAAATGGCCTGCACCTTTGATGTAAGTGAAGCCTTCCCCTCTGACACTTGATGCCCCATTCACTGTTTGAAGCCTAGGAATTTGCTCCAATGCTATCGGATGCTACATCAGAACATCTACATTAAAAAAAATAAAAATAAGGATGATCATACTTAAGGCCGACTGTCTCCTTCAGTTCTACAGATACATGACATTTGGTTCTCAATGTTATCTGCAGATTCTTGATTCAGTTTTGGGCTTTGGGCCTCCAAAGTTGCAGGCAGCCTTTCTCCATGGTGCGGAGTCCCTGTGCTCTGCAAACACACCTGTATCCATGCACCCTGACTCCCATGCTGCTGATTTCATGTGTGAATCGAGCCCAAGACTGGCCTTTTGAGGAGATGCAGGCAACAGCTGGGTGAGGTGAGCATTTCTCTGGGTTGCTGCAGCCCTGGTTTTTTTCTACCTTCAAAAGCTACCTGAATACTAGTTGCTGAGAGAGGATTGTTGTTGCCTTCATGATGGACTGTTGGGCGCCTCGTTACTTTCTGGTGGCCACAGAATGCTGGACTAAAGGGGCATTTTGCCTGATTCATTATTGCTGCTCTTATGAGGTTTGCATACTCATCCTGGCTTGTTTTGAAACCCACAGCCTTTTGACTTCCCGGGGCTCTTCTTTTAGGAGTCTTAAGGCATATCAGTCCCATGTTAGCCTGACTCAGGGGTAGGCAACCTAAGGCCCATGGGCCACAAGCAGCCACGGGGGTCGTTTAACCAGCCCACGAGCCACCCCCGAACCGAGCTGCCTGCACGGCGAGTCCCCACGTGCTGTGCTAAACCAGTGCGGCGCGGCACAGGGGCTCGCTTCCGCGGTGCCGGAAATCGCATCTGTGCATGCTCTGATGCCAACGCCGGAAATCGTGTTTGCGCAGATTCCAGAAATCGCGGCCGTGCCTGTTTTCTCCTGCTTTGCATGCACAGGGTGCAATTCTGACTTGAAAAATATTACCATGGAAAAATCGGCATGTCTTCTATTGTGCCTGTCATGAAATCAAACTTTCCTTTTGTTTCCTTTGGCTTTCCAGTGTTACAGTTCCTTATTAAGGAAAAGGTGAGAAGCAAATAATTCTTGCTGCTCTTTGCAGTGCTGCCCAGTAGGTTTGACACCCACCAGGCATATCTCGGTTGATCCAAGTGTGACAATTTCCGAAGGCTGTGCTGGAAATAGGTATAGGTAAGAACAATGACAGATATGACAAATCAGCCACATAGATCTTTAAAATGCTTCCTGCAACAAATATGACTTTTTTAAATGCCAAGAATTTCAAATATGACTTTTTTAAATGCCAAGAATGTCAAAGAGAATGCTAACAGAATCTCCTGGGACAAAGCATTCCAAAACCTGGGTGTTAGTAAATCCATCCATTGTATGTAAGCCACAGTATAAGGCAACTTCCTGTGTTCTTTGTGCCGTGCCACAGATGGGGGTGAACTAGGGTGCTGAAAGATAGTAGCTTGCACAAGACTGCCTTGGGAGTTCATGACTGAGGAGGTGAGATCAAGCTTCAATTTTTAGCCTTCTGCGCAACTTGCTTGTCTACTCAGCCAGGCACTCTGGGCTGCCAGTCCATACTGATGCCTGACAGCTTGAAATGCCCCCAATTGCTCTTGCTTCCAAACTCAATTGGGTCTCTCATTCTAGCAACTTTTTGTGGGACTCCAAACCTGCTATGTGTTTGCCTATGATTTCTAGTTCTTACATTTAAGATTTTGGTAGGAGAGCTTGTGAAGATAAAAATGAAAACCCTTCCCAAATACCAGCTTCATACATTCAATGTGTGTTTGTGTGCGTAAATAATAGTCTGATCACTACAGGATTCAGAAGTTAATTGCTTATTCACTTCAACCACAGGCTGCCTATACCTGCAAGCTAGAGCAAAGTCTAGAAAGCCCACACAAAGAGGGATTGCTAACCTCTTGAAACCAAATGTGTGCATCTTGTTCTTGTAGAACTGAAAGTGTGAGATGGAAGGTGTGGGGGGGGGTTGTGTCTAGAGAAAAGCCAAGTATCTCAGGAAGTGTAAAAGATCATATCTGGAGAAGGATAACGTTTTTGCAGCTGTTTCTTTCATAATGCTGGAGTGCTGCACCTACCTGTTTTTCAGTCCCTGTTATCGCCACTTGCCAGTTTCCACCCCCCCCATCCCGCCCTGCAGAATGGCCTTTCCATTGTAAGCAGCTGTTATTTCATTGTGTCAGTAGGGCTGGACCCGCATTATGCAGGATCTTTGTTGTCCTCCCCCACATTGCCAGCATGCTTGACTGATCCTCATTAAATTGGGTTAGGCATCAGATTTCTGCATTTGGCTCTGGGGTTAATTTAAGTAAGCAAAACACTTTTGTCTTGTTTTACCGGGGTGACCAGGAGATCTCTTTCAAGTTGCATAGATTTTTTTTGTTTTGTTTTTAAAGTACAGAGGAAGAATTTGGAAATGTGACTGCACAGGACACAGCCACTTTGACATTGGGGCTGAGATTGGGCCCCTGTCCCAATGAATGTTTGTGTGGCCCCTATGCTGTTTGCCTGTGACTGGACCACTAAGGCTATCTTATTTCATCTGGCCTTTGGATTGGACTGCTTTGTCACTTGGTACGCTCTCTCTCTCTCTCTGATGGAGTAGTTTTGCTGCCCTGTTTATTTTCATTCTGTCTTATGAAAAGCAGCTACAAAGTTCAGGTCTTTTTAGCTTAGGGAAAAATCAAGTCAGGGGTGTGGCGGGGGGAAGACACATGATACAGGTGGATAAAATTATGCATGGTCTGGAGAAAGTGGAAAGGGAAATGCTTCTCTCTTTCATACATCCATTGAAGCAGAATAGTAGAAAAATTCAAAACAAACAGAACTATGTGTAGTTAAACTGGAATTTACTACCACAAGATGTAGATATGGCCGCCTTGGAGTGCTTTAAAAGGGGATTAGACAAATTCATGGAGAATAAGGTTCTAGTGGAGCTTGGCAATTGGCATGGGGAAGTAGCTTGGGATGCTAAGCAAGCAACCAGATCATCTCTGAGATGGCACAACTTAGTGATGTTCATATTTCTTGGGCAGATGTGTTGTTGGGCTTGTAGTAACCTGAATCACAAGGCTGTTAAACTGGAAGGGTTTCTTCTGCGCTGATCCTGTCTTTGGGGAACTATTTATTCATAAATCATTTCAAAAGGTATATTGGTGCAATGTACAAGGAGGCCAAACCTGTAATTATGGTTACATTCATGCAATTAGGAAAGCCTAGCAAAAAGCAGCTTGTGTGTATCTGTGACAAATAAGTGAACTACTGTGGAAGTCGAGAAAGTTTTAGTGATTACAGAACGAAATGTGAAGAGCATTTTTGCTCCTGAATTTATCTCTTCAAAATGAAAGAGTTTAACCAGTTTCTTGTTTGAAAGTTCCTTTCAATTACTTACCAGTGGTGGCCAAAGTCTTCCCGAAGTGATCAGCTGCTGAGCTTGCATATGCTGAACTTGCTTCGCATTTTAATAAGCTTCTAGTCCAGTTAGAAAGTAAAATAGGGCAGGTGCCTGTAAATATTGGTTGCTTCCCAAAAGCTAAACCAAAGAGCTTTTATTTGGCGTTATATAGCTAAGCCAAAAGAGCAAACACTGCTAGTAGTAGGAATATGGAAAGCTGCCCCAGACTGAGTCAGACCCTTGGTCCATCTCAGCTCAGTGTTGTCTGTACTGACTGGCAGCAGCTCTCCAGGGTTTCCGACAGAGGACATTCCCAGCTTTAGCTGGGGATTGAAGCTGGGACCTTCTGCATTCACAGCAGATGCCCTTCCTCTAAGCTATGCTCTTTGTTTATTATTCTCATATTCAAAAGCTTCTTGGACCCAATCGTGAAAACATTGAATTGGAGTCATATTGGTACAGGAAGCTCCCCATTTGTGCAGGGGTTGTGTTCTGGGTTATTCGCACGTCAGCGGTCATGCGTCAGCCTGCCGGTGTTGGTATGTCAATTGAACGTGTGCAAAATGGTCACTGCCTGCATAAGTAATAGAGGAAAAACCTGGTGCCAGGTATATAGGAGACTCCTAGGAAACTATAGTTTGCAAAGAGGGACAGTCTTGTGTGGGAGTCATAAAGCCACGGCAAAGGCTTGTAATATTGCAGGGTGCCCCCTGACCTCGGCTGACCAGCACTCTGAGCTTTACAATGTATTGGAATGTATTGACCTTAAATGGAGTTGTGTTTCCTCTGGGCAGTGATGACCCTATATGGTGATGGGTGTAATAAAAGCCTTGACCGGATGAGGTAACATGAGACATTGGCAAACGGCCATGCGGCTGGAGAGAGACAAAGGATAATAAAAAAACTACGGGAGAGGAGAGAAGTTCGAAAAGGAGCTGCTCATACCATCCTGAAAATATTGCTGGCTCTCTGTGTCTTTATTTTATGCTAAACTGCGCCATTTGTAACGGCTGGCTCCGACAAGTGGTGCCCCGTGTGAGGCTGAATAAAAGAATACGTCTGAGGCTTTTAAAAGAAAACCGTGTGAGGTTTTTCGATTCACGCAAAGGATATCATCGGCTCACCACGCCCGGCAAGGGTTGCAAGCGCTAATCATCTTAAAAAGATCCCGGTGAGTTCGATCTCTTTTTTCTATCTTGATTTTAGAAAAATGGGCAGCTCTTTGTCTACTCCCCAACAGAAATTTTTAAAAGACTTAAAATTTCTCCTCTCCTCCAACAAATTGGAAGTTCCGGAGGGTGATTTGATACAGCTCATTCTGGCCATCGAAGAGCATTCCCCCTGGTTTCCTGCAGATGGGACTTGGGAATTAAAACTTTGGGACAAGATTGGGGCACATTTTCATGGGCACCCCAGCATTGGTCTTCAGATTCTAAATGCATGGTGCAAGGTTCGTTACGCCATGGGCTCTTTATCACCAAAAAATATCTCCATGGCTGCATTGCCAACACAACCTTCAGCTTCTTTAATTCAGCCTGCTGTGCTGCCATCTGTTCCAGCACTCGCCTTGCCAGCAGCCCCACACCCCAAACCTCCGGATTACAGTTCCTCACCAGAGGACCCAATCCTGCAAAAATACCGTGGTCTGGCTGGCAATGATCCTAATCTTTCAGCGGCAGAACCAGCTACCCCTTTTCAACGTGCAGTCCTTGCCTGTTCCTTAATTCAGGATACTATGGCATTCCCTGTTATTGTGCCCCCTGCTGGTGCCCCGGCAGGCACCCAAGCCCAATACCAACCTTTTGACTATAAGATCTTGAAAGAGCTGCAACAGTCAGTAAAGGCCAATGGACTCCAAGCCCCATATACGCAGGCGCTTTTAGAAGCCACATTAGCCCAGCTCTTGGTTCCAGAGGACATCAAGCTTTTGGCCCATACAGTGTTACCCCCATCAGCTGGTGTTTTGTTTGCCCACGAATGGGAAACTGCCTGCCGTGCTTATGCTCCAGCCTTGTTACAACAAGCAATGAGAAAAATTCCAGAACCCAGTATTCAATCAAGGTGGGGTTCAATCAGGCAAGAGGCAAGAGAATCATATTCTTCCTTTATGGATAGGCTGCTTACAGCAGTGAGTCGCCAAATTGAAAATCCTGAAGCCAAGCAAATAATCATCAAACAATTGGCCTTTGAAAATGCCAATGAGGATTGTAAACTTGCATTGCGACCAATAATACACAATCCTGCCACAAACACAGCAGCCATGCTTCACATTTGTCAGTCTGTAGGTACAGCCACCCACAAGGCTCATCTGCTGGCAGCAGCGCTAAATAAAAACCAGCCTGTAGCCACCGATACAACTTGTTTCCAGTGTGGCAAACCAGGATCACCGATACCCCAGTGGGGGTAGAACAGTGGCCTCTACCAAAAGAAATATCCGCAGCGGCGGCACTAGCTATCTCTGACCAGCTTATTTCTGAACAATTGACTTTCGGCCACATTGAACCATCTTCATCCCACTGGCTCCAGCAGACAGGGAACGGTTTGCTTTTACATTGCCAGCATATAACAATTCGCAGCCCACCCAGCGATATCAGTGGGTTGTCCTGCCTCAAGGCATGCGGAACTCCCCTACACTTTGTCAACATTTTGTGGGTGAAGCATTGAAACCTTTCCGCATGCGCCACCTAGAGGTGCTGCACACGAGCTGCATCTGGCAGTGTTTGCCTTCCTAACCATTTGCCTTGCCATCCTTTGCTGCACCGTTATACAAGGAAGAGAAGCCGACGACCCAGTCCAGTTGAAACCACCATATTTCACCTTATCGGCTGGTAAGCAGCTGTCGCCTGAATCTTACTCTGGCTGGCAGTATCCACAGCTCAGCCACTTTCGAACTAGAAGAACAGTGTTGTTGAATAAGACTTTTAGGGGAGAAAATTATCATAACATATGGAGGGATAATATTTTTGTACAAGATATGATTATGTTTGCCAGTTTATTGCATGCTTCTAAATGTTTGGTGTGTATGCACATGGCGCCTTTTGCCAGTCATTCAGGCATAATGCTTCATGGTGTGCCTGTCAATGGATCTTTTCAATTTACTAATATTACATCCCCTAAGCAAACTTTTTGGCCTCCAGTACAATTGACCCTCCATGAGCCTGCCCCCATTTGTTTTCAAATTAAAGAGGGGAAAGAATCATGGGGCATATATCCAAACTGTCAATATACATTGAATTTCACTTTTAATAGCTCTTGTTCTCTTACAGGAACATACAGTGACCAATCTCAGTGCTATAGGAGTGACACCAGTGCATGGCTAATAAACTAGAAAGGAAGCCTACCATGCAGCTTGGAATCAGAATTCTTATATTCTTGGCTTCCGGATGGAAGTTGGCTTCGACATTTATTGATTTTAGTGATCATTATAGTAGTTATTTGTGTTATTTTGTGTTGCTGTATCCAATGTATTCCTTCCTTAATCTCTATATGTACTGCATGGTTCTCCAGTCCGCGGCCCGCTTCCGGTGTCACAAGAGTCGCTTATCGCGCTCGATATAACCGTATTGGTACTGACATATATGACTCTGATTAATAAAATAAAGAAAGAGGGCATGTGGGAGTCATAAAGCCACGGCAAAGGCTTGTAATATTGCAGGGTGCCCCCTGACCTCGGCTGACCAGCACTCTGAGCTTTACAATGTATTGGAATGTATTGACCTTAAATGGAGTTGTGTTTCCTCTGGGCAGTGATGACCCTATATGGTGATGGGTGTAATAAAAGCCTTGACCAGATGAGGTAACGTGAGACATTGGCAAACGGCCATGCGGCTGGAGAGAGACAAAGGATAATCAAAAAGCTACGGGAGAGGAGAGAAGTTCGAAAAGGAGCTGCTCATACCATCCTGAAAATATTGCTGGCTCTCTGTGTCTTTATTTTATGCTAAACTGCGCCATTTGTAACGGCTGGCTCCGACAGTCTTGTGAATGCATGATCACTCCTTTTTCATCTTTTCCTCAGAGGAATGTTTTCATTGCATTCCTTACGTTAGGAGTTCTTTCAGTTGTGTGCAGACTGATGCAAACGATGGTTAATATGCTTCCCTCCAAAAACATTCTGTTTTGTCTGGTTGCCTTTTGCCTTTTGATGCTCCTCGAGAGCTCTGTCACATGGCTTCTGCATCGCTGCCCTTTCTTGTCTACTGTGTTTCTGTGGTTTTTGGCTCAGTTTTCAAATCTTCAGAAAGTTCCACATATGCCTGAACTTACTTGTTTGAGGTTGGATTAGTTCCCTGTTTTGAAGACTTTTTTGCACATTGCTTGCCATCCACCATTTTATTTCTTGGCCTAGTGAAGTTAGCTACATCTGCCTATACAAGCCTTTCCCCAACTTGATGCCCACCCTCTGACGTTGATCTATGACTCCCATCTTCGGCTGATGGGAGTTGTAGTGCAAAACATCTGGAGCAAACCAAGTTAGGGGAAATTGGTCTGTGCTGTGCATTCTGCCTCCCAGATGTGTTTCCAGAAACTAAAACTAAAACGTTGTCTTCTCTACTTTCATTAAAGTCTTGTGGGTATGATTTTGTTTGGCATATATTACCCCTCCAGCAGATTTGGGGAAGTCTTTCTATTTCCTGTTTAGTTATGGGCTCACAGCTGCCAAATGAATTTTGGCACTTTTTCAACAGTACCTTCCTCCAGATATCTGGTTTTGAGGGATATTATTCTTTTAAAAACCAGGTATCTGGAGGAAGGTACTGTTGAAAAAGTGCCTAAAAGTGAAATAAGAAGGTGGGGCAGGGAGAAGTAACATCCTTGATTTGGGGATGGCAGGGGGAGGGGAAGAAAATCATAAACAGAGTTGGATTTAAAAGCCAGCCGTGAAATTGTCAAATCAGATTGCAAATCAAGTTGAAATAGTTGGGACATTAAAATTAACTGATTTGATTTTAATCATTAGTGTATCTTGCAAACTGTGACTGACCATAGTTCATGTTCAGACCTAGCAGTTCTGTTGGGTTTATTCTATTTTTTTCTTAATGAAGCAGAGTGCTTGAATTCAGCCAACCAATCTGAATACTTATTGGCACAACCTTATTCTATCTGTGTTTGACTGTCACTTCCTGGCATTGAAAGATGAAAGCTGTCAAGCTTGTTTAAGGACTGTGAAATTTAGACACTTGTGTGTCCTTCAGAGCTCTCTAGTAATTGGAATAATATGAACAGTGTGTCTGAGTGAACCCAAAGTGAATTTGGCTCCCTTTCATGCTGAATTTCTGGTTGCAGTTGAGCCATTCTGATGGAATTTTGGATTTATTGGACTATGGAAGCTGTTGGTAGAGACTGGAGTTTTGAATTTGTTCGGTAAGCTTGTGGTAGTTAGTGGTCATGGTTCTAACATTGCAGTCTTTAATATTTTAAGGGGTGTGATACCAATGAAGTCAGTGTCTACAAATCAGCGTCTTCTTTCATAATGCAAATGGGTCTTGAACTTGTTTGTTTTTTAGAAGTCCTTTTTTCTTTATTGCATTACTGTAATTTGGAATGTTTTCTTTGCCAGGTTTGATGGGGAAATATTAAATACTGCTTTGGGGGGGGGATACCTAAAAGCTCCCTTTTGCTAAATTAAGATGTTGTCATTTTCTTTTCCTTTGGGATTTGTCAAAAAACAAAATGAAAAATGTTTTTCTTGAGCTTTTGCAATGTGGTTGTATTAATTGTTACCAATTGCATAAAAAGTGTGTGCACACACATACAAACACACACACACACACACACACACACACACACACACACATATACGGTGGCAGCCTTATTTCCTCAAGGTTTAGGGGAATGCAAATACCGTTAAGTGGAAATTTGTTCAGATGTAGTATATTATGTGGGAAAATGAGTGCAAGTGCTATATTCTCATTTTCCATTTCACATACTATTTAAGAAGTTGGGGAGGCCAAATGCTGTTGGACTGCAGCGTCCATCATCCCTCACCTTTTGGCCATGCTGCAGGCAGGGGCTGATGGGAGTTGGAGCCCAACAGTATTTGGAGATGCCACATTGGCTGGCCCTTCTTTTGAGATTTAAGGTGTGGGCATCCAAATCTTGAACATGAGAAAGTAGGCCTTCAGTTGTCAGGGATGGAGAACCTGTGGTCATTCAGATGTTCTTGGACTCCAGCTGTCATCTACTCCAACCAGCATGACCAATGGTCAGGGATAATAGAAGCTGTAGTTCTGCAACATCCGAAGGTCCACAGGTGTCACATGCTTGGTCTAGCAAAATATGAAAGCCAAGAGGAAAATCCAACCAGCAGGTTAAAAGCCCTTCAAAGTGGGCACTTGGAAAGGGGGAGGGTGGGAGGGGAGAACCTGATGAAACAGAGCAAAACTATTTAAGAATGTTCAGAATGCTATTTGTTTCCACCTCTCCCCGCCTTGAGCTCCCTCCAGGAATGTTTATAAATCCAGTAGTGATGCATTCATCAGACAATAAGAATCTTTAAAAAAATCTTTCCTCAATTTGGATCTTCTATCTAATCTGTGGGGTCCCTGTTGCCGAGATAGTTGTAAAGCAATTGCTCCATCGTTGTTGATCCTGAACTGACAGTTCAGGACTGGCAAAAAGATCCTCCCATGTTAACATCTGATGTGTTTGAGTCAATGAAAATGTTTGTGTTGCAATAATGAAGGCAAAGAATGTTAGTCATTCCTTATTGTAGTATCCTGTGGGCCTCCAGATGGCTCCAGGGGGCCTCAAAGCAACTTCTAAACTTCAAGCTTCAAGTGCAATTAAGTGTTGAATTCTTTTTTGTGACATTAATGGGAGGATTTTGAAGAGAATGGCGGGATTGGTACTGGTTCACATTTTTTCTTTTTTCAAATGCAGGTTAAATTTGCCAGTCAGGGCCAATGGATCCTGTCTTTAAGCACAACTAGGTAGCTTGCTAGAGCAGCAAGTGTTGGGTGCTGAGTGTGAGCAACCACTTGGGGCCATGACCAAGGGCTCACTGAGGATGTGAGGGGAAGATGTACAACCTCAGCAGGCTATGGATATGTGTAGGAGTTTGATCCTGTGGGTCCCAGGTATTAGCCAAAATACCTAGAAGAACCCCAGTACTGGATTCCTGAATACACAGGTGGGTGGTGAAGCACAAAGCACAAATTTTCCATACAAGTATCCTTCTCTAAAGGCTGCTGGAAAGACTTTCCAAAATCCCACATCAGGGATACCTTAGGCAGGGTCTTTCCAGCCATCCTTGGGGATGGATGAATTTAAAACGGGAAATAATCATGCTTTGCTCATCCCTGTCAATCTGTAGGTCTAAGATTATCTAGATTATTCAGATGTTTATTATTCAGATTATTCAGTTGTGGTGGGTGGAATAGCAGAACTTTCTTCCTTGTGCTTTTTTGAAATAAAACATCCAAGCAAGCCTGCCACAAAACAACCCAGAAGACGCCCCCCTCCAGAACCAATAAAAAGCTATTTTTTAATTTACAAAATTACAAATCAGAGAACTTTTTGCAACTTTCTGTAGGTACTACTTTTGCAATTAAGGCTCTATAATTTTTATTGAACTCTGTTGAAAGGGTTGGTTGCAGTTTCTTTTTCTTAGAAGGTATGAGGTACTAACATTATTTTTTCTTCAATATGTAAATGTTATAACTTTTCCTATTTATAGGGACAGCCCCAATTTTTCTAGTATCTCTCTCTCTTTTATTTTATAGCACCATTTTTTCTTTTTGGAAAGAATTTGAAGATGCCCTTTAAAAATATTGCCAGAGTTGATATCTGTCCACTTGAGTTCTTCAGTACAGTATTTAGCTTTCTCCTAGGTCTCATGTTAAATATGAGCGCATACCCCTCTACATTTCTCAGTTGAAAATAGGGACAACATATTCTACATCAGGAAGCTTCTCCCATGTTTGATCTCCTGCACACATAGATGTCATATACACATCAACATCGGTCACCTTGAGCCTGTTTCAACCTCTCAGCCTTACTATATTGCAGTGTTGTTGTAAAGAAAAAGAGTGTGAGGGAAGGGATTGTGTATAGCATCTTCAACAGATACCTCGGGTTACCTCGGGTTACATACACTTCAGGTTACATATGCTTCAGGTTACAGACTCCGCTAACCCAGAAATATTACCTCAGGTTAAGAACTTTGCTTCAGGATGAGAACAGAAATTATGTTCCAGCGGCGCGGCAGTAGCAGGAGGCCCCATTAGCTAAAGTGGTGCTTTAGGTTAAGAACAGTTTCAGGTTAAGAACAGACCTCCAGAATGAATTAAGTACTGAACCCGAGGTACGACTGTAAATGGAATTGTAGCTCTAAGCTGCCTTGCGGTCCCTGTCAGGGGAAAAGCTGGGATATAACAACAACAACAACATCAACAAGAAGTGAAGATGCCTGGGCCCCAGGATGGCACCTGATATCACCACCCCGGGATCATTGGATCGGGACTGCTTTCGTAAACTAATACCCCATCTGTAGGGTATATCTATCAGTTATATAATATCTGTAGAATCAGAATGAATTTCTGGAACTAAATCACTTTTTCTGTGCAGCCTGAGCAAGAGCAGTCACCATTAAGAAAAAGAAGTCAAAATAGGCCAATATATATGTGGACTATCTCTGGATCAAGTGACTTTCCTTCTTCAGTTCTCAAAGTTCTTAACCTAGCCCAAGGTTGTCATCTCGAACTAGCCAGATGTTTAACTGGAAATCAATCACAGTCCATCATTTGAAAAATAAGATTTAGAGCCATCTTGCCCAAAAATGGCAACTATACATTCCGTTGGGGCAAATGCAACCTTGGCTTAAGGAGCCATTTGGAGCCTAGCTTATATATCTTGAGTTTCTAACACTGGCTAGTCACATAAGAGTTTTGAGATACAACAGGGAAATAAGAGCCTTCAGCAATGGTGGGTTCAGACAGTAAAAACTGTTTTTTAAAGTCTCCCTGATTTTCCTGTGAAATGTTGGAAGGCATATGTTTTTTGTGTTTTTCAAGGCTCTAATTTCCATAAGTGGTGGCAGCTTGGTGGTGTTTGCCTTCGCTTATCGTGCATGGCTTGGTATGTGTGAGTAATGTGGTCTTGTTTATTCTATAGGTATATCTTGATATGCACATTGTGAACTGGGGTATGAGAGCTAGTCACCTTGATATATGGAGGTCCCTGAGTTAGTGCTGCCACTGGACTTTGGCCATTGAATGTGTGCTGTAAAGATGGATATCTCAGTTAGACCCGGAGACCCTTAGAAGTAATTAATGCTTAATACAAACTTCCTTAAACCTTAAGATGCTTGCTTCTAGGAAAGTTGCTTTGTATACAGATTCCCGCCTAGTGAGACCAATGACTATAAATAGCTTGTCTTATTGACGGGTGGTTCAGAATAGTTGCAGATCAGCTATTGTGGCATTTCTTTGGTACTGACTGTATGAATGACTTACCGTATTTTTCGTTCTATAGGACGCACCGGTCCATAGGACGCACCTCGTTTTTTGGGGGGGGGAATGAATAAAAAAAATTATCCCCCCGCCGCGGCTGCCGCCCCAAGCCTCGCGTGCTTCGGGCTGCAGGCTACCGCCCCAAGCCTCGTGCGCTCAGCGGGACCTCCCACCGGGCGCGCGAGGCTTGCAGACACTCGCCGAAGCACGGGAGCCCTCCGGAGGGCTCCCGTGCTTCGGGCGACAGCTGCAGCCCCAAGCCTTGCGCGCCGGGCGGGACCTCCCGCTGGGCGCGCAAGGCTTGCAGACACTCGCCCGAAGCACGGGAGCCCTCCGGAGGGCTCCCGTGCTTCGGGCGGCTGCTGCAGCCCCAGCCTTGCGCGCCGGGCGGGACCTCCCGCCGGGGCGCGCAAGGCTTGCAGACACTCGCCCGAAGCACGGGAGCCCTCCGGAGGGCTCCCGTGCTTCGGGCGACAGGCTGCAGCCCCAAGCCTTGCGCGCCGGGCGGGACCTCCCGCCGGGCGCGCAAGGCTTGCAGACACTCGCCCGAAGCACGGGAGCCCTCCGGAGGGCTCCCGTGCTTCGGGCGACAAGCTGCAGCCCCAGCCTTGCGCGCCGGGCGGGACCTCCCGCCTGGCGCGCAAGGCTTGCAGACACTCGCCCGAAGCACGGGAGCCCTCCGGAGGGCTCCCGTGCTCGGGCGACAAGCTGCAGCCCCAGCCTTGCGCGCCGGGCGGGACCTCCCGCCGGGCGCGCAAGGCTTGCAGACACGCGCCCGACGCCCGGGGAGCCCTCCGGAGGGCGCCCCGTGCTTCGGGCGACAAGCTGCAGCCCCAAGCCTTGCGCGCTGGGCGGGACCTCCCGCCGGGCGCGCAAGGCTTGCAGACACTCGCCCGAAGCACGGGAGCCCTCCGGAGGGCTCCCGTGCTTCGGGCGACAGGCTGCAGCCCCAAGCCTTGCGCGCCGGGCGGGACCTCCCGCCGGGCGCGCAAGGCTTGCAGACACTCGCCTGAAGCACGGGAGCCCTCCGGAGGGCTCCCGTGCTTCGGGCGACAGGCTGCAGCCCCAAGCCTTGCGCGCTGGGTGGGACCTCCTGCTGGGCGCGCAAGGCTTGCAGACACTCGCCCAAGCACGGGAGCCCTCCGGAGGGCTCCCCGTGCTTCGGGCGACAGGCTGCTGCCCCAAGCCTCGCGCGCTCGGCGGGACCTCCTGCCGGGCGCGCAAGGCTTGCGGACACTCGCCGGGGCTGCAGGCTGCTGCCTGCAAGCCTTGTGAGCCCGCGGGAACTCCCACCGGGCTTGCAAGGCTTGCGGATAGCTTCCTGAAGCCTGGAGAGCGAGAGGGGTTGGTGCGCACCGATGCCTCTCGCTCTCCAGGCTTCAGCGAAAGCCTGCATTCGCTCCATAGGACGCACACACATTTCCCCTTCATTTTTGGAGGGGAAAAAGTGCGTCCTATGGAGCGAAAAATACGGTAACATTTCCTGAAATATGTATACCTCTGCTGAAGGCAATGATCAAGAACACTGTTACTGAGTAAAGGAGGTATTTTTAACCCACTTCCAAGTGGGATTTCAGGCCTAGAGGCAGAAGTGAGGATCCACAAAGGGCTGCTCGAGTATGGATCTGTAAACTGCCCCTATACCAGGGGTCAGCAACCTTTTTCAGCCATGGGTCGGTCTCATAGCTGTCAACTTACAGATTTGAAAATAAGGGACCAGCAGCCTTGAAAATAAGGGACCAGCAGCCAAAATAAGGGACAGCAGCCTCACCTGTTCCAGGCACTCCAGTCTTCCTCTCCTCCTGCAGTCTGGTCAAACTCATGCTGGTAGCTGTGAGAACACTGTCCAACCAACTTTGTAACCAGAGGTTCAACTGAATAGAATCTGAATCACGTGCACCACAAAGCCTATGCAGCCTCAACTTAAGATGGCTCCCCGGCCTGGCTTTGCACTGCAAAGTTTGCAGCAGCATGTGCAACAAAATGGCGTCCAGCATTCAAAACCCCCCTCAGCTTGCATTAACTAGCCACACACAAGGCATGCAAGCTCCACCCCCCAGTCGTTCTTGGACTTATTATTGGGTGAGCAACACAGCCAAGCAACACAGTTGGAGCCTCCCTCCTCCCTGGCCGGCAGGGAGGGAGGGAGAGGAGCTGCTTCCTTTGAAATTTAAGGGACATCATTTAAGGGACATCCATCAATAAGGGACAGCAGCGGGACATGGCGCTGGAATAAGGGACTGTCCCTTTAAATAAGGGACACTTGACAGCTATGGTCAGTCTACCGTCCCTCAGACCATGTGGACTATATTTTGAAAGGAAAAAAAAAGAAAGAATTCCTATGCCCCACAAATAACCCAGAGATGCATTTTAAATAAAAGCACACATTCTCTTCATGTAAAAACACCAGGCAGGTCCCACAAATAACCCAGAGATGCATTTTAAATACCGTATTTTTCGCTTCATAAGACACACTTTTTTCCTTCCTTACCTCCTCTGAGGCTCGCTTTAAAGCAGCAAAGCAGACAGGAGCTGCCCGCTTTGCTGCTTTAAATAGTTTAGTACAACATTTGATTCAGAATATTTTTTTTCGTGTTTTCCTCCTCTAAAAACTAGGTGCGTCTTATGATCAGGTGCATCTTATGGAGCAAAAAATATGGTAAAAGGACACATTCTACTCATGTAAAAACACGCTGATTCCCAGACCGTCCGCGATCCAGATCGAGAAGGCGATTGGGCCACATCTGGCCCCCGGGCCTTAGGTTGCCTACCCCTGCCCTACACCATGGGTGTGTGTGGGTGAGAGAGAGAGAGCGCGCACCAGCCTCAAGAGAGACTCTCCTGACAACTTTTTTGAGGTAATTTCAGTGTCAGATGAAGACTCTCCCCCACAAGGCTTATTTAAAAAATCTGATTGCTATCCCACTGATTTTCAATTTGGATTTAGATGTCCCTGTGCTGCAAATGTTTCTGCAGCAATTATTTTTATTATATTTTTAATATTGTTTGTTATATTTTTATATCTTTGTGAGCCTTCTAGAGAACTATGCTATTGGGCAGAAATGTAGATTAAGTGTATTAATCACATACAGGGAAGGAGTTTGTCTCCTAAGAGATGGAAGCACAACTGTGTTCAGTATAGCCTCTGGATAGTGTTCAAGGGCAGCCCAGTGACACAATAATGAAGTATTCCCAATATGCTCAAGAAAAGAAGGTTCTTTTTTTTTAATGAAGTAATTTATCTTGATGATGACTTAAAGGTGAAACCCATCCTTTCCCTCCAGCTTTTGACAAGTAGCAACATTTTTCTTAACCTCATAACACCTTTTTTAAAAGGGAGATCTTAGTTCCTCATTTATTAGAAAACCATGCAGAGATCATGGAAAGCCCCTCAGTAAATCTATGCCACAGTACGGATTTGAACGCAGGTCTTCCCGCTGAAACTGGTTTTAATAAAATTTGCTGAAGGGCTTTGAAGATTGACTATCGCTGCAGAGAAAGCTGCTGTTGCTCTATTTACTTGTATTGACCACATTTAACCTTGCTGCTCTTATTGAAATAAATTTGCTTATCTTTGAAGTCTGAAGTTCAGCCTCATTATTTTAAGATACAATTTTTGAGGTGGTAATGGAAATTCTATCCTTCAGTTCTGCAGTTGTGGGAGACCACTCAATATTTCAGTGATTCCTAATGTATGAGACGTGTCTTTCCTAATTGTTGGCCCCTGTCTGTCTCAAGAGAGAATGGAGTGCGACTCTGGGGATGAAATCAAACCGCTGCGTTAGCAGCACCAAAGTGACCTCCCCAAGGTGCAAGCCCAGGCAGTGTATATGGAGGTCCTGGGCTGTACAGACAACAAGACCCTCATCTCAGTCATGCTGATGTGGTCCAAACGAAAGCAGAGCAATATGTTTGCCACCAATTTGGCTGCAGGAGTTGCTGGAAGGAGGTATACAAGCTGCCATCCAACCATCTTAGGGACTCCACTCCAGATTTGTGTCGGGTTTACTTCTTAGCCCTTTCTTCCCCCATAGATAACCCTGCAAGGTAGTGGAGGGTTAGGATCAGAGTTTTCTTTCTCCTAGATGGGCTACTTTCCCAGGTTGACAAGCACCAGCTGCCTCTCTTCCCTCTACAGCACATGCAGAAGCTGCCTTCTTGACTGTTGGACCCACTATTGATCTTGTCTGCTCAATCTGCCAGAGCATGTTTTCTCATGCTAATTTCACATACTAACTCACTGAGGGTTTGAGACCCATTGGCTACTTTCACCTGGTTTAGCCTGCTAGTCGAAGCTGTTTCCGAGGTGTGGCCACTGTCACATGCTGATAGGAGCCACAGGTGAGAGCTAACTGCAGGGTGGGGACCAAAGGTGCGCAAACTACCCCAGAAGGAGCATGGTGTGTCCCCCACTATAGAGGTACTATCCCTCCCCTAACACCGCATACATTCCCTAATGAGGCTTTGACATCTGACAGGGTCAGCTTCTCTTTGGCCTATTGAAACACTGGGCCAGGAGAAGTGTATTGAAACACTGGGCCAGGAGAAGTGTAATATCTGACTTCAATCAAGGTTGCTTCAGATATCAGCAAAATGCAGAGTCTTCATTTCCATTGTGAATGTTCAAAAGGTATTAACATGACTGAAAAGGTGTGGTAAATGTGTCCCAAAGAGCAGCAATTAGCACAGGCTCCTTGGGCATGTTTACTAAGTGTTTTGAGACACATGAATGCCCTTCAGACATTAATCAAAATATAGTCAAGTTAGCTACTGTAGAAATGGGGGGTTCATCATTGCTTTTGTGTGCAAACCAGCCTTTTGCCAGGGCAACACAGGAAGTTGTGAACCATTTTACAGGACCTATGGCAAGCCAAATATTTCCAGATACAAATTGTCTCACCCCCGATCCTAGGCACATTCACTTGGAAGTTCATCCCACTTGTTTGGTGCAGTATACTTTCAACTGAGTCTAGGATGATTCAGTATTAAACGTTGCGTATAGAAGTAGCTCACTATCACAAAAACTATAAACAAATATTTTTCCCCTTAAAAAAATTAAATGACTAATGGAATTGGTCATTTTGGAATTCATCTGTTGGATTTAACCTGTATCTTAACAGTGAACACCTAGTGCTTTAAATAGACCTCAGTGTTCTCTGAGAATGGGCCACCAGACAACTGTCCACTGATCTATCATCAATCTATTTCATCTATCATCCCTTTTGGCTGAGGAAATCCATTCTCCCAAACTCTTCTTTCTTTGAAGACTCAACATTGCCACCTCACCTTTGCACTTAGTGTCTGGGTGATTTCTTGTACAGTGGTACCTCGGGTTACATATGCTTCAGATTACAGACTCTGCTAACCCAGAAATAGTACCTCGGGTTAAGAACTTTGCTTCAGGATGAGAGCAGAAATCGTGCTCTGGCGGCGCGGCGGCAGCAGGAGGCCCCATTAGCTAAAGTGGTGCTTCAGGTTAAGAACAGTTTCAGGTTAAGAACAGACCTCCGGAACGAATTAAGTACTTAACCCGAGGTACCACTGTATGTTTCAAAACAAACAACTTGAGCTTTAAATTAAGTGTCTTGATGAAGCTGAGTTCTTTAATTGACCATAATACAGATTCCAAGTCTTGTGAAGTGCAATGCAGCTGAATCTGTCTTGGAATCTGGAATAGTTGGGGTTTTATCCATCTGTTAGGTTGGAAATCTCAACTGGAAGGAAAAGCAAGCTCAGCAACTGCAGTAAGCGTTGAAGCCAGAGGAGTGGGATTCCCCCTGCTCCCCCACCCCAATATTTCTCTTCCACACTAACTTTCTGTCTTATGCCTAACTTGCCACAATCCATGAAAACAAATGCCATCTCCTTAGGAAGGACCACTTTAATTGAAAGTTTGTACACTGGCAGATGCATGCACAGGGCTTATATCAGTGTTTCATAATGGTGGGAATTAAATTATTGGCAGACCATGGACACATACAGTGCTTTAAGTCAGATACTAGAGGGAATTCTGTTTCTCACATACTACGTGTCTTACACAAGACATGTGTTATGTTAAATAAGACAACACATACTGAATAAGAACGAAACTATCCCTTTGGTTAGCCCAATTAATTGTTTGCACATTTTGCAAGCTTTATGAGTTCCATAGGAGGCACACACAATTGATATACTGTATTAGCAAAGTCACTGTCACCCTCAGCTCACATTTCCTTTTCACGTGGAGCACAGTTCCCCCGTCCATGCTGGTACAGAAGAAATTAAGCACACCTACACCCAATAAAACCCCAGCTTTCTTGTTTAATTAAGCCTTTATTTATTGTTCTCCAGAGTCAAACCAACACAGAGCACCTTATAAGAGCCTTATTTTGGATCTGTGTCTACTGGTCTTCTAATCTGCCCTCAACGGGGCTGGGGAAGCTCAGGTTTCTTCTCCGAATAGCAAAACAGTGGCAATTAGGTAGTGGGGCTGTTTTTGTAAAAGCTGTTCTGCCTTTGAAGTCTCTTTTGAGCTCTCTTGATCCTTCCTCCACTCCCTTACAGCATTTAAACTCCTGCTTTTTAAAGAGCAAGGGGTGTTGATTTATTTGGCTTCTGGGGTTGGAAGACTCCGCCCCCCTTCCTGAGATCCAGCCCTAAACAGAGTTCGCACTGTGGAATGACAGGCATTCCTCCTTGAAAGGAGCTGGCATGGGAGCTTATTTATGAGAATCGTGAAGTGTCCGGCCCAGGGGTACAGGAAATACAGGAGGGGTTTGTGCTTCGACCTACACCCCGGCCGTTTCCTGAGTTCTGGCTGTTGTTGTTCTGCTCCCCGGACTCCAGACAATTCCGTCGCTCTCACCCTGTGGAGTTGGCTTGTCATCTTCCGAAGGCTAATGTCTGCTTCCAGAATAGACTCTCTTTTCTTTCTCTTCCTTCCCTGAGCTACCTCGAAGACTCTCATAATGGGGCAGACACGCTACTCAAGACCGGTAAATCCAGCTCCCTCAGGTGAGTAATGGAGGGTCTAGCTGCGGCTGTAGGCAGGGCGAGAGTTGCAGGTGAAGCATGTTCAAAAAAGAATGTGAGGATTGTGTAACCTGCACTCAGCTCAGAGGGGCTTCCAGTTCTCAACAAGTGACAAAAAGGGATTGTTTTCTTAATCCAGAAAAATAATATTATTTATTAAAGGCCTTTGTGTTGGAATACACTTTGCTGTTTAACTTGCTGCTCTGTGGGCGGCGGCGGCGGCGGGGGGGGGGGGGTTGTAGTTTCTGTGCCACATTGTTAAGAACCAGTCCTTTTGATCTCGCTTTTTCCTGCCAAAATGGTCAGATGATGGGAAAAGCTGGCTTTAAAGAGTTCAGCAGCAAGCATAGCAACATGTTGTGCGTTGGGCTGGAATTAAGCGTTTCATACTAAGGTTCAGGTGTTGAGTTATCTTTTTACCTCTCTGATATGACTGATCTTTAGTTGGATATTTTAATCTGTGTTGGCTCTAAATTGCATCTGTGATCTGATGTTCTGGAAGTACAAGAGTTTATTTGGGGGAGGGCTGCGGTGAAGTAAAACACATTACCATTTAGAGAAGCCCCCCCTCCCCCTGCTGGTAAGACCATTTAAAGTCCAGAGTCTAAGATTACCTAACTTTGCCAAAGGGGCTGAGGAGGAGAATGCATTTGAATGAAAAACTTCCAGCCAGTAATGTCCAGTGGAAGCAGAGTGAGTTTTTGATTTGGGGATTTTTTTTTGTTTCAAGATCTCCCATGTGGCTTATCACTATTCTTCCAGTGGGGTGGCATCAGTTGTTGTCTTTTCCCACTCCTACTTAGAGCTGGCAACTTCAGATCCCATTTGTAACGCTCCCCAGATGGCGTGGTGGGCCTCACCCTGTTGCCTGGCATTCCCTGCTATAAGGGCTGGATAAGGGAGCTTGGCAGTTGAGGCTTTCTGTATATCTACCACAAACATTTACATAGTAACCCAAGCCAAATTACTAGTTTTTCCTTAAACTGACCCTGCAAATATTTTACAGATGGTTTTAGTTGAGGTGACGACTGATTCAGATGGTTTGTGGACTTTAAATATATTTTCTAGATTGACTTGTATGAGTTACATGGCTTCTGTTGTAGGCTAGCTTTCTGTGTGATTCATCTGATTTTTAAGACGCTTTTTTGTGGGGGCAGGCGGAAGGACGTACTGCATCAGGAGGAGCCACCATGGTGTGTGTGTTCCTGATGTTATTAGACTCCAGCCAGTTGTTAGGGGTGATGAGAGTTATAGCAACATCTGGGAAGTACCATATTGGCTATCTGTGCCATAGCCCCTAGCATGCTATATTTAGTATTAACCTATTTATTTGTAAGCACCTTATTTGTATTTTCATTGGCTGTTTGGGGGGGGTACATTGGTAGTTAAAGAGGAGTATTTTGGCTTTTAAAAGGCTAGTAGGTGTATTTTGCCTTTTGTGGACTGAAGCCCACTTCCTCAGAGGCAGCTGATAAAGTGGACTCTAGTTCCTGAAAGCTTAAGGTGCAATAAAACTGTTAGTGCCACAATATTTGTGTGTGTGCCATGCTTTTGCTATATCTAAGGGTACCTCCAGACTGCTACCAATGTATTGTGGGAGGTATTCAAGCATATACCAGAACTTTAGGTTTGCATAGTTAGTGGATTAAAGGACTTAACTGTGTGGCTTGCTCCATTGGTTAGAGTGTGGTGCTGATAATGCCAAGCTTTCAGGTTTGATTCTCATATGGGATAGCTGCATATTCCTGCATTGCAGGGGGTTGAACTAGCTGATCCTCAGGGTCCCTTCCAGCTCTACCATTCTATGACTGTTTTGCTCCAGCACACCACTTTAAAAAAAGAATTGGGCTTTTAGCAATGTAGAAGGTGGCAGGGAAATGTGTTTGGTAAACAAATAATGGGAAAACACCCCTGCAGGCAAATTGGGATGAATATTCATTGTCATATAACCACCCCACAAACAAATCAGAATGAATACTCCGTAAAGGCCAAATGTAATCTAACCCCCCACATAATGTTTGTAAATAAAAATAAATCAGAACAAATGCTTGATAAATATGTCACCTGGAGGAATTCTAACATGTCTACTGTGGCACACAAATAGTTATATCTGCTTGTGCTTTCACAAGTAATTAGAAAACATTTTTGTCCCGAATGCAGCCTGTGTATGTGGCCTTTGTGGATAGTATTGACCGACTCTGTAATGATGGAAACAACCATTTTTAAATCAGTTGTTAATACCTTGGAAAAGTGCTATTTAATTTGCAAAGATCTGCCAGATACATACACTTTTATTATTTTCATTTTTAGCCATGGAAGCAACATAATAGGCCCTTTCCCTTTGATGGGAGTGGGGATGAACTTCCCCACACTCAGATCATGATAGTTGTATAAACATTTGAGCAAACATAATGTGAGGCAGTCCAGTTTTCAGGTAAGAGATTCATCCTTGACTTGTTCTTAGGTTCCCTGTGAAAAGAAGTGCCACCCAAACTGATTCTCATGTTTGAGCTTGAACTTCAGAGTATAATTAAGCAGCTGTGGAAACAAGTGATTTCCTTTTCCTACTAGGCTGCAACGCTCACAAAGCATTATGAAATAAGAATGTTAACTGCCTGTGATGTATTTGTCTGCCAGAATTTTGGTATAACTTCTGTATAGCCATTTAAAGGACATATAATTACATCTTATCTGACTTAAAGTTGATCGTTTGTGAAATGGTGTGAGCAGTGTTGGAAAAGTTGGGTATTGCCCAGGGGTGGAGAAGCTGTTGCCCTGCAGAAGTTGCTGGACTTCCAACTCCATCTGGGATGGCAACTGTCAGGGACAGTAATGGGCGGTGGAAATTTTTCCACTGCTTTGTTTTTCCGTGGGGATTTTTTTCTTTCATAAGTTCTTTAGTAACAATGAATGAATGCCAATTGCAAATTCATTATTAGGCAATCTTGGCAGTTTCAAACTGTTTTAACTTGTTTGCTAAGTACAAGTAAAATAAACATGCTAAATTAGACCACTCTTTAGGGCATTAGACATATTCCCAAACCTATGGAAATTATCCAGTAATTTGCATAGGTTTCCAATTCGAATTTTTCCAGAAGACCCACCTCACTAGTCAGGGATGACAGAAACCATAGCCCAACAATGTCCGCAGGTTCCCAACCTCTGGTATAGGCAAATAATTATGACAAATTCTTTAAAATATTATTTTGCTGTCAAGAAACAAGGAAGTATTCAGATGGTACATGTAGATGGCAAGACATGTCTAAAATGGGAGCAGTGTTCCCTGTGAATCATTCAGATGCCTGAATGAAGTAGGTGTCTCAAAACTGACTGCTACTCTTAATCATATGGGAGTTGCAGTTTCTGAATGAGAAATATGACTTTTGGCAGAAGGTATGTCGAGGGCATGTGAAAAGGCTTCCTTAATGAAAGAGCAAAAATGGAAATACCACTGCCTTTATATTACTACATCAGTACAGTACAAAAGGCTTGCATGGGGAAGGCCATAGCTCAGTGGTGGAGCATCTGCTTTGCATGCAGAAGGTCCCAAATTCAGTCCCTAGCATCTCTAGGTAGGGCTGGGAATACCCCCTGCCTGAAACTCTGGAGAGCTACTGCCTGTCAGTGCGGAGAATGCTGACCTAGATGGACCAGTGTTCTCCCCCCCCCTTTTTTTTTTTAGATGGACCAGTGTTCTGACTCAGTATAAGGCAGCTTCCAATGTTCCTAGATTTTATTGCACTGTTGGTTGGTATGAGTAAGACCTCTTTTGCTGCATTTTAGGGTGCAAAGTGTGTGCTATTTTGTACTGACCTCAGAAGAATTGTTGCTGGCTTCAGGTGAGAGCAAATGCAAAGGTGAAGTGTCGTTGAGTTGTATTTGTTCCTATTCCAAGGCCTACTGGCTTACTGTGCTGCATAACAGGTTTTCACTGATGTGTCTGTCATCATGGGGTTTTCTTGGCTTGGTGACATTAGCCGCATGATGACTGTGTTGGTGTTATGTCCAAAGTTGGCACCTGCTGCTGGTGCAATGCAATATGCTAATTTTACACCTAATTTTGTGGTCTTGGTATTGGGCCTGAAAGAAATACACTTGCTATGGAGCAAGTGTGCTTCATACTTTTACCAAAGTATATAGCTCTGCACTTGTAATCTTTTTCTTTTTTCATCACTTGGGGACATACGACTTGTCATATAAAGTAGAGCCCTGTGGCTTAATAAATACTATATGAATTATTGTGGCATACATTTACAAGGGCTAGAGCTTATTTCATCAGATGCAAGAAGTGCTGCCTTCACCTGAATTATGAGTGCATACACACATCTGTTTGCATATCTATATTTGTATGTTTAATTTATTTGCTGATGTTAATGTATTGGATGAAGTGAACACATAGCCACAAAAGCTTGTGCCTCATAAAAACTGGTAGTTTCTAAGGTGCCATGGGACTCCTTCCTGTGTTTGTTGTAACTAACCTTGCTACCCTTCTGGAATGTATAACACAAGAAAGCTTTAAAAAGAAGAAGAAGGAGGTAAAATAGTGATAGAACCAGACAGCCCATTCTCACAAAGTCTTTGAATGGTGAAGGGATACGAGCATCTCAACTGCATCAGTCCCTGTCATCCAGCCATTCATAACATCCTTAAAAATAAGAGTGAGCCAGTTTCTTTGACCACATGTGGTGCTTTGATTCATTAGGGTTACTGCATTTAACTGTTGTTATTCCATTCCCCTCTACTTGCGGTTGAATGCCGTCGCTACACACCTGTGCCAACCCATTGTGTGTTTCCATTGAATTGCCCCTTTAGAACCACTATTCAGTGGAATATCAATGTTCCCATTGCCTTTTTGCCTAGTACTATAGTTGTGTGAATGCCGTCGGTGTTCACATAAGTTTCAGCTTCTTGTTTAATAAGATATATGAAGGTGTTTAAGACATATTATTTTATTATGTTTATTATATCTTCCATCATTGAGGTCAAGGGGTTCTCAGGCAGCTTGCCATCTGAGCACTGATCAGACTCAGACTTGTTTCGATTCAGCAAGATGGGTGTACCATGTGTTATCTGACTGTTCAGCTTAGAAACAATTAAAATAAATCTCTCTCTCGTATTAAGACCAAATATACCATGGTAGTGCCTTATATTATATAGAACTCTAAAAATAATTCATCTTGATCAACTGATATGGCTTCTGCAAATGGTGATACACCGTCCTTCGATAAAAAATATTTTGGTGTGTGGGTATTTGCAGTACTCTAAATTTATCTTCCTGTCAGCTATCAAACGTGTTGCTGCTGCTCCCTTTAATAGCAAATTCAGGTAGTGGGTGGTGTCAGGAGTGGAGCCAAAAACAGGACCACTGAGGGAACATTAAGTGAGGTCTGTGGAAGTACCCAAAAAGCCCCACAACTTCTTTTAAAAATCAAAGCCAAGTGGGCAACCCTTCCACCAAAACATCTTCTTGGGCACCAAGCATACTCAGCAGCCATGGAATGCTAAGGGTCAGTTGGAAAAGAGAACAGGAAACTATGCTTATGGTGCTGTCTGGGTGACACTAAGGCTACTTGGCACCTTGCACTGGAGTACACCTATGTGGAAAGTGAGGATATACTGCAACATTTTGTTGCAGGTCCTGCTAGATTCTTCTTTACACATATAATGCTGAAACAGTGTTGTGTCAAATGCCTTTCGCTGTAGGTGAAACTTCGTCTTCCAAATCCAGCAATTGCTATCCAGTGAACCATGCTTACGAAAATCACTCCTTGGTTTAGATTGCCTTCGGGTCTGAGGCTGAGGTCCCAGTGACCCTCTTCACAGTGTTCATAATTCATATTTATTGGTATATGCAAGAGCATTAATCTTCAACAGAAATGTCATGTCACCCAAGTGTCAGCCTCTCAGTAATTGTGATTGTTGGCACATTTGTCTTGTGTGTCTCTCACTGATGACATACGTGAATAAATCCTTATAGAATTATGATGCTTCATTGTACCTCTGCTGAAGTGCTCCACTCTCAATCACAGATCTTCTGATGGGGCACTTCCCCAGTGGTTCCCCATTGTCTTGAGATTTGTTTCGCCTTTACTAGGGACTTTAGTATGGCAGTCTCGGCCCTGTGGAACTCCTTGCCAGTGGAGGTTTGGCAGGAATCGTTCCTACCTTCTTTTACACATCTCCTGAAAACTGTTTTATTTAGGCAGGTCGTTGCAATATGCTTCCTCCTTCCTTTAAACCAACCAATACTTACTGATGTTTTATTGGTGTTTTTATTGATGTTTTTACTGGTGCTTTTACTTGTTTGATTATAATCTTGTATGTTGTATACCACCATGTTATACTTTTGTGAAAGTGGATTATAAATACAACAAATAAACAAATCTGTGTTCAGAATATGTACCAACATAGTAAAATGTTTGATTTGCTGTATGAAATTGTTTGGGATTAAAAGATGGTCATGAATTTATAAACGTACACTTACTTAGATTGTCTGCTCTGGTAACCTTGTTGCCAAATGTACTTAAAAGTTCACACCTACTGGGAATCACAGGCACAGTAGAACTGTTAAAAAAAAAAAGTATGATATGATGCAGATTGTGATATTCTACTCAGCTTTCTCAGAATCTGTGCAGTGCAAAAGCTTGAATATTCCAATGGAAAGAGACATTGGTCTGATATAAGAATTGATGTTACCTGCTCTGTATCTTTATTCCTTGGGACCAAATTTATAGCAAGATTATGCATAATAATAATAATAATGATAAATTTTATTTATACCCCGCCCTCCCCGGCCAGAGCCGGGCTCAGGGCAGCTAACACCAGTAAAATTACAGTAAAAACATAATAGTAAAAGAAAAAAACAATTTAAAATACAGGTTAAAATGCATAAGTGGAGGGAAACAAAAGGGTCAGACTGAGTCCAAACCAAAGGCCAGGCGGAACAGCTCTGTCTTGCAGGCCCTGCGGAAAGATGTCAAGTCCCGCAGGGCCCTAGTCTCTTGTGACAGAGCGTTCCACCAAGTCGGGGCCAGTACTGGAAAGGCCCTGGCCCTAGTTTAGATGAATCTAACCACCTTGCAACCTGAGACCTCCAAAATGTTGTCATTTGTGGACCTTAAGGTCCTCCGTGGGGCATACCAGGAGAGGCGGTCCCGTAGATAAGTGGGTCCTAGGTCACAGTTATTTATTCTGCTTGACTTTTAAACATCTGTTTTATTTGGGTTTCCTTCCTACCTTGCACAAATAATTTTTGTGGCAAAAAAGTCAAATAGCTGAATTGGCATCAGAATTACCTTAATTGCTAGGGCGATTGAACTGGATATTTTCATATACTTTGGACACTAGAGTTAAGGTATAAATCCCCATCCAACATTGAATCTCACTGTATCTTGGGCTAGTCACATACTCTTAGCCTGACCTACCTCACAAGGTGTGGTTGTGAAGATCAAATGGAGGAGGGCAATGTACTTGAGCTCCTTGAAGGAAAGGCATTATATAAATATAAGAATTTCTTAAAAGGTGGAAATTTTCCTCAGGTGATTGATCTGGTATTGTAGTGCTCATCTGTTGTAGTACATGTGTTATACTTGTAATGTTGTGGATATGTGTATTCCAAGAGTTTTAAATGTTTTATACTGTTTTCCTGGAATATGTTTTGATTTGTGAACCACTTTGATTAGTGTTTGCATTTGTGGTTTTTATTTTACTCAACACGAGAATAAATTCATACATTGAGAGGCCGCCTTCTACTGAGTGAGATAGCTGGCCTACCTAGTTTGGTGGTGTCTACACAGCAACTCTTTTGAATCTCAGACAAAGGTCTTTCCCACCACTTGCTACCTGAGATCCTTTAGAGATGGAAGTGCAAAGAGCTGAATCTGGGCCCATCGGCAGGGAAAGCTGAGCTGCAGCCCTTCCCATTTCTCAGTTCCACCTGTTGTGTCTTCTGGAAGGCACTGATGTGTCTATTTTCCCAACTTCATGACTCAGACGTGAAGTTGGTGTGTGCTCTCTGAAGCTCTTTCTTACGCAACAAAGATTGATTGGCACCGAGAGGGGCTTTTATGCAAGCCCTTCTATTTTTTATTTTATTTTTTTAAGAACAAATCTGGACATGAAATGCCAGTGTGCAGTTGTTTCCTTGGGTTGCCACATGCCTCATCTCTGCTCTTGCCGAGATCCAGATTTGTTCCAGGGGGAATCCAAGGGAACGCACGCTTATCACCTCGGTGCATAAGCCATCTCTGAGTAATGCAGTTACCTGAAATGCCTCAGTCCTAAAGCATACTGGGAGCAGCTGATTCACCCACTAATTAATCATACAGAACAAACAGAAGACACTGTTGCTTCATAAGGTGGATCTTTTAGTGGCTCTTCTGTTTGTGTCAGTGGTATCCCACTCATCCCATCAGCTCTTCTGAAAGCCCCTCATGCCCCTGAACTGTTTCCTTTTCTTCCTCTTCCCTCCTTGTCCCCCTTTCCTCTTGTGCCATGCTTTTAGATTATATGCCTGTGGGCAGGGACTGTCTTGCTACAAATGGTTGTACGTAAACCACTCTGGGAGCATTTGTGGCTGTAGACATGCTCTAAATAAATGAATAAGTGGAAGTGAATGTTAATAAACTCTTAAAGGCCAAAAGAGACGTGGTGTGGGTGGGAGGTCCATGAACTGTTTTGACTTCTTCTTTTTTACTTAAGCAGCTGTGTGCTGCAATGGTGGTGATGGATTAGAACAGGCAGTAATCTTTTACCTACATTCTCCCCCTCCCCCAATCCTGCTGTTATTAATCCTACTGATGGAAAAGACAGTTACCTGTATCATATCTGTGTTATTTTTCTCCAGCTGGGTAATAACTTGGAGGGGGCGGGAAATCAAAACCCCAGATCTCCCAAGTCACATCTGTTTTCACTTTGAGCTATAATCAAAATAAAAAAAATCCTTCCAGTAGCACCTTTAAGACCAACTAAGTTAGTTCTTGGTATGAGCTTTCGTGTGCAAGCACACTTCTTCAGATACACACAGTGTATTCTTCAGTGTATCTGAAGAAGTGTGCTTGCACACGAAAGCTCATACCCAGAACTAACGTAGTTGGTCTTAAAGGTGCTACGGGAAGGATTTTTGACTTTGACTATGGCAGACCAACACGGCTACCTATCTGTAACTTTGAGCTATAAGAATAGCATCTAGAAGTTTTTATTAGACTTCATTGGGCATTTTAGCATAATTCTGTGTCAGTCTTGTTTAGGATGATGAAAAACTGTTCTTAATTATAAACTAGCCAGAATAAAGGGCAAACTATTGTATGCCTTAGGTTAAGTGGTGGTTTGGCCATGCATTTATCTTTTTATTTTAAATTGTAGCCATGCTGTTGTTGTTTTTCGCTTCTTACATGTTATTTGTCAATGTCTCTGAATGTTACAAGCCCAAGAGTAAAAATCAGAATTGTTAAACTGATTGTGCATCCTAGGCAATGCAGGCATTGTGTTGAATTTCAGCTGTGATAAACACAAGAGCAGGCTTAATTGTGACACGTAAACTGCCTAATTGATCATTTTGTTTAGTGCTCTATCTTGACATCCAGAGGGTTTTGCAGAAGGGGAAAAAAGAAACACTCCTAACTTTTTATATGAAAGTGAAGAAGTGACAGGCGGGTCAACTTTGCATGCCACCCATTAATTAGAGGATCAGAAAACTTATTTTAAGGAGGGAACATAGCTAGTTTTGCTCCAGAATGTCCTATCAAATCCTGGGTTTCAAAAAGTACTTGAAGTGCATCCCAAATATATTTTGAGGTCAACTTAGCTGGTCTTCTGTCACAACATAGGTGTTTGCTGTTTTGCATGGCACCATTACTGGCCATGAATAGGCTTGGAAATGTTTGCTCACCATTTCTTGCCAGACAAAAGTTCAGAATGCTCCAATGAGCATTGTGAATACACTTCTTGGCAATTGAATGTTTCTGACTGCTGGCAGGCATCTCCCTGATTCAGAATGAATTTTTCTTTCCTTCCTTTCTTCTGGTAGTACCCTTCCTTCTTCCCTTGTGTGTGGAAAGAAGCAGGCTTTGCACAGAGGACTTAGTTGATCCATGTTTGGATCCAGGTTGTCAGCATCTGCGTTACAGATTAATGTTATAGGTCATAGCAGAAAGAGGGGAGACAGTGCATCTTGAAAGTGCTTCTGTTTCCCTGATCACCTCCTTGCTATTCCTGCACATTTTAATGAAGTTAATGGCATTCATTTAGTTAGACAAAGGAATGTGATGAATTGTTGTTCTCTGAGTAAAATGTGATGTGGAAATCATGCTTTCCTTGCTCAGTCTTCTTTTTCTGGAATATCTTAATGTCCTTTATCTAGTATCCTGTTGGTTTGAACTTCCCTAGTATTTGCCACAAAGATGATAGACATCCTATACAGTGTGTGTGTGTGTGTGTGTGTGTGTGTGTGAGAGAGAGAGAGAGAGAGAGAGAGGAGCAAATGTATTTATTTCTAAAGTGGTTTTCCGTATGGTTTTTATGGTTTTCAGTGTGCGGAGTGCCTTGCCATGCTTCTGTTCTTGTAAAAATGCTTTGTGAGTAACACTGAGAGAGGAGGATTTAGTCAAGGAAATTAAGTGAGGTTTAAATGGGGATTGGAAGCTTGATTTTATAATGTTCAAACCCTATACACTGCAGTCTACTTTCACTGCATCACAAACCACTGTATAGTCACTTGGACAAGGTGGAAGGATTTGTGTAACAGCACTTTATGGTGTCCAACACCTGTTGATTGTCTGAATATTTTATAGTATGCAAAATGTGACAATATGATGAAATAGTGCTGCTATTATCTTTCTAGGGTTTTGCACCCATAGGGTATAATGTTTGCTCTGAGCTCCTAAACTAGGGGACTCGTGACATTTGGACTCTATAGTATCCTGATTTATTTATTGGGAATGGATACCTTTTTCACTTTTAAGTAAAATGAAACTTCACAACATTAAAGCTAAATCACCCAAAAAATGTAGTGGCTGAAATAGTACAATAGGAAAGAGTGCCCCTCCTCCTGTTTTCGGTGGATAATATTTCAAAGGCTAGACTTGCTCTTTGATTATGTCTGCTGATTATTGTTTGGTTGGCCCCTTCCTTCCCCCCTCTCTTTTAATTGTTTCTTTTTGGTTTTCATTCTGTGTTAGGAGTGGCAAACACGTTCTTGGGGTGGGGGACTCATCTGGACAAGAAGCCAGTATTTATACCCCACACCAAAGACCTCACCAAAATTTGTGGCTGCAAAAATAACATACAATATAGAGCAGGGGTTTTGAACCTGATCCCTACCACCCACTAGTGGGCGTTTCAGGATTCTAGGTGGGTGGTAGGGGGGTTCTAAGGCATCCTTCCATCGAGCACTGGTGGGTGGTAAGGAAATTTTACCACCAAGAAAGATGCATTAGTGGGCGGTAGGTATAAAAAGGTTGACTACCCCTGCTATACATGATGCTCGGGTGGGTGGAGAGGTTTAAACCAGTTAGCCAGCCCAGTGTCTTGATGGGTATGTAAAGTGCCCCTCTTCATTCAATTGATTGATCATCTGATGAGTGGAGAAGAGGCGAGAACAACCCCCACCTCAGCTGGTTTGCATGGGTAGGGCTGTATACCTGTGTGTGAGAGATCAAGAGTGTGGGGTAAACACACCCACCACTGGCAAGAAGCCCCCTACAAGTTTGGCCCAAGAGTGAGTATGGCCTTATGGCCACAAAAGGTTAGCTGCCTCTGTTAACCTTTTAACTGATTATATTTTAACCATTGGTAGCTGTTTTGGGTGTGGGAGGCAGTAGAAGACAGGAGTGCCTGGCATGCTCTGGTCCATGGGGTCACGAAGAGTCAGACACGACTAAACAACAACAACAAAGCTGTTTTGGAAGTTTTTCCAACTGGAAAAAAGTAGGATCAAAGTGTGCTTGAAATGTAATAAAAAAACAAAAGGGACACAGAGGCAGGAGCAGCTATTGGTGAACCTGAGGTCTATGAAACGGGCACCTGCTTGCCAGTGGAGGCATTTATGCAGCTAGCCTTACCATCAGTTGATCCGTTTTTTCAGGAGCTTCCCCCTTCCCATCCATCCGCCTCATTCTACAGTTGGGCAATCAATCCAAGGTTGCAGAAAACATAAATATTCTGCATGAGTGGCTAATCTATCTGGGCTCAGGATTCATATCCAAGTCCTGTTTGTATTGCTGTACTCATTTGGGTGCTTCAAATTGCAGAACTCTTTTCCCACAAGTCAACTCTACCCTCCTGAGCTCTTTTCCTTTTTGAAAATGTTTGGAAAATGCCAGAACAGTAGGTGGAGTAGGAGGCGATTATTGTGTTGCTTTCCTGAGATTGTTACTCTTGGCCCAGGATATCAGCACCTTCTTTCTTTTTTTAATAGGAAGGAAAAAACCAAATAGTGTAACTTTACTGATAAAGTAGATAATTTTGGCTGGTTTGATGCAGAGATCGTCCTGCAAAGCAGTACAACGGAAAGTATTTTTGTTTGTGAATCATAGGTCACATAATGGATTTCTGAACACATTTCTACCTTCTCTTGCACACACATATTGGACTTTGCATATCTACTGTTTTCCTTGCTGCTCTTGTTTGACAATGCCTGGCTATGTGAAGGTTTCAGAGTCATCTTGTCTGGCTTTGTATCTCTGTCTGGCTTTGTATCCCTTCCACTTACATTATGGCTGTGAACACACCATACATTTGAAGCATGTTCAAAGTACATCCTCACCAGAAGAATCTTGGAGACTGTAGCTTGCCCCTCACAGAACTACAGTTCCCAGTACCCTCAACAAACTACAGTTCCCAGGGTTCTTTAAATGTGATTTGAAATGTATGGCGTCTATGTAGCCTGTATTTCTGCTAGTCAGTCAGTTGGAGGATTGGCTTTGAGGATGGAAAGATGGAATCTGCAAATGTTTTATTTATTTAGAACATTTCTTTTAAGGCAAGGCAGCTTACGTAAAATACAGTGCCATAACTGGGAACACTTCCTAGTGAAATCAAACAGGCACCTACAATTATAATGTTTCCTTACCTGCTGAAAAAGTTTCTGCTTTTCCCCAAGTGTTGCTCGTTTTGTTCTGTATGTAATGATTTTACACCATTATGTTTTTATGATTTTACGGTACATCGCCATGATTCTTTCCTTTCCTTGGCAGTTTATAAATGTCCTTATAAAATAAATAAATGAAATAAAATAAATATTTTGTTTTAAAAGACGTTTGAAGACAAGAGCTGACCATTATGAATTAACCAATGCAAAATAGTTTTAGATCTGCAGCACTAGAAAACCTTTAAGAGAAAGCAGCTGAGCTAAGTGGATTTGCCTACAAAGGTGGGTTCATATGCAAGTCATTCTTTGTATGCAGTAGGTCTCTGACATCTCTACTTAAAAAGCTCAAGTAGCCAGTGATGCAAAACACCTCTTTCTGTCTCAGCTCCTGGAGAGCTGCTGCCAGATCATAGTGGTCTGGATGGACAAATAGTCTGACCTGGTATAAGGCATCTTCCTAACACAGAACAAGAGAGACAGCTTTTCTTTATTTCTATCTCCACTGTACAGGTAATTAAATATTTCTGTATTTCCTTTCTGTGTAGCTGAGGAGGTGGATCAGCCATCACAAGATGCTGGAATGGGGGCTGACGTTCTGGAATCTGGTGACATGACACCTCCTTCCAAGAGAAAAAGCAAGTTTTCAGGTTTTGGCAAGATCTTTAAACCTTGGAAGTGGAGAAAAAAGAAAAGCAGTGGCAAGTTTAAGGAGACTTCAGAAGGTAATACACTAAACTTTTGTATCCGCTTCTTACCAAGCCTATGAGGGTTCTTTGCAATGGAATGGATTTGTCCTTCTTGGGTCCCACCTTTCTCAGCTGCTTTCGCAAAATTCCAGAATTGGCCCGTATCAAATCTTAAACTTAAATTTGAGAAGTAATCTACACTCATGCAAGGGAACAGCTGTTTTTGCAACTGTCTCTCTCAAGTTGTACTTCATCACATAATGGTCATGGAGGCCCCTAAATGTTTGGAGAAGGCTGGTGGTGATGGTGGTGGAATGGAGCTGTAAAAGATGTCATACACAGTGATGTGGGACAGAAAATGTTCCTTTTCACAAATTTAGGAAAACCCTCAAAACTGGTCAAACATTAGGGACTGAAGCCTTGAGCAAGGCACAATCACAGACAGAGGTTCTCTTGAAAAGATGTTTGGGAACTACTTTTCGTAAAAGTAAAGGCTATGTGCTTTTAGCAATAAGATGCTGCTAGCCCCTTTTCTTGCAGAGATATGGTTTGGGGGAAATAGTTTGGGTCCCTCCTAGTGTTTTAGATAAGCACAAACAGTCCGGACTCTCTAGTAGTTTAACATTCAGCCCTAAAAAAAACAGTCACTTAGGCCACATATGGTGTCTTAAAGGATTTTTTTTTTTTCAAAATCTCCGACTTGCCCTGTATTCTGAGTGCTGGTTTTTTTCTCCAATGTAATGTCAGTTTTAGAACGAAAGATTTCAATGCGAAAGCCAAGAGAGGAGCTCATTAAAAGAGGGGTTCTGTTGGAAGACCTTGAACAGGGTGAGTTTACCCGTCTTCCTTTGTCCACCCTACACTGCCCATTCTGATTCTCCAGTAAACCTCACCTCTGGGATTCCATGCCTGTGTGCAGCCCCCACCCTGCCATTTCCGCCCCCACCCCACCCCCATCAGTTACATGTGATTCTTTCTCCTTGTTCTGCCTTTTAAACTTTTCCCACTGTAGACATTGCTCATTTTTGGAGGTGAACAGCTGTTTTATTTTGTTCCCTTCCCCAAAGGGACCCCATGTGACATTTTAGCCCCAACCACATTCCTATGAGGTAGTTTAGCTTGGGAGGCTGTGTCTTGCCAAAGTTCACGTAGTGAGCTCTGTAGTAAAGGTTTTCTCTTGGATTTCATGTGCATATGGTAAAGAGAAAGAAGCATAGCCTAGTGGCTTTGCATAAAGAAGGTTGCAGGTTCAGTGCCGAAAATCTGCAGGTAAGTCTGGGCAAAAGGAGCATGTATTGCTTATCAATGCTCAGCAGAAGTGTGGGTGGGGTGGGGAGTTTGAAACTCTGGAATAGCTCCTGCCAGTCAGTGTAGGACATACTAAGCTAGATGGATCACCAAGCAGGAATATCAGGCAGCTTCTTATATTCTAAAGCAGATGCTCAGACAAGTCCCTGCTTAAGTGTGGCTGCTTGGCTACAGCATGGCAATAATTGGTTGTCGTTTTACTAGAGGCAGGAAGGTCTGAAGCAAATTGGAGTACAAATAACTTGGACTTCCTCCCCTCTAAGCTAGGCTGAAGGACAGTCTCAGGAGGGGGGCTAAGCAAAGTCGTGTTCTCAGAGTCTTTTTCTCACGCTTGCAGATCTTTGTCTCTCATCTGCCATGATTTTTACACTAAAAAAAACTTGTGCAGACCAATACATCACCATGAACACAGCTTCCCTAACGCCGCTGCACCTCACCCTTGCAGTCTTCTGCAGGAAAAAGTTCAGGCTGGCTAAGCTCAGTGTGTTGTTTTCTTCCAGCTAGGAAGTGTACTCCTCTGCATTGTGCTAGTGGGGAAAGACACCCTGTTCTGAGCTATGGGGAATTTTGCAAGGAGCAAGCTGGACACATTTTTTGCATGCAGTCAAACCATTAAACTGAATCGTACTCTGTAGAGGCCTTAGCATAATAGTTAATCCAGCCCTGCCCACAGGAAAAGATAGCAAAGGAAATACCCTTTCCTCTTAGGTTCTCAATAGAATGAGAGCTTAGTCCCCCTTCCCTTCCTAGCCCTCCCCTCTGACTCTAAAAGAGATGGGTGGAGGGGAAGAAAGATAACATCAGCCTTGCTGTTGGAACAGAGCCTGCTGATTCTGGTTGTTTTGCTCTCAGCCCTGCCATAGAGACACTTGAGTGCCTAGGCAACAGCTGGCTAATTGTAAGTGGGAGCCACAGAAGACCAGTTTCCTTTATACTTCATATCCACATAATCTCTTATCCTCCTGCACCACAGAGTGTCCTCTGGTAATCCAGTTTGAGGAGGATGATAGCTGTAGAAGGGGAACAACCATTTTAGTGGAATTTCTAAATTTTTAGAATGAGTCTTCTTATATCTTGATGGGTGGTTGAAAATAACTTTGAACCTCTACAATTTAGAGTTAAGAACAGTATAGCTGCTTCACAGATTTGTTTCAATCTCTTTGTTTTAGGGACTAATTTTTCTGCTGAAGGAATAAACTCTGTATATTTTTTAGAAAGAAAGAGAGACAGCAACATGCTTTTGAAGCCCTCCCAGCTGGCAAAAATAAAACCTAGGCAGCTTTCTCCAGCTTGGTGTCCTCCAGATGTTGTTGGCTTACAACTTCCATTTAGTTATTTAAGTATTTAGAATCATAGAATTGTATTGTTGGAGGGGACTCTGAGGGTCATCTAGTCCAATCCCTGCAATGCAGGAATCTCAGCTAAAGCATCCATGACAGATGGCCATCCAACCTCTGCTTAAAAACCAGCAAAGAAGGAGAGTCCATCACCTTTATATATAGCCCTCTCACAAAACATCAGGGTGGCATACAGTAACATTTAAAAAGTTTAAAAAACAATGCAGAACAGTTTTTTAAACGACTCACTACACGTCCCTAACCGGTGGGCATCCTGATTGGGGCTAATACAAGTCAGAGTCTGCCAACAACTAGAGGGCACCAGGTTGCAGAAGGCTGGACTGTAATGAGTGAGCTTGAAGGAGCTTGTGCTTCCTGACTGTCCTTTGGAGAACTTTAATTCCAGATGTGGGTTCTGTGGACATTCACACAAATTCAGAGGTGGGAGGGTGTTTGTGCTCCTTCCTACCTTGAGCTTATCTTCCAGATCCTTTTCCTAGTTACTGCTACGCTCCTTTATCCCATTCATATAGGTTTTAGTCTTCAAAGAACATATTTCATTGCATCTACCATCCCTCACAAAAACGACTCGTTTCTTCACTCTCTCTTATCAGCTTTCAGTTTTAGAAGCCATCATATGTCAGAGGCTTTTTGCTTTGCCTTTGTAGGGCATTGCATCAAAAGCCATTGCCTTTATATGTTGCCAGGATAATTCTGCCTTAATTTCCTCCTTAAACTGAAGCATGCTGAGAAATTGGAAGCAGAAAAAAGTACCGGGGTGGTGGGTAGCGTGGCGGAAAAGCCCAAATCAACCCCCACAGAAAGCCAAAAACTCGGAACAGTATATGACAAAAATTGTTGCTAATTAATGGTACGTATACCTGTTGATTGAGCAACTGATGTTTGTGTACATTGGTGTAATATGATAAGTACATTGAGAGATAAAGCTGAACTACGGCAGGCAATTTTAAAACATTTAAAATCTTCCAGGCATGTTAAATGGGGGTTTGTTTCTTGAATTTATCGTAGTTTTTTTTTTTAAAAGCAAACCACAACAACTCACTCTCAGTTGCCCAAAGTAAACCAAACTTGGAACAAATTGAGTCAAGAGGTAAATCGGAGGTAGAGTAAGAAGAGGAGCCTCTTGAGAACTGGGGGCTTGTTTCTGCTGTTGCTCGGTCGCTGACATAATTAGACAGTAGTAGATCCAAGGAAGAGAGGCAAATAGAACAGTGCTTCAAAAAGTAATATATCGCTTGTCATTAGAGGGAATGACTGACACTTTATTATTCCTCTTCCTCTTTACTGCTTCTTTTAAATGTATTTTTCTGGCTTGGGGTATGTGCAAAATTCCTGCGTGAGTTTCGGCTATTATTATTTTTTAAGTGCAGGAAGGAGATCTTACCAGGTGCAAAAGTTGCTGCTAGGGAAAACACAACAACCCCTCATATTGGCAGAGAATGAATGTGGTGACTTTCACATATATTATAGCCAAGGAGGGAAGGCTTAAACCTCCCTTCCCCATGCGATGCAATCTTGATGACAATTGGGCTCCTTTCTAAAAACACACAGTGTTAATGTCAACGTGTAGTTAGGCTGTTGGGGCTGCATGTGATTTTCTCGGAAAAGGTAGCACTGATACGAGTGGCAGACCTGCTGCTGCTCTAGCAAAGGCCCGATGTTGCCACCCTCTGGATCTGGCCTTGCCCTGGGCTGCTGCACCAAATGCTGACAGTTCAAGAAGAATTAAGCACAATACATGAGAAGATGTGGAACGTTATTTATTCAAGTCTCACTTCCTAGCACAACCCTCAGGGTGCTTTCATTAAGAATACCGTGTTAAAAGGACCTGCAACACAGGGCCCTGGCAGATGTGTATGCAGGTGCTCTTGGGGTGCAATTCTGTGTCATTGAATGTAAAAAAATGTGAATTTATGAGTTGGCAAAGCAATTGAGGAAACTTGTTCCCTCCAAACCAGAATAAGATTAAGTATTTTTCTAGTCAGTGTTATGTGACTGTTCATTCAAGGTCTTGCACTTCTTTCCCTGCCCCCCCTCCCTGGTTTGACTTATTTTTAAGAGGTTTTTTTTTAAGAGTGGCTACAAAATAGAGAAGCATTGTTGCCTGTACATTTGAAGTTCAAGAGCTGCAAAGTTTACATTTCTTGAGCAGTTTCTTTTAGCATTTCCCTTTGCTCCCCCATTTCCTTTCACAGTGCAAAATAAATATTGAACTTGGATGCAAAGGTCTTCTATGCATATATATTTTTGCCAAGTCTACGTACGTAATAAATAGAAAACATTTTTCTAGAAACAGAGCAGGTTACACATCCCTTTAATTTGGATTGAAATATTGCCTGTAACTTAAAAGTTTCCATGTTTTATCAAACCAACCAGTAAGAGGTGGCAGATGCTTGCCTTTTGATCTATCCACCACTTGCTGTTTAGACCCCATTAATGATGAAAAGATTAGATACCTGGCAAGGCTCTTGTGGATTTGTGCACAAATGCTTGAACCTTAACACAAATAGGTCGATTAAAAATAAATAATGCTTTATGCCTGTATCTTGGACCACTTTGATATTATAACCAATAGGCTGCATCCTGCTAGCTTTGTATTTAACTATGTTCTAATCGGAGTAGGCCTATTTAAATCAATCAACCCAAGTTAGCCATGTTCATTAATTTCGATGGGTCTAATCTGAGTATAGCTAACATTGGATGCCACCTTTTGTCTTAAATTCTCTTTGAATCATAGATCTTTATTGTAGCTATCCAGGGGACTCTTAGCTCTTTTCTAATGAGAATAACACTAACAGGGAAAGCTTTGGACTCCAGTTGTTGAACCCAGACAGTGGGGAAAAGCTTCCCACCTTTGTCAAGGCTAGAGGCACATTATGAATTCTTTGGGGTTGCTGGCTGCTGTCTCTGAGTTTCTCTGGTGTTTAATTAGAATAGATGAAAGCTCCTAGGCTCTATAGCTCCATCAGTTGCAGTGTGACTGCATTCCTCTGTAAGCTTCCCATGTCAGGTCTAAATAAATAGGGCCCTCAGCCTTTTGACTGTGTTGAAGAAAAATGTGCTAGAAAATGAGAAGGGCTGCCCCAGCTGCTATACTTGGGATTCCCCCACCTGTGTCATGACAAATGGACCAGATGTTATTTTACCCTAACAACGCCACTCATCAATCCTTTTTACTTGTAGATATTATCACAGAATCATAGAATTGTAGAGTTGGAGCTCAAGGGTAATCTAGTCCAAGCCCTTGCAATGCAGGAGTCTCAGCTAAGGCATATTCAAAGGTGCCTTCTTTCTTTAAATCCCAGCCACCAATATTTATTCCTCAGCCACCACCTGCAGACTCGGTGTTTTCCTGGCAGGCTTGTTGCTACATGGTATGTGCACCTTTTCCTTCCTGGCCAATTTCCTGCCTCGATCTTCAGGCCTGTGCTTTTCTTAATTCTTATTTATTTAATCTATCTCCCCCCACAACCAAAACAGATGAGGAGGAGCCAGACAAACTCAGCCACGATGCCTTGAAAAATGGACACACTATCCCCATTGACGGTTCTGGGATTGTCAACCTTGCACACTTGGAGGAAGAGACTGGAAAAAGAGCAAGCCTTAAGAAGCCTGTTCCATTAGAGGAGCTGAAGAAATCACAAGGTGAGAAACTGGGATGCAGGAGTGGTGGCTCTCTGAGAAGTGTTTTTCATTAACTATCAGGCTTTCACTGTGAAAATACCAGTTTTGGGTCTCTCCTGTGGAGCACACCCACCCATGAAGATTCCCTCATTCTCACGCAAGTTTCTAACACAAGCGACTCACACCTTCACTTCCAGGGGGTTAGCCCCACCCAATTTATCTCTCTTATTATCAGACGTTCTGTCTCCTCCTGCCCACGCTTTGCTGGTGAGTGCCAGCCTTCACCTTGAACTCTAGTTTGGAAATTGGAAGAAACCTTTTAAGTTTCCTCCAACAAACAGCACATAAATAACTGCAAAGACTTTCCAATGCAGCTTCCCCACCCCTTTCCAGGGACAATTGTTTAATGCTTAATCAGAATTCTTTGGAACTGTTGGGTGGAAACTGAGAACAGTGCATAGGATCCTTTTCCTGACTACTAGGAAGAGGCCCTCTTTGAAAACTCAGCACTTTTAGAATGCTCTTCAATCTGTGGTGCCATAAAGGCAAGGCTGGAGCAGGAGGTAGAAGTTCAGTGCTTCACTTAGCAGAATGAGCAGAAGGGTCCCCAAATGCAGCAGGTCTGGCTAACTAGATTCTGAAGAAATGAGCATTGCCATTTAAAGAGGGCTCCCTCAATAAAACAACTAAATCCAGAGTTTAGGTAAAGGGACCCCTGACCATTAGGTCCATTCGTGACCGACTCTGGGGTTGCAGCGCTCATCTCTCTTTATTGGCCGAGGGAGCCGGCATACAGCTTCCGGGTCATGTGGCCAGCACGACTAAGCCGCTTCTGGTGAAACAAGAGCAGCGCACGGAAACGCCGTTTACCTTCCCACCAGAGTGGTACCTATTTATCTACTTGCACTTTGACGTGCTTTTGAACTGCTAGGTGGGCAGGAGCAGGGACCAAGCAATGGGAGCTCACCCCATCGCGGGGATTCGAACCGCCGACCTTATGATCAGCAAGTCCTAGGCTCTGTAGTTTAACCCACAGTGCCACCCGCATCCCTAATCCAGAGTTTAATATCACCTAATTCTATTGCTGTTTCATTGGGGAAGGGTCACAGGTCAGTGGCGGAACATCTGCCTTGCAAGCAGAAGATCCCCCGTTCAATCCCTGGCCTCTCCAGGCAGAAATAGGAGAAACCCCCTGTCTGAAACCCTGAAGAGCCACTTCCAGCCAGTGTAGACAATACTGAACTGGATGAACCAAAGATCTGAATCAGCTTAAGGTTGCTTCCTGTTTTCCGATAAGTGGAGGCACTTATTAGTTTAAGCCATTTCCATCTCATATGATGGCAGCTTACAAGCAAGTTTAATTTTGAACACGAAACCTAAAAACATTCCAAAAAATGTGCCATGTACAAACATGCCACAAAACAGTTGGTGATGGCAGGGTGTGTGTTCATATATGCATGTAAGGAGTGCCTGAAGAGACTCCTGGGGTGCTATGAGGTGATGCTATCACTAGAGCAAAGCATAGCTACGGTTAGCATATTAATAATACTACTCACTGATTTTCATAAATGCTTAAATTTCAGGATATCCCTGCTAAGGTTCTAAGTCAGGGATGGAGAAGCTTCAGGCCCTCCAGAAATTGATGGATTCCCTCTCCCATCATCCCCAGGCAACATAGCCAATGGTCAGGGATCATGGAGTCCAACAATGTATGGAGAGGCACAGTTTCCTCGCTGTAAATACAGGAACTGGGAAACTGTTGCTGGTTTTGATCTGTATCACACACAGAGGCATGCAAGGTCTTAAACACTGTACTGACGATTACTGGTTGGCATGGCTGGCAGAAACCAGTATGGACTATGGTATCTATGCAGTCTATGGTAGTTTTTTAGGCTCCCTGTGCTGGAGGTGTCGTGGGTAGGAACCTTCAGCTGCTGTGTCCAATCAGGAGTGCAAAACATACTGTGTGGATATGCTCTTGGCTTGTAGCCACCCAAAGAGAGTGGTGTGAGGCACCTTAAGGCCAGCTGGTTTACAGTAGCCAATGCTTTTGTGGGCACTAATCTTTCCCCTCAGCCTGGTGGCTGCTAGATGCTTTGGCTGTGCTTGCTGGGGCTGGTGAGAGTTGGAATCCAAAATATCCGGAGGATACCAGGCGAGAAAGCTACATTAGAGGCAGATGGTCCATGTTATATAGGAAGTAAGTTGTGGTCCAAACCTTCATACTCAGCAGAAAGATGAATTAGTCTCTAAGATGCCACAACCCTCTCCTTCATGTATGTAAGAAAGCTCATGGGTTTATGTCAAGTGGGCAGATAACAGTACTTTTAAAAGGTTTGGCTCCCTTTAATGATGTTCCCTATAATGGTCAGAGAGCTACCCTGAGATGAGAGGTTCTTTTCTAGGTATTGTCATAATGTCGCTGAAAACAAAAGCAAAATACGTTTCATTGCAGGAACCTTGGACGGCCATCCCAATTCAGAAGTGGAGCACCACCACCATCATGATTCTCATGCTCCTAAACAGCCTCTGCTTCCCCCGAAACGACCTTTGTCATCCTCCTCTCAGGAAACAAGCAACGTGCAGGCGAGGGATCTTGGTCTTCCCAGCAGCACCGCAAGGACTATGCCTTCCTCCACAGTTGCGGCTGCCACCAGCACAGCGAAAGGGGTCAATTTTTCCACTGCTCCCTCCCCAGCCCCTAGGACTGTACCCTCTGCTTTCACAAATGCTCGCACTACTGCTGCTACGAATGCTACCACGGCAGCACCAGCCAAGCAACCCCCTGTTCCACCTCCCAAGCCAATGAATAGGAATAGCAACCCCTTAATAGGTAAGTGGCTCTTCTTTGTGTATGCAATGTGCCTTGTTCCATCTCCAGGCCCTTCCTTGATTCTTACTGCAGTTGTAATTGATACGAGCTCAGTGTGGATGGGGCAAAGTCTGAAGACAAAGCACCAAATATATATATAATCACTCAGTTTTCCACATTTTTCTTTTGCTTTTTAATGTCTGTACTTGTCCTTAGATTAGCACATTTATTGCGGTATAAGTCTACAAGGGCTACTTCATCAAATGCATGAAGTGTTATGCTGAGATACAGGAAATAATTGTTTCACTCTTGTCTATTTGTTACCAATTGGGAGTGGATCATGGCACACATGCTCTGGATCTTTTATTTTTCTGAATGGATCTGGTTTGCGTTCACGCTCTACACAGTCTCTTATTCCTTTCTCTTGCTTTGCTAGGCCTCCTGATGCCACTTTCCTTTCTTCTTATACCTCTGTTGTAAGTATCTTAGGAGACTTTTCCAAAGACACAGCACTAGAACTTGGAGCATATAAGATCATCTTAAAGAAGTTTGCGTGTAAGAGAGAAAGAGACAGTGAGGCAGTCCTAACCTCTCAAGCCTCTGTGCTTTAATAGGTTACCCTCCTGGGTAACATCAGGAATAAGATATATCTTTAATTGGCTGTGAAGTTTGCTGTTCTTTTGGCATGGCCACCATGAGCAGGACTGTTCTGTGACTTAGACTCTTAACTGTCCTACCTTTTCTGCAGTGCTCCCGGTAACTCATTCCCATTCCAAACAGCAAGGATCCATTGCATAAGCCTGTGGAAATGTGCCATGTACACAGCACAGCTCATCACAGGCCAAGCATGAACATGTAGTAAGACACTACTGCATGCATGTAGGTGTGTGTACTTGTGTAGTGTTCATCCTGCAAGTCTACAGCTGTTCATGGGATTTCAAGCTGTTCCTCCCTCTAGATGCTGGTCAGGTTTTAGAACTCTTAGTTCTCTGAAGCAAAGCATTTTTTGTGTTCGCTTCATATATTGTAAAGGATAGGTGGGGAATATGCGGCCCAAGCCAGTGCTGTATTTCCCAATGTGTCTCTTAACATAGTTCAAAGGTATATCAACAAAGCCACTCACCTGAGCTGTTTAGAAATGGAATGCCATGAAGGAAGAAAGGCAAGGGAATGTAACCAACAAGAGCAGGTTGCCATAAGCTTTTCGGAAAGAATGTCTGTAGCACTCACAGCCTGGCAGTATATAGGGAAGGGCTATGCAACACCTGCGGTTTGAGGGTGTGGGGAGAAGGAGGGGTGAAACATAAACAGATCTTCCAAGACTGCACCTGTTCCTGCTCACCTGCTGAGAATTCGCAGTGGGAGTGTGTGGTAGATTTCGCAATCCTACTCTGAACGCACATGTACTCACATTGTAAGGTGTAGTGTGCCTTTTGTTTCTGACAAACAAGGTAATGATAGCAGGAAATTCTATACTGTATCGCTTGCGGAGCCCTACCTTACAATCTCATATGAAGGGAAGAGCATAAATAGAAAGCGATGAGAAAGGACTTGGCAAGATAGCACCTGGGATTGGGGTGTGTGTGTGTGTGTGTGTGTGTGTGTGTGTGTGTGTGTGCGCGCGCTGGGGGATGCATGGAAATAGAACTTCAGAGACAAAAATGGATTGGTCTGTAGGTATAGTTTTGATCAGGCTTCCTGAAGCATGTGACTCTCCAGATGTTGTTAGACTCCAGCTTCTAACACCCCAGCCCATTGGTCATGCTGACCAGGACCGGAAAGAGTGGGAGTCTAGCGACATCTAGAAGGCACGAAGTTTGGGACGACTGACTCAGATAATACAAAGAGGACTTGCATCATCCCATGGAAATAAACATGGCACACTTGTGGATGAAACCCTAGGGAATGAAAACACTCTTTACTAAAAGCAGAAACCAGAGCCATCAGACAACACAGTAAGCAAGGAGGTGACCCAGCTTCCCATGTTAATATGAAGTATGTAGGCATCCATGTTAGAATATTGATGTGGTGAATCAGGTGTGTATGAAATCTTCTGGTTAAGTCAATACATATGTAAAAAGGGGGGCGGGGGTAAGGAGTAGTAGGGTGTAGTCTGTCCTTCCCCTAGAACCTGTTTGGGCTGCCACAGGGAGGAACATGTCACAATTTGAGCTTTTGCTATAGAGCTTGATGTGATCAAGAAAGCCCCAGGAGAGGCAGAAAACAAAGGGCTAAGATAATATTTATGAATGAGTGATGAGCAGGGATTAAATCCTGCAGCCTTGACTGCATTATCTTGTTCCCTGCTCTCACATCCAGTGTCGAATTACATCCCATCATCCTGCCCATCAGCTGATGTAACAAGGCACTTCAGTTGATGGGCAGGTGGATGTGGTTTGGGGCAAACAGCATTGTGGACCAATATTGGACCTGTGGTGGGCCAAAATTGGCCTGTGGACTGGAAATTACCTTGCTGTAGAATAATAGGTAAAAATCCAGTATACAGTGTATGAGTGTGATCTAAAGCTGTCATTTTTCTATACAAGGTTGTTGCTTTCTCTTAATTTTTTGAGATGGAGGTAAGTTGAGGAACTGAGGCTGAGAGAGTGACATCCCAAAATTATAACAGGGGTTTGATCACAGATCTAAATCTAACGGTTATTATTATTTATTAAATGCCTTTACACCCCACTTTTTAAGAGTAAAACTGTCACATTGCAGCTTGGCTGTTTTGGCTGGGGTTGTAGTCCAAAACAGCTCGAGAGCACCATGTTGGGGAAGGCCATGGTTTCCTTAACAAACCACAAGTTTATCAGGAGCTTCCCCACAGATGATCAAAGAAACCATGGCCTGTATCTCCAAAGTTTCTTTTGTTTTCCAGCTTCACCTGCCCCTTGTGGCTATATAGTTGAGTGAGCACCTGGGTCAGATGTGGGAAACCTTTGGCCCACTGGATGTTTCTGAACTACATCTCCCATCAGCTCTAGCAGGCATGGCCAGTGACTAGGCATGATGGGGGTTATAGTTCAGCAGCATCCAGAGGTACCCCACATGCGGCCAAACAAACCATGGTTACTGAAGGGTGGTGGTTTTGCATCTAGTGCCAAGCCATCTTAAGGTTTGCAAGTCAACAATGAAAACATGACTTTAGATTGTGGTTTGTTTGCATTAAACATAATTAAGCCACCGGGCAGCGTTCAGTTGATCAAACAAACCATAGTTTAAGAAACCCTCATTGAATAAATCATGGCTTGGTTAACTAAGCTAGCGAAACATTAACAGCCAAACCCTGTAAATTAACAGTGTGTAAACAGCAGCACCTAAATATATGAGGCAAGAAAAGAGGAAAAAGCCATCAATAAAAGGATGAGTAGGAAAAACAAAACTTTATAGTTCCATTCATTATCCGTTCAACCTTGCTGGCTCTCTGCCCCATTTGTCTGCCAATGACCTGTAAAAAGGTAAAGGACCCCTGTCCAGTCGTGGCCAACTCTGGGGTTGCAGCACTCATCTCACTTTATTGGCCGAGGGAGCTGGCATACAGCTTCCGGGCCATGTGACCAGCATGACTAAGCCGCTTCTGGTGAACCAGAGCAGTGCACGGAAACGCCGTTTACCTTCCCGCCAGAGCAGCACCTATTTATCTACTTGCACTTTGACGTGCTTTCGAACTGCTAGGTTGGCAGGAGCAGGGACCAAACAACGGGAGCTACCGACCTTCCAATTGCCAAGCCCTAGGCTCAGTGGTTTAGACCACAGCGCCACCCAATGACCTGTAGGTACCTGGCAAATTGTTTTCCATTGGGGTAAGGACTGAAGGCATGGAACGATCCTGCCTCTTTCCGGAATTTGCCTGGTCTGGGTCCCCTTTGTGTGATCTGGGGTGCTTGCTGTAACCATTCCTAACAAGTGTTCCTCTCTTCTCTTCTAGCTGAATTGACTCAAGCGATCAGTAGCGGCACAGCTTTGTCTAAGCCTTCTCCGCCTTTGCCTCCCAAGAGAGGCATCCCATTAAACTTGCCTTCATCCCTTGAATCGGCTGCTGCTCCCAAGTCGCCTAATGAAAGGTCGTCCTACCCTTCCTCGATACCGGCGCACATGCTGCCACCTCACCCACCGCCTTCTCCTTCGCCACCTCTGCCTTCGCACATTCCTCCTGAACCCGCCCATGTCCCTTCCTCCACCCCTGGGGCAGAGCCTCCCCTTCCCTCCGAACTGCGGGCGGAAACCCCGCAGGAAGGGCTCTCCGTGCTAGATGCAGGCAAGAGGATGACTGAGCAGGGCTTTGGAGAGCCTCGGATGCCTTCACGGCTGCCCCCGCTCCCGCTCCACATCCGCATCCAGCAAGCGCTGGCTAGCCCCCTGCCATCAACGCCGCCAGCAGAAGGCTCACACAGGGCACACTCGCTCCTGTTTGAGAACGAAGGCTCCTATGACGACAACGGGACCCTGGGCAGAACGAAGTCACTGCCAGTTACTATTGAGATGCTGAAAGTGTGAGTCCCACTTGAAATTGCTGGTGTGGAGCTCTGTGCAGTCCGTTTGTTCTTCTATTTCCTACTTCAAGTCTCTCGGCTGCTGCATGCCCAACACTTTATTGAAATAGTCTATTTCTGAACTCTTATTTACTTATTTTTATTTATTACATTTATATACCGCCCTTCATCAAAAAATCTTAGGGCAGTTCCCAAAATAGAAATGCAAGTTAAAAGCACAAATAAATAGTTAAAACAGAAACAATAAAATAATAACCCCACTCCCCTCTCACAAGCACGTTTAAAAGGCGGTAGAATATTAATCAGTTGAAGGCCTGGTTGAAAAGGAAGGTTTTTGCCTGGTGCCCAAAGATGTATAATGAAGGTGCCAGCAGAACTTCCATAGGGAGGACATACCACAAATGGGGAGTCACACAAAGAACCATGTGATGCATGAGCACCAAAATCCTTAATGCTCAACGTGGTATTATTATTTTATTACAGTGGTACCTTGGTTCTCGAACTTAATCCGTTCTGGGAGTCCTTTCGACTCCCAAAACCATTTGAAAACCAAGGCGCAGCTTCCAATTGGCTGCAGGAGCTTCCTGCACTCAAGCGAAAGCCATGTCGGAAGTTCGGCTTCCGAAAAGCATTCGCAAACCAGAACACTTGCTTCCAGGTTTGCGGCGTTCGGGAGCCAAAACGTACGAGTACCAAGGCATTTGAAAACCAAGGTACGATTGTATTAACTTGCCTAGGTATAGTCTTTCTTGGGCTGTTCAGTCCTAAGCAGCTTCTGGATGTTTGTTTTACATGGCATAAAGGATAACTTCTGCCTCTTCAACCAGGCCTTGGGCTGATTGACATCCAATGCCCTTTTAAAAGTGTTGTGGGAGGGGGATTATTGGTTGCTGTTCTCATTTTTGTTAAGCATTTTGTGGTTTTTATATTGTAATTTTATGTTGTGAACCGCCCTGGGATCTATGGATGAAGAGCGCTATACAAAGTTAATTAATCAATCAATTAATTAATTAATTAAGTACAGTGGTACCTCGGGTTAAGTACTTAATTCGTTCCGGAGGTCCGTTCTTAACCTGAAACTGTTCTTAACCTGAAGCACCACTTTAGCTAATGGGGCCTCCTGCTGCTGCTGCTGCCGCGCCGCCGCTGCGCGATTTCTGTTCTCATCCTGAAGCAAAGTTCTTAACCCGAGGTACTATTTCTGGGTTAGTGGAGTCTGTAACCTGAAGCGAATGGAACCTGAAGCGTATGTAACCCGAGGTACTACTGTATAATTATAACAGCTTATGAAGGTGTTCACAAGTGGGGCATGATTTTAATATCCAGCACTCTGAGCCCTGAAAATAGAGCTTGGCAGGCAGTATGAAATCTGTAAAGCATGTTTGTGTAATACACACTGACTAGTCATTGCAGGGGGAAATGGTTGCCAGAGTTGTGGGCAGCTTGCTGTCCCTCCTCCCTCCATCAGCCCTGACCCTTGGTCATGCTGGTGCCAATGACAATTGCAGTCCCAAACATCTGGAGGGCACCAGGTTGGGAGAAGCCACTGGTGGTTAATTGCTCTTCAGGTATCGAGGCCAGAAAGGAGTCCCGAAGTGTAACCATAAGTTTCTACTGAATCAAGGCCAAGGGAAGGAAATAAAACCTTGATGCATGCAATTGCACGCTTGTAGAAGGCTGACCTGGAGTGCTTTGTTTTAAAAATCACAATTGTGTGCCTTTCTGTTAGTCCAGACGATGATGAAGAGGAGGAAGGTGTCCAAGAGGATGTGCATCATTCCAATTCCCATGTTTACATTGGAGAGTCTCCCACTGTTACGGTCATTCCCAGGCTCAGCCTCCAGACAGTACAGGATGAAGAGGAGGGTCCAAGCGACTCAGACTCCGAGGGACCTATTCTGTACAAGGAGGAGGAGGAAGAGGATGAAGAAGATGACAGCCATAACAGTAAGGCTCTCACTTTTGGGCAGAACTAACTCCAGAGAGGGCCACAAAAATGCAGGGGAGAATTTAACCCTTTCCCTTCTTTGGGACAGGTGCTGTTTGCCTTGGGAGCAGGGAACCCCCCTTTGATGTCGTGTGTTTCTCCTCTTCTTCAGTGCCAACACTAACTTCAAGGGGGATGTTTACCTCACATCCACAGCAGGAGAGGTGCTGTGGGCCCAACTCTGTGGAACTCCCTCCCACTAGAAGTCAGACAGGCCACTGCCCTTGCTGAGTTTCAGACACCTGTTCTATCTGCAAATGCTGCTCTGCTGTTTAAAAAAAATCTGGTGTTATTAAATATCCAGGGGGTTTAAGTGTTTTTGAGGTTTAATTCATGTTTTAAGTCCTGTATATATTTATTTGGAAGCCTCTTCAAGACCTAGAATAAACAGTGCACCTCTCCTTCCCCACACTTGCTGTGACCCCATTAATGATCAGGGCCCCTCCCTGCAGCTAATGCAGTGTGTGTGTGTGTGTGTTTAACCAACACACATAAATGTTATGTCATATATACTTCGGCCCTGAGGTGCAAGATCAAAAAGGCCTATATCTGTACATGCTTTGCATTAGGAGACAGGTGCTCCTTTGCTTCAGTGGCACATTCCTCCCGCTTTGTGACTTATCCATGCTGCAACTGTCAGCAAAATAGTAATGCGATCTGAAAGTGAGGGTACGGCTGGCTGGGGGTCAGCCACTCTGCTTGTTTTGTGACAAGATCTCCTTTTCTTTCTCTCTTTCCAAAGCTGCACTAGCCAACAAAGTCAAGAGGAAAGATACCCTAGCCATGAAACTGGGCAACATGGCTCCCAGGCAGGAGCTACCAGAAGAGAACACCACGTTTCCTCGGAAGAGCAAGGAAGAGTGGCAGGAAATCCGCCAGCAGATTGGGACGACACTGATCAGGTAGGAAGGCAGAAGGAAGTGTGCAATGGGGCCCAGTTAGGGATTGCGTGGGAAATGTCCCAGGTAGGTGCCGTTTTCCTCTCTGAATTTGTACTAAACACAGCCACCCATCCAGCTGCGGTTCTAGGCAGATCTTGCACATCTGGCCTGCCAGCACTGGAAGCAGGAGGACACTTTCTCTGCTTCCTGAAATCAAAGTCATTCAGACATGCTGCTGTTTAAGTATGCATTTATTTCTTGCGTTTTATATCCTGCTTGTCCACCGAATGGTACTCAAAAGTCACTAACCGCAGTAATGCAAATACAAGGCAATGAAATACAAAATACAGTAAAACAGGAATAAAATATAACCTTCTTTGCTGTTCTAGAGCTGTGCAGGAAAAGAGCAATGTGTGTGAGCCTGACACTTTACTCATTGGGGCTCCATGGTTTAGTGCTAAACCATGGTTACGTGCAAACTACCTTAGTGCAAAGAAAGATGGGGAAAGCCACAGGTTTTCTTGTAGTCTGTGTCAGAGTCTTCTTTTGTGCTTTTGTCCTTAAAGGATGCACTTGTAATTTGCCTTTCTGCCCCTGCTTACTCTTAAATTAGGCGATTAAGTCAGAGACCAACACCAGAGGAATTGGAGCAAAGGAATATACTTCAGCGTAAGTAGAAGCTTCTCCATGTGCTTATTTTCTAAGGAGTATTCAGATCATTTCTATAGCACTCTGGCTCCGAGGCATTGTCCCTTGGCTGCTGTCCCAAACACTGTGCTGCTGCAGTGTTGCTTGCTATTCCTGCCGTGCAGCATTCTTGCTACCGTACCTGTGATTTGCATGGAAAGTTTCATTTGAATTTCCAGCAGACCATATGCTGCAGTAGGTGATCTGGATTGCAATTAATGAATAGCGCACAGGGCAAGCTCTTCCTGCTTGGCAACTGCAGGTGGTAGAACCGCCTTTTGTTGTAGGAAGAGGAGGAAGAGTGCTGTTTTAATATGCCATGCTGTTTTAATATGGCGGCCTGCTTTTAAAAAAATATTTATAACGGGTGGGTGGGTTTTTTAGCTGTATCTGTTTTTAAATTCATGTTCTGAGCTGAGAGTTCCACAGCCATGGCTCTAGCCCCATAGAAAAAGCCCTACCTGCTAAGGCCTTCCAACCTGAGCCTTCCAGCCTGAGGGAGTCTTCCCCAGGTAACCTAAGGAGGAAGACATGTGGAGAAGGCGGAGCCCAAGCCATAGGACTTTAAATGTAAAACAAACTCCAGACTCTCCGTAAACTGGATCCAGGAACACATTGGCAGCCAATTTAGATTGTCAGCGATGTGGGAATAACATGATTCCTGGAGGGTGGGGTGGGGCCAAGCAGGAAATCAAACTGCCATGTTTTGCACCAGTTAAAGTTTCTAAACTGTCTTCAGGGACCAGTCCTGTGTAGAAGAAGCATTTCAGTAATGTCATGCTGCTATGTTCTGTGGACTAAGGCAATAAATGCTATTCTTCTTCCACAATTCTAGTGAGGGATTGTCAGGTCATAAATCTAGCTGGTTTCCTCTGCTTGGATTTATCCAGAGTCATTTAATAAACTGTTTCATGCCAGGAATGAGTGGTCTAAAGTAAAATCAGTGGATCAAATTGTTTCCAAGGGAACAGCTTTTTGCATGGAGGGTCATAAGGAACCTTGCTGGGTGTGGATGGGCACCCATATTACCTTTATATAGTATCAAATGCACACATACACACCAAGTTCCTAATACCTCCTTCATGCAAGAGACCAAATCTGTAGACGCACTTGACTGACAGGTGTGTACCATTCATAGATCAATAATTGCAACATTTTATTTGTTAATGCTAAACTATGTTGGGAGGAAAGAGAAGTTTCAGACAGCGTCAATCATTTTTCTCTTTCACAGCAAAAAATGAGGCTGACCGGCAAGCTGAAAAAAGGGAAATAAAGCGCAGGCTCACCAGAAAGGTATTGGAGCATCATGGGCTGCTGGGAATTCTGTACTGCTTTATTAATATTTTTTTAAGTTAAAAAAAAGTTTCATTAAACATTACAAAGTTATTTCATTTACAAACATATACAAAGCACAGCGCAGTATCCACCAATGTAATATTGTAAACACTGCTCTCCTGCATGTGAAGAGTCATCTTGTGGCACGGATCCTGCTCTTCATGCATTACCCCACTTTACACGAACTCCCACGTGGCCTCTGCACAGTGGAGCCTGAGAGTCTACAGAGTAGGCTGCCCCATATTTCTGAAGAAGAGCAGAAAGGAGACCACCTCAGACCTACCCCTTTTTGAGACTCCGCAATAGCTCTCCTCTGCAAAAGGTGATCAGAGAGAGCCCTGCCCCAGATGTAATTAATCCAGGTCATTCATATATATATATATATATATATATATGAATGATAGGGAAAACCCCCAACCATACTGAGTTGCCCTAACAAATGACTTTGTTCACATTTCCTTCTGCACCAGCTGCACTAGTGGAAGCCAGTGAGCACACCAGGATTATGCCTGGGAGGTGACATTTGCTCCTCATGGGTTTTGGGTTAATCCTTATTTTGCAAGGTTGCACCAAGGCAAGAGGCATCTTTGGTTTTGTTGACTTAAGTGAGTTTTCTCTTCACAAAACCACTCACCCACCCTGTCCATACACCACACTCCCTCTTTCCATACCTGATTATTGGGAGGCTTTGCACCAGACAGATGCACCAAGGCAACGAACACTGTTCCAAGTCACTGGACTGGAGCAGCTACCTGGATATGCAGTGCTGCCATGCTAGGACTTGTGACACTGGATTGGTGCAGTGCTTGTGCCAGGATCCACTTTAGCCTTGTGAAGCAGGCCACCTGATTTCACTTGCAAATCACAATTTCTTTCTCTCTCTCTCTGCCTTTTAGCTTAGTCAAAGGCCTACTGTGGCTGAACTGCAGGCAAGGAAGATCCTGAGGTTTAATGAATATGTGGAGGTAACAGATGCCCAGGACTACGACAGGCGAGCAGACAAGCCATGGACCAAATTAACCCCTGCTGACAAGGTGAGAAAGGCAAATGCTCTCTCTGCCCAGCCTGTCTCTCCACACTCCTGTCCCAATGCATCTCTGCCACCCTCAGATGTCCAAGGCCTCCTGTCTTCTCAAACGACTTACGGACTGGGGCTGCCTTTCAGAATACTTGTATGGCATTACCTGTCATTTTCTTCAAAACCCACCTTTTCTGCAAAGTCTTTCATCCCTGCAGTGCAGTAATGAAACCCTAGTGTGTGTTTTGTGGCTATGTGCCTTCTGCTCTGCCTTCCTGTTCCGGTGACCTCCAAATGTTGTTGCACTCCAGCCCCCATCAGACCAAGACAGTGTGGCTGGTGATCAGGGATTATGGGAATTGTAGTCCAAGAACATCTGGAGAGACACAGGTTCCTCATCCCTACTTCCCATCAAAGCTCCACAGTAAGAGGCAGTAGGCTTCTGAATGCCAGATGCTGAAAACCGAAAGAGGGGAGAGTACAGTTGAGTTCAGATCCTGTTTACGGGCTTCCCATAGGCATCTGGTCAGTCGCTATGAAAGCAGGATGTTGAATTAGGTTCAGGTATGTGCATCTGAAGTAAATACACGTTCCACCCCTGCCCGTGTCTGTTTGCAGTTCTCTATTTGCTCACCTATACAGTCATACCTCGGGATAAATACGCTTCAGGTTGAGCGCTTTCGGGTTGCACTTTGCGGAAGTAACGGAGCGCGTTGCTTCTGGGTTTCGCTGCTCACGCATGCGCAAACGGTCAAAATGACGTCATGCTCGGAAGCGGCAAAACACAACACGCGCAGACGCGCTGTCGCGTCTTACGTTATGTTCAGGATGCGAACGGGGCTCCGTAACGGATCCCGTTCGCATCCCGAGGTACCACTGTTTAAGATACTGGATTTTAAACTTCTCAAGGAACCTCCTGCTCTCTTGTGCTCTGCAAAAGTGCCATATACATGGGACAGTGCTATATTTCACCACCATGTTCTTCATCATCTTATAAGTTGAGCCTTGCCTATGTGCAAACTTTCAAGGGGTTTGTTCTGTTCCTCATCCTCTGGGCAGTGAGGAACATCCTCCTTGCTGCCTCCATTTCCGGCTGTGTCTCATGCCTCTTACAGCACCATCCGTTCAGCCGCCCCTGCATAATGAGGTTTCCTGTGCTATATTGCAAAGGGAGAACCAAATGTCATGATGACCACAAAAGCACTGATTATAGTCTGATAGAGCTTGTTATAAATAACAGTCTGATACACCTACACAAAGAAGCGCCACCTATTTTATAGGTCCATGTGTTTGCATCTGTTGTAGAGGCTTTTTGATAGGGGAGCTTGTTTGCTGGGCAAGAGTGAGTGCCTTCTCGGTGGCTGCATGAAAACTGTGCAACAATGTTCTGTTGGAAGTAAATATTCTATCTGCACTTCCTTTTCTGTGTTATACACTATGTCGCATGGTGTTTTGTCTTGATACTGGAATGTGATATGAAATGTTCTGTTTGTTGGAAGCCTCCTTAAGTGATGCTTATGCATTAGAAAAGCAGGGGAAGCATTCTTACATAACCAAAATAAGTAAGTAAGTAAGTAAATAAACCATGCTGAAACCCCCATAAGTAATGAAGCTTCCAGAAACCCTGTGTTTCCTGCCAGCTGTTTCCCCACCTCCCCACCCAGGGTCCTTCTGGTCTCCTGACAGATTCTTTCCTTTTGTGCTTTGATCCTGGCTACTGGTCAGAACATCCAAAGAGGAAGTGCAGCAGAATGGCTAAACTGGGTTGCTTCTGATAGGATGAAATAGACAGAAGGCAGACATACAAAGCTGGGGCACCCTGCTGATTGGATAGCACCTGTCAGGGCTGGAAGTGCTCAGATCTGAACTGACAGGGCTCCTTCTCCCCATTTAGGCTGCCATCCGGAAGGAGCTGAACGAGTTCAAGAGCTCTGAAATGGAAGTCCACGAAGAGAGCAAGCAGTTCACACGGTGTGTAAGAGGGAGGCGCCCACTTTCCTTCCCATGCTTCTTTCGTAGGACTGTAGTAGCTCCTAGCATTCCCACTAGCCTTCCTTGCCATGGTCAGGTTTGAACCAGCATCTCATCGCCTCTCTAGTGTGTGATATCTTGGGGTGGGGAGAGGGCAGAAACTTGCCCCCATGGATTCCCCATCTTTCGTGAGCTTTGGACATAGAATCATAGAATTCTATGATTCTATGTCCAAAGCTCACGAAAGATGGGGAATCCATGGGGGATAGTTTCTAGTAGGACATGCCCCTACTAAACCCATGTTTGGTGAACGTTGTGCGGCAGGCTGGAGCCAAGAAGGGAGTGGGTGTGCTCTGGGTGAGGGGCAATGGAGACATCAACACAGGCAGACATTTGCTGATAGTATTTGATGGTTGGCCAGCACCATCTAGCAGTGAGAGCTTGACAGTTGTGGTTCTCATGTGCTGAGGGCATGACCTGGATGTGGCATGCAAGACCCAAAGGGGGGAGGGGAGGTGTCCAAGCCCATTGCCATTCTCACAAGCACAATGTGATTCTCTTGCAGGTTTCATCGGCCATGAATCTTTTAGAAAACCCGCTCCCCAACACTGATAGATGTGCCAGAGGTTGCTGATGACTTGAGGCATGTGCTGGTTGCGCTCTCCTGAGCTGAAGAGGAACCTTTGAGGCTTGTCTAAGATTTGCCTTCAGATCGTATCCAGGAAATGACCTTCTTCAGGGAAACAAAAGAGGGGTGGGGAGAGCCTTGTCCAAAAGTTGCATTTCATTGGAAGGAGTTTCTGTCAAGTGCCATCAAATCACAACGGCGGGGGGAGAAACACTATACCTCAGATGAATCAGCAATACCCCCTGCTTGTAGCTGGGTGCCCTGACTCACGTTAGACGTGGACAGCTCCAGCGTTTGAATGGATAATGCCCCCCCACTTCCTCTTCTGCTGTAAATAGTATGTTCTGATCTGTTTCATAGGCTTTTTCAAAGGAAGAGATAATATTGGAGCAGCGTTTGTAGGTAGTGAACAGGAAGCAAGAATGTGTGCCTGTGCATGTGGGAGAGAGAGTGTGTGCTTGTGCGTGCATGTGTTCTGTACAAAGGAAACTTTAAAATACTGTCCTAGCAGGAAACTGACACATTATGGGAGATTTTGTTTTTGTTTTGTTTTTTTGCTTATGTCTTTTGGATGTACTTAATATGCAGAATCACTACTGACCAATTTTAAATCATCCTGCAGAAAAATTGCATAGTTCTTAAATGGCATATGCTGCATTTTGAGAGAGGGGGGCAGTTTTTAGACAATTTTTTTAAGATGGACAACAAAAAACTTGTAACGTTGAGACCTCTTTTTTCTGGTGCATATTTAGTCCTATATAACAGGAACTGCAAAGCCTAAAACAAGTTGCCTTCAGGAAGCAGATGGCATGGAATATATTGTATATTTTAAAAAATCATGACTTCTTCCTTTTCTTTTTAAAAACTTTCTGAAATTAGAGTGGAACTTGCCTTTTCTTAGTCAAGTAGCAAAATGTATTGGAAGTTCCAAATGTCACGTGCTTGAGAAGGGCTTGAAATTGACCTTTTCGTATTTATAAATGTTAGCAAATATGGCATCCCTTGATCTCTCGTGGAATGTTTCTGGATGATTTTGCAAGCCACTACTGGGTTGCAGGGTTGGCCACCCTTTTGTGTGAGAGGCTGGGAGGGATTTGGATGCGTGTTAATGTAGGTCAGCTTCCCCCAGCTTCAGGCCTTCCAGATGTTGTTGGCCCACAACCATTGACCACACCAGCTGAGGCTGCTGGGAGTTGTAGTTCAACATCACTTGGCAAGCCTCTGTTTGGGGAAGACGGATGTAGGTGGCTCCATGTTTGACAACTGCTTTGGTTGCACAAGCTACCCTTGCAGAACATGATGCTATACCAGTGGGTAAGCAGCGCACAGATGGCTAAAGGCTGTGTCCCATGCCATTCTATGCTTCCTCGCCTTGAGAAGAGGCCATTACATACTGCTGAAGTCTACCCAGTTGCCAAACCTTCTGGTGGGTAAGATGCAATAGAAGAAGGGCTGCTATATCTTGCAACAATCACATAAGATAAGGAGTGTCAGGAGGCACTGGATCCAGATTAAATGACTTTAGAACCCACTGAAATCCATAGGAATAAGATTGTCAAGTCTTAAAAAACCATTGATTTCAGTGGGGACTGCACCACTCACTTTATCTGAATCCAACAGAATACCTTTTCATGAGCAAAGGACAAAAGCCTGGAACACTCTTTGCTATACAACTGTTAAAGGCAGCAGTAGACAGGTAAGTGGGTGTCTCCAGGTAATCTTGGGCTATAACTGCCATAATCTATGGCCACTGGCCATGCTGGTGGGAGTTCTCCACCCCTGTGCTGAAGCATCAATAATCCCATTCCAATATGTCCTAGTCACCTTTCTGGGCAGACCAGGGATACAAAGATCTCAAACTCTGCTTTTGTACCTCAAGGGTTTCATTCTACCCCTAACCCCCTACCCCTCAGATGACCTTTTTTGTTATCTCTTTCTCCCCCTCCCCCAAACCACACCCCAAATCCTTTTGTTTTCTTGAGCACTGACTTGGTGAGAATATTTTGCATGGGGTGGGGGGGGGTGGAGTTTGGCTTTGTTGCCTTTAAGGCAGAGGATGGGCAATCTGTGGTCTTCCAGATTTGTTGGACTCCTAGGGGACCCAGTCAGCATGACCAAATGCTGGAGATTATGGGAGTTGGAGACCAGCATCTGGGAGAGCCCACAGGATTCCTACTGCTACTTGAATAGCGTTTCTTCAGGAAGAGTGCAAGGAGAGAAGCTATTGTAGACATCAGGGGAGTGCTGAAGCGCTCTATGCCAGAACTGCTTTTTCAAAGTGTGTAAAATATATTTCTGTAGAGCAGATCATTGCATTGTATAGCTGTCTTCCTTTCAATAAGATTTTATGGAATAAATTTTTTTTAGAAAAGAAAAAGCTTTCTCTTATCTTCTCCCTCTCAGTTGCATCGCCGACCTCTTGTGCAGTCACTTCCCAGATACAGAGAGTGATTTGGGGTGTCATAGTATCATAGAATTGTAGAGTTGGAAGGCACACCAAGGGTCATCTAGTCTAACCCCCTGCAATGCAGGAATCTCAGCTAAAGCATCCATGACAGACGACCATCCAACCTCTGCTTAAAAACTTCCAAGGAAGGTTTGCTACCTCTACACTCCCTGTAGAGGTAAAAACTATCAACTAAAAAGTGCAGCTACATACTCCCCCCACCCCATCTTACAGATGGAAATGTGGAGATTATTATATCAAATCTACTCAGTGCAATGCATTCATTTCCTCTGCAATTGCTGGTCCTGAACGGTCTTAGAATTATTATTTTTTAAAGGGAGATATAGGTGAGTTCAGTGCTTTTTTTCTTAAAAAAATGTTTAGGGGTACTCTCATTTTCCTACTCATATTGAAATACTGCCCATCAATGAGGCCTGCGTCCCCCCCCCCAGAAAAAAAGCACTGGGTGAGTTTATATGTGCAGAAACCCCTGTGCCATACAAAAAACTGCATCCTGCCCACTCTGCCTGCCTTTGTCACCTGTCCCCTGGAAGGCAGCCCTCGGGCAGAAAAGGGTTCACCATCCCTGGTGTGCACGGTTCTTTCAAAAATCAGGCCAAAACATGTCCACTCTAGAAAATTTCTATCCACTAGAGGGCAGCCTTGAACTGTTCTGCAAGGACTGTCACTATAAAAAGTTAGATAATTTAGTAAGTTCAAAGGAACAGGAGGTCTGCATCTTCTGAAATTAGATCAATACTAAAGATGGGAGAGTGTTTGGCCTCCTCTTGAAGGGCATCCTGGCTCCCTAGAAAGGGCAGCTGAGGGTGCCTGGAGCTTCAAACAAAGTGGAATTGTGCTAAATTTTCAAAGTGTTGAGTTTGGGGAGCTGGGTAGTATGCAAAGGGAAGGCCACAAGATGCATTTTTAACACTCAATAGCTATTTAACTGTGCAGTATTCTGCATGTCTGCCCAGAACTAATTGCACTGAGTTCAATGGAACTTATTCCCTGGTAATTCCATCAAGCTGCCTGAATGGGAGAGATAGGAAGCAGGGCTCATTCCATCCACTCTGCTCCAGGACCAGCTCCTCCAGGCACCTCCTAGCCCTGAACTGTTTCCCTGCCAGCTGGCCGTTCTAAGAAATACTATTTGACATTTGTTGTCTGGGTTTGCTTTTTCCCATGTGTGCCATTCCTTCTGCAGTGAAACATTGAGTGACTTTTAATTCAATTCAGTTTTAAAAGCAAAGAGCATTACATCATAAATAACATTGCAAAAGCAAGAAATGGAAATGGATAGGTTCATCCATCGCAAGTGTCCACAAGCAGTGGTTGTTTCCGTTTTGGAGAAGGGACAATTCTTGTCCCTTTTCACTTCAACTGTACAACATTTGGTAATCCACCCCAGCCCACCCCAAACTCACTCCGTTCAATAGGGGGATATTTGAGGGCAGTGAAGTCCTTTTCAGATCATTTCAAATATTATTAATCTCTCTTCACTTAACACCCTTCTCAGCAGAAGCATTTTCTCCTCACTTACAGGAACAGTAGGAAGACATCCTCTTCCATAATGAACATGGCCGTGCTGTGAGCCAGGTGTCCTAGAGGGACAGTGGGGAAAAGCGAGGTCACACTCTGAAAGGCCAATGGAATCAAAGGGAGGGTGGGGAGGAGAACAGGTACTCTAGGAGTGGCTTACAAGTGCCATGATGTGCGGGGCAGGAATTCATAGTGGCACTGCATACCAATCCAGTTTCCTGAAATTCATTACCATCCTGAGACACTCCATGGGGCACTCAGAAAAAAGATTCAGGAGGTGCCTGGGCCCCTGCCTAGTCACATGCCTGGCTTGTAATTTCCATCATTCAAGAGCTGAGTCCATCCATCCCTACCAGGGATGGATGTTGCTTTACTTACCAACAAGCAGTGCTGCCACTCGGGACACATACCTGTTTGTTGGCAGCAGGCTGCAATAAGCTCATGGCAGCACCCCGGACGATGTCCTTGCTGTACGTCTTGATCTATCAGAAAAGAAAATGGAGAAATGGCAGGTTTGTGCACATAGCAGAATATCCTATTGTTGTTTAGTCGTTTCCGACTCTTCATGACCACATGGACCAGAGCACGCCAGGCACTCCTGTCCTCCACTGCCTCCCGCAGTTTGGTCAAACTCATGCTGGTAGCTTCGAGAACACTGTCCAACCATCTTGTCCTCTGTCGTCCCCTTCTCCTTGTGCCCTCCATCTTTCCGAACATCAGGGTCTTTTCCAGGGAGTCTTCTCTTCTCATGAGGTGGCCAAAGTACTGGAGCCTCAGCTTCATGATCTGTCCTTCCAGTGAGCACTCAGGGCTGATTTCCTTCAGAATGGAGAGGTTTGATCGTCTTCTAGTCCATGGGACTCTCAAGAGTCTCCTCTTACGCCATAATTCAAAAGCATCAATTCTTCGGCGATCAGCCTTCTTTACGGTCCAGCTCTCATTTCCATACATCACTACTGGGAAAACCATAGCTTTAACTATACGGACCTTTGTTGGCAAGGTGATGTCTCTGCTTTTTAAGACGCTGTCTAGGTTTGTCATTGCTTTTCTCTCAAGAAGCAGGCGTCTTTTAATTTCGTGACTGCTGTCACCATCTGTAGTGATCATGGAGCCCAAGAAAGTAAAATCTCTCACAGCCTCCATTTCTTTCCCTTCTATTTGCCAGGAGGTGATGGGCCCAGTTGCCACGATCTTCGGTTTTTTCCGATGTTGAGCTTCAGACCATATTTTGTGCTCTCCTTTTTCACCCTCATTAAAAGGTCCTTTAATTCCTCCTCACTTTCTGCCATCAAGGTTGTGTCATCTGCATATCTGAGGTTGTTGATATTTCTTCCGGCAATCCTAATTCCGTAATATCCTATACCCACCTTAAATGCCAAAGACATCCCATGTGATTTAATGCACAGACTAAGAGCACAGGAGCTGGATGAGGGAGACTTGGGCCCAATTCGCCACATGGCTAGGAGCTTCTCTAGAGGCTCCTGGCACAGCTGCTCCCATTACCAACCTGACTGGGCGGTTGGAAAGATAAAACGGGACAACCCTGCACAAAGCTGCCCTGGTCTCTTTACACCAGCTCACAAAGCAGTTAGAAGCATCCCAAGAATGAAGGTGACCTTACCAAATATTTAGCTGCCTTATGCAGCGCATGGTGCAGGTGGAACACATTCGGTTCTGCCCACCAGATGACTTTGGGGACCAGCAGCTTCAGAACAGCCTTTGCTGCCTGCAATGCAAGAAGAGAAGCGGGGTGATAATCCCAAAAGAATGAAGCCCCAAGTCATAGATAGGGAGAGGGAGGGAGTCAAGAGAAGGGGAGGAAGCTGGAGAGGTTAGTGGCCTCAAAAGTGGACATGTCCATGAGGTTCCAGAGAACAATCCATGCAGGCCCTCACCTCTGCCACCTCTTCTGTGTTCTCCAGGTGAATGATCACATTCACCACTTCCGCAATGCCTTCCTCCGGCAAGCAGGGACACCACCGCTGCCCAGCCCTGCCCCGCAGCAGCCCCAGGTGTCTAACTGCCGCTGCACGAACCAGGGCTTCATCCTGAAAGCAGGAAACAAGAGGAACCATGACCACAAATTGTCCCTTCTCACTTCCAAAGGTGAAAACGTTATATCCATGCCCCCTTTCCACTTGTGTCTAGAGGAGCCCCGTGCTGAAACTAGGATAAAAACCGAAATGAGAAACTTATACAATAACACAGTCAGATGCTGGCTCAGTCCAGACTATCCACAAAGGGAAACTGAGACAAGCCTGAGGAGACGAATTGGGGGGTGGGGGACATACCACGGTTCTCTTCTGATCAAAAAGGGGAGGGAATGTGAGCAGGCTGGCAAAGACCAGCATTTCCTGTCTTTGGGCACCAGAGGGAACCAAATCCACATGCTAGCATGGGAGAATGGCATTATCTTTGGGTATCTCCCACTCGCAGATGAGCTGCAGCTGTGGGTCCTGTGAGCAAATGAGTGGCATCTGCGGGTGACATTCTCAGGTGCCGATAGTTGCAGCCAGACCATTCCGCATCCTGATCTGGTTGGCAAAGAGGTGGATGGCGTGGCAAACCCCTGCAGACCATCCCATTGTCCACATTATTCTAGGGTGGTGTTTTCTTACTTCAAGCTGCCTTGAGGACTTCTTAGGAGCCAAACAGTGGGATGAAAAATGTGGAATAAATAGCCTGCATTCAGAACACCCCCCCTATAACGTGCATTGAAAAAGAACAGGAAAAAGTACTCACGTGGCCAGTTAGGCTGCAATCACCTTCTCAATCTGGCCCGCAGACAGTCCGGGAATCAGCGTGTTTTTACATGAGTAGTGTGTGTCCTTTTATTTAAAATGCATCTCTGGGTTATTTGTGGGGCCTGCCTGGTGTTTTTACATGAGTAAAATGTGTACTTTTATTTAAAATGCATCTCTGGGTTATTTGTGGGGCATAGGAATTCGTTCATTCCCCCCCCCTTCAAAACATAGTCTGGCCCACCACATGATCTGAGGGACTGTGGACCGGCCCCCTGCTGAAAAAGGTTGCTGACCCCTGACTCACAGGGTTGCTGTGAGGATGAAATGGGGAGGAGCAGAACCTTGAGCTCCTTGGAAGATAAAGTGGGCCTAGAAATGCAGTAAATGTATAAATAATAAAATGTGAGCAACAGAACGACTTTACCATTTACCTCACCTGCTACCTGGGGGTACTTCATGAGGATGAGGATTCCATAGCCGAGGGTGCTGCTGCCGGTATCTGTGGCCGCAAATAAAATAGATTATTATTATTATTACTATTAGCATTAACAATTTATTATTTATACCCTGCCCATCTGGTTGGGTTTCCCCAGCCCCTCTGGGTGGCTCCCAACAGAATATATGAAAAAACATGATAAAACATCAAACATTAAAAGCTTCCCTAAGCAGGGCTGCCTTCAGATGTCTTCTAAAAGTCAGGTAGTTGTTTATACACTTGGGAGCACTAGACCTCTACTGCCTCACAGAGCAAGTACCCCTCATTTGACAGCCAAGAGGAGATACTTGTTGGGAACTCCGCCTTTCACAAAACAAGATTTTTCTGGACACCTGGTTAAACTTTTGCCCTGAAATTGTCAGGCCCCTCTGAACAAACAATAGTAAGCAAGTGCTTCCATTGCGTATCATGTGACCCAATAGCATGAGGCTGGCTCACACACTGAAAAGAAATGGTCCAAGTCTCTTCTCTACAATCCTTGCAGCACCTTACCTTCACCATTTTGTCAGCGAAGTGCTTAATAAACTGTTGGAGCAAACAATAGAAGTCCATGGTCATAAATTAGTGCATAGCAGCAAGATGCTCAGCCAGGAAGCTCATGGTTTCAACTGTGAACTTCCAAGCGAAGCCAATACCTGCCAAAAACGAACTGATCAGTGCCAACTGCAAAACCCACTGGTATCAGTTACACTATTCCCCAACTATGTTCTATACAAAGGTTATGTGTTATGATACCTCATTGCCCACTCACATGTTCCTGGGCCTCCTTCAGGACGAAAACTTCTGCAGAGCTTTCGTCCACAATCCAGCCGTCTCCTGGTTTTTCATACCCACGAGGACAGTAGTCAGCTGGATCTTGAGCTGCTCTTCAGTGAACCTCTCTTAAAGAATGCCAGCAGCATCAGAAATCCTATCAAACTGTACTGAGACACTGAGGAATAGGATTTTTTTTTTATTGTTGTAGGAAAATCCTTGGGCTCACATTTTTTTGTTGAATTTATTATTTTAAATGGTTTTATACAACAATATTTATTTGATTGTATATATATATGTGTGTGTGTGTATGATATTTTGCTCCATGTGCATCCTCACTTCACACTTAAGTTACATTGAAACACATTTGCCATTTTAACATCACCCAGTTTGGAGAGATTCTTGTGGAGCCCTTCACAATCTGCACGTTTGATCATCTGAAATCATGGAATCGCAGTAGAGTTGGAAGGGACTCCAGGGTAAGGTTACCAGACGTCCCCGTTTCCTGGGGACAGTCCCTGGATTTACAAATTAGTCCCCATACAAAATCCATTGAAGTTGAAAATTGTCCCCGGATTCATTGAAAAAAAATCTGGTAACCTTACCTCAGGGGTCATCTAGTCCAACCGGCTGCAATGTGGGAATCCTAGGTGGGCTCGAACCACCAACCTTCTGGTTAACAGCCCATCAGTGTTGTCCACAAACTTCGCTACCTCCCTCAATAGTTTATGAAAAAGTTAAAAAGCATGATTACTTTTCTCTTTGCTGAGAGATGATCTGCATATTTATTCAAACTCTTTTGTTTTCCTGCAGACTTTAGCTACAGACCCACAAAGGGCCATATGGAGCCCAGTCCTATACATATGCAGAAGTAGCTGAGTGCCAGGTGAAAACATTCCTCATCCAGGCCTTTTGTGAAATAAACAGTCTATGGCCTTTTAAATGGTGTGGGGGGGTGTGTGTGTGCGTTATTGTTACACTTATGGTGTGTGTTTTTTCTACTGCAAACCGCCCTGTGATCCTTACATGAAGGGCGGTATGTAAATTTGATAAATAATATAATAGATAAATAATAATATAATAAAAAGTATATCTGTGTTTAACAGAACTACAGAGGACAGCCTAGTTCTATGCATGCTTACTCGGAAGTTGTGCTTGCATGCCAAGGCACCCGAGCCACAAAGTTCCCAGGAGAACAATAAACCACACTGACACTGAATATGGGTTCAAATAGACCACAACTTTATTGGTTACAGATGTGAGTGGTTTGGCTTAGGTGCAGGTGTGAAGCCAGGCTATGTCTTGACTCTTGCTCGTCAGCAGGGAAGAGTAAACCACAGATAGGGGGTGCCCTATAACTTACCGTATTTTTCGCTCCATAGGACGCACTTTTTCCCCTCCAAAAAATGAAGGGGAAATGTGTGTGCGTCCTATGGAGCGAATGCAGGCTTTCGCTGAAGCCGGGAGAGCGAGAGGCATCGGTGCGCACCGACCCCTCTCGCTCTCCAGGCTTCAGGAAGCTATCCGCAAGCCTTGCAAGCCCGGTGGGAGTTCCCGCGGGCTCACAAGGCTTGCAGGCAGCAGCCTGCAGCCCCGGCGAGTGTCCGCAAGCCTTGCGCGCCCGGCAGGAGGTCCCGCCGAGCGCGCGAGGCTTGGGGCAGCAGCCTGTCGTCCGAAGCATGGGGAGCCCTCCGGAGGGCTCCCCGTGCTTCGGGCGAGTGTCTGCAAGCCTTGCGCGCCCGGCAGTAGGTCCCGCCGTGTGCGCGAGGCTTGGGGCGGCAGCCTGTCGCCCGAAGCACGGGAGCCCTCCGGAGGGCTCCCGTGCTCGGCGAGTGTCTGCAAGCCTTGCGCGCCCGGCAGGAGGTCCCGCCGAGCGCGCAAGGCTTGGGGCTGCAGCCTGTCGCCCGAATCACGGGGAGCCCACCGGCGGGCTCCCCGTGCTTCGGGCGAGTCTCTGCTAACCTCGCGCGCCCGGGGGGTGGTCCCGCTGAGCGCGCGAGGCTTGGGGCGGTAGCCTGCAGCCCGAAGCACGCGAGGCTTGGGGCGGCAGCCGCGGCGGCGGGGGGGGGGGGAATAATTTTTTTTATTCATTTCCCCCCCCCAAAAAACGAGGTGCGTCCTATGGGCCGGTGCGTCCTATAGAACGAAAAATACGGTATGTCAGATAGGTCCCTGTAGGGGCTGTGACATGGCTTTAGACAGTATTCACACCCTGGATCCCTTTAACAAGATACCCTTACTGAGCTGGGCCAGGCGAGGCAACAACCTCCCTTCCAACGAAACAAAGGCTTACCCAATGCCTAACCTCACAAAAGCTGTGGATTGCTATTCGGAAGGCGAAAACCAAATGGCTGGTGTCAATTTGCCACTTGGAAAAAATTCCTACCTGGCCCCAACAACATGGTGACTGACAACTGCCATAGCAAGATCATATCAGAGCAAAGCATGAAAAGAGGGTGCCACAGCCAAAACGACAAGCAGCAACACAAGGCAGATGCACACACCCACAAAAGCAAATGCAGTAAATGCAAATAAGCACGAACGCAGCCGCGGGGGTGGGGGGTGGGAAAGTTCTCACAAAATCCACAGAGAAGCAAGGTGTGCGTGTGTATATTTAGGGGTGTGTGTGTGTGTGTGTGTGTGTGTGTAGCAAAGGGTGAAGGGGGGGGGAGGTAAGGAGAAGCAACTGGAGAAGGGGGAATCCAAACCATCTCACCCAATCTGAGGCTTGTGGTGAAGGAAGACCTCTGAAGCAATGCCTCCTGGCAATTAGCGAGCGGAAGCCAAAGGCAGAGCAGAAGGGCGGTGGACGTTGCTTCAGCAGCCCAAGGGAAAAACCCGCTGCTCCCCAGCTGTAAGTCGCCGGCTTCACAGGTGATTGCAGGCAGCCAGCCCTGCTGGAAGCAGTCACTGAAGCCGGGCTGCTATGCTCTACAGGGGAAGACAACGATGTTCAAAACAAAAGGCTTCTAGAGCAGGAAAAGAACGACCGAAAGAAAACCGCAGGCAAAGTTCGGCGCTGATCCAAAAAGGCAAGGAAGAGTGAGCGCGCCACGCCAAAATTAAACGGCCCGTGGCCACACCCACCCTGGCCGCAGATTGGCTGGGCGATCCCCAGCACCTAGACAGCATCTTAAAAGGCAGAGACATCACCTTGCCGAGAAAGGTCCCTATAGTTAAAGCTATGGTTTTCCCGGTAGTGATGTATGGACCATCAAGAAGGCTGATCGCCGAAGAATTGATGCTTTTGAATTATGGTGCTGGAGGAGACTCTTGAGAGTCCCATGGACTGCAAGAAGATCAAACCTCTCCATTCTGAAGGAAATCAGCCCTGAGTGCTCACTGGAAGGACAGATCCTGAAGCTGAGGCTCCAATACTTTGGCCACCTCATGAGAAGAGAAGACTCCTGGAAAAGACCCTGATGTTGGGAAAGATGGAGGGCACAAGGAGAAGGGGACGACAGAGGACGAGATGGTTGGACAGTGTTCTCGAAGCCACCAGCATGAGTTTGACCAAACTGCGGGAGGCAGTGGAAGACAGGAGTGCCTGGCGTGCTCTGGTCCATGGGGTCACGAAGAGTCGGACACGACTAAACAACAATCCCCAGCACAGATGACGGGCAGGTTGTGACGCGGGGTGGGGAGCAGGCAACGTACCTCCCCCCTATACCGGAAAACTGTCGCGGCTCGGCTGACTGGCTGCAACGCCGTGAACTGGCTGCAACGCTCAAGATAAACTGAAACTTAGTAAAATCACCAGTGTTTAATAAAAGATGTAGCAGCCCAGCCCTTCTCTCCCCCCCCCCCATCTCTGCGAGGCGGAGGGAACGTGCGGCTGAGTGACGGGGCTGCCCTCAGTGGCGTCACCAGGCGAGCTCATTAGAATCCTCGATAGAAGGCAGGTTCGGGAACAACGCCGATGCAGCGACGCGATAGGCTGGCCGGACTTCGCCCCGCCCCCTCGCCGTCCCGGAAGCGGCGCTCCCGCATCCAGGAAGTGACGTCACCCGGCCCCCGGCCCGGAACCTCCCCCTCCTGGTGATGGAGGAAGAGGAGGTTGCGGTGGGGAAGATGAAGCAGTTCCACGGCGGCGTCAGCGTGGGGGTCGGCGGCGGCGCCGGGGGAGCAGGGCTGGATCCGGAGCGCTGCCGCTTCCCTTACTGCGTGGTGTGGACGCCCATTCCCGTGCTCACGTGAGTCTCCGCCCCCTTCTCGGGACGCCGCGTCGGAGCCCCCCCTCCCTGCCCCGCTCAGCCTAGCCTACCCCGCAGGGCTGTTAGGAAGGGGAAATGGTTTTGGGGGGACGACACGGGCAGTCTTGCAACACTTGCTCTGGGTCTCGCCTACCTCACAGGGCTGTTGGGACGGTAAGATACGGGCTGTTCTTTTGGAAGGAAGCGGGGCTCGAAGTATTGTTGTTTACGGATTGCCCATTAACGAAGAAAGTTCTCTGGGCCGCTCACAAAATAAAACGGAAGGTCGAAATAATGATTTAAGCTTAAATGTGTAAAAGACACAAAGGTAGGACCAGGAATTATTGAAGCAATAGCTCCAGTTTTAACGAGGACGAGATAGTGGGGGAGAAGAGGGGGAAACAGCAGCAGCAGAGACAAAAGATGTCCCTCTCTGCATTTTCCTAAACACTTTTCTTCAGGGGCAAAATCAAACTTCAGAAGTAGGTCAGGTTGTTGGGTCATATATAAGACTGTGCTTATTAGAAAATTGTGCTGTATCAAGTAGTTAAGTAGAGCATTGGGATCTGTTCATTTTTTAAACGTTCCCCCTTGTGAAGTAATTTAAAACAAAAGAAAAAGTTTAGAACATGGTGTGATTTATTTTTTAATTTTTTTTTTTTGTCTACACAGCTGGTACTGTTGCTTGGGTCCGTCCGTCCCCCCCCCCCCCCGGGTTTGTTCTAGTAATTTTGTTTCTCCATTGTGGACAGAATCTTTTTTTCTTTTCCTGCTTACAAAAAATAGTACATGGGGGGTTCACCTTGGTGCACTTCAGATGAACAGTCGGTTCAGAACAGAAAGACATAAAATAAATGTGTGTACAGAGATAGATAGGTTTGGATTTTTAGGATTCAGCTAATCACTAAAATAATGAATATTCCTTAAAACCCATCTGAGTATTCCATCCTCATAGCTCTATAACTGCCACCTTAAAAAGAGCATAATTTCATCTTTATCATAATAGCAGATGAAGCTGAAACATTTTGCAACAGAAATTTTAAAAACGCTTCTTGTTAATCACAGCAAAGACACCTCTGACTTTTGCATAGCTTGAATGTAGAAAGATAAGAGTCACATTTGTTGCTCCACCCATTTTGTTGCCTCTGGCCCCAGCCTCGCCTAGTGTGTAGAAAGTTCCCTGCCAGAGAGAGTGGACCTTGGACTGAGAAAGGTTCTCCACCCTGATGTAGGAGTTCTGTAGTCAGATCTTTGAATGGAGGCTTTAAAGAAGCCATGGTGAACCCCAGATTGTAGTGCTGGAGAAAGAGATATTCAACATTTTCTCCCTGCTGGTCTCATTTTCCTGACCTAAATGTCAGATGCTCACACCCACCCACAAAATTGCTGCTACTCTTGTATGGGGAAATCTAGTATTATCTGTTTTTCCCCCTTCTGTGGAGCAAATAGGAGCAGGGTGTTGATGTCGGTTTAGATTGGGAAAGTGTCTATGGGGAAAGAGTTAAACACCTGCCCTTGGAGCCAGTGCCCTAATTAAAATCAGTGCTCCACACAGCCGCTTTGAGTTAAAGAAAAGCTTTGTGATCTTATCACAGGTAACTAAGAGTGTATTTATTGCATTAAGATGGAAGCTGGTCTCAATAACCTTTGAGGTTTCTCCCAGCTCTATGATCTCCCATGTTGTGTCTCTTTGGGCCTTAATGTGGCAGGCTTTGGTGCCTAGACCTAATGCACCCTGGGGTTTAAAGACACAAGCATGGTTTAGGTATACAGAAATTTTATTTGTCCAGTATTGCAGGTATTTACATAACTCAGAAATTGTTTTGAAAGCCTGAAGGACAAAAGAAGAAAATGTTCCTTGACTCTTACAGGTCAGACAAAAAATCCTAAACTTTCTGACCAGGTGTGGGAACCTATGGTCCTCCAGATGCTGCTGAACTACAACTCCCAACAAACATGGCCAATGGTCAGGGATGATGGGAGTTGTAGTTCAGCAACATTTGGATAGCCACAGGTTCCCTATTCCTGTTCTAGATCCTTGCACCTCTTCCTTGGTTTCATGCAATCTTCTAGGGCAAACCTCTGGGGCTCCCTGGCCATAAAGCTTGTGTGTCTGCTGCAGAGGGTGTCAACTTCTTCAGCTGGTACTGACAGCGTTCTGTAGATTGGCATGTGGGGTATGATGCAATCCTAACCATATCTACTCAGAAGTAAGTCCCATTTAATTCAGTGGGCCAGCCTTACTTCCAAGTAAGTGGGATTAGAGTTGCAGCCTTAGTTAAAAGGTAAAGGGACCCCTGACCATTAGGTCCAGTCGTGACCGACTCTGGGGTTGCTGCGCTCATCTCGCTTTATTGGTTGAGGGAGCCAGCGTACAGCTTCCGGGTCATGTGGCCAGCATGACTAAGCCGCTTCTGGTGAAGCAGAGCAGCACACAGAAACACCGTTTACCTTCCCACCGGAGCAGTACCTATTTATCTACTTGCACTTTATGTGCTTTTGAACTGCTAGGTTGGCAGGAGCAGGGACCGAGCAACGGGAGCTCACCCCGTCGCGGGGTGATTCGAACCACTGACCTTCTGATTGGCAAACCCTAGGCTCTGTGCTTTAACCCACAGCGCCACCTGCGTCCCTGCAGCCTTAGTTATCTTCTGGCAAATATCCTTGATGGCTTTAAAGACCATGGACTCTGCCCAACTGTTGCTGTAGTTTGGGTGGGATTCAATTGCATACCACCATATTAGGTCACACCATTAGGCTGCTCCTGTGAAATGAATCCATGTTCCCCAAAGACTGGTGGGAATAAAGCTCCAGCTTTCTTCTTCTAGGATGCTTCCAGACTTGCTATTTTTCAAGTGAGATTCAATCTCATACTGGCAGATCAGCTGATTGGGAGGCATTGCAGGACAAACCCACCTCCCCAAAAGATCAAACTTAATGGAGAAACACACTGGAAAGCGTATGGTGACACTTGCTTTGGCACAACATTGTCTAACCTACCCAAAACAAATCGGGATGAATATTCAATAAATGAATTGTCTGCAACTGCCCCTAGGTTACAAAGGCTTTCTTCCACCAGATCACCTGGAGATGATTCCTACTTATCTACTTGTGGCCTGGAAAGTAGTTGTGTAGAAGCATGAGTGTAGCCTGTTCAGGAGGAATACATATAGTCTACAACCATTCAGAGCACAGGGAACTTGAAACAGGAAAAAGACTAAATATCCCATCTGATTTGTGCCCAGGTTAGGTCCTGCTGGCTTTGATGGACTGTCAGAATTGTCACTGTCTCTCACCCTGTTCAGTCCTGTCAGACCATCACCTTGGGCAGCCACTGCAGCATCTTTTTAGCAACTTACCTTCAAGGACAAAAAACTAGGCCCCCTGATACTTTCTTTTCTTCTTTTGGTAGATGGCTGTTCCCCATTATTGGTCACATGGGCATTTGTACCTCAGCTGGAGTCATCCGGGACTTTGCAGGGCCATACTATGTCTCGGTAAGTAGAAGCTTGTTCCTGTGGCTTTGTTGACAACCACTGAGTTGTGGCCAGTGCTGCTGTTCCACTATCGCAGCAGTACTCTTGCTTTCTCCTCCTCTTCTCAGCAGCCGCACCCCTGCGCACCCTCAAAATCTCCTCCAGGGGGTTGGAGGACCCTCCAGAGCTGATTCTGAGGGCACATGGGGAGGGGAATTCCTAGTTGCCTATGATAACATGGCAAGTGGTTAAATAACAAGACTGAGTTGAGATTCATCCAGATGGTCATGTAAAGAATAAGACTGGGCTCTCCACCACCGTGTGGTGTAGTGGTTAAAAGCGGTAGACTCGTAATCTGGTGAACCGGGTTCGCTTCCCCGCTCCTCCACATGCAGCTGCTGGGTGACCTTGGGCCAGTCACACTTCTTGAAGTCTCTCAGCCCCATTCACCTCACAGAGTGTTTGTTATGGGAGAGAAAGGAAAAGGAGAATGTTAGTTGCTTTGAGACTCCTTCGAGTAGTGATAAAGCGGGATATCAAATCCAAACTCCTCCTCCACCGGTTGCTCCTTCCTCTTGTATACGAAACCTGGAGGCTATAACAGTGCAATCATATACTTCTCTACTCAAAAGCAAGTTCTCTTGAGTTCAGTGGGACTTATTCTCAGCTAAGTGTGTATAGATTTCCAGGGCTAGTTTCCTTTTCCTTCCAGTAGCTCCAAAGAGCTCTGAAAATTCATGTTTGGTTACTAGTTTCAGAATGTTCTGAAGCAGACAGATGCACAAACCTCTTGGCCTCTCTCTATCTCTCGAGAGATAATAAGCATTGAAGAAGACAATCCTGTTCCAAGTGTCCCAGCAAAATTAGGAAAAGAAAACATGAAGGGGAGCTGGTGGTGGGAGAGGGGGGGCGCAGTAGCTAATTTGTCTGACTTATGTGTTAGCAATCTTTCAAACTGGAGTAAGTCTTTTGGCACCAAGCACATCCAAACATCTATTCTATTGACTAGAACAGAATGGTGGGTGTTTTTCAAGTCAATCTTCAACAAGGGGAGGAGCCCTTGTAGGGAAGAAGAAGAAGAAGAAGAAGAGTTTGGATTTGATATCCCGCTTTATCACTACCCGAAGGAGTCTCAAAGTGGCTAACATTCTCCTTTCCCTTCCTCCCCCACAACAAACACTCTATGAGGTGAGTGAGGCTGAGAGACTTCAGAGAAGTGTGACTAGCCCAAGGTCACCCAGCAGCTGCATGTGGAGGAGCGGAGACGCGAACCCGGTTCCCCAGATTATGAGTCTATCGCTCTTAACCACTACACCACACTGGAAAGGTTTCTGTGGGCGTTAACAGCCCCTGTTGTAATTCCTCAGAACCTAAGATTATGTATTTAATGATATGAATTATTCTATGCTATTCAGGAAATGAAGTGTGCTTATTATTTCCCCCCCCTGCTCTCTCTACTAGGAAGACAACATGGCTTTTGGGAGGCCTGTAAAGTAAGTGCTGTTTTCTCTCCGCCCTTTCCTGATGCATTTACTTGCAAAGAAACTGTATCCACAGAAAAGCTGAGCAATGCATGCCGTATTTTAGCTATTAAGGCTGACTAAAAATTCAGATTGCAGCAGAGAACTGGGACCTGTGCTTCTCAGTGAGGAGCATAACATGAAATATCTCCTTAAGCAGCAAACCTGCAGCCGTCTGAGGTTCCAGTGTAATAATAATATTTCTGCTGCTTTGAGAATGGACGGAATGTAATTTATTGGTGCCCACAGACTAAGACAAAAGGATGCTGAAACTTCTGAATGAACAGAATCCTTTTGGGAGATTCCAAATCTGTAATCCTTATGGGGAAGACAACTATTGGACCTCTTCAAAGCTACACCCCCCCTTTTTGCCCAGATCTAAGCATAAGGAGCACGAAGGGCTAGAAGATGCAGATCCCCAATACATTGGGAATCCTCTTTGGGAACCATCTTATTTACAGCTTCTGAAATTCCACCCATGCACTTTCTATATTGTGTGTGCAGCAGTAAGGGCTGGAAACAAGTTTAAGTAGGGAAAGGGTTTCTCAGGATGTTAAATGCTGCATCCAGTTATAATTTCTGCACTTCTATTACCCAAGCACAAGTAATGGCTGATGAATGCACACACAGTACAAGCACACATACACACAGCCTTGCTTTCAGAGTTTCTGGATCTAAATTGGCAGATGTCATTTGAAAATCCTACTAGCTACAGAATTTATTAGAAAGGAGAATGTTGTGTGTGGGGAGGGAGCAGGTTGTTGAAAACAAACATGTGAACTGGCATCTTTAGTTCTCTTCTCTCTCTATCCCCACCCCCTTTTCCCAGATACTGGAAGCTGGATCCCAGCAAAGTGTATTCCTGTGGCCCTAATGCTTGGGATACTGCGGTGCACGACGCCTCTGAGGAGTACAAGCACCGTATGGTGAGGTGACTTCAGTACTCAAATCGGCAGGGTCACATGCACCCAGAATTGGTTTGGGGCTGGGAGGGCAGAGTAAGGCTCTTGCTGCTGATCAAGAAACCTTTTGGAAACACAAGCTTGCTTGCCAGCTACTGAAGATAAACAGGGAGTTGTTTTAGATGAGCCCTTCTAACTGTGAAAACCCTGCATCGCAGACCGGCAACCTGTGGTCTTCTCAGATGTTGTCACACTCCAACTCCCATAAGCCCCAGCTAGTTGTTTTAGATTGTTTCTAATATTGTTCTTAATGCTGTAGCCTGCCCTGGGACCTTAGGCTGAAGGGTGGGTAATGAATATGTATTTAACAATAAAAGTATCGTCAGCAGTGTGCTTTTTACCATTTCAGCACAACCTCTGCTGTGACAACTGCCACTCTCACGTAGCCCTGGCCTTAAACCTCATGCGATATGACAACAGCACTTCCTGGAATATGGTCAAACTTTGCTTCCTCTCCCTTCTATACGGAAAGTACGTAAGGTGAGTAGAAAGCTTGACTGTTGCTGTGAATACTGTGGCGTGCAGAGTTGCAGACTTTGATCAAGGGCCTTGATCTCCAACAAGCTTCTGCAGTACGTAGCAGTCTGGTGACCGGTTATGTTTATTGGGATTTGAAAACTATTCGGCTCATAGAATCTGATGGTGCTTGCAACATCAAGCCCTTCTGGACGGCAGGTTTGGTCCCGGGGTCAACAGCAAGCCCTTGTGATGAGTGGCCAACTTTATGGACAGGAAGTTGGTGGCTGTGGGCAAAACCTGCTGGGAACTTCACTTGCACAGTTGAAAAAGCACAGCCAAGTGTGCATGCACACAAAAGCTCACACCAGTAACAAACTTAGTTGGTCTCTCAGGTGCTACTGGAAGGAAATTTTTTTATTATTATTTTGTTTTGACTATGGCAGACCAATACGGCTACCTACCTGTAGCCAGTTAATGTATTTTCTCTGGATATTCTTTTCTAAAGTACAGCTTGGAAGCTGAGCTTTCCTGTGCTGAGTTACCTGGTATTTATGCAGATTTAAGTAGGGCTGAGCTTAAATTGCACACAAACACTTTCACCACCTTGTACACAGGTTGGAAGTAGCCTACCCTCCCACCCTAATCCTGGGAACTGTAGATTACCGTTCACAGAGCCAAACCCTGGACAGGCTCCCAAGATTCTTTGGGGAAAGCTGCGTGCTTTGAACGTATGCCACAACCTTCCTTAACAGGCTTAAGTAAAGCCGAGATGACTGGCACAGCTTGTTTTCCCTCCTGTGCTTCCAGTTTCCCAAAAACCCTCTCCACTTTCTGCCCCATCTCCTTCATGGTCCCACCTGCCACCTACTCGCCCTGCTCCCTCTCTTGTTCTCTAAATATCTCTTTCTCTCCCTTGCAGCATAGGGGGCTTTGTGAAGACCTGGCTTCCTTTCATCCTCTTTTTGGGGATTATCCTGATAGTCAGCCTGACTCTTCACTTGCGATGATGGACGACGCCAGCGTTCTCCCCTCTTTGGAAGTCAAGTCTTGAAAACTCTGGCTCTCCGAGCCCAGGAAGGCTGTGGAAGTAAGCTGCGTGGCCCAGAAACCCGCAGAAAAGAAGTGCTGCCTAATAACAACTCTTCCTTTATCCTGGTGGACTTTCTTTTCTTCCTTCCCCACCCCCCTTTTCTTCCTCATAATTCTTCCCTTCAAACATCAAGGGAGAGGGGGGAACCACTGCATTTTGCTTCTCGCCAAAGGTCTCTTCTGGTTCAAAGTTCCTGCGTAGGGATGCACGACCTGGACTTGGATATGTAGGTGGTGTGGCGAGGACTTTGGGCACGTTGCAGTAGGCGCTGGGGCTGGTTGTAAGCTTCCCCAATCTCTTGCAGAAAGCTTCTCGATGGCACTTTATGAGGAATGATAGCAGTGGATGCTATGGGTTGTGGGTTGGAGTTGGAGGGGTTTGGTTTTTAAATCTGCTTGTGCTGGTAAAGGGGGTTTGTGGCATTCTTGGTCGTAACAGTGTTCCTGTGACTGGGTACCACAGCGATTGGCAGCCTGAAATGACAGCCTCGTTGCTCAGGAGAGCTGGGGTTGCCATCAGTCTTCGCTTCTGCAGCTAGGACTTTTTACCATAGCGCGGAGGTTGTGTCCTCTTCTCCTTTGCACAAGAAGTGCATTTTTTTTGTTTGCTTTTAATTTGCTCCTCAGAAATGCCATTGTTCTGAAAGCAGCTGATTTCTCTACCCGCCCCCCCCCCCCCCCCGCTCAAGCTCACACCAACTTAAGTGATATTTGGTGCAGTCGTTTCCAAGGGTGACCTTGAGCTGTTCTTGTTGAGAGTTAAGACATCTCGGTCCCCTTCATAAAACCAGTTCCCAAAGATTTTCTGCGTGTGTGTGTGATAGAAACAGAGTGTTCTACCCACCTGATGGTTAAACTCTATGGCTTATAATGTAGTTCTGCACAACACTGTGCCTTGAAAGACTCTAGAAGCAAAACTCGCCCCAGGGAGATGCCTGATCTAACCCAGTGAAGCTGGAAGTCCTACCGGTATGAAGTCTGTTCTGAAGGGAAGAGAACCATTCATTCAAGAGCCAAGTTCTCTCGTACTGCTTTCCAGGTAACCTGAAAACAGGGCAGTCTTCAGCAACCTGGTGACCACGTTAGGTTTTGCACTGCAGCTCCCATCAGTCACAGCTAGCACATACTGCCTGGGGCTGATGGGAGTTGTAGTCAAAATATCTGGAGGGCACCAGGGTGGCGAAGGCTGCACTAGAAAATTGTGTGCCGCCCACTTAATTTTGGACTTGGCCCAGGTAGCAATGAAAAGCGCAGTCTTCTTCCTCCTCTTTTTAACCGAAGGGGACGCAAAGTGCTACACCGCTCTGCTGCATGCCACCCCCTTCCCCCCTCCCCTCCCCATGCTAATCGCCACCCTTTCCAGTCTTTTGCACACTTCCTGGATGCCAAGTACTTTGCACTGCAATGGAGCAGCGCATTGTCTTCCCCTTGAAACACCTGCGTCCGAGCAGGTCCTCTTGGGTGTTGGACTCTTGCCATTTCAACCATGAACAACGGCAGCTGTAGAAAGCCGATCAATAAGCTCTAGGCTGATTGGAGATCAAAGGTCTTAGATCAAAGTGAATGCGTGTGGTGGCCCATCCCGCTGCCCCTCCGCTTACACTCCCACACCCAGCGGGGATTCTAGTTCTGAGGGAAATAATAGACCAGATCCACTGAATAGAGACACTCTATCCTTCCCTCCCTGCTCTTGTGTGTGTGTGTGTTGGAGTGGGGGGAATCTTGCAGTGATTTGCCAAAAAAAAAAAAAAAAAGAGCTCCAGGAAACCCAAGCAACTCACAGACCTGGCGCTCACAGCCAACTTCCTTTCTACAGTAGCAGTAGCCTCAACTGGTCTTTTGAGTCAATTAAAAAGTGCTTTGCTGATATGATGCAACTATACAAGCTTTGCCACATGTTAAAGTTGGCAATAGATGCCAGAAACTCCCATCACTCCTCTCCCTCCTTCCCTCTCTCGCTCCCTTTCCCCCCACCCCTTGCATTCTCATAATATTTCTACATTCTTGAACAGCCTGCTTAGCGGTGAAGAATCATAGAATTGGAAGAGACCACAAGGGCCATCGAGTCCAACCCCCTGCCAAGCAGGAAACACCATCAGAGCACTCCTGACATATGGTTGTCAAGGCTCTGCTTAAAGACCATAGAATCATAGAAAGAGAGGCGACCAATTGAGAAGACAGTGGAACTTCTCCGACGCACCCCAGAAGTCAAATGTGCTAACCTACTAAAGGCACAGAGAAGTTACGAATCGGGGTTTTGAATCCCACTCCAAAGGATTTCCTTGTTGCAGCTAAGGGATGGGAATGGTGGGCACCAATAACTGATGGGAAGCAACTGCCCTCTCCCATGCCTGCCCCCAACACACACTGCAGGTCTTCTGTGGTGAGTTTTTAAGTGGTTGCTGATCATCTAACTCTGCCCCTTATGACAAAGCCACCACTTTACTCCTGTGCACCCGAATTTCACCCCTGCTTTTGTTTACCGTACTGCTGAAAAAAACTGAAACTGTTGGCATGGCCATGGCAGTGGGTGGGAATGTGGGCTTAGTGGAAATAAATTTGGGACATCCTCACCACAAGCCCGTATAGCACGCAAGCCATGACCCCGCAGAATGAATTGGCCCTCCTCTTTCAGCACTTGTTTAGTTGCCACTTTTTTGAATGCTGTGCTGCCCACTTAACGCCGCCTCTTTAGGGCAAGGGTGTGTTACAACCTTCCTCTAAGGGCAAGCACTTCTGTGCAGGGATTTTCGACATCTGTGTGTCACTCACTCATAGGGTGCAGCACAGAGGGTTTCTTGGTGTGTGTGTGTGTGTGTGTGTGTGTATGCGCTAGCATACAGCTGTTGCCTCCCATTTCTTTCCAGAAATTTGCTGGTTGTAGGGACAGTGAGAAACCTGTGGTTTAGAGGTCATTGTATGCCACTGTCTCTGCACGCATTCTGCATTCCCATCGGCTAGATGTCTTCAGAGATTTGGTTAGGTGCCAAGGTTCTTCTCAAAGGTGTCATTGTTTATTTGGTACCTACCCTGTTGAGGCTTTCTAGGGTTGTTGCTTTTTAATTTTTTTTTGTTACATTCCAGCCTCTTCATTTTCCTTTCTTCTCTGGAAGCTTCATTGATGTGCCACTTGGGGTTCCCCCTCTCTCCCCTCCCCTCCTTTGCTGATGATTAGCCAGATGGGCCTCTGTCCTGTGAGTCGTTTCTCCAGGGGGTGCTGGATTCCTTTGTATATACTGAACTCTGCTGCTGTGATTTCATAATCCCGACGATGGTGAAAAATAAATGCATTTCTGTGTATGTCTTCAAGCAGTGGTGGCTTCATTGTTCAGGCTGCCTCTTTCCCTCCCTCCAGCTGTCGGGGAGGAGAGAGGGGCTTGTGTTCAGAATTGATGAGAGCTCAGCGGCTGCATGGCTATGATCAAACTCACTGTAGAGAAATTAACGTTTACTTTTTTTTTTTTTTTTTTGCACAAATAAGGTGGATTCCCATGATCATATTTAAATTCTGTATTTCTGTAACATTTTTGAGGGGAAGGTTACCACCCTGTTTTTCTCTTCTGTTTTTGAAAGCAGAATAGTTTACAAGGGCATTCCTAGTGGATATCCAAACCAAGCACTGATTAGGTTCGCATCCACTTAACAGTCCCTCCAAAAATGGTGTTCTTTTGCAGGTGTATTCTACAACATTATTACAGTGGTACCTCGGGTTAAGAACTTAATTCGTTTTGGAGGTCCGTTCTAAACCTGAGGTACCACTTTAGCTAATGGGGCCTCCTGCCGCCGCCGCCCAATTTCTGTTCTCATCCTGAAGCAAAGTTCTTAACCCAAGGTACTATTTCTAGGTTAGCTGAGTCTGTAACCTGAAGCGTCTGTTACCCGAGGTACCACTGTACTATTTTCACATATTACTATTTATTACCAACCTTCATCCCAAGGTCTTAGTTGAAAACTAAAAATTATGAAACCAAGGTGGGTCCTAAATATATACATCTCACATCTCCAAGGCCTGGGTGGACAGATATGTCTTAATTACGGATTGTGCATGCATTACTGCTTACTCTGGTGCCGGTGCACTGCTGTTCAAAGCCATGTACACATGACATTAGCCACAAACCATTAGTAACCTGTAGTTTCTTGAGAAATGCTCCTGTTTGGTGCTCAAACCAGCTTCCATTGGATTCAAAGACAGAACCTGCTGTTAGGCTGAGGCATTTTAGACCCGAGTCAGCCACTGCACATGCTCAGATGACAGCTTTATTGAATAGGAATTTGGGAGGGGAGCTTGAGGGTGTGGGGAAGCAACTCAGGTACAGCAACTTAAGACACAAAATGCAGCACATGGGGCGGGGGGGGGGATTATCTCACTGTGGGGAGTGTGAACAGAAGCCCATTGATTGGGGGGGGGGGAGATGACCCCGTTTTCAATGGGCTTACAATTTCCATTGGAATGTGCTTTCAGGAAATATGGGCAGGTACCCCTTGACCCTGTCAGGGGCTTGTTTTGTATGCATGAATCAAGTGGAACCTGCAACATTAGAGGATTTCACCAAGGTTTAAGCCAGCCCAAGCAATTGTTACCCCCACACTTTCCAGTGCATTTCCTATAACTTTTCTAAGTCAGGTGGGGGAACAGATTAATTGCACAAGAATGCCAGTCACTTCAATTGCACAGCCAGAACTTGCCAGCACATGCTTGAATTCCACCCTCAAATTAGGAACAGTCTAGAAGTGCCCTCAGGAATTTCCCATCTTGCCGTTGCTTCCTACTCCGCAGAAGATGTGTGTGTGGAAAGGAAAGGTGAGGGGTGGCTGGGTGGTGGCAGAAATTCTGTTCACTTCTCATTTTAGTATGAAGCTACGTACGTTGCACCTTCTGAAACAAAATTTACCTCTCCACATTTGCGCTTACTTGAATTTGGCGATGCAGTTCAACCCACAAAAAATATACATATATTGGGGAAGTTTCAATCTAAAAAGCACACGAGTTAAACCAGCTTACAAACATTGTATCAGGGGAGAGTTGCTTGCAAAAAATATATATACAAAAAACAGGTGGAATTGCATTGGAAAATGTTTGCCGTGGAAAATGTGCTAAAATGCTGGTGTGTTTTCCATAAAGACAAGAAAAAAGTATTAATCAGCAAAAGGATGCAGACGTGGAGAACTGAAATTAACACTGGGGAAAATGAGAGCCTGAAACTGACAAGAACTGTCAGTGGCGTAGCGTGGGTTGTCAGCACCCGGGGCAAGGCAAGTAATTTGCGCCCCCTAACCCGTGGATTTGCGCCCCCTAACCCTACCCCCCAGATGTTGCACCCGGTGCAGCCGGGGCCCCCTACGCTACGCCACTGAGAACTGTGCATCCTTGCTAGCAGCTTTTCTGGGTAACCTGCAAAGCTGCCTTGATCTTCAGTTGCTCGCTCTCTACTTGCATTTATTGGTTTAGATGTCAAGGGCCCCCCTGTCCATGGAGACCTCACACTGGCAGGATGGCTAAGCTAAGCACTGACATTGCCCCTAATTAAAAGCAGGTTGCTTTTAGTTGGCTGGCTTCATCCCTGAAACCCTGCAGCTTCCCTTTATTAAAGTCCCTCTAAACCGCTGCCTCCTTGGACTAGCGGTTCACACACTTTGCTGCTGTTTCCACCTCCACTGTCACAGCCTTGATTGATTACAAAGTCTGTGTCCCGGCTGACATTTGGGTTATTAGATCACGACTGCATGCTTTTGATGCAAATTGGAGAAGTCATGGGAGCAAGGAGGCTTGAGTTCAGATCATGACACAAGCTCAGCCTCCTCATGTGTTATTTCTTTTCATTTATTCAATTTCTAAAACAAGATTTAATAGCCACTTGATCAAAAAACAAAACCACGTGCTTAAGCAGTCTGCATAAAACCATGTAAAATATCCGAAAGAAAACGCTCTGAAAATCAAGTTGAACGGCAAATAGACATCATGAACATTTATTAAAGTACAGAGAAAAGCAATGGTTTTAAAAGGAGGTCTCATCTGCGCCATACATTTTTAAAGTAATATCATGCCACTTTAAGTAATCCTGGCTTCCCACAAAGAATCCTGGGAGCTGCATCTTGTTAAGCATGCTGAGAGTTGTTAGAAGACCCATAGAGTGGTACCTTGGTTCTCAAACCTAATCCATTCTTGGAGTCCGTGCGACTCCTGAAACCATTCAAAAACCAAGGTGCGGCTTCCGATTGGCTGCAGGACCTTCCTACACTCAAGTGGAAGCCATGTCAGATGTTTGGCTTCTGAAAAACGTTCGCAAACCAGAACACTTGCTTCTGGGTTTGCAGCGTTCGGGAGCTAAAACGTACAAGTACCAAGGCATTTGAAAACCAAGGCACAACTGTATGCCTCTCAGAGGGCCACGATTCCCAGACTGCTTTAACCACCAGTCCCTCCTCCCAAGAAACTCAAGAATTTTAGCTTTCAATATGTTTACTTTGAGCAAAATTTAGTTGCAGGACACCCATTTGTTCTCATTTCTTTGGAGCATGGTTGCGTAGAACTCCATCCCCATCGCTAGAGGTCTAGTCAGCTCCCTCCTTGCATAATATTTAGAACATGTTAAAATGTTCTTAAATCTTCTTTAGCTTTTGTTTTGAAGTTTTCCTCTCTGCTGTTGCCTACATTTTTCTTATTCTGCACTTGGTTTAACTTACTGTGTTTGATTTGCTTTTATTGTACTTTAATTGTTTTCTTGTGAGGGGCTTTGGTGTCTGTTTAAGGGCTAGTGAGTGGCATTATCAGTGATTTTACAAATAAAGGTTAAAAACCTGGGACATGGTAATAGGAACGTAAGACATTGCCTTATACTAAGTTGGAACAGTGGCCCATCTAGCTCAGTATTGCCTGCACTGACTGGCAGCATCTCTCCAAGGTTTCAGACTTGGAGATGCTGGGGATTGAACCTGGGACATTGTGCATGCCCAACAGATGCTTCACCACTGAACTATGGCCCTTCCCCTAATAACCACTGCAGTTAGCTGAATTCTGCACACAAGATGCTTAGGTATTTTTTTCAAATTTTGAAGGCACAGGAAGTAGATTAAACCTTAAGGTTTCTAATAAATCAATCACAATTTCTCCCTCCTTAACAGGACATGGGCTGCATACATGCTGAGCCTCTTGGGCTTGCCAATCAGAAGGTCAGTGGTTCGAATCCGCACAATGGGGTGAGCTCCCGTTGCCCTGTCCCAGCTCCTGCCACCCTAGCAGTTTGAAAGCATGCCAGTGCAAGTAGATGAATAGGTACCGCTGTGTAGGTACCACTGCGGTGAGAAGGTAAACAGCGTTTCCATATGCTCTGGCACTCATCATGGTCCTCCGTGTGCCAGTAGCGGTTTAGTCCTGCTGGTCACATGACCCAGAAAACTGTGGACAAACGCCGGCTCCCTTGGCCTGAAAGCAAAATAAGCACCACAACCCCATAGTCGCCATTGAGTAGGCTTAACCGTCCAGGGGTCCTTTACCTTTACCTGCATACATTTAAAGAAGCACCGCCACCCCAAGTATTCTGGGAACTGCAGTTACCTTTCACAGAGCTACAATTCCCAGCAAACCTAACAAAATACAATTCCCAGAATTTTTTTTTCTTGGTGGTGGGGGAGAGGGGGTACACAGCCATGAACTTGATTATCCGTTTCTGTACAGTGGTACCTCGGGTTAAGTACTTAATTCGTTCTGGAGGTCCGTTCTTAACCTGAAACTGTTCTTAACCTGAAGCACCACTTTAGCTAATGGGGCCTCCTGCTGCTGCCGTGCCACTGGAGCACAATTTCTGTTCTTATCCTGAAGCAAAGTTCTTAACCTGAAGCTCTATTTCTGGGTTAGCGGAGTCTGTAACCTGAAGCGTATGTAACCTGAAGCGTATGTAACCCGAGGTACCACTCTACTTCCCCTCTCGTCTTCATCTCACCAAGGTGACATTCTCTGGAATCTTGCCTTCATGTTCTCAAGCTCTGTTTCTTGCCAAAAGCTTTTTGGCACTTAGAGTTCAGCTGATGCCAGCACAAGACCTGGAGAGATCAGGAGTAAACAAGTAAAATAAGTTGATCCCCCAAGAAATTTTCCCTGACCCAAACCCCATTCTACATTCAGGGCAGCCCCCTAGTGTCCTACTTTTTGGAGACCCAGCCTCCGTTTGGTAGGCTGTCAGGTCCAATGCCGGTTAAGAATGCTAAGAAAGGAGAGGAGCCTTGAAGTTGCCCATCCAGTTCGCATCACCTAGACAGCATGTCATACAGGTCACCTGATCACAGTCCTTCCCACCATGATAAGGGAATTG